ATGGAAGAAGCGAGAGGCTCCCAACTCCACGAAGTCTGGCAGGATCTTTCACTGCGGAGGAAGTCTAACATCATTCGTGAGTTTGTAGACGTTGAAAGGAAACTACTTTCAGTCTCCTTTGAAAAGTAGGATTAAACTTGCTCCAACAGAGAATTTGCGGCCGGTTTAACTTACACAAACTAGCAGATTGGGATCATTGTATTTTAAAGATAGTGGTATCGCAGGATGCGAGCCGGCTATCGTTACAACTGGTCCGCAAGATGTCGTCGGTCACGTCGAATCAACTTATTGCATTGGACCCATCACTCGAAGGGAGTTCTGGGAGAAACAGCGCAGTGACATGCAATATCATGGTCCCTGTAAGTTTCTCGATGTCTAGGAAACTCGGATATAGACTCACAATAATTGTAGGGACATCTTCTGCAGAATACCTAAAGTCTGTTGCTCGCCGTGAGATCGACTGGATCAACGCCCATGCGAACCCACAGGAGCCGAATAAAACTCCATGGCAGTATATGAGTCCACAGCAGAAGTCCCCAGAGGCTCACACAGCTCTGTTAGAGAAATTTCTAGCTACAATTCCGTATATCACTCCCGAAGACCCAGAGCTCGCCTCTCCCAGACTTTGGCACCCAGACTTCCATGCTGGTAACATCTATATCGACGACCAAGACCGGATATCATGCATCATTGACTGGCAGGGAGCCTGGACTGCCCCGGTGTTCATCGGAGCCAATCCCCCATTGCTTCTGGACTATGGGATTGACATGTTGATGAAGCTCCCTGAAAACTTCAAAGCACTCGACGATGCTACAAAAGATGAGCTCAGATACCAAGTGTCTCAGTCTGTCTTAATTCACACGTACGAAACATCCACGGCGGAGAAGAACCCTCTGATGTACAAGGTTATGCGACATCCCCATGGTCAGACCCTCAAGCAATTAGAAGCTTTTGTTGGCTCTACCTGGGACAACTGTCTCTTTCCCTTTGAAGAATGTTTGATCCGCGTTGAGAGGTGTGTTGATCTGATTGCCATTAAGTTCCCTGGCTGACCATTGTTGCAGTGAGTGGGATCACTTTGGTACTAACGAACCATGTCCGTACCATTTCTCAGCAGAGGAGATACGGCAACACTACGAAGAGGCGGGGTCTTTTAACAAGAGCCAGGAATTTTGGAAACGGTTACAAGGTGTCTTGACTGATGAGGGCTATGCGTCGAACGAGAGTTTCAGTAAGGCTGTCAAGATACTCAGAGATTTGCGAGAAGTCGGGCTAGGTGACCTGAAGGGCGAGGAACGACGCAGCTTCGACAAAGAGACATGATGGGTCGCAGATCTCGATGGACATAGCATCTAGCACTTGCACCATCTTCATTAAAAGTGATGCCAGGGCAATTATCGATAACCTATGTGGCCTTAAGAGGATTAGTGTTGTCTCATGGAATACCTAGCTTATATAAAGGCACTAGATATAGTACTTTATCTATATTATATACCTCTAGTTAAAGTTAAGGGTATAGGACCTAAGTTAACTACTAAGGGTAGCCCTATAATATTATATAATATAATAAGGGAAGCTAGTATAATACTCCTATAGTAGTAACTAGAGGGCTAATATTACCTAAAGAAGAGTAAGGTAATTACTTTATAATTATATAGTTACTATATAAGCTTATAAATAAGAGATTATATAGTATAGGACCTAAGTTAACTACTAAGGGTAGCTATTATAGGAATAAAGTATAACCTATCTTAGTATACTTATAGCTATTAAGTAATTATTCTAAACTAATAAAACTATAGTAATAATAACCACTCCTATAGTAATAACCTCTATTATAGTAGTAACCTCCTTAAGTAGTAGTAGTAACCCTAACTAATAGCTACTATTATAGTAGTAATCTTTTTATAGTAGTAATTACCTCTACTAATAATAGCCTTTATTATAGTAGTAGCCTTTCTATAGTAATAGCCTTTATTATAGTAGTAGCCTTTCTATAGTAATAGCTACTACTATAGATAATAACCTCTATTAAAATAATAACTTTTATAATAGTAACTATACCTATTATAATAATACCCTTTTAATAAGTACTAGGCGCATAATAGAGTAATAAGAGTAGAACTAATAAGATAGAAGTAATAGTATATATTATTAGTACTTACTATAATACTTTTACTTTACTACTTACTTTAAATTTACCTCTTTTTAGTAATTAGAATAGCGTCTAGAGCTACTACTATAAAAGGGGGAGTAGTATTACTAGGTTAAAATAGATACCTTAGTAGGCCTTAGTACTTCCTAAATAAGCCTAGTATTTTACTTAGGGTTTAGTAGCCTTATACCTCTATAGAGGTACCTAGCTACCCTAGATAGCTCTCTATTATAACTATTTTATATTTAGATTCTAACTAGCTTATTATTTTATATTTTTTAGCGTAATGTCCCTAATAGAGTCCTTACACTTATAAAGTAGAATAACTACCTACTTAGTATAGATAACCTATTCTAGAAACTATAGTCTTTACTAATAATTATACTAAAACTTATTTATAATTACTATTAAGCCTACCTATATAAGCTAGTAATATATACTAAGTTTAGAGACCTATTATAATAATAAAAAGTACTAGACTAAGAAATAGAGAAGCTATATAAAATATAAGCCTATAGAAATACTATACTACCTAGTAAGTAGCTAAGTTATTTTAGATAAGGAGGTTACCTCTACTAAGGCTTATTAATATAAGCTATAGCCTTTCTATATACACTTCTACCTTATACCTATAATATATAACTTACTAGTTATATTACTACTATAATTATACTTAGTTTATTTTTAGTATTCTATTTATTTTAATTACTATAGCCTTAATAGAGCTAAGGCTTTAAAGGGAAAAGTAGTATTATAAATTAGAACTATACCTTTAAGAACTCTAATAATACTAAGGTACTACCTAATATAGCTAGCTCCTACTAGTGCGCCTTAGTAGCCTTAGTAGCCCTATACCTTTTAAAGTAGGCCTAGCCTTATACTACCTACTCTCTATAGTATTATTTTACTTATTTAGGTAGATAATATATAATTATCTTATATTTATTTAGATTATATGCCAGACCTTTATACCTAGTAAGGTATAGTAATAGATATATAGTAAAATATTATTATAAAATAGTATAGTAGGTGGTAAAAGTAATTATAGAAGTTATTAACGTATATAAGGCTACCTTATTTTAATGTTATAATTTTAGTAAGTGTACTTTATTTTTAGTGGCGCGTGCCTCTATATAGACATCGCTATGGCGGTTGCTTTCTAAGAGATCTAGATTTAAAACTAGTTCATACTTAGATCTTTTGTGGCTATTTACTCGATTTTTTAATGCCGTCGGAGGGCTCCTACCAGCACTTAGGTTGTACTTCTACCCTAAGCCTATTTTCTGCGTAGGCAACAGAACTCTCGGACTCTTTATACAGCTTGGCCAACCCGTGACGGTTGAAAAGTACGTATAGAGCTCTGTAGGTGATCTGGAGGCTTGCTTTTCTACGTGGTCAGCATGCTGATTTGCGTAGTCAGGTGAGTGAAGAATTGCAATTTTAGTTTAATAGACTCGCAATCATAGCTCTATTGCATCTGGGCAATTAATTAGATCTCACACGAGGAGAAATGTCAAGCTAAAAGCTCGAGGGCGGAAACTTCTACGGGGCCACGTTAAGGCTACCTGGTCGGGAATCTTGGGATGGTGTGTGGAAGATCCCTTATGTGGGGATCTCGTAAATCTGCACCGTGGGTAGATGGATGGGTAGTGGATCGTTTCACGTCTTCAACTTGGTGTATCCTCCCAATTACCAGTAAAACTCTTCCCATTCGACTATGGACCGGCATTGGAATAGGATCGGTCAGTCAAGCCAAATCTTCGTTTCAGACCCTTCTTGCACCCACTCCCATGTTTTCGCGTCCACATCGTGAATGTCCACGGTGCCTTTCCTACAATAATGGCCCTCTAATGTGCCTGGCCGAAACGCATCACCACCAGATGGTGCAAGAAGAAGCCCGACTCCCGAATACTTTGGCGCTGGCTGATCGAAAGCAGAAACTATAGATGTCGTAAGGCGGGAGGTTTCGCTGATTGCCAGAACCAACAAATAGACGCTTTCATTCGGACTGAAAGCCTTCGGGTCGACTTCATCAAGGAAGACCTCAAAGCCATCTAGAAGAGGCTGTGGTAGATTGGATGGATTAGAAGAGTTCGCCGAGCTCAAGGTGTGGGTCTTCCGGTTATTAGCACTTGTAGTCCATGTGACCTGCTTCATGTATCCGCAAACGTCGAGAGAATTCGTCTCAAGCTCCGGCTCCATGTCTCTTGGATCGGCTTCCTCCGGCATGCTGTTTGAGTTGAATTTCTTTATTTTGAAGCATAGGGCGTCGCCACTGTGACTTCTTGCAGTATAGCACCGTGATGGGACCAACCGATTAGACGTTTTCACAACTCCGCTGACCGACGCCCACGACCAACGAGGAAACCGCGATTGGAGTTCTCGATTTCCATCCACCCGCTTCGGGTCTATCACTCTCCATGCTAATTGCTCCTCTAATCTAATTCCCCATAGTCCCGCTGCATATTCTTCATCCAGTGCATCACGTACCAACTTTGCAATACTCCAAATAGCTAAAGTCTTGTCCGCTTGATTGGTCAAATTGCACGATGTATAATTCAGGACTGCTGCCTGCCAGAAGCTTTCCAATGAAACATCTGCAGACCCAGAAATAGCGTCTCCAATTTGTATTGCCTGGAGTCGTGCGCGCCAGTGTCTTTCGGTACGCGAAGTTCTATCGATAGCAAAGGGGACACCAGAAGGTAGTGATTCCGATGCGCTGAGGGTACAACAGTCCCAAAATATCTGGGTTTTGGTGAAATGAAGTATTCGAGGTGAAAGCAGGCGTTCTGTATGTTGTTTGATGTTAACCAGCTGTCTAAACATAAACGGGGAGCCACAGGGACTACAGACCTTGATAAACCCAGCCCCTGGTGTATATGTTCATACCCAGGACCTGGGTCTGCCAGAGATCATCTTCCAGTACGACCCAACGGCCTTTAGTCAGCAGATTAGAGCTTCCATCTTCTTCGTACACTGCGTGCCTGATCGTTTCTGGGTCGCGACGTCGAAAGAGACCACCGCGGCTGTCGAGTGAATCTGCTGCGGATATGTTGCAGTATGAATGTCGATAGACTTTGTGCATGAGTTGCCCTTCGCTTCTGGAGAATTCGCCGTTGTCCTGGATGATGCACAGAGAATCAATCCAGATATATCTGACACCCATGTGGCGCGCGACAGCCACAGCGTCAACAAAGTTCCGGGACAAATCTCGCAGCATTGCACCTTCGACCATGAGTTTGCTTTTGTTCGAGAGGGTCAGTGTCAAGAATGGAATCTCCTTGAAATTACCCCAACAATGGCTCAGGGTTACGTAAGGTGTGCAGATATCTTCATCCTTGGTGTTGACGACGCGAAGTCTATCAGGATCGCCCGTTTCCAGATCTATTAGCCTGGTTGGAACCCACGTAGGGGTATATGACACTCTGCATGTTGTATGGTAATTTCGGCAATCATGGAGCCAATTTCGAATTTGAGAAGTTGAATCATGGGCTGGATGTGTAGTTTCAGATATCAGTCGAATGGACATCTGTTTATCGACTTCGTGCTCAGGGAGTATATGGAAGACCTTCTGCTTGAGGGGACTCTGTTCATCGGTAACTCCTGACGTGAGCCTATAAGTGACAACTAGGGACTCCTCGGATTCACGGAAACCTGACTTTCTTCGAACGGTCCACTTGCATTGTCGCTGCTGGTCAACTGTTGACCAACGTTTCACATCTTCCCACACTGTCGTACAGAACATACACCTTTCCGCCACCGATAGCTTGAAACCCTCAAGTGTAGTAGTGAGGGTCCGTTCTGGCTCTTTTCCTTTAATCATGTTCTCGCAGATTGTACATATCTGCTTGGTCGCTGGTTGAAGTTCTTGAGGATGAGCTACCGTTCTATGGTCGAAGAAACTGTCGCTATCTTTCATGCTCATGATACTCGAGAACTTCGAGTAGTATCCGCTGTCAATGCTAGACTCGTTCGTCGGGTTATCTCTGCCTAGGGGTGGAGATATCGGCGGCGACGACGAGGCTAACAGAGGAGATATCGGCGGCGGCGACGATACTAACGGTGGAGACATCGGCGGCGGCGAGGAGGTTTGGTGCGCTTCATCCAAAACCTGCACTGGAAGCTCTTGCGACCGCTCATCGCTTTCAGCTTCGAGCTTCGCTTTCGCCCAAAGTAACGTCTTGTTGTAACCATCTCGAGCATAGCATGCGAACAAGGGTACGTAGCAGGAAACTCTCGAGGTATCTACCATTAGGAATCCTCGCGCTGAATGGAAGACATTCTGCTGATCAAATGGGATATTAGTAGCAAGCTCGGGGATATCTTCGACCAATCTTTGCAGCTGTGATTCCAATTCGGCGAATGAAACACCATAGTCACGGACTGCGGCCGCTGCGATAGAAAGCAAGCCTAGAACTCGTTGTGTGGGAGACTGCTTCTCGATGTGCTCGATGGCGCTATCGAACAGCCTGATAACGCTCGGAAAAATTCTGTCGTAGAGTCGCGCGGTATTATCCCATGACTGCATCTGATGCACTTCTTCCATGTGTGCTTTCACCAGAGTGATATTGCGGTCCGAAAGCATGAAGGTCATGAGATGCTCAGATATTGCGCTAGATCTGGTGGTGTCGATACGAGAGGAGGGCTGATTGATGACCAGGCCATACTCCTTTGTCATCTCTTCCCGAATGAACCTTCGAAAGTGCTCCTCAGGAAGCAAGTTCATGTGGAACTCGCGATAATCATACATTTCCTCGAAAGCAAGAGCATTCCCATCGACTGTGCATATTGTACCTTCGACCTTGCAGCTATTGCAGAGACTGTAGCAGGTTTCGAAGTTCCCTGTCCAGCACTGGCGACAGATCCAATACAAGTCGAGAGGGGATTTTCGACAGCTATCACAAACCGCAGTTATGTCAATAGCTTCGAATGATTTGGGTTCTCTTCCTGTAGTCATAACATTGATTCCACGGGCCTGCAAATGTGATAATTCGTGATCGATGTGTACTTGCGTATTATTATCGAATTGGTCATAACCGTCCAGGATCAGGAAGCCGCGTGGATAAGAATCTGCCAAAGAAGGCAAACCCTTCAGCTGGCTATCTATGGCGTTCCATAGCTCTCCCATGATAGGAGCATAGGATAGATTGATGCTCTTGAGAATAGTAACAAAGGCAACTGGTATACCTCTGTCTGCTATATCCTTTTTTCCCCTCAGAGCTTGTGCTGTTGCTTTGGCAAGGCTGGTCTGGCGACTATGTCAGCAAGGCTGTCTGCTGCGTAGCATGCGTTCCGCCCCCTGGGGCCCAGGCAGCCATTAGCTATCCAGGGGCTTTTACCTTGCCACTTCCTGGCGCACCAGAACAATACAGTTGCCAGCTAGTTGGTAGGCTAGACCACTGCGTGAAGGCCTCGCTGCTGAAGAATTTGTCAAACAGAGGGGTGTGAATATCAATCGGTAGGTCACATCGAACATCGTAAATAGGCTGGCGCGGCTGTGCATTCGTCCCTCGTAAAATGAACATGGCTGGCAATCAGGGGCGATCTATCTGTTGACCTGTAGATACGAAGATGGAGGGTCTACAACCCTGACACAACCGCCACTTATATAGAGTATCGCTCACCGGAAGGCTCATCTCTGTCCACCTACTGGCCTTCCCGGAAATTAGCCATTAGCTTTGTGCTACCCTCTCAGCTGTGTACTGCCCTCTCAGCTCTTACGCCTTTTGCCTTTTGTTACTATTATAGTGTGCAGAGACTGTGGGGGCGACTCGGTATAGGTCTTTATAAGACTGAACCGCGTTGTATCGATCTTTCGTTGTGTTCGGCAGTCTCGTATTCAAACAGTCTTTCCTGCAGCGTTATACTCACAATGGGGTTTTCAAGACTCCTGGCACTTTCGTTATCGTTTTCCGTCGGCTTGTGTGGTCCACCCGGGAACAAGCCTGCACATAGGGGTGTGGTTGCACGGCAGAGCGCAGCGTCAAATGGGCCAGCGGAGCCCCCCTCCACCGCGTGCGGGGACATTGTTGTTGCTGCCAACCAAGGTACGCGTCCAAAGTAGCGGTAACCTTGCGAGAGGGAGTCCTATGTTGATCAGTGAACAGGCTATCCCATAGCCTACGCCATTGACGTCATGGACTGTCTCAAAAGCCTCCCTTTTCATCCTGCCGTCGCAACGCGGTTTATCGACTACTACAACACCACAATTCAATTTCAGAGTACCTTAGCGTACCTTCGGGATCCGCCACAGGGATACCAGCAACCTCCAGTAGACGTAATCCAGACGTTGAATCAGATACAACGTAACATTACCACAGGCGTGTATAGAAACCAATACGCCTTTGAGGCCGATTTACAGCTCCTCATCCACCAGATCCACGACACGCACGTAAACTTATACGCTGGCGCTTTGTCGGCCTTTTCGTTCGCTAGTCCGCAAGGCTTGGTGTCGGCATCGGTAGACGGCAAGCAGTCTCCTAAGATCTATCTTGTTGGTAAGTTTAAGATACAGCAAGTGTATGCGCAAGCTTACTGATCACGTATAGATGATGTAATTAGTTGTCAGAACGAACCCGATCATGGGCGATGTATACCTGAGCCTGTTGTTCAAATCAATGGTGTGGATGCCATAGAGTACCTGACGAACTTCGCAGAGCTCAACGCGTTCGGATACCTAGAGCCGCACGCGGACTTCAACTCGCTTATGGATAGCCCAGTGAGGGATATACAAGGGGATCTAAGCGCTTTTCAAAGCCTGACCTTCTATCCAGGCGATGCCCTCGATTTCACATACGAGGATAATTCTACATATAGCACGTATTGGCTCGGTATCTATCGTGGAGGAAGTAACACGGGTCCTCTTACAACACCTGGGGATTTCTATAACTACTTCGTGCTGGGTTTGCTACCAGCAAGCTACAAACCCGATGTTGAATGGTGGCCAACCCTCCCTCCTGATACCACCGGTGGCGGTACAGAAGACCCATTATCAGACTACGGTTGCCGGAACGATACCCCAAATTGGTGCAAAACTACTTTCGGTGGCTTCCCTGATGACCCAGTTACAACGCAGGCTGACCTGTCCGTTACCGGAGCCGGTATTGTCACTGGATATATTCTCGACGACCTATCGACCGGAGTTCTCAGTATCCCTACTTTCTTACAGTTCGACGCAGACGTTGGCACCTTTTCTGATACAGTATCGACATTCTTCGGAGACGCTATGTTTCACAACGTCACTCGCATCATTATCGATCTGCAACAGAACTCGGGCGGTAGTGTTCTCCTTGCATTTGAAATTTTCAAACAAATCTTTTCCTCCATCGAGCCATACGCCGGAAGTCGTATGCGTAGTCACGAGCTTGCCGACGTTTTAGGATCCACGTACACCAATTGGTGGAACTCTCTTGAACTCCACCCTGATGGACCAGATGGCAGTGGAGCTAACGGTGTAAACTATGAGATTCATGCTGCTGATGAGTGGGTCATCACGGATCGCATCAATGTTGTTACCGGACAAAATTTCACATCGTGGCAAGAACACTACGGGCCGGTCACGGTGCATGGAGATACATTCTCATTGACTGTACGTTCAATCTCAGTTGCTTAGAGAGAATCGACTAACTCCGCTCAGCAACGGTATAACCTTTCGTCCCAGGTGTTCGATGAAGCTGCCTTCGACGGATGGGATCTTACAGGGGACGATTCGCAGTTGCAAGCAGGCGCCGGCACCTTACGATGGATGCCTGAAGATATGGTCATCGTAGGTCTCCAGAAGTAATCACATAGATCTTCTCTAACAGACTATTAGCTCACCGACGGCCTCTGTTCTTCAGCTTGTGCTCTGTTCGTAGAGCTCATGGTTCACCAAGCTGGCGTCCGTACAATTGCACTGGGGGGACAACCCATCACTGGGCCAATGCAAGCTGTTGGAGGAACTCGCGGGGCAAGTTCGTACGACGCAGACTCTCTGGATCTGGACATGCAGTTCGTGAACAACACGATTGCGGATCACGAGGCGGCATCCCGTTTGCCCCCACGCACTCGGAGTATATGGTTTGACTACATTGGCTTCAACCTTCGCGACCAAATTCGGAAGAATGACTCAATCCCGCAGCAATTCAAATACGAGTCTGCCGACTGCCGACTATTCTACACCCTCCAGAACGTGTACAATACGAGCCAGTTGTGGCGGGACGTGGCTCATGCTGCCTGGTTGGACCCTAGTGTCTGCGTCACGAACTCGACCGGTTTTCCGACAGGAAGGAATTCAACATCTGACAAAGAGCCTCCACATGTGACCGCCAAGGTTCCTCTTTTAGAATTAGCACCTCACGATCACGACACCACAACGAATTTCCTCGATCCAATACTAAATTGGTTGGGGGCCGAGGAAAGGCAGTTTGATAAGTTCACACGGTGCCGCAACGGATGCCGCGGCGGGTGCATCACTCCTGAAGTTATGTGTACGAACGGGCGCCGGGAAAAACTCGAGATATGCGCTCCAACGTGCGAGCGCGTACACTCCCCTTGCAATGTGGGAAACATTCGCTCTATGTGCACTCCATACGCCCAGTCTTTTTCGCATAGCAACGGCGTCCTGCACGAAAAATCTGGAGACAAATCTGGGGGAAAATTGACATCGAAGCAGTACAACGGCGTTTGCTATCCGCTGGAGGGAACTCCTGAGCTCGGATGTTCTTAATATCTTTTCTCTCTTCCATTTCAAGTCGAACGGATGATACCTTTTTCCATTCCCTTTTAATATTGTCGCGATTTATGGCTCTACGAGTGTGTTATAAGGGGGTTTCCGCGTAACCCTCTGGGTATATGTCTTTGCGGTTATTCGCTGGTCGAACGCAGGGTTGCGCAACAGAGAGTGTGAATAATCCTATCTTGTGACGTAACACAAGACAACGATATCAGGTGGGAAGCCTGATTGATCTTCTGGATAAGATATGCTTCAACTCGGATTTTTTTTTTTTTTTTTTTGCTACGAAGAAAGGAAACAGTATAGAGATCATGGATGCATTCGTCGAAGCGCCATTGGAAAGTAATGATCTCTTCTAAATCTGCCTACAGAGTGGCTTCCTTTAATCGTATCTTAGTAGAGAAAACTCCTCTGTTCAATATTCCTTTTAAGTGCTTTGATATGAAAGTGTTAAGCTTGGTAGTCAGTGAAGAACGAAGAAGCTGTCTCAGCCTACAACACGTTCCGACATCTGCCTCACTATAGAGATCATTCTGATCCTGGGCCATAGGCCTGGATGCGATTCCTCATTAAGCAACCCTATAGTCGCACTAGCTGAATTAGGGCGTATTAGAGTTGCGAGGCTTTCTTCGCTTTGAAAGTCAGTTTTAAAAGTCGAAAATAGTGAAATCACCTCCAGACAGGGCGCGCAGAAGCTCTCCTACTCCCCAGCGGGAAACTCACCCCACGCCCACGTCCATCCCGCAGGACTTTTCCGCACAGGATAAGATCGACAACGAACGGCCTCCCCGAAATCCCAACCCCCACTCGTCAAATCCAGAATCCCACCTGTTTCATTGGACCCAAGTTTCGAATATCCGGGAAATGCTACCCAATGAGATGCGGCGCCGGTGTGTTACCGCCGAAAAGGCAATAGTAGAGTAGCGTATGCGGCAGGGATACGAATCCTTCTGCTGCAATTTTGGGTTTACTAGGGGCTGCGTTGGATTGGGGAACCGGGTAAGCAGCGGTTCGCGGTGTTGTCCAAACGCACAGGCAAGCTTGCGAGCCGAATCGAAGCGGCCTTCATTGTCCACTCTTTGCTGCACAATAATATGAGAGGCGCCCAGCTGCTCAGCTTCCAGAACCTCCAGTCCAACGCTCTTTGTTGGTGGCGTACCTCGCTTCGTCCTGCCGCCTTTCACATCGGTGTCGCGCACATCAGGCCACTCAGAATGGCAATTTTGTCGCTTGCGCTGTTCCTCTGTGAAAGTAATTTCGGAGCTATCAGCGCGGTGTGCTTGGCGGCATACCGAATCCATCGCGGTCGGAGAACAAATGAAAATCATGGGTTAGCAAACGCTCAAAAGACGTTCTCAGATGCACCGGGGAAGCGGCTCTGAGGATTCCTTTTTCGCTTGAGGACTGACAGAGCGAAGCACGTGCCGTGGCCTTCCAGATCGGGATACCGAGTCTGAAGTGAGACATGTAGGTCCGATAAGGCTTTTACGCTTTTACGCTTTTTCGATACCTACTCGGGGATGCAGTTTCTCAGGATCCGGAATCGAATTCATGCTGCTGAGGCATGGCTCCGTTGTGGCACTTGGAATGCGCATAGAGAACAAAGTCTGGGCGTGAAAAGGCTAGAGAACGTGGCTGGAACTGTGCATTGCGGAGTGGCGGTGGGCGAACAGTCGCACGCGTCTCATCATCTGTGAGCCACAACAAGGCATAAACGCTGATCCGGCAGTGATTTGTTGGAGGCGAGTGCAGGGCGAACCCCGTCGCCGAGAGGATGCGAGACTTCCACGATAGAAGGTAGCAGATTTATATGCGCTGCATTCCGGTAATGTCGTGAGATGCCAGTGAAGAGAGTGAAGGTGGGCTGATAGATGGGAGCAGCATGCGGGGAAACTGGCTGCAATATACAATCGACACGACTGAGTACTAAGAGTCATCCATCACACTGGGCTAGGTTTGGCCTCAATTGGATTGCTCTAGGTCGCCGACTATGGCGGAATAGATTGAACCTTGAAGTGTGGGGGAAAGGAAAGGAACGCAATGCGGGGAACTGGCCACAACGAAATGATCAACAGATTGTTCATCAGAGCGGAATGGGGCTAGCCCTAATTTACAGAATTGCTCAAGCTGTGCAATCTCCCTACCGAACTTCGAACATCCTAGGCATCATCACTCAACAAGACACCAACAAGCCACATCAAAGCTATTCCACGAACGTTGCCTAATATCACGTTATTAAAAGTGCCGAAAGAGAACCGACTTCCGAAAGTCACTCCAGCATTTCCCACATCCGTCCGAGTAGTGACTATATAGACACATCCACAACGTAGATAAATAAAACATGACCTCAATTCACGAAGAGATCTTCTTCCGTCAACTCTATTCGAATTTGCAATTTTCAGTCACGACGTCGCACTTTAATCCATGCGAACACTGACCGACCTTCTACCCGCCCTGCTAGCCACGGCTTCTGCCTATCCCAATCATGTGAAGAAGTCTAACATTGTCTTCCTCATGAGCGACATCCAAGACAAGCGTCTCGGGTCTATAGACTACATGGAGACTCTTAAAGAAGATATGCTAGTAAAGGTAGCAAAGGGTGTAAACTTTCAAAATCACCACACCACATCCGCACAATGTTGTCCGAGCCGTGTCATCCTGTTGCGGGGACAAGCGGCTCATAATGCTAATATCACGAATGTGTTCGCTCCGGGGTATGTTTCGGCTACCGGCTTTGAATTACCGATTCTAAGAGAAGAAATGTGATGTGGGATTTCTGAAAAGTTTCGCCTGTCCGGGCAGGGGCATGACTACCTTCCACACTGGATGAAGCAGGCCGGATATAAAACTAAGTTTAAGTCTCCTAGCTCTTCGTGTAGCTTCTTTCGTAACTATTGAAGTACCACACTACAGACTGGGGAAAGTTTCTTAATGGCCTCAACGTACTCAATTGGGACTCGCTTCCACCAGGTTGGGATCATGTCGTTGACTGGGTTCCAGCAGTGTCGCCGTTGGGGAGTACATCCAGTCCTCACCCGCGAACACGTACGAGCCTTGAGAAGCGTGGGTGATGGAATAGGATACCTCTATTCTCATTAGTATACCATTAACAAAGGCGAGCTGTAAGGCACAGTCGTATATTTACTTCCCTTCTTCCCCCCCTTTCTTTCAACACCCCAACAAAGCATTCTACATCTATACTTAAATTATCAGCCCGGACCCTCCTCAATCACCAACCTACCATAGGTAGCTTTAAACCCCTCCCCTCCATCCGCCTCTACCCCCAACTAAAACCGTGTCTCAACGTCTTGTTGCTAGTTACAAAGTCCTGCGCTGAAGTCCTGCCGCGACCGAGAGACCCTCAGGCGTATAGCTAACCTCAACTCCTCCCCAGCGTCGTAACCACTCGCACAAGCCCAAAAGTCTAGATATAACGCCTTTTTCGCTTCCCTTCCATTGCAAAAGCAAATGTACCCGGGTACCCACGAATACAACATGCCAGTGCTCCATTTCGCACCCTTCCGCCGCCCTTCTCTAGCCTCCCACCTCCTTCCTACCATTACTATCCCTTGTCCCAGCCCACGTCTATAACCACCTTCCACCAAGTCTCGCACCCTCCTTCCTCCTATAAACCTTGGAACCCACAAATCCTTCTCCACTCCAGCCCCTCCACTCGTTCGCCCCTCCCGCTCCGAGGCACGCAACGCTACTATATACTAGTAGAACCCAGGAATCCCCCTCCCTCGAGGGGCTCAAAATCCGCAGCCAAGCCAGCCATCCCAAAGCTCAACCTTTCAAAAACCAGCATCCTACTTCGCATTTTCCCCACAGCATCCCCGAGCGCGAACGTCGTAACACAAGCACTGCCACCGGCAACGTGCCACCCATGCCGTGTCACTCGTCTGATTCCACCCGGAAAATACCATCTCACGCCTCCCGGGACGTCCCATCAGCCCTGTACAAGTCATCCCTGCAGCTAGCCTTCCAGCACGCACGCTCACCGCGTAACATTCACATACCACGCCCACCTCTCCTCTCGCCGTGCCTCTCGTATCGTCCCATCTCATCTCTCGTCCCGAGCGCACCCCGACAGGACAGGACAGGACATGACATGCCAGTTCAGCTTTCCCGGCCCCTACTCAGCCCACCGTGTAAAAGAATCGTACGAGACGGACTCCGCTGCTGCTACTGCTGTGTAACGTCGCCTAGCCTACTCGTACATCCCCCATCCATCCCCGCTTTTCTTTTCCCCTCCGATGCCGCGCCGGCCCACTGAAGACACGCCGCCAGATGCCCGTGCAGATCCCAGGTATAGGGTATGACACTTTTCGCGAAAGGTGACAGGCTGCTTTGTTTTTTTTCGGGTGCGAGAAGCGGCGCGGGGTGCGCTGTCGTGGGTTACGTTTCAATGGCGTTGGGAGGGCGCTGGATTGTGGTAGTACAGCCGGGAGGTATCGGCCGGGCGGCGTGAGATGACTGGACGTGTATGACTGGACGTGTACGGGATGGGATTTGCGTGAGTGGAAAGCTAGCTAGACAAGACGGGTTCTATGAATGTGAGGTGGTCACAGCATGGGATTGGAAAGCTAGGTAAGACGAGACGAGTTCCATAGTATACAATATGAGATGATGGGAGATGGGTCACAGCATAGTCACTCAAGAGCACAGCACATGGGAAGGATATCTGCTCCGAGGAGAAATTCTGTCCAGAGGAGGGTAATTGCATTGATATGGTTGATGTCTGATTATTGATAGGGTCATCCGATGATCGGTCAAACCCATGCGGACATCTTATTCGTAAGTGCATTGCACTGCCCAGGTCGTCCAAGCTAGCACGCTGCAGGCGGTAATAGGGGAATCGAAAAGAGGTAATGTTGAAGATAAGATTGGATCGGCTCGGCTCGCAGTCGTCATCGCGGGTGGTGCGAACTAGGTAGTCGTTCCCTCAGTGATCGGCGGACTGAGCCTTTCATCATGCATCTGCAGTCTCTGGAGTTTAGCCTCCACCGACCTGACGACTTCGGGGTCGAAGCTGCGCTGCACTTTGACGCGTTTGATGCTGCACTCTGTAAGTATAGTGATGGGAGGGAAGGGCGACACTACGTACGGTTTGCGGACGCATTTTTCGCACTTTTCGTGGCCGCAGCCGGGACACTGCGGCGAGCCGTCGAGGAAGGTGGTGGTACACTGCTCGCATTCCCAGCGCACGCGCGTTCTTGGCTTCCGCCATATGCGTCTGGAGCGCTCCAGCTCGCGCTCCAGTTCGGTGTCACTGTCGTACTCGACATCACCCGGATAGCCATTGGGCCACTTGTTGAGCTTCGCCGGCTCGCGCGGGCACTTGGTACACCTGATGTGGCGGCACGACTCGCAGATGGTAGCGGTGGGTGGGATGAACAGGGCCTGGCATTTGTGGCAGTTGCGACGCACACGCTGCTTTGCAGGCTGGTACGCCAGCTCGCCGCCGGCCCGCGCGGGGAGCGTGAGGACGCGCTTCTTCTTGGGCAGCACCTTTGCAGCTTGAGCGTCGGACTGGGCCTGGGCCTGAGCCTTTTCGAGCGGCGTCTTCTTCTTGGGGTAGCGCGGGCACTTCTTGCAGCGCTTGTGCTCGCACTTGGCACATACTTTGTCGGCGCCGTAGGTGGTACCGCAGCGGTGGCAGGTGCGGTGGACACGCATGCGAATGGGCTTCTCGATACGCTGGACGTTCACGGGCATTGCGGGTGCGGCGATCCACTCATGCGACTCCAGGGTGAGGCCGTACTTTGCGAACAGGGCGCGGGCTCGCTCTTGCTGGAGGGCGGAACGCTGGTGCGTCGTGATGACGGGGGCGTCGGCGGGCTTGGAGGCATCATGGGCGGGAGCAGCAGCGTCGTGGGGTGCGATGTGAGCGGGGTCAGCGGCGGGACTGTAAGAGATTAGTATGGGTTCGCATGATGGTCGAGACGAACGTACGCGGGTGCTGGCTCCTTCTCTTCCTCGATGGCGGCTGCGGAAGGTCCTGCGAGGGTGGGCGTAGGAGGAGCGCTCTTGCTCTTGGACGACTTCTCACGCTTGAAGACGCTACTCATGCGCTTCACATATTTGCCCAGGCTCTTGCGGTGGTCGCCCTTGTTCTCTTTGTTGGCGTCTGCGGGCGGCGCAGACGAGGCGGTGGACATGGCGATGGGTCGTGGTAAGCGTTCCGGTGCGGCGGGGCGGGATGGACAAGAGGTGAGGTTTGGGTAAGGAAATCCCCAGAGTAAGTGTTTGTGGAGGTGACTGGTCTGACATGCAGGCCCCAATTATCCCCGGGTTGGCTGAGACAGGAGCGAAACCTCGGGACGACCGACAGCGTGGTAGGAAGCGAAGGTGCAATTAGGCGCCGCGGCTTCGCAGCGGGTCGGGCGTGGGCGAGTGTGCTGGCTCTGGGCGGCGATGCGGTGGCCGGCAGAGTTGGCGAGAGAGGACCGGGGCGGGTGAGGGCGGACGGGTGGTTAGTTATGAGCAGGAGGGTCCGGATGGTGGGCTCGCGTTGCAGCAGAGCGTGGGTGGGTGCGGCGGGCCGTCGGTCGCCAGGATAGCGGATGGCCAGCGGGCGCGATGGAGGTGAATGGTGCAGCGTCGCAGAATCGGGGTATTTGGCTTTGGCCCAACGCTATTGAGGTCTTCACAAGACTTGTGCACGACTGCGCGCTCAAGTTAGGCGGCGGGAATAGGCACAAGCGCGACAGAGACTCGGCGCAGGCCCCGTTTCCACTGCGCCCTCGACGGCTGGCAGGTTGGGTTCGTACCGATGCGCTGGATGAGAGCGGAGCAGCGCCAGTTCGAGGCATGTGGCGCCCTGTTCTTACCAGGGCCTCGACAGGCCACCGACAAGGGTGGAGCGCTCCGCGGAGCTTCAGGCGACGGAGAGCACCCAGCAAATGGCACGCCGGTTGCGGCTGTCCATGCCGCCTCCCGCACCCAAATCGATTCGCATGCACAACCGCACGCGGTGCCTCCTGCGCGCCCAGTCGCCGCAGCCGCACAATGCCTTCGAGAAGGGCCGTTGATTGAACGGGGACGAGACGGGTGCGTGGGCTCGGCGTTGCGATGAATCGATGGAAGTCTGCCTTGATTCCTCGCCATGGATGCGTTGCAAAGAGCTAATGGAATACTGCCCGATACTCCTCACCGTCTAGCACACGAAATACTGCCTGATTCCTCCTCGCCACGAATGCGTGCGAAGAGCCAACAGAATACCGCCTGCTCCTCCTCACCGTCTACCACCATCTACACCATGCATGCGTCGCTCAGAACCAACAGAATACCGCACCGACCCTCACCGTCCGGCCCACAAACAACTGCGTGATACTCACCGGGCACACGACCCCCTCACCAGCCGTTGAGACCCCTGCCTGCAGCCCTCGGCCACCGTCGGTCCACCCGCGCACTCGCGCCCATCACCACCATTCCATCCCATTCCCCGCCGCCATCGCACTCACCGTCCCAGTAATGCAAACCACCCGGTGCGCCGCCATCGCACTCACCGTCTAGTAATAATCCCAGGTCGCACCTCTCTGTTAGACTCCGCTGCATGCCCTACTGCGCAGTACATTATACATGTACACAACATGTACACGCCATATGAATCCCCATCTCTCCAAGCGATAACCTAGCCCGCCCACCTGGTATACTACCACACTACTGTACTAAGTACTATCCGCAGTTACTGTACGTACATGAGCCGTTCCCTGCCCTGCCCGTGCTGTGCGTGCAAGCCTTGTGTCACCCGCTGATTCGACGCGTTGTGCTCGCTCCGAGGAGGCTCCGAGGGGCGCCGGGGAGGAGGGTGGACATCAGGCAGTGCATCGGTCGGTGCGGTAAGACTCCTGCGTTGCGTGATGGGATGGGTCCAAGCGATTGGAGAGGGGGACTGCTGATGTGCTGTGCTGTGCTGTGCTGTGCTGTGCCTCTCTCGTGCATCCTAGGTGGTCGTCTCAACGCCTGACCGGTGGAAGCGCAGCTGCGAGCGCTGCTTTGGAATTGAAATCACAGCTTAGGCTTAGGAGAGGGAGGGTATATGAGCGGAGCAGATAGGAGGTGTGTTGGCGAGGCAGCGTTCCACGGCTCTTTGCTTTGGCACGCATGCAGGAGGGGAAGCAGCTTACGAGCTCAACATGACAGGACAGGACAGGCAGATAGGAGAAATCTAGAGCATCTGGTAGGAGTAGACGGCATGGTACGTCCTACTCTGTATATCTCACGGACTTCATCATTCCTCTAGCAAAGTGGATGTGCTACTGAGTGGATCCCAAACATCGTGTCCTTCGCACACCTCTCGTTATGTAATCCAGGACCCTGGGGCTTGCCTTGCCGTCTCCCGCCCTCGGGCCCGTTACACAGTAGGTATACATACTAAAGATGAAAAAAGCCATGACGACGGAACACATAGAGTTCATGTAGTCTATGAAAACCAGGCGAAGCACGTAGGCGCTACCGGGTCCTTGCGAGCTAAGCTAAGCTGAGGCAGCTAGCGAAGTATAGGTACCCGGGTAGACTTTCGGGTCACCAGACTAGACTAGACTACATTCTCTGCCTTAGGATATCGAACGAGGCCACTGTCTTTCATTGCGCGCTCGTCTTCTGCTATCTGCCTTTTACCTCCAGAGATCCGAATAGGAAGTTCTTGAATAATAATAATCAAGAGCGTCCAAACAGCCGAGCCGGATGCCGAACCCTGCACTCCCCAACGGCTCCGCGGCTCCGCGGCCCTCAGGCACGCACGCTGAGGCAGATCAAACCAGGAACCTGTGCACAAGGAACCCAAAGCAGGACCGACACCCCACCGGGCCCGCCGCACGAGTCATTTTCACACTGTACTGTACCTTGTATCTTCCAGTGGTGCCAGTCCAGCCTAGCACTTTTCGGTATCTCATCAACCTGATTCCGCCGTGGGCACAATTCAGGCACCGCCCAGGAACGTGAGGCGCATAATATACCCTTTGCTATAGTTTCTCGCGTTTCATCTTTAGATATACGTGTACTGTGTATCCAGCACCGTTAGGAGGATACGCTCTATATGAACATGAAAAGCAACGATGGAGCGATCCCGATAAATCCCACCGACAAACCCACCTACTCGCAACCGTGCCCCCTCGCGCCCGTTCGTCCCTCCCACGTACCAAAGCAGCGCCTCTCCGCGCAGCGAAGCGTGGACCTCTCCTATCCCGCGGGCCCGCCCGCGAAACGCCGATGAGCCGCCCCGCCCGCCGCGTACCAGAGCCGATGCAATCCACCGCTCTTGACGTGCACGCTTCCTATCGCTTCTCCTTTGCTCGGGCGCGGAGCTGTTCTGGGCAAGGCAAGGGCCGTGCTGTTGAGTGTTGGAGGCGTGCGCGTGTACCCTGCGGGTCGTCCGGTCGCGATTCCACATGTAAGTAACCGTTAGATTTGTGTGGGATTCCAAGCTTGCGAGCGGGTCGGGTGCTTTTCCCGGTTGCGAGATTCGCTGGTGGGATTGTGCTTGCCTGGAGTCTGACAGGGAGCGGGACGACTTCGGCTAGTACTGTAGGAAGGGTAGGGACGCCGGACGGACGAGTCCTCGCGGGTAATTTTCATCGATTTGCGGCTCGGGCGAGATGGGTGGGTGGGAAGATCGGATTGGATTGGCTTGGGTTGGATCGGATTGGATGCGCGGGTAGGTAGGGTGGACTTCGACGTGCACCGCGAGTGAGTGAGTGTCATCCGCGCCATTCACGCCGTCATACTATCTACTGCGCGCTGCACGTGTCCACACAAACGGCGCGTCGTACGACTGCTCCCTCCCACCTGCTGTATTCCATTCCATTCCATGACCTAACCACACCCCCTATGGGGCCACTCTGTAGATCCACCGCCCACCTCCCACCAACACACTACCTCGGCACATACCCGCAGCTCAATCCCTAGCTTTTCTCCCTTCCCAACGTCCCGTAGTCGCTCGCTGCCCAAGCAACCTGCAAGCCAAGCCAAGTCCCCATCCCATCCCATCACGCCGCGCTCGTCCCACGGTCCCACAAAAGCGGAGACGGATACCGCCCTGCCCACGAACGGGCCGTTCCTGCAACGTCCGCTAGGAGACCGTGGGTGCACTTCCGCAAGCTTGCACAAGCTTGCTGCAAGGTGCAGGAGAATATCCGAGGAAGATCCAGGAAGGGCCTTCGGAGGAGGCGGCTGGGGGGCCGGATGGGTCGTTCGTATGTATTACTGTGGTAGGTAAGGTGGGACGGGACGTTGGGACGTTGGGTTCGGCGGGCTCGGCCTTGGTGTTGGGTGGGTGTGGGTAGCACCGAGGGGAGGGTGATCGTAATGTAGACTAATTGTTGAAGGAGGGGGCCGCGAGCCTAATGCGTTGGTGAGGGTAGTGGTGTGGAGGGTGGGTTTCCGACTTGTAATAGTTTGCACGCTTGGATGGGGTTGGAATTTGTGTGGGGTGACTGTGGATGAGGGGAGGTTGTTGCTCTGGGAGAGTAGCACCACTGTGGGATATAGATACACGGTTCTGAAATGATTTGTAGGTGGGAATGGGACGTCGAGCTGGGCTGCTGGGAGGCGCGATTCCTGGCTGGTATTGCGCTGAAGTAGCCCTGTCGTTATAGACATCCCCTCAAATCATACAGCTCTGCTGCTTTAGCCGCACCTGAAAGAGGAGTCTAGACATCCATGCGCCATGTGTCGCTCAACCGCCCGTAACATCCTATGCCTACAGTATGACATCTCACTTATGACTATACATCTATACTCCCAGCGTGTATTTCTACCCCTCGTGACATGAGATTCACTAACACGAATGATGGAATCTCGCAACCAGGGTAAAGATAGATGTGTTAACCTAGACTTTTAATATGCGAAGAGAGTAAGGGGAGTGAGAAGCTTGGTTGAGGGGATTATAGCGGTATGCCATCGGCGAGGGTACGGGTCGAGTCTGCATGGAAACGCAGGGGTATGGGAAGGGTAGAAATAGTGGAAGCACACGGGCAGAGCAAGAGCAGTCGACGTTGAGCATGAGAAGGGAGACCCGTGTGGAATAGTAGAGATACTGTGTCGATTGCAGGACAGGACAGAACAGACAGCGCGTGAACACGCCGGCCTCTACACATGTCCATCCCATCGCAACTACATCTGTCAGGTTACGTTTTAGATGTTAATCGAACAGTGTAGTCCATCTAGCTCCCTGTACTCCACTCAAGTCGGATTTCCGCTTGGTGAAGGTGGGATGGCGATGCTTTCCACCCCACTACACTCAGGCAAGCGCTTCATTAGCAAGTACAGCGTGCTGGGTGGGCGGCTGGGACGGCATTAGATGGGGCAGTGATACGATGTGCCATTTCGATTGATATTAGGGGAGGGGTAATGGGCTGTGTAGACTGGTGATATGTCATCTCGTGGAGGGAGTCAGGAACAGGATGGAGCGCAAGGAGAAGGGGGAGAAGGAGGGAGGAGAGGGATGACGAGCGTGCTTGCGGTTGTAAGTATCGCAGGCGCAGGCGACAAGGCGTCCGTCAGAGCCCGAGTCTGGCAATTCCACACTGGTGTTTTTTCAGCTGCGAATTAGTGTTTGTATTCAGTACTGATAGCCGTCTCCCTCGTCGTAGCCATGGCAAAAACACTCAGGATAATCTATCGGCGTTTGAGCGAGGCTTAGCCTGTCAAAGCTGCCATGTTCCAGACTACTATTGTGCCTTGTACGGCTTCGATGGACTAGACCGTCGGTACTTAGCCTCTGGACCTCGCAAACAGCCTGTTCGTTGGCTGTTCTACCGGAGGGGGTGACATCTGGGTGTGGTGAACGTTAGAGAGCACTGAGCTATCAGACCATGAGCATCAGAGTATGTAAGCCATTCGCCAACCATCTACATAGCCTGAACTGATGAAACCGGTCTTTCAAGGGTGGTGATGGTGAAGTCTATATTGCAAAGCATCTAGTCACTCACGCCTCATCTCCATCACACAGTGTACACGCTGCCCCAATGTCCAGACTCTAACGTTGCCTGACGTTCGCGCAGAATATGGCTAAACGCGCAACATGCACCCGGAACTACCTTCTACGAGGAGCTCGTTCTTAGTGATCCCTGACTTGACACTGCGACACCACAACCCTACACGTTGAAATTTAATAATTCTCCTTAGTAGGAGCTAAATTATAGCTCTAGCGCCCTCATCCCCTCTATTAAACCTCGTCACAGCAGAACGTTATTACTGCGTTACGCCAACTAAGTCGTCGGCGTGGATTCCCCATGAAGACCGAGCTCCTCGTAGAAACCGCATTAGCACAATGTGATACATTCATCACGGCAGAGACGGACCGACTCCATTCACCATCACAGGCGATCAAACATTTCCTCACGCCATTTTGCTTCACTCCGACGTTCCCATTATCAAATCCTGGATAAGGTCCCAGGTTGAACATTCGACCCCTCCTGCCGATCCTGCCGATCCTCGGCATCCGGCGTCGGATCGGCACGCCGGCGCCGCCGCCACCCGCTCGAGAGGGCGCCACCACGTGCAGTCGTATCTAGCCTTCCTGGGACACGTGGTGATTGGCTTGTGCTAAGGTTTAGTGAAGCTCGAGGCTTGGGGTGTTTGATAGACGAGGGATTGAGGAGACGGGAATAATACGCAGGACCTCGGTACTGGAGTTGAGATGGTGGGGGTAACTTTGTGCAGCATTTGAAATAAGGCGTGTATTTCCGTTGACGTTGTGAGTGGACTGTATCTAGCTTCTTTTGGTATGCTTTGCACGTGCTATAAGCAGCAACGCTCATGGGAGACGAAGTGAGTTGGCAAGAGTTGTTGAGGACGGAGGCGAGCGTACCGTGTGTTCACATGATATCCAGGCCGGAACTATTTTAGCTTGACATAGAGCAGATTGTGGCGCTTGATCGTTGTCGTGTGCTATGATAGATGGCCTTCTTGCTCAGGAATTGCTCTCTAGATACCCTATTTATCCGTTACACTTTCAGTTGTATGGCGCAGATTCGTCGTCCATTGCGAACAAGTTGTGTCGTGCGTGGGATGCCAAAGGATCCCGGAATCTCCAAGAATCGTTGAGATAAATCTCGACGATTGAGACATGGTTGGCGGCCAGTGATGAGTATTGGGCGCTGTACATCGTGCAACCACACCACTTTTCAGACAGTGTCCGCACAGCCTGTGGGGCGATGCAGCGTGTGCCAGAGACTCCGGTGGTCCTAATGGTTCGCTTCTTGCAACGAAAGTGTCGAAGATCGGATGTCGTGTTTGCTCCGCTGTCCACGCTTTTCAAATCACTTCTTTCCGTCTTTCTTCTGCTGCTTATCCCATTCTTTCTGTTCTTTGAGAAACATCTCCTTCTTGTCCAGATACCCTTCGTGCTTTTTCGCCTTCTCCCACACCTCTTTGAAAATCACCGAAGCTTCCAATTTCTCCTTTGCACCCTCATGCTTACTGCTTCTTTCCAGCTCTTCGCCCGTTTCTTTGTCGTACTTTCTCCCACCAGCATGGTTCGCATACCTCTTCGCTCTAGTCATACCCTAGTCATGCATGAACACACTACAATTAGAAACCTTTGGCCACGCGACTCACCATCTGCAAGAATTTCCGGCACATGTCCATGCCGACAAAGTCTTCTCGTTCGTTATATTCGAGAAACTTGTCGTATATCTGCTTTGAACTTTGCCTTGCTATGGCAGGCGTTTTGAAGCGCCATAGCGGCAGGATTTCGGATTTGTATGGCTCGAAGGTGAGGACGCCTTGTTCGCCGCGGCCGATGCGGTAGCTCATGCGGTGCGCTTTTGAGAGGGTTTGTGAAGACATTAAAGTTGACTCCGAGGATGGAAGTCGCTCCTACATAGGTAGTTCTAAGATAATCGTTTGCGTGGTAGATAGATGGAGTTCTAGAAGCATTGTGGTACTTGGTTGTACTCGTAACATCTATGACGTAGTTTGCGCTTTGACATGTACGCGCTTTCACAACTAGCGTTCTCGGGTCTCATTTAGTTCAACTGGTTCAACCACATGTGGGTCACTTAAACTACATTGCTGATGAAATACGTTCAAAAGATATCTAGAAAAGGGAATAACTACTCACATCTTGCGCGGACAATTCCAAAAAGTGGCCCGCTTTCGCATAGCGGCCTTCCGCTTCCTGAAACATCTCCTTCTTGTACCCAATTGCCATTGCCAGCTTCATGTCCTGCTTTCGGACTTTAGCGAACCACTCTTCTGGCGACATGCCCTCTGGCGGGGCATTCACCTTGCCCACCGCAAATCCTGGCCATACGATCTCCCTGTCCTTGTACACCACGGGTCGGATCAAGCCCCCTACGAAGAGATGTGCAATCCAGAAAGTAGGACCAGAGAAACCAGCGGCGGCAGGTAGCCTTAACAGATTGCGGTGTACCACTTCGTCTATTCGCGCCCAAGTGTCCTTGCGAAACCACGCGTCTACCCATCGGTCGTGAACGACGTAAAATAGGCCAGGGTAGCTGTATAAGTACTTGTATGTTCTACCGGTCATGTAATCCAATGCGTGTGTCTCAATGCATACTTCAGCACCGAGTACATTTTGACCCCAACTCAGACCAGTCTCTGCCATTGCATCAGAAGGAAACACGTAAATTTCCGGGTTCGGTAAACGACGCCACGCATAAACCGCATGGCACAACTCGTGGCACAGTGTAAATGCAATCTGGAATTGCAGCCTCATCATGGCGCAGTCATCCAAACGTGTGCTGGACTCGGGGCTTAGAAGGTGATAGAGGAATTCGCAGCTGATTCCTATATAGCCACCGTAATCATAAGAGTCGCGAGAGGAGTACCAGCTACGGCTCTTGATTTGTGCGGCTAAATATTTATTAAGGATGTGGATGGAGTCAAAGATATTATTCGTATGGCACCCATTCACCTTTCCTCCATCCAGTACCTGTGGCACCCACCAGAATGTAATCTTGTCCGCCAACACCATCAGAATCTCCCCGAAGCGCGAACAAGCCAGCGGGAGATTATCTTCGATGGGTGAGCGGGCCAAGTATGTCTTGCCATTTGCAGTGGTCAGCTCTCCGAAAGCCAGGCGATGCCAGAATCCCTGGAGCTCAGGGGTGGTCAACCACTTGGTGCTGAGAGCCAATGCTGGTGCCATGGCAGCCCATGCCTTCCTCGTTATATCTTCGGACAGCGCTATTGCGCAATTTTCGAATCGAAAGAGAGGATGTATATCCGTAAAGTCGATATAATCTTGCGAGGGTCCCAGCTTTATATCGATTATGCCGTTGGCTCGAAGAAATTCAGGGATGTTTTTTGCTTGCGAAGCTCGCGGGTACCAGGCACAGGGCAGGTCTAACCAAGATGTTGAGCCTTCTGAACCGGCTGGATTTACCTTTAGATGCGTCGCTGTTGGAATCTCTCCTGGGGAACTCAACTGTTTTTCCAGTTTCCTCATTAGCTCATCTTGGCCGAGAACTCGAATATAGGTCTGCCGGACGATTTCCTTATCAGCAGCACTCATGGTTGGTAAAGCCATGATGGGACGAGACATGTTGGTGTTCAGCGTGTGCCTGTGTGTGTACACTGGGTTGAGGCACTGGCTTGGTGGTTGAGTATGTTTTTCTACCGGGTGGGGAGCTTCAGGGAGTTTATATGACCGACGTTGAGTGTGGCCATCCCGGTGAATCTAAGGTGCTCGAACATTGATGGGACTTCAGATGCACAATGTGATCCCATGTTAGTGAAAGATAGTTATTGACTGCAATGCACAATGTGGCTTTTCGACCTCGAGTATGGACCTGCTAAATGATCACCATTGCGAAGACAAGTTATTGTAAAATGATTCATGTAGTTGAGCCTTTGCTGGGAGTAGGTGAAACCAAACCCTAGATAGAGTTCACGTTTATCGCTAAGGCGGGAGGCAGTGTGTGACCTATGTAGTTCTCTCAAGAGCCCAGAGCAAATATCGAGAGATTCACAGCGAGTAATCCTTCTCAATAGCAGCTGGCGACCACAAGAGCGGAAGGTCTGGCCGTCTAGTAAGTCACGTGATCAAAGGACATGGACCACAGTTTTGTCAAGAGAAATCTAGCTGAACAACAAAGACAGCACATATTTCATGATTACAGCAACACTCCAGCAAGTGGAATTGATTCTAAGCGTTCCTCTGTCACTCTCAGTCGCTGTGCCTAAAACATACAGAGCGTCGCAGAGATTTACAGGGCTCAACTAGCAGATGATACGGTTATTCGAAATTGATGAGTGAAATTAACAAGAATCTTGTATTGTGCTATCACATGCTCACAAGAAATAGAGGTTGAGCAAGACGTAACCTCCCATAATCATCCTTGATGTTCTGGAGCCTGACTCCAACTTCTGCATATTGATTGCCCAGCTAACGGGGTTCACTCATGTCAGCTTCTGGGGAGACAGGATCGGCATCAGGGTAGTCGAGCCACGGAGCCTCGCCAGCAGGTGGGCCGGAATCCTTCGTTTCTCCTGCCTTGACGAAGCGCATTATCGATCCAATGCCCCATGCACGATAACCCATCCGAATTTTCGTCTGCTCGTAAAATTTGCCCGACTTGATTGCCTCGGCAATGTCCATCTTCCGCACCTGACGACACCACTCCCTGATGTCGGTGATCTGATCTTCAGCGAGGCTAGTGTCGTACAAAACAATGTCGAACGTTTGGGATTCCATGCAATATCGCCCCATGTAAAACGTCGTAGGCTGTTTAACCACGTTCAAGAGTTGACCAATATGAGTTGCGAAGTGGGCCCAGGTCTTCTTGTGAAACAGAGCTTGAACCCACTTGTCGTTGACAGGTACACGTATGTCGGGGACGCTGAGATGGTCCTCCCACAACACGGCCTGCATTTCTCCGACTTTGAGGCCAATCAAGTCGCACATAAGACAAACGCCTCCCCATAGTGAGTACTCGAACGACCAGCCAGCTTCGTTGACCAAGTCAGAGGGAAAGACAAACATTTCTTGCCCCGCCATAACATTGGAAGGGTCATGTGTTTTCTTGACCTGGGCGTCAGGGTTAATGCAACCAGGAGTCTCGCCTCGGGAGAGATCTTCTGGGCGGATAAACATCTCTGGTGATGACAAGTATCGGAACCTGTATATGGCATGGGCAAGTTCGTGCACAATAGTGGTCGCAAGGGAAACCTGGAGTCGTGCATACTTTGCCTCGGAAACCCGTGTCGGAGAAGCCGGGCTGAGTAAGTGGAATAAGAAATTCGAGCTCAGAGCGATGTGGCCTGAATACTGGTAGGATGCCACTTTAAACCAACCACCCTTATATCGGTCGTACAAATCCCATCCGCGATTCCGAGGATCAAGATGGCATAAGGCATCCCAGAACGACGGATAGTAACACCCGTGTAGAGGATTTCCAGTAGGTCCGTCGCTCGGATGCCAAAAGAAAGTCATTCGATCTCGCAAGGTCCGGAGAAGATCACGGAAATCTTTGCGTGCTGTGATCAAATCATCTTCTTGAGGGGATCGCTCAAGATAAGGCTTCCTGTTGTAGCCGGTCATCGGCGCGCCGTACATAAGATGGAACCAGAATGGCTCCATGTGAGGATCCACTAGGATCTTGGTGGCAAGAACCAATGCCGGGCACATCGCGTGCCATGCCTCTAGAGCTCTAGCATCACCAATTAAGGGCCCAATGCTGAGAAGATTAGCGGGAAACTCGGAAGAGTCATGGGCGAAGTTTTGGATCCGAAAGATACTATGGATCTCAGTGTGTAAAGAGCCAGGCGATGATAGCAATCGACCAGGCATGGCCAAGTAGCGCTCATCTTGCTGTGCGTTCTCCGTAAGTAGGACCTTCATTGAAGGGTCGTTTTGGAACGAGTCGCGATAGAGATCCTTGATCGTCTCCTTGTCGGCATCACTGATGACAATTTCAGGGGCCGCGTAAGTCTGCATCAGACTGATGAACCTACTCATGCCTGTGGTCCTTGGCTGTGGAAGACCTTCGCGTTGGCGACGCTCATAATCTCGACGCTGACGCTGTTTCCAATGACTCTCCCGTTGCTTCTGGTCGCGATATCGGCCCAATACCCGCTTACGCTCATGACGCTTACTGTGCTGTGCTCGACGCTGTTCAGGAGTGCCACGGATCAAAGGGAAGCCCTGAAAAAAATGAGCCACATCCTGAGCAAGGTCGTAGAGCCCAGGGAGGTCGAATTTCAGTGGATTCATGAAGGTTTGACGTCAGACACCAAATCCGTTGGAATGAGTGGAGCTAAGACAGGTCGTAAACTCTGTCCCCAAGGTTGGTGGTGCTACTTACGGTGAGGGAACCTTTTAACACACTGTGCATCCCCCTATATAACAGAGAGGTCGCTCCCATTGGCGGCACATGACGAGAAACCATGACAACATGAAAAGAAAACGGTAAAATTTCACGCACGTTAAATGTACAGTGTGTTTCATCTGCCACTAGAACGGATTGAAAATTTCATCGAGGCCTTGTTTGTTCACAATTTCCCTGATGTGACTTTCTAAACCAGAAACTGAACTTTGCGTTAGACGGCAAATCTCCAAATTGTCTTCAATATGCTCTGGCGCCATTCCTCAATGCGATCACTTATAATACATAAGATAAGAAGTAGGTACAGATCCAATGCCGCATCTCCCTTGTGATCCATCCAGTTTAGCCAAAATCAGACAATTCAGCATTTGCTGGTGATTATCTAAAAATCTTGTATCACTTCAGTATCGGCCCACGTATTTGCATGGGCAGGGAAATGGCGTGGATGCAGGCGAAGTTGTTCTTGGCCAAGGTTCTTTGGGCGTTTGATGTGTTAAAGGTTCGAGGGGAAGGATTTCACCTTGAGAAAGACTTGCTGCACTACGGCTTCTTTGGGAAACCGGAGATGTATGTCCGATTCGTGGTTGTGGAGTGATGATGGAGAAGTAATGTGGGCATAGTCCGTTGATCATACTGGTAAGACGAACGCCGTCGATGGTAACTGTGCCTAGGTATGCGCCGTCGCTCCTCAGTAATTCCGTGGCGACAGTGTCGCCCTCACCGATGATACTATCGACATAGCTTTTAAGATGGCCGCCTGTTCCGTTCAAGGCGGATGTTAAAGGAAGATGAGATTAGTCTTAAAGGCGCCAATTGCCACTACATATATACAAAGTTAATGGGTCACCACGAACCTGGTCCACTACTTGATGCATATCAGATACTTTCCTGTTCCCTCACGCGTCCCGAGCGGGATAAATGTGGGCTCATCTTCGAGAATTTTCCAGGTTCCTTCCAAGCTTCTCCGATCCATGCTAGCCAACCGACACGGAGGATCCACTTTGCCCTCGTATTCCAGCCGCATCCGGTGTCGAAACCATCGAAATCCCGCAGGAGGCTGAACGCCAGGAGCAACGTCCTCGCCATGACATCGAATCAGGTTGGGAAGGCTAAACACATTAGAATTTCGGGTACCCCGGCGCCAAATCCGACCTTGCACCCGTAGTGGAGGGAAGAATAGATTGACACATCAATATGCACGCCTTACACTGGGCTCTGGGCTATTGACCCTATGCTCGTTATGATTTGGTATCGCCTATAGCATAGAGCAAATCAAGAACTATATTGGTACAAATTTACTTAAGGGCTGTGTTCTTTGCATTTCCGAGAGGAGGAAACATAAAGTCAAAAGAAGTATTAGTGTTTGCTTACGCAATTTAAGCTTCCGACGCAGGCCGGCCTGCATGTCAATGATCCCCAAGAACACGCGAGTGCTCATATACCTTGTGGCGCATGTGCATCTGATGAACATGCTTGAATCTAAAAATAGACAGCAGGTATGCCGTGGCTTGCGCCGTTCTGTGCATTTAAAGGTACGGTGGTGAACCGACAATTATTCCCATCAGCTTCAGGATAATTCAGTCTCGTCATTCACTCGCGATATCTTTTCCCTCAATATGCATGTTCCCTTGGTGCTCGGTATCTACCTGCTTGTTGCAGGATCCATTGCTGCTTCTGGTCAACGTATACCTCGACAAGGCAACAAGGCATGCTCCAACAAGAAGGCACTGTCCATTCTCGATCAGCTGGGGGCTTCTTCGTTCTGCTCTTCATACAATCATGTGTCTACCAAGACTGTTATCACTACGAAAACCGAAACTTACACTCTCTCTACGACTATAACCTTAAGTCTTGTGACCTCGACTTCGACTGCGACAGCAGCTTTGACGACTTATACAGAAACCACAACCTCGTATGAATCTTCGTACTATACATGTGAGTGCTTCGCTAAAGTAGTCTGCAGGACAGCGTGGACGGCCATCAGAACAGGTGCCCTCGGAGTGATTACAGATATCGTAGTGAACAAGCGATCGGAGGCTCCAAACGCGAGCGTTGATTTACCTAAACGTAAGGCATTACATCCAACCCAATTATTCTTCTACACTGACGACCATAGCACTGCGTGAATTCCGTCCAGCCGTTATCTCCACCGCCTGCAGCTGTTTCGTGACGACTCCTACAGTCACAGCTACCCAATTCCCGTTTTCATTTGTCTACTCAACATACACCGACACAGCCACAGCCGTCATAACAGCTACCACCACCATCTCCACTACTACTACGACGACAACCAGCGTTGTTGCTACCACCACCGCAATCTATAGGTACACCGGCCAGCTGGAACACTTCTGCTACCCGTTGGGCTCTGAGAACAACCTTCAAGGCACCGAGCAAGACGGCCTCTTTGCGCAGAACTATACACAGGCCTTCGATCATTGTGCTCGGGTGTGCTACGACGATTCTAGATGCCATCAGTTCTCCACTCACACTGGTTACACGTCGATCCCCTTCACGTATGATTGCTTCTTCGGGAGTGGAACTCCGCACCAACAGGGTTGGGATTCCGGACTGTCTAACCTTACGTGCCAGCTTTTTGATGCGCCGCCCGATAGACCGGACCCGTATCAGAGGTATATGGTTAGTTACGATAGGGTGGAGTAGGAAGTAAATGGAAGGTGGTGCAGAAATCGGCATACGTTAGGAAGCATATAAACTGATGTGAATGATATCAAGCTTTTCCGATTCACCATTCCTATTCATTCATTGTTACCCCACTATTCTTTCCGACTGGGAGAAAATCTGTCCCATCTGGCTGAGCTATCTTCAAGCTTCTAACGCTTCCGGGCGGCTTCGCATTACTTGCACATAAAAGACAGCGAAATAAGTTCCCCGCTTGAGTCCAGGTAGAGATGTCGCCAGCTTGCTCTGCTATAATAATTGAAGAGAAGATGCCCGTTAGATGCATGCGGGACTATTTGTCCGTGTGGTTGATGACATTGTATGTCGCATTGTGTGTCGCATTGTCGCCTTCCGGATAGATCAACGTTAGAACTCCATGATTCCATTCACCGGGAAAGCCCGCTAGGATGGTCGCTGGTGACCAAACTCATCGATAATATAGCAGCCGAGCATTCGGACCAATAGTGCTTCAGACATTTCTTTGAATTCGGGATTTAAGAATCCGGCAGAAGTCACTCTATGGGCAGGACTCGACCAGACATCATTAAATATAGACACAGACAAAACACTTGCTAAGGGCTGCCTGTTGATCGATGATCTTCTCGGGTCGTGATACCACGTTTTCTTGGGTTGATTAATGCCGATAGAGGTAGTGGAATCTACTAAGAATGCGACGAGAAGCTCTTCCGCTTTTGGGAACAAAGTTGACGCCATAATGTAGGGAGCACTCGAGGAGTAAATTTGAGGTGGCCGAGATTGGCAATTGTCGAGGTGGCGCTTAAATCCAGTTTGAGTAGATGTTGATGGCGCGAACGAAAGATTTCAACGTCGCCAGGTTGTATGATCAATTTGGCGGAGTCGCCTTTTTGTAGACGTGGTCTTCTAGCCACCGTACTTTTGTTGTGCGACCTGCAAGTGAAGTGAACGATAAACAGTAGCCACAATAGCAAACATTTGCAAAGAACCCAAAATTATAGTAACCTATGTAACAGGGTGCAATGGGATGCCAGTAAGAGATCAGTCCCTCAGATTCAAATAAAACGTTTTGCACGGTCGCATGCTTCGGCTGTCAAGCATACCTTCGGTGGGACTAGTTGAAAGATCAGGGTTACACTCTAGACGCAGGCTTCCGCTGCGCATTTCGTGAGGCTCAATGTATCCTGGCATACCTCAAGCGGTATTACAATTCTCGTTCTGGTGGTAGGACACGTCGCTAGGCTGAAGACAACTTGATTAGCAGAGGTTCGGCCTGATCGCGTGGACGTAACTTGTGCGGCTCGTAGTGCACTACTTGTTCGAATGCAAGAACGAAAGGCAATGAGCGATCACATTGCGCTACATCGTCATGATCCTCTTGTGAGTGCTCGCACTGCCTTTGGTACATTACCAGCTGGATTGAATAGATGGGGAGACGTCAAAGGCGTCGAGATTCATATCTCCTTACCATGTTCTCAAGCGACGGGCTAATCCTACGACTGGGGATATAGTAAGACCATCTGTCTCTGGTCTATACAGGGCTTCGGCACTTGCGACGCATCGTGTTCGGACTGGACAACACCTTTCAATGCGGGTACATACGTACCGGTATAAGATGGAACATTGATCGTCATTGCGTAAAAGTCGATGACTGGGAATAGATCCGTCAAATATCGGATAAGAGTCCCAGGATTGTGGTGATGCACTCCAGCACATACGACGCTAAGACAGGAAGGGAAAGTGAACGGGATTCGGGGTTCCGGTCCCCGATTTCCGCGTTTGTTATCCACGCACCCCAGGTCGCGCTCCCGATACCACCCACAACTGCATTTCGAACTACTGCCAGTGTCCGAATCGGCGGGATTGGGACTCTTGTAACATGAACCGCCCGATCACCAGAACGTCCACCGCTTACGGCCATGCGTGCTCAAATTGCGTCAAGGCTAAGTGCAAATGCATGCCTAGGGAAGGTGAAGGCTGCGAAAGGTGAGATTAGTCTGTTTCGCTAGATTGAGGATTGCATAGGTCTAAATCTGAGCAGGTGCTACCGATTGAGCAAAGAATGTCAGCCGGCATCTTTTGTTCGAAAAACTGGGTCACAGAAGACTGCTCGCAAGTCACAACTTGAAGATAAGCTGGACAGCCTCGTCACCTTACTGCAAGTACGTTGAACTGACTAATCCCGTTGTTCCTGCCGCTATTTGCGGGAGCTAATGTTATCTTAGGCACAACAAGCGTCTACACCATCTGTAACGCCATCGCCGTCCGTGCCAATATCGATAACGCAGGCCAAGGTGAACCCAATATGTTCACATGATCCACTCGTCCTACCTACCAGTCCGGACCCCGAGCCCTTCCCGTCTGAGCAAACACCCCAACAGGTTTTTTCAAGGTTCCGTTCACGATATCTTGGGCACTTCCCATTTATTCATGTTCCCGACAGTGTGAGTACTTTAGGTTACTCTGTCCTAGTGTACACCCGCCCGCAATATTCTCCATACTCATAATACGCAGGCCGTCGAAGATTTTGTACGAGAGCGTCCCAACACATATCGAGCTATCCAAGTGATTTGCGAAAAGTCGCGTGCACGACAGGGCGAATTTGGACGTCGTTTGCGTGAAGAGATAGTGCTGCGCGTCGCACCCGGTCAGTCTCCCTTACAGAACAACGCATTCATGCATGACTCATCGGTTGTTTAGGTGGTGAGCGAAGCATCGATCTGTTACTATGCTTGCTCGTTTGCTTGGCCTGGCAAGTATACTTTACACCTTCGAGAAGAGGTGGTATGGGTATGTTTCTCAACATTGCCAAGTAAGTGACTTGACCATATGCGAGGAACCCATACTGACTAATGTTTGCAAGACATGTAATTTCGGATCTAGGCTACAACCGTCCAACTGACATAGTCATGGCCTGCCCGAAGCCCCCTGTGCTAGTAGGTCAGCTTCCAGATCAACATGAAACGCACAATGACGAGGAACGCCGTGCTCTCGTTGCATGCTTTGCGATCTCTGCCATGGCCGGACTTGCAATCAAAGCCGAACCTATGCGATGGTCTTCGCGCATCGCAAGGGCTTGCGACAAACTCTCCCAGAACCTTGACAACGCAGGCGACCTTGCTCTTGTGGGAATGGCTCGTATTTCGCGGGTCTCGGTCGATGCGTACAACACTTTGCAGCAAATTCAAGATGACCCACCAAGTGCGACTTATGCGTTGCATCAGATCAAAGCTTTGCGAACTATGCTCGATGTCGTCAAGGGGGGCCTTTCGCAAACACAGCTGCAGCACGACATGGTTATGTTATACCTTTACGCTACCGAAGTGCAAATATATGAGCCCGCCTTGCTCGGTCTTACACCTTCGATATCAAACACTGCACTGGACTATCAACGCATCGAGTACCTCACCGCCTGCCTCTACGCTTGTAAGGCCTCACTCGACAACTATATGAACATTCCATCCGTCACCATGAATATGGTCCAAGTACTCGCTTTTTCCAACACATGCCAGGTTCTCTACTCGCTCTCTGTGATAGATTACCCAGGCTGGGACCGTTATGCTGCACGCGCAACTGCGGACGTGCTATGGTACTTTGACCAAGTATGCACGAAGTTCGAGGAGGCTTGCCACCAGCTGGAGGAAGAGAACGGTAGCAAAGACAATGTCTTTTCACTTGCTGGTGGGCATGAAGGGCTGAAGTCGCTCAGTGCAAAGTGGAGAGAGAATCTAGAAACTGCAACAGGCATTGGTATGGACTTCACAGCGGGAGAGCTCGGTGGTGCTGGGGATGCGTGGTTGACGAATGCGGATATGTGGTTTACGAATGTTTGGGGGGAGGCGCAGTTTTAGTTGACACTTCCTGATACCCTTCTTTGTGGTGAAAGGAGTCAGTGGCACTTGTAGCATGGCTTTCGTCGTGGGTGGGCCACTTGCTCGACCGAGGGTTAAGGTTGAGCAGTAAACGTGCTAAAAGGTTTCGGCCTATAGACGTTACGGCAAAATAGAAAGATACCTATGGTATCGAAGACCACGTCATGGCGGCGTGTCTGCCTATCTTTGAACCCATCAGACATCATGAACCAGGTGCCAATTGATCCCTTTGTTCGTGCAGTACACCAGCAGTTATAGCCCCCACATAATACCATCACTGCAGCGACAGAATGTCCAAAACATTACGGACCATCCCGCACTGACTCACCATGATTGCACATCCTCAAGCCCAGTAGATAGAGCGAAAATCGTCCGGTGTGGTATCTGCTCCGTAATCAGAGTATGGCTTAGGGCATCACTATGCGCAGATGAGAGTGATTTCGCATCACTCGCGTATGTCCTGCGCAAGTCGGAGGCCAATGATGCGCAAGAGCGCAGTGGATGCGTCGCGCTGATTCGTCGAACGAAATCCGCCTGGAGCGGAATTCATACTCGCGCCCCCAAATCCGGTCGTCCACCAAACCCGTAACCGGGTTTCCAGCCCTAGGCTGCAGTGCTTCTTTATTTAACTACACTTCACAATCTTTATAGTCCTTCAGCATTCGTGTCGCTCCTTCATTAATTGTTTATACTTCGTTTGCCTTGAGTTTGCGGCTTCGTGATTGAACCGCGCCTTTCTTCCTATCATGTCGACCTCCGTTGAAACCACCGCGACGACCGCCAAGCCTGCACCGCTACCAGTCGAAGGTGCGCTCGTGCAGATGAAATCGAAGACGGAATCAGCAAAAGCGGAAATGCATCATGTCACTGGTCTCAAACTCTTCCTGCTTGTCGCTAGTACCTCTCTTATTACCTTCCTGCTGCTGCTCGACCAGAGCATACTCAGTACCGCGATACCGCACATTACGAGCCAGTTTCATTCCCTGCCAGATGTAGGATGGTATAGTGGAGCATATCAGTTGGCTGCGTAAGTAAGCCTCGAACCCCAATGCGACCCTCACTGACAGAATCCCTAGTGCGGCCCTACAGCCTCTCAGCGGCAAGATCTACACTCATGTGAGGATCAAACATGTCTTCATGGTACATCTCTTCGTCTTTGAGCTTGGATCTCTTGTCTGCGCTGTAGCGACGAGCTCCTCGATGCTCATCGGCGGACGTGCACTAGCTGGACTGGGCGCATCCGGACTGATGAACGGCGGGTTGAACATCATCACTAATTCTACGCCGCTGGAAAAACGCCCATTGTATACCGGAATCATGATTGGGATTGGGCAGATGGGTTTGGTGTCTGGTCCGCTCATTGGGGGCGCGTTGACAGAACACGCAACCTGGAGATGGTGTAAGTCTGGACCCTTTGCTTACCGTGTGCATCTGCTTATGGAGTGTCGTTGTAGGCTTCTACATGAATCTTCCCATAGGAGCCGTCACCGCCGCCATGCTCGCTATCATCCACATCCCGGAGCCAAATCCAAAAGCGCCCTACTCTTTCGCTCTCTTCAAAGACCTCGTTCTCCACAAGCTGGATCTCCCCGGTTTCGCCTTATTCGCGCCAGCTTGCATAATGCTGCTACTCGCTCTGCAGTTCGGCGGTGAAGGGTCACATGCTTGGAGCAGCGCGACCGTGATAGGTCTCTTCGTCGGCGCAGGGGTTGTGGCCATTATCTTCATCGCATGGGAAGCTAGAGTTGGGGATCAAGCCATGATACCAGGATCGCTGTTCAAAAGCCGCATATTATTGGCATGCATCGGGCAGACCATCGGCCTAGGTGTCTGCGTATTTGTAGGAAGCCTCTGGGTGCCGACGTACTTCCAGAGCGTGAAAGGAGCGGGGCCGACGGAAAGCGGCATCAACGTGCTGCCACAGATCCTGAGCCAGCTGCTCTTCGCAATCATGTCAGGCGCCGCAGTGTCGAAGCTAGGCTTCTACATGCCATGGGCGGTCTTCAGCGGCGCAGTGGTAGCTATCGGCAACGGCCTACTGTCGACGCTGACCCAGCATACGAGCACCGCGAGATGGATTGGATACTTGATACTTGTCGGTGCTGGGCGCGGCGCAGGCATGCAGATGGTAAGTGCCTCTCCGTCCCCTTCTGCGCAACCTCCTAATGAACGTTTAGTCTCTTGTAGCGACCCAATCCGCCCTTCCCATGCGCCTCATCCCCGTCTCTCTCGCCTTCCTCATCTTCATCCAGAACCTCGCCGCAGCCATCTTCCTCGTTGTCGCAAACACCATCTTCACACAATCCCTTATTAAGAAGCTCGCTCAATACGCGCCGTCCGTCTCTCCACAAAAGGCGCTGGAAGCCGGATCTAGCGCCGATGCAGTGAGGAAGCTTGTCGCACCCGACAGACCTTGGGAAGTGGATGGTGTGTTGAACGCGTATAGTGAGAGCTTAAAGAATATTTGGTTGATGTTGGTTGCGTTTGCCAGTATAGCCTTTTTGTGCTCGTTTGGAATGGGCTGGGTGGATGTGCGGAAGAAGAAAGGAGGGAAGGACGAAAAGAAGGAGAGCGAGGTCGAGGAAGAGCACACAGTGAGCGAGAAGGAAAGTGTGTGATGGTCGCTTTTCTCGTGCGGAGACTAGCAGTCATTTGGATTCCAAGATCTCCGCTTGTCGCATACCTTATATGACAGTACCTGTCCTTATAGACTACGCATTTCTAATAGTTGAGAAATGGTGTTATTACCTTTCGTGATATTTCTTCAGCCTTCGTTACTCATCTGTCGAGCATGACCACTGAGCTGAGGATCACAGTGCTCCGACAATAATGTGAGCCCGCATAATGAGAGCATGCTATGGCGCGATAGAATGTAATGTTCATCGCGGCGCAGGCTAAGATGTGCTGGATTGTGACGGATGTCCCCGAGACCACGGCGACGGAAAGGCGAGGACGACGGTCCGTGCGTTCAGCGCTTGCAGGGATACCCCAGGAAACAGAAAATCGTTGGACGAACTTTTTGGCTTCCCGCCATCGACCAGCAGCTTCACAGCTTGCGCCCGCCAACAACGAAAATATGGGCAAAAGATCGGTATTCGAGGCCAATCCGAAGGCTGCCCATACGGGACACCATGCGAAGCGACAGCGCGTCGATGGCAGTCACGACCGAGAATTACCGGCGGAAGGAACGATTGCGGAAGTGACTTCGGCGCAACAGCTACAGAGAGCCCTCATTTTCGACCAAGGCAATGTCGCGTCGCTGCGACAAGGTATGCGTCGAAAAGAAGCTGATGTTCGCTTATAGCTAACTCTTCAAGGCCTACAATCGTTCAAGAAGTTCCTCGATTCGATCCTATACTCGACCGAACAACACGATCTGCCCCGCAAGCGCGCCATACTACGAGAATTCCTTGATACGCAAAAGGCAACTGGCAAGGATGCAAAAGATACTGTGTTGCTTCCACAGTTTATGCAGGCATGGGACTATGCCGCGGAAACCAATTTTGATATGTTGCTGGCGGAGGTCACGGCACAACTGGCGCTGCTCTTCAAGGTCTTCTCCACGCAATCCGACTTCGAACAATATGGCTCGCTCCTCTGCAGGACCTTACTACAGCCCTCGGTTGCCAGACGATTTGTTCGGAACGTGTCGGCACCCACGAGCAAAGAGATTGTCATCCTTCCAGCAGTGCGCCTGCTCATTGAGATGACGAAGTATAACGAGGGTGCCTTCGCCAGGACTGTGTATGCGCGTAAAGACTTCACCTTCGACCCCAAAATCTTGACGCGCAACATTGGGGCATGGAAGAGCGTAGAGGGAAAGACAGCAGAAGAGATCCAGCGGAAACCCAGCGTAAGGACGGTATCGGTCCGTTACTTGCTTGCGCACCTAAGATATCAGGACGAGCGCACAAAGGCCGAGATCTTGGGAAACAAGGATGTTATCCGGGCTGTGTTCGACCATGTAACGGTCGATCCACCGCACCTCATATCCGAGATTTTCGACGCCTTCCGAAACCACGTGTTCTTGGACAAGGCCATACCCCGCGCAGTCAAGAGCCGCATCCTGAATGGAAGGGTACTCACTCATATCTCTGGCTTATACAGATATGAAGCACCTGAAGGCTCGATTGAGGAAGGTCAAAAGGCTCCGGATGCTTTGGCGCACGACTTCTTGCGCTTGGTCTGCACCTCACCCGCCTATGGTGTGATGCTTCCCACCCAAGGCTTCTACCCGCAAGCCAGCGATGATGATGATGGGGACGTACAGATGGATGATTTGCTCGATCCTGATGGCGACTTTGGTCTTGACCTTTCCTCTGGTTCCAATACTCCTGTTCGCAACATTATACTCTCCGAATTTCTGCAGTCGCTACGTCCTTATGCACATACTTTGCACCAGGAGCTTGTCATTGACATCTTTCAGGCCTGTCCTGAACTCATCGGCGATTACTTTCACAAGAAAAAGGACTTCAACTACGAACCTAAACTGACAGCTACCTGGATCGGGTTTTCCGCTTTTCTCTACCAGACGATCGAGATGCCCGTTCCTCAATATTTTGGCGCATTGCAAGGCTATCGCGGATCACCACCGCCAATATACGCCTTGTTGCAAAGTGTGCTACCTCAACCCGTTACGCAACAAGTACTTGTCAAGTGCTTGAACAGCAGTTCGGATCTCATACAGCTCTTCGCCGTACGTGTTCTCATAGTTGCGTTCCACAAACTGCGCAAGGTGCTCAACGAGCTTGACAATGCTCGCATCACCAGACCAAGTAAGTCGTGGTCAAGCACAGCAGCAAATATCGTGAGCGAGTTCGGGCAACGATGCCCTCCAATGAAGACCATCATTACAGCTTTCCGACAGCCAGCCTTTCAGAAAGGGTTGAAGCGCGAAGCAATCACAAGACTTTTGAGGCTCTACTACGAGGTCATGCCCCAGATAGCGCTCGAGGAAAAGTTCGACGTCTCCGTACCACTTTGCAATGCCTTGATTCAGGCGGGAAAGCAACAAGAGTCGGCGGAAGAGAAGGCATTTTGTGTTATGGAGCTAGAGCACTGGATACAAATGGCGAGGCATTCGCCAGCAATGCGCTGGTGGCAAAGTAACAGTATGACCCCTCTCCGTCATTATTAAATACCTGCTAACTGATGTAGAAACCCTGTCGCAATCGCCGTTTGTAACGCTCATCAAGCTCATCGCTTCTTCGCCAGAAAGCGAGCTCTACGCCGGAACCAAAGGCCTCCTCGTCGACATCGTCCGCGACCAGGAAATGTTTCAGACCCAGACTGCTCCGGACGCGCTCGATGCACTCATTGCCAGCCTGAGCGCATCGTGCGGTCAATCGTCTCTAGTGTTGGAATTTTTGGGCGATTGCTGCGCACGGTTCAGTAAAGGTCCGATCAAGTATTTTGATGAATTGGATGCTCTGCGCGCAAAGCTTCCGGAAGCAGACTCGGACTTCGGACCATTCAGTCCCCTACTGATGACACTGGTCGAGCAATGGCCTTTCAAAGGAGGCAAGACCGAGAAGGGCAACCCAGCAGAGCCCCTAGCACAATGGCTTTCGAAGATCATGTATCTTTTGAAGTTGATTGGAGAGGACGAGCACACTCTGGAGCTGGTTCGCGATGCACTGGTCGAATCTGCTGATATGGCGTACAAGGACGTACTCAAAGACTGTTTCTTATGGAAAATGGGCAAGGAAAAGGTCAAGGAGGCTTTAAAACTTGCTACCGGAACAGACTTTAGCGCTTCTGAGAGATCATCTACATCCCCGACGCCGCCTGAACAGCCAGTAGAAGAACCCGTTAAGATTTCACTAGCCGTGGACCTAGAGTTTCCACCTGAGGAAGACGAGAAGCACGCTGGGCTCAACCGATGGCGTAAGAAAGAGCTCGAGGAGAGCATTGAGGACGGAGACATTGGCGAGCTCCTGCTATGCCTTTGCTCAAAACATCCCGAAATCCGTATTCAAGCCGTCCACAACGTCCGCCAGCTTATAGCATCACTTGACAAAGACAAAAGCGATCAACAACAACTTTGGGTCCTTCTCAACCAAACATTGGAGACGGTTGATACTCTGCCCGCCTCGACGCCTCTACCTTACGTAGGTGGTGTCTTTGCGGCCCAGTGCGTCAAAATCCTAGCGGAACCTATCCACTTCATGTACCCCAAGATCAGCAAATTCCTTACCAGTCGTCCATTCTGGGAGGTCCGCAGCCTACCGCGTAGATTCTCAAATCTCATCATCACTAGCGAGCCCGACGAAGACGATGGCTACCACAAAGAGGTCGGCTGGTTCCTCGACTATCTCCTCGACTGTCTACGCACGCCCGACGACATGGAAATCTTCCGCATCAACAACATTTTTGAGCGCCTCCTTAGCTTCTACGCCTCCAAGTCGTGCGCGATTGTGGAAAAGGAGAAGATTGTTAGGGTATTATTGAGGGCGGCGAGTGTGGGTGGGAGCACGACGCTAATCACGAGGTGTGGGCTCGTGAGTTGGATTCGAATGATGCTTGATAACAATGACTATCGGCATCGCGAGCTGAGGCAGTTGGTCTCGAGGGTATACGAGCTGTGTGATCGGGAGAAGGTGGATCAGTGGAGTAGTGGGACGATTGGAGGAGTTGTGGCGGGCATCGTTGGGGTGGCAGCGTGAGGTAGAATATGCCTTGGCAGTGACTTTGAATATTGCTATATTGAGATTTTCGCTGCTTTCCGCTAGCAGCAAAGACGAGCCACCAAGTAAGATTGCGAATCCCTCACGCCGATGCATCGTAATCATGATGCCAATTGTTACACAGACTCGAGCAAAGTCCATCCGGCATCGTTCATGTGGCATGCGGTATCCCGTGCCTGCCTAGCTGGGAAGCGGTGGCTGGTGTTGTGGCGTCATGAGTCGCAGCTGCCTCCCGAGGATGCCCCGTTTCAGCAGTGACAGCAGCTGCATTTGCGTCGTCAGAACCCACCAACAGCCCGCTTTCGCATCGACCCAGCTCTACTCACACCGAACACGCCCAACTTGCCTCACCTTACCCATTGTTTACCACCTACTGCGCCATCTCAGCCCTGCCGCGCGCGAACGACGCCTGCCACAGCTTCTCCGCTTCTTACTTCTCAGAAGCCCGCAAGGGTGCTCCAGGTGCGCTACACATCCCACCAACCTCGCCTCTCCTCTCCTCTCCCTCCCGACCACCACGCTACTCTGCGCCTGCATCGTGTGCGCTGACTTATCTGCGAAAGCAGCTTTCGGTGTCGGCTGTTTGCCGCGCAAATTTCACACAAACACATCGCTCCACCGTTAGGATTACGCCGCCTTGTATACAAAATATTGTTTACCCATACGCACATTGAACGCCTTGCATTGCAAACTCGTCTTTGCGGCGATCGCCTTCTGCCCACTGGTGACTGAGCAATCGTCCGCCTTATATCGCGAGCGACCTCAGCCGAGGAGGACCACGCCCACGTCACACCCGCCTCCTTCCAAGCACGCAGCACCGCGGTGAGGATGGCAGGCGGCAGGTACACGGTAGAGCAGCTGGAGCACTTGCGCGAGTCTCCGCTGGTGAAGAAGCCTGATACACTACCTTCGATTGAGCAATGGATGGACGCATCGAACGACCACAACACCAACAATGCGGGAAGCACGACTAACCGCAGGTCGCGCACCAATCGAGAGGGCGACGCAGGTGCGACCGGCGAGCATCGCACGGAGCGACCTATACTCGGGGCCATGGGCCAGTTTGGTCGGCGTGCGAGTACGCGTAAGTCTGGATCTGGTGATACGCAGACTGTGGTGGCAGCTATTAATCGTCTCTTTACAGATCATGGTGATGAGCCTGTAATCGGAGGTCCCCCGAAGCTTAATTTTGCTTCCGCGACCCGCTCGAAACCTGGCCAGTCGAAAGAGGCTACTGGAATCACTTCCATTGACGGAGAACATACCGGCGATCGCTTCCCGCGGAATGACCGTTGGAGGGATGGAGACCGCACTCGCGAAAAGGAGCTCACTAACGGTCGCCGCGGTCGACGAGAAGAGGGCGAGGGCTGGCAGAATACCAAGAGTCGCAAGAGCTTGGGTCAGGAAGACTTTGATAGAGGCTTTGGTCGCAATGGCGACCGCGAGCGAAAAGACGCAGACGAAAATGGGGAAGGCCCCCGCCGACGTAACGATCGCTGGGGTCGCCGCGACGACGCCAACAAGGAGGCAGAGGGTGGTAAATTCGGAACAACTGGTCAGGGCGGTTGGCGGGACAGGAACCGCGAACGCGAAAAGGAGCGTGATTGGACGAGAGGTGGCGGAAAAGCAGAAGAGGACCCTGAATGGATGGATGCGCCAGCTCCTAAAAAGGAGACCAAGGCTCACACCCAGGAAGACTTCCAACGCTGGAAAGAACAGATGAAGGCCAAGGATGCACCGACTGAGGAAAAGGAGGAATCCAAACCCCCTGAGCTGCCATCCTTCTTTTCCGATGCCCTATCGCAACAACCACTGAAGTCTGCCGGCACGCCTTCGGGACTAGAGCCGAATCTAGGATCAATGTTTGGTACTTGGAGCACGAGCATCAAGGCCGCAGAGTCAGCAGCTCTGGAACCTGCCATAGTCAAAGCGAAGCCGGCCAAGGCGTCGAGGTTCATGAACATGTTCGCAAAGGTGGAGGAACCCACTGCAGCCATTCCGCCACCCGCGCCCGCGCCCGCCTCGCCAGCACCACTAGTTACCGACAAGAACGCTGACCAAGAAGGCTTCCAACGCATCCTCCAGATGCTTGGTGGAACAGGTATTGGTTCCGCTCCTGCTCCCCAACCGAGCGCCCCTACACCATCCAACGGCCTCCGGCAAGGCGGTGGCATCTCTCTAGACTTTCATCAGTCTCCACCACCTCCTGAGATGCAAGAACGTCGCCAGCCGCCGCAGCAGATGCCGACGCGATCTTCGATGGAGACGCAGGCTCTGCTAGAGAACATACTTGCACCCCGACCATCCGTGGATAACCGACCTTCACAACAATCGAGGTTCAACAGCATGTCGCCCGACAATGCCCTTTTCGAGCAGTTTAGAGTTCCGCGTCCAGACTCGAACCGACCTGGCGATGAGCATCCCTACCAACAGCCTCCTTCGCGCAACAATAACAACCCGCAAGATCCCAACCTCGCTGCCCTGTTGAACAGTCGGTCACAAGTGAGCCGAGACAAGGGCAACAGCGCTGAGCGTGACTTTTTGCTCAACCTCATGCAGCAGCCACGAAACACACCGCCACAATTGGGCAACCAGAACCTACCCCGCCAGCCCATGGAAAACCAGAACATGCAATTCTTTGATCACAACCGACAGCAACAGGGACAGCCAAAGGGCCGCGGTGGACCGCCACCAGGCTTCATGAGCGAGCGCATGGATCCACGCATGGACGCAATGTACATGGAGAACGAGCTTATGCGCCAGGAGCAAGAACGCCGCAACCAAGTTCGCGAGCTTCAACAACAGGAAGCTTCGCGTCACAAGGGTGGTCGCGGTATGCCCATGGGCTACTCCGAAAATGAGCGAGACGTCATTGCAGGCCTCCAGCGCCGTAACACGGCCGGCGAGATACCTCGCCAGATGACAAACATGGGCATCCCATCCCAGCACGTACCCGACCTACCCTACATGAGCGGTCGCCAGCCTGGAATGCCGCCCACACCCCAGGAAGGACCGAATGTCCGCCCTCCGCCAGGCTTCAACGGCCCCATGCGCCAACCTCCTGGACTCGGTGGACCTGGTCCGCAGCACCAGATGGGCCCAGGGCCGAGCTTCTCCGCCGGAAACACACCCATGGGGCCGCCGCCAGGCTTTAACCCCGCGAACAACATGCGTGGTGGCATGTTTCCAGGTGGCCCGGGAGGTCCTGCAGGTCCTGGGGTTCCAGGTAACGGCATGCAAGGTCCTCCACAGGGCTATTTCCCTCCTCCACAAGGCTATGGACCACCGTTGGGCCTGCGGGGCGAGGATCCCAGGATGATGTTCGAGCAGCAGTTTGGTGGGCCGGGACCGAGGCAGCAACAGCAGCAGGGTCGTCCTCCAAACATGTACTAGGGGACTGAAGCTGCTAGAAACCGGATGGCGCGGACGTATCAGGCGGTGCGTTTCAGGGAAGACGGACGAAGGATGAAAACAGCTGGTGAGAGGAATTTCGACTTTGGCCAACAAGGCGCTGGCATGGGCATGCGCCGCAGTGGAGATAGGTTGATCGAAGCGGCTGGGGGATTGCACATGCGCGTGCGTAATCCCTACAGCGTCGGTCGGTCAGTGCGTTGACTCCTGGTCGTGGTCGTGGTCGTGGTCTTGGTTTCGGTCTCGCTCTAGGCTTTTAGCATGGAGTCTCGGGGCTTTGTGTATGTACATTTGCTTAGGGGGGTGCGCTTCATGTTCATGTTCATGTTCATCGGGAATAGTCAGACGGGTATGTGTATGCGGTGGGGTGAGGCGGTTGTGGATCGGATTAGTATTAAAGACGCTGTAGGCAGTGTTTTCCTGCAAGCGGAAAATCAGGCATAATACTATGAGTTTGTGTCTGACGAGTGGATTTCGATGGTTTTATGCGTGATGAGGCTCGAAGTGCTGGGGGATGGTGGGGAGAAGATGGAGTGCGCGTGGATGGGCTACACGGCTTTTGGGCTGGCTTGTTGAACGCCATCGCCGGTATACTTCTTCATAGGACTTTGGCGCGCGGAAAAGCAGGGGGTTGTGTTGGAAGGTGTAGTGTAAAGGTAGGTAGATTATCTTCTGCAGCGTTCACCGTTGAAGGAAGTGGCTGTAGTTGTTGCTTGGCGTTCTTGACTGCGTCCTGCCGCCTGGTTGCGAAGAGCTGAGATGATGGTGAGAAGCTGTCGGTGATGGCCATCATATTGCTGACCTACATGCCTGGATATGCTAGTGAGGAGATGATGCGGTATCTGGTCTCGCACGGTACACAGATGAAGTACGAGGATGTTCAGCCGAAGTACTGGTGGAAGCCGCGTGAGAAAGTGAAGCGGGCAATCGAGCTGATCAATCGAGCTGATCAATCGAGCTGATCAGAGAGCTTGAAGGAACGACGCCGGGGGAGTTGAAGAAGACAGTGAATGATCTGTCATCCTGAGGTTATACTCCCTAATGTGAGAAGCCGGGACACGGTACACGCTTGTGGCGGTTAGAGTGAAGTTCTGGAAGAAATTGTGCAGATTAGGTTTCGAAATAGACACCCTTCTACTATTACGCTGGATTTTAATTTCACTAGTGCAACTGCATCATCTACGAGGACACACGCAGCAGCATCCCTCAGTGCATTCATTGCAATCATCTGTTGACTGTTTTTCCTTCTCACAACATATTCCTCGACACGATCGGATTGAAATAGCTATACCAGAGTGGAATCTTTACTTTTTACACTTCAAGGCCACGAGGGTCTCCACGCGCTCGAATACCCAGGAGATCAAGTCTTCTCACCAGCATTTTTCATCGCATCCTTGTTCTTGTGCGCTGTCTCGCCGGTTCCTCCTCTGTGACGCGGACACGGCCGTGATATTTTTCCCGTGAGCTTCCATCACCACCTTGAGCGCGTCCAGCGATATAGCGTAGTTGAACTGCGCGGCCTGGTCTTTTGCGACATTGTCTCGGATTACCAGCCGACCAACCAGATCCTTCCAAATATCTTCGCCCACGGGGCAGTTGATCTGACAGGACTGATGCAGCGCCATGTTGCGGAGGATGATGCGCTCTATCTTAATGGGGATGTCGAAGGAAGGGGCGTCAGTGTCGGAATCAGAATCGACGACAGTGTCGGAGGCGCTATCTGAGTCGTCATTTGAGGAGCTTAATCTTTGGAGATCGGCTCGAGTAAGCGGAACGGTACCATCGTCTGTGCTGGTCAGTGATGCGGCCTATGGGTAGCGAATATGGTGGGTAGCATACTTGATGGACGTCGGCCCTTGATCAGCCGCGCAATGCGAAGTCCCTTGTAATCATCTAGTTGTTCAAGCTGCTTCTGGAGGTTCGAATCGATGCGCTCGATCTTTGCGGCATCGGCCACAATCTGCCGGTTCATATCTTGCATCAATCCCACGTTGGCCATCTGTATGCATAGTAAAATCGAGGCCTTGATTTGTGCGAGTTCGTCCATGATGCTGCTCAATTTCTTCTCATCCGCTGACCCCTCAAGAAGTTGGCGCGCGAATTGGTTGATCTTTGATTTTGAGCCCGGGTCCAAGTCGCTGAGAAGTACAGCTAGCTTATTTTGAACTTGTTGCATCCGGATCAGCTCGGCACCAAGGCTAGCCGTGTGAAGGTCGGAGTTCTCTTTCTTGATAAGCTGCTGCAAGATAGTCTTGATGCTATCAAGCTCGTCTTCATGGCATATCAAGACGTGGACGAGATCTTTCTGTCGTTTCAGCGCTTTGCGTATGCACTTGATTACCGAAAGGGCGTTCTCCAGAAGATTGGTACTGGCGGATACGGCTCCTAAGATTTCAGCCTTGTGCTAGATTAGTCTTGTCTGCTCCGGTACTTGGAATGGATACCATACCATCGCGTCTTGCAGGAATCGATTCGCACTGTTACTCAAGTGCGCGATAACAGTGGGATGTGATGCGAATTTGTACTCAGTTCATAGCAGTGGTGAGCGGGCACTTATCTTCGCAGCTGCATGACCCCGCCAGGGTCCTGGTCGTTGTGAGATACAGTCATAGTCAATTGTGTGAATGCGATTCTGCATGCAGTGTGCTCTGGTGATAAGTTCGCAGCTTGCAGCAGGATCGAACCATTGATACGCCATCGCCAAGCCAGTTGCAGGTCTCGGGCGCAGACCCATGGCCCTCCAGACCCCATGTTTGCATGGGCAGTGCCAGCTACTAGTGACAAGAGTGTGAATCCGACCAACCCTGGTTGGAGAAGAGACCTTTGAGCGGTGTGTCTGCCTGCTGTGAGCCTTGCGAGAAGATGTATGTCTATTTTTCCGCGATTTCGTTGGCATTTTGTCTGCTGTCGCATCCATCTGATGCGTTTGGGGCAGGCAGGCTGAAGCTCGATCCAACGAGAAACGTCGAGTTGGAAACGTTCGAGAACATAAAAGCGACTTGCAGTGCACAGTTTGTCTCCAGGCACAGAACACTCGAGATCAGCAAAATTGCATGTTGGCATCAACGTGCTTGATCTCCAGGTGGTTGACTTACTATGTGAAGCGTCGCTGTCAAATTACAGCTTTAAGCGGCGTACGATCTGTCGGTCGGTAAAGCTTTCCTTAATACCTGGAGGAACTAGAGCGCGGAGAAATCAATAGACGAGCGGACGCTCTATTGTGGAAGGGATATCAGAGACGAAGAGCCCGCTGCTCCGGCGGAGCTGTATATCCAAGCTGACAAAGAGTGCTGATTGACATATGCTACACTGCCTTATCAAAAACCCCCCTCCTCTGTATGCTCTTCAACACCCAAGTGGCATTCGCTTTTTGCACGCATAACAGCAGAAAATATAAATGAGATACTTAAGAAAATGTCGTATATGTTCCTTGAGTTGTACAAGTTCTTTGGCCGTTCACTGCATTATCTGCCGGCTCGGGCTATGGAGAGGATGAATTCGGCAAGCCATCATAGAACATCAACTTGATGTCTTGCCAATCAAAACGAGGTAAACGCCCCACCATATCGCGCATTCACAGTCCCGTCGATACGTAGTAAAGAAAGCTGGCAGGTTGCTTGTAGTATCGTGTTCCGCGCGCAAAGGGCGCAGTACTGCACCCACCTTCGCGCTGAATACGGAGAGCAACGCAAGAGAGGCGCAATGCCGACGTAGGGTACCCTGCACGCTGTAGGTGATCATTTGACAGTTCGCAGATTTGATGCAGCTATATTCGAAGCCCACCAGTGACACGCTGCCAGAAGCGAAGTTGCATAAATGCTTGCAGGCCGGTGAACCATGGCCACAGGGGCGGGGTAGCCAATGACGTTATAGTATCTATATATCGCGGGTTTCGAAAGCTGAACGATATACCGCCCAGAAGTTTGCCTGATGTACACGTCACCTCCCGCGCCAGCCTCGGAATGCACTGCGCCAGAATCCTCCAATCGCGTAATATGGGTATCAATCAAGGGAAGGGTCTGTTGCGGCTGTCCCCAGGAGCATGTCGAAAAAGCAGTCTTCCACGACGTGGAAACGTCGCACGATGCTCTTGGCGCTGCCTGGCATGGGGAAAGAAAGATCTACGAAGTCGCCAGTGGAAGAGAGACGCTTCGAGTTCCACGTAATCGAGCTTACCGCCGCAGTGTTGAAATGCGTTCCGAGACCGAGACGGTTGACTATCTTAAGGGAGATGAAATTGTCTTTGACACTTCGAGGGAAGATAAGGCAGAACGTTTTTGGCTGTCCACTCGTTTTAGAAAGGACCGTGATGTTTTGTTTCTCCTTTCGTAGAGACGATATCTCCGCCGGGCTAACCTTTGGGCATCGTCAGTGGCAATAGTCGTGAGATAACATTGTCAACTAACAATGTTGCAATCAGTGGAACGCTTCACTGGAGCTGGGAGTCGAGGCTTTACAGGCACGGCAGCTGGTAGTGGAGGGGCTACTCGTGTGCTTGCAACTGCACTTATGACTTCGCAATGACACGGGATGATGAGATATTTACTGATCCGAGGTCAGAAGAGTCATTGGACGTGGTAGAGGTACTTACAAGTTGAGGTTATTTATTCTATCCGTGACATGTCCGTTGATTTGTAGGGCACTGTCGCGGGCTCTATTGCCGATGACGGCGGACAGTTGCGTCACTTGTTTGGCGTCTGTAAGACGGTCGACGGCAGATGCTCCTGATTGAGCTCTACCACTGAAGAAACGAGTGGAAAGACTGATATCACTTCTAATAATGCTAGTCATGGTTAGAGATACTGATACCGAAAGCTCAAAGAATGGATGGAGGGAAGCATCAAGCTATCAGGCTGGATAGTTCACGCTCGTAGGTGCTGGCGGGGTCGCCGCAGAGGCAGCAAGGCCGCACGATTTGTGAGCACGATTTGAAGCCTGGCCTGACCGAGCCACCCGAATCATGTTCGTATCAAACGTGGGATGCTTGCTTTTGGTGGTTCTGCCAGTGCGCTAGCGGTTAATCTGCTTGATCGCGGGGGATGAGCTATCCAGTGGCTTGTTTGGCATTGAATCGATTTGCCGCGTCGCTACCGGTCAATCGAGAGAGGCATAGCGTCTCACGAGGAGGAGGAGCGGGACCCCTGGCATGTCCGATGATGCTCAAGCTTGGGGGTTGCCCCACTTCCTTCTGCCTTGCAGCAGGGCTCATGCGAACACTCAGACGTACTGGTCACAACGCAATTTCATGAATTGAACATCTACCGCAATCTCTGCCACGCCGGCTCATTCGCACATCATGACCCCCAGATAGGCGTCGCATTGGCTAGGCGCCCACCCTAGCGCTATCCAGCGCATCCTGAAAGCGCGCGGCAGCTGAGGATACACAAGGCTGGTTGCGACGACATTGCCTCAATTGCGCGCCATGGTTGATCGCGTAACCTTAGCACAGACGCTGCTTGATGGTTATCGTTCTAAGGTCTTGGAACTTTTGGTGGACTATCTCCAAGATAAAGAAATCCGGACAGCGACCGAGCAGTACATAGGACAACATAATCCCACTCCTATACGGCTCGATACGGCATTTGAACAGCAGTCCAGACCCTCACGGGCACATTCACACCATACCGACTCCTCCCCACTCCAAAGAACGACTCGACAGGACATCCCTCATACGAGACACAGCCTGCATACCCCTCCCACGAGCGCGGGCTCGGTTAAGTCCCACGCCTCGAGCCTGGCGGCTGCGGGTCTGGAAAAAATTTACTTGATATCTTGCGATGACGCTGGCACAGATCAGCCAGTCATATCAAGAAGTGCGCCAGTGAAACACAACCTGATTCGAGATAAAGTGGTATACGGTCGCGGCTTTGGCACCAGTATAGACCATGTCGACGAGTTGGTATCTGTGCCTCTCCTATCTGGTGGTCAGAGGTGGGAGAAGGCAATGACCGCCGTAAATCTGACCTGGCGCCGTCGCAACGAATACACAACGAATGTCGACTCATTCTACATTGTGTCAACAAGACTACTCGATAGTGATGTAATTCTGGGCTCCGATGTATCCCTGGAACACCAATTTCCTTCAGGTGAGTCTCCTACGATCCGCCAAATCTGCGCCGAATTAGACTGACCTGGCTTCAACGATAACAGATGTTCAAGAAGCACACTCACCGCAAGCACGCTACCAGCGAGGAGGTTTTGTAGAAATGGAAGAGCTTGACCCAGCAATTCATCCGCACGCGCCAACAGCGCCATTGCATCCTTACCAACAAACCAGTATACCACCTAACTTACAGCGGGCATACGACCGTTTCGAACCTCTGCGCGATACCCAACGCATGCATGCAGCAGAAACACCTGCTCCGGCCCCTCATCCAAGGCACATCGACCACGGACAACCACCCCACACAAGTACACCTCTTGCGGCGCAAAGGCCTTCGAGCGACCAACTTCAAGTAGTCGGCTTGTGGGACAAAACACCCATTAGAATGTCGTTCGATCCAGAGGCCCCAGGAGAGGCCTTTTATCAAGCCTTTCACCAGTGGGCCGTGCGACGGAAACCTGGTGTTGAATTAGAGCGACACAGAATGACACTGTTGCTCAAAACGAGTAAAAAGACGCCTGACGACGAAGTGTACGAGCTTCGTCTAGAGGAAGGCGAACTGGAGGAGCTCTGGGAGACGGCTGTCGACTGGATCCAAGAGAATAAAAGCCCAAAGGCTCCACATCTTTATGCGACGGTTGAGCTGGAGGCGGGATGATGCCTTCAGCTCACTACGATGCCTTATCCTAACTCGGAGGTAGAAGACATCTGTACGTGGGAAGTGTGAGGCTGAATCAGTCCCTCAATGCGCCACTTGGGCATGACTCATGGGTCCAGTGAAACGTTCACTAACAATGCAGCACGCAGACACGTCATGTGAAGAAGGGGCATTCGATACCTATTTTGTGTGGATAATTAAACGAACGGATGCACGATCTACGTCAACACTACGAGCTTCCTACACCACATCCACAGGCTCGTCGCGCACGCCAACCTCACTATCTCTTAGATAAGAACCCGGCTATTCGCTCTCGGCAACCTTCTTACCATCCCTCAATAGATGTTGTCAGCGCACAACGTATCGCAAGTCGTAAATCCCACAACAAGATTCGACACGTCCATATCAATCGATGTGCAAGTAACGAAGCTCGCATATTCGTTGATCCTGCATGTCGGTGCATAAGCGCAGCAGATCGTACCCGTGATGATGCAGTCGGTACCGTCATTCAGCTCGCCGGCATAAGCGGAAACTTCGCTGAATATGATGGAGCCGACGCGGCCTGAGTAGTTGGTGACAAAGTTGGAGTCGTATGTCGTGTCGCCAGTGAAGCTGCCGATGGGATCGCCAGTGCAGTCTGTGGAGTCGTAGATGTTAAAAACGTTCTGGTGGTTCACGGCGGAAACCGTAGCTCCGAAGAGCGCAGTCATGACGGTGGCGGCGGTGAATTGCATCTTGATTGTTGTAACTTGGCACGATCCTGTGAATGAATTAGTCATCGTCTTTTTAGAGTTCGTTCGAGCGTAGGTACCTCAAACGATGGTTGGCAATGTTTGGGATCGAATGATGGCAGTAACAAAAGTTTTACGTGGTGCCGGTCGCCTTTCATATAGTCCTTGACTGACTGGTTGTTGTACATGCCGCCGACGTCAGCATCTTGTCGCTCGCCACTTTTACCTCGGCCATAGTCTTCGTGAACCTTTCCGTATATCGCATTTGCTCTCTGCACCGTCGAACGTCATCCCTTTACGCAACGTAACCGTCGTCTATTTCCGCAATGTAACCTTCGTTTCTCTCTGCACATGCGCGTTTTGTCCGAGAAGATTGGTCAGTCACCGTCAGTGCAGAGGATTCGCACTACAGGGATGCGAGAAGAGGTGTTTAGATCCTGTATGGCATTGTTTGGCAGGCGCCCATCGCGATGTTGGAGCAAGGCGGTAAAGACTGTGGGTCGTGTGCTAGATGGAGTCGATATATCCGGCTAGTAGTTCTGTTAGCATAGGGTCCAGAAAGTGATGGCCCACGGGCGCAGAGTACAACATGTAGAAAAGTGGAAAATCCTATTATCATGGTAGCAACCATTGGTTGCTTCACCTGAGTTGAGAGGTTGCTAGCGCCATATTGCCTCTACCAACCTTAATAGGCTAATGCTATACATTTGATAATGATAAAAGAGGTCCACTTCTCTAAACTTTCCATTTCGGCCGTAAGCTACGTCTTTGCGAAAAGCATCGGTATGCAACAAAAAATATCACAGTCCCACAATTTCTGTGTTGGAGGCAGGGCATTAGAGTTGACGTTGACTACCACGACACTCTAATGTCGCAGTCAGAAGGATGCGGTCCATCCAAGCAGCGCGACCTTTCTACAAGACTTGAACACCTGTGCATTTCGCGAACCTGGCGCGCTGTGAGGGCGCGTAACCGAGCCGAGGACATCAACTAGCTCTGGCTAGAATCCTACAGTACCTTGCAAGGATTCAAGACTTTCCACCCTAGACAGGTCCAAGGATACAATTTGAGACTACGTAGCGAGGACGATCATTTTGGTGGATCTGCCCCTGAAGGGGCGAAGGAAATAACGGGAATCTTTGGCAGCGCCCGTGCCCTAAACATTGCCGGCTTTTACTTCGCTCCTTGTGCTCCTTCCATTTGCTGACGTAAGTCCGATGCTAGACATAGATTGTAACTTGGTAGATGCGGCCGGAAAAGTCTCTACACATGCGCTCTATTGCCGCGCTCTGCTTGTATTTACACAACTCCAGTTCCACGTCTCCGACTGCAGCTGCAAGATGGATGATACGGACGCAACACTGTCACGGCCATTAATCGATGACCAGCAAGATGATTCGCACACTCAAAGCCGGAGGAGGTTTCGAACGATGCTATGGCCGTGGTCGACCTTCCTTGCCGCTACGGTAGCTGCGTTGCTGATAGCCCTGGTATACCGCTCACATTCGATAATCGATCATAATTGTAATGCCGGGGAACTTAGTAAGTCAAAGCCAAGGCTTATCTTGAACAGCTTCAGACCACTCACACACAGCTCAAAGGCATACCCAATATTTCCAATGTCTATCAGCGTTTCACCGGTGGCCTCAAGTATGATGACAACGGAAATCTGTATCGAGATACTTCGGGGGAAATTAAATCCTATATTGGTAATAGCTCTGGAGTTAACGAGGCTTGGAAAGTTTTCGAAGCTAGTAAGTTCAATGCTGCAATTTTGGTGCCAGAACTTTAATACCTGTCCAGTCCAAACTATCGAGCTGCACCCAGACGAGGTTGATATCGAAGGACTATATGTGGACAAACGACCAATGGTCATAACCATCCCAGACGTCTTTCATCAGCTTCATTGCCTGGTAGGTGCATGCTTGGTGCCAGGGCGCAGCCCACTAACGGGGTTTAGGACCAGATTCGTATGTCACTTCTCAACGGCGAGTACCTCGCAGATAACAATGCCGTCCAACGCATGCATATCGGTACGTTTTGAGAAAATGTTATAAGCGAGGTAATACACCGCTAAAGCTCGTTCACAGATCATTGCATCGATTACATCAGACAAGCGATTCAATGCCGGTCAGATTTTACCCCCCTGAAGCTCTTCTATAGCCAGTCAGCCAAGCGGATAATGGTAGATTTTGATGTGGAACATCAATGTAAGGACTTTGATGAGATTGTTAACTGGACGTGGGAACACCGCGCACAGAAGATCGAGATTTGATAAGGAGAGATTTTGCTTGCATGGTGGCCGTCAGCGTTTCTTGAGTAAGCGGGCAGCGCAGTCCTGGATGGATTCTCACTTCTGGGCATGCATCAATACTATCGTTTTTTTTTCATTTTACCATGTTCATCCAGACAACATAGTTCCACCGCTTTTTCGTGTCTCCTTCCGAATCTGTAAATCTTGCCTAATGTGTAAATACTGTAAGATTAACAGCCAACAACGATCGTGCACTTTTCGTGCAGGCTGGCCGCGAATTATCACAGTCAGCTTGACCGTCTTCAGTGTACAGTCGCTATAACCAACAAGGTAGAAATGCCACGCATTGCTAAAAGCTGGCATGCACGATCCTTATTGTGAGAGTCGGTTAGTATGGTGGGCCAAAACAGGCAATAGGTTAGATCGTTTGGGGACTAGGGTGGAATTAGCATTCAACGACGCAGATCGAGATGCCAATATATGTACTTGTATTTCCAATATGTGCACCGCGCGTTTTTGCACTACGCGAGACCCGCAATTCTTGCGAATAGGAAACGACTATCTAGTATGTATACACTAATGTTTGCCCCCACATTACCCGAGGCATATTTGGTTAAAGGTCTACAAACGTCTGACATGTCCTGATTCAACAACATCCTGATCTTAGATGCTCAACATGTGCATCCGGCATCTCCGCAATACGCTAGACCCGCAATTCTTAACACAAACTAGACGTGCAATGTGTGTGTATTCCAACGGTTGACCCCACGTGTTGACAATCCTTGTAGCGAAAGCATACTGTTTGGTTAAAGGTGAACACAAACGTCTGACATGTCCTTACTCTAGGCGATGTTACATTAATCCTTAGCGCATCTTGATAATAAGGATACATTCCGCGCGTCAAGCTTTGACCAAGCTTTGACCAAGCTTCGTCCCATCGCTGGCCTCGTCTAGCGAAGCTTGTACCTTGAAGCATTTGCATAGATCGCGAGTTGCGGCTACGTGCATCCGATGCGAAGCACTCGAGGATCGGTGCTTGATGATGGAAGCATGAACGCTACACCACTCTAGATCACGACAAGATGTTAGAGTGTCCACGGTAAGCATATAAGAAGTCGAGGAGCCGCTGAATCGTTAAGAGCACCATTGCCCCCTCAATTCGCATCGATCATCACCGCTTCCACTGTGCCAGCTGCTCAACAAAGCACTTGAACATCTCTCAGACCAAGATGCGCTTCACCACACTTCTCGGTCTCAGCGCCGCCGCAGCACCAGCTCTTGCTGCGTCGACTGCTTCCCTCTACGTTACGAACGATTGTTCAGAGAGCGTCTACGTCGTCTACGCCACCGATGCCTCCGGCTCATACGTGCAAGGCCAAAAAACATTGACCACTGGAACAGGGTTTCAAGTAATTCTCGCTGGACTGGGTACGCGCTCCCCGTCTGCATCCCTCCAGCATATGCTAATCCTTTCGCGACCGTAGGATACAGCGTCGGCTTCTCCACCGACTCCAACTACTATGCGACTACCACGCCGAAGCTGATCATGGGGTACTCGGTGAACTCGGACGACAGTCTGCTGTATTACAGCATTACTACGGACGTCGGCAACCCGTTTGCGAGCCAGTCGTGGTCGCTTACGAGTGACAATGATGCGTGCACGTCTGTCTCCTCGCCTAATGGGGTTACGTATGCTTGCCCGGCTGGGTCGTTCTTGTTCTTCAACTTGTGTGGTTAGGTCTGCCGATGGTATAGATGCGCTATGAGTTTTCGGTTGCAGGTTGAAGACTATTCGGTATAGATAGGTAGTAGAAGGAGTAGTTAATTTCAAGCTATTCCCAGATATGTGCCTCTTGGCCCACTTCGAGTGCATTCACATTCACAGCTCCGAAAGCGGCTGCCATTATCTATCATGGGTTTATAGGTTGCCGAGAATAGGTATTTGAGTAGGGATGGAACGTACACGTGTTTGTGGTGGATTGAGGAACTGAGCCAGTGAGTGCAGTGAAATAAATTTTGCGCAGTGTAATTGGGGCGACGTATATGCATGGTCAGGCGATTCGTAGTTAGTATGTTATGTGTAAGCCTCCTCCGTATTGTCTGTCGAGCGTTGGTCGTCGAGACGTTCAACAACCTTACTCTGTATACCGAATGTAGGAGTACGATCATTCTTCCAGTTTAATGTTGTGGTTTCCGATCGGCGTTTTGTGTGTCCAACGCGTATATTAGCCCCCTACATGTATTCCCCATCTGCCGCACAGTTATCTGCGCCACTATAACTCAAGGCTGGCATTGTGTTGCTTAGACTCCATTAACCTCTCGCTGTCGAATGAGGCCACAGTCATGATTTCTGATACCCTGAGATTTCTGTTCTTATCGTTTTAGAAGTTCCTTTCACTCGTAGGTCTTGTTTCAACCAGCTCTGAGTTATTGCTCTTAGTGGGTCCGGACAAGAGTGTCGAATGTAAGGGTTAGGATTCCGCTTTCTGTAACGAGTTTCAGTGGTCAACGTCTCGCATGCTGTTGGAATTAGAAAAGGTGTGTTGGCTAGGACAAGAAGTGTCGAAGGGAAGGGCTAGGGTTCTGAGTTACTACTTACTCACTCCGCATTCACTCCGTTTCTTCGTTCCTTGGCACGCTTATACATTCCAACGAATCAGACTATAACTTTTAGTTTCTAATTTACATAGTGATATAAGCCTTTGTGTCGAACCTAATCATCCGACTAATTCTTCCAATTCTTCTTCTCATCCTATCAGTGTCCATAATCTATCCTATCAAGAACTATCCAAAGCTAACCCTCTTCTAACCCATATAATCCTCACGACTAGCTCCAAGACAAACCAAAGGGATCTCTCTCAGGCATCTCCGTCTCAAAGGACCAAGAACGGTGCCTATAGAGACAAATAAGATCCCAAGGTAGAAGCCAAGAGTTCGTAATCTGGTTTATCCTACCTATATCCTAGTATGGTCGTGATCACCACGTTACACAGTCTCTCGAATCCAACATATCCATATTTATTCAAACCCCCCACTCCTCCTCCTCCTTCCCTTTCTCCTTCCACTCCTCACACTACCTTCCACCACTCCTCCACACCCCCAATCCTCTACACCCCCAATCCTCCACACCACCTTCCTATTTCCCCCTAAGAATCATCCCCTTCTAGCACAACCCCCTCCCACTCTATCATCTCCACATTCCAAACAACCCCCTTATCAATCCATACGCACCAGCGCCCCAACAAAAAGTACCTGTACCAAGGTACCATCACAGTGCCGTTTCAGCAAGCCGTAAAAAGGCGCTGAAAAAAAAATCCGTATGCAATGGTGCAATGCGGCAATCCACCTTCCCTTCTCTTCTTTGCTTTGCTTTGCTTTGCTTTGCTTTGCTTTGCTTTGCTTTGCTTTGCTTTGCTTTTCTCCACGCTCCAGCCCGCCTCGACCCGGTGTGAAGAGGCTGTGAAGACCATGTTCGAATGTGTTGTGTTCCCCCAGCCCTACCCCAGCTCCATATACCTCGCATAAAAAGCAGCGCAGATCTCCAGCTACTCTACCTCCACCTTTCCTCTCCTTTCCTTTCCTTTCCTCTCGGGAAAGGAAAGCAGGGAGGCACCGCAAGACAAGACAAGTAAGACTTCACGCGTACTATAAACCAACCAGCCTCGCAGCTCATCAAATGCATGAAAAGCACAGCTCGTGTCGCGCGCGTGTCTGCGTCTGCGTCTGGCCTTATCATACGCCTCCTTCCTTCGAGGGGTGTACTCCCTCCGGCTAACAGAGCATAAACAAGCAAAGAAAATAGGATTTCGCTTCGTTCGAATGGAAGAAGGTAGGGTTAGCGTTTGAACGTAAAGAAGGGATTTTGCTACTATATCGAATCTAGGACGACTCTAAGATGTGGCTATGCAAGCTTTCAACGCCGTCCCATATCGACCGCGGCGCAAGCCACACATTCCTCACTCAATATACATACAATCCAGAAAAGAAACGAAAGAAACGAAAAAAGAAAGAAAGAAAGACGCAAAGAGCCGCCAATGGACCACTTCTCCCCTTCCTCCCCTTCCTCCCCTTCCTCTCTTCAAATCGCCAGCAGACTGCTTACTCTTACTCACAAAACAAGCATCCCCGCCATCGACACACCCGCCAACCCAGCGTACGCAAGCCCAATTGTCTTCCCATACGCCACGAAACCAGGCGGACTCAGACTCCCCGCCACCCCTTGCTCGACCCGGACGCAGCGCCCGTCTCCGTCCCAACAGCCGCCGTCCCTTCCCCGTCGGACTAGGCACGCTCCCCGTCCCACTGCTTATAGCATCAAGCAGCGTCCCACACCCACTGCTCGTACTCGCACTCTGCGTGGTAGCCACGCCGCTAAAGTCGCACGCAGAAGCAGACTTCCCGTTGCCGACGTAGTACTCGTTTGCGACCCACGCGAGCTGGTCCTTGGGCGCGCACCCGCCGAGCGTGCCGAAGTCGCCCGTTGTGGCATTGTGCTGGATGCCGGTGCAGTATTTTCCGTCGGACTTGCCGCAGATGTAGTTGAAGACGTCTTCGTAGGCGGATTCGTCGGTTGATTTGATGTTGCACGACAGACTTGCCGCCATGCAGGCGCAGAGTTGGGGTTTACGGACGGGGGGGGCGACGCGACGGGGAGCCAGGAGGTACCTGTGGAGGGGCACGCGGGGCCGAGTTGGAAGGCGTGTACTTGGAGCGGGCGGTGGTGGTGGGTGTCACGGAGGCGAGTTCGCTGCGGAGGGAGGTGAAGTCGGGATAGGGGGAGACGGAGGCGTCGCTGTCTTGGAGCTCGACGAGGCCGTAGTTGTTTTCGCTCATGAACCATTGGTAGACGATGCCGCCGGAGAAGACGTCCGTCATGTTGCCGTAGAGGACCTGGACTTCGGTGAAGGGACGGTGGGTGGGCCCGCCCGTGATGCCCTCGATGCAGCCGTATTCGGCGAAGAAGACGGGGACGGGGTAGTCCTTGAAGAAGTCGTAGCGCTCGCCGTACGATGAGTCGGCGTAGTTGCTGTCGCCGCACCACGAGTAGACGTTGTAGCCCCAGAAGTCAATCTGCGTTGCGTTTCCGGTGTTGCCAGGCTCGCAGGCAAAGTATGCGGCGAGGTCGTCGCGGGTGGGTACGTCGGCCGTAGCATAGCCTACGCCCATGGTGGAGCGGTAGTTCTGCGACGAGATGTAGCCTTTGGTGTCGCGCACTGCGGCCTTGACGAAGGCGGCGGCCGCAGTCTGGTTACCCGAGCTGACGTTCTCATTGCCCGCGAAGAAGCCAATGACGTTCTTGTACTTGGACAGGGCATCGACGACACCGGTGTAGCGACGGTACAGATCGACGTTCCACTCTGGGTCGTCGGACACGATCGAGGTCTTCGGCTCGCTCAGGTCGGCAATAACATAAATGCCTGCCGATGCAAATGTCTCCATGCAGTCATCGTGGTCCTTTGTCGGGTCGATGGCATAGACACGGAGGACATTGGTGTAAAGCTGCTTCAAGTACGGCAGATCCCGCTTGCAGCCAGCACTGTCGGCCAGCGGATCAGTGTAGGAGGCGTTGGAATCCGTGGTGCCGTTTGGCGAATAGTTCTGCTGGTATGCGACGCCCTTCATCAAGCTGGGCACGTTAGCTTACATTCCTCTGCTCTGGCAAGGAGATGGGCGTACAATTGCGAGCCATTGTTGGTATAGAAGAAGTGCTGGCCGTAGACCTCGATGGGAGCAATGTCGTCGTAGCTCGCCGCTTCAACTCCCGCCAACGCGGCCACGAGGGCAGCAGCGCCCGTCCAGATGCCCTTCATGATGCGCGACTCTCTTCTAACGAATGACTTGATAACGAATGATAGCAGACCCAAGGATAACCGTCTCTTCTCGGCAGCTCAAGCTTCGTGTCTTGGAGGGCTTCCGGTGTTGATAGAGGACAAAAGACAAGCGGCTGAGCCGGAAGAGCAGCTGGCTTGGTCGAGTGGCCGGACGCGTGTCGCCGCCGCCATGCAGGTACTAGCGATAGTGTCGCTGTGGCTGGTGCATCATTGGGTACGCAAACGGCCGCTTTGGTGACGTCTCGGGCACGGAGTTGCGGGGCAGCGGACGCGCTGACTGGTGTCTGGCCGCGCGCCTGGGAAGCCATATCGATTCAGACCCCTGCTAGGTCCACTGATGTTTTCTTAGTGTCGCCTTGATTTGACGACGACGCAAGCAACATGTGGAGATGCAGTCGCAATGCAAATCTCGAGATAATTCCCGCGCCGCGCACTGTTGTTGCCGTGGAAATAATTCCTAATGAATGCTTCCACTGCACCGCGGTTGGTGGTGCAGGTCGGTACATCAATGATGTTCACGCAGCTCGTATCTTACTCAATTTAGTAGGCGGGAGGAGCAATCAATACTCGCCTATTCCAGACTCCCAATCAGGGTGTCGTCGTGCCACACTTGTTATGCAAGGGTTTGACTTTGATGTTTGGTCTTGTGCTGAAACTACCTCCTTACCACAGTGTGCGCGTAAGACTGTGGCGAAGCACCAGTAGTGCGGATATCTAATATCGTGAAGGCACTAGTCTTTTCCAACCCCAACGCCAGCCGAAATGCATCAAACAGGTCGAGAAGAACTGAAAAAGGCCGCAGTCGACCAAACCTAAAAAACATGGCCAGACCACAGCTTACTCCTCGGCCATCGTCATGTCCTCGAAGTCGTCCAGAAGTTGCTCCATTGGTATCGCCAGGCCTGCGTCGTCCTCGTCCACGTCGCTCTCCTCCACTTCCATAGCATCCGCGTTCTGCTGTTGCTGTTGCTGTTGCTGCTGCTGCTTGTAGAGTTGCATACCAGCACGCAGCTCAGAATCCTCCTCGACATCCCGCAGGAACAGTTCAAAGTCACGCTCCATCTTCTCCTGATCCTGTTTCCTCGGTAGCATCTCCGACTCCTCCCTGGCCATGCGCTTGAGCCGCCAGTTGCGCTTCGACTTGGCCTTTTGGCTGCGTGTGTAGTGCTTCTTGACGAGGACGACATCGGGTATTGTTGAGGCTAATTTGGAGTCTTCCAGTTTGTCAAAGAGCTCGTTGTTGAAGTTTGTGCCCGTCATGTGATAGCCCAGCACAGAGTCACCCACGTGCAGGATACCACCAAGATGGGTGCGCGTGTAGTACGTGCTGTCGTTGGAGCCCATGTCGCTCGCCCTTGCTACCGTCGCCTCGGCGAGGAAGTTGCGTCCTTTTTGTTGTCCCAAAGGCTCGATGTCCAGCACGATGAACTCTACAAGCTCTTGCACGTCCGCAAGGGAGCGGAAAGGCGTCCGCCAATAGACGCCAGTGTCCACTTCGGCTGTCTGGAGGGTCGCAGGGTCCATCAGATTTATTGACGTTCCGATCTTGTGACAAAGTGTGAGCGGCGAGATGTTACCAATCTTTCGCGCAAGAGGTATGGGAAGGACGACGAGATCGTCTTTGCACTGGTTGCTGTTAGTGTGGTTGATATATAGGCGGACAGACAACTTACGATTGGGACGATTTCTGCCGAGTAGGAGAATTTGAAGCTCTTGGTCGAAGTGTGAATGTCCATGCTGATGAGCTCCTGGCTCTTCTTCACGTTGGCCGGCACCACTGCTTTCAAAAAGTCCACGAATCCCTCAGCATGATTTCGCTGCGCAAAGAAAAAGTCTATGCCGTCGTGCATCTCCTTGATGTTGATGGCATCCTTGTGCGCGCCGTGCTTGAGAATAGCTTGCTCTAGGTACAAAAACGTCCTCTTGTGTGGCACCTTTTGTCGCACCTGCACGCACGCTCGCCAGGTGTTGTGTGTATAGCTCTTTTGGCAATCGGGGCACTGGTGGTAATTTTGCGTGAATTCCACCTCGAAGCTCTGCTGCATAATGGCACCATCTCCCAGGTCCGACTGCACCGTGATCTTGACTTTTATACGCCTCGAGTGAGGTTCCGTCCATATGAAGCTCGCGTCGATGATGCGCAGCTTGTTCAGTCCTCGCAGCTTCCGTAGGCAGAGCGCAAGAAGTTCTCGAGATTCGGGCTGGGCGACGACCCAAGAGTTGGGCGGAGAGAGCCACCGGTCGCAATCACGGCACATGTGGAGGGTGGCTTCGCGCTGGATGCCGCCGGTGACATCGGTCTTGAGCTTGATGCAATCGTAGCAGAAAGCGCCGGCGGACTGGGTGCCATCGATGGGAGCGCCGCAGTCTGCGCAGAGGACGGTTGCTGCGCTTTTGGCTGCGGGCGTGAACGAGAGCGGGGTGTCAATCTCCATGGCGGCAACGGGTTGCGGGAGCGATGAAGGAAGAGAATAGCAGAGGCTGTCCTCTGGGAAAGAGGGAAGAGGGAGTGGCGAGTATAATTACACCCAGCAGTGTTGTTGATGAGTCGGCGGACGCGGGCAAATATTCTTGGGCCGCTTTGAAATGATGCCCCGCCACTCAAGAAATTCGTGCCCTCCACACCTTATCGCTATCAGCACGTGCTCAGCCCTGTGCATCAAGATCGGCATTTACCATCGCCGACCAAAAGTTGTGCAGCACCAACATTCGAGGCGCAACAATTGCCATCACTCCAACCCAGCAGCGCCATGTCGCTATCAAGAGCCGTCTCATCCACTTTGAGGTGTACCGCATGCTCTAAGCCAATTGCGCGAGCTTGGCCTAGAACTCCAGCTACCACCACGCTTCGCGCCTCCTGGTCCGCACAGCGCCCGATTAGCTCCACGACAAGACGCTGCGCAGACAGAAACGATCCAGCCGTAGAAGACCCCGAATTCGCTTTCCTCGAAGATGCTGCGACCAAAAACTCAAGGACGCCTAGCGCTCCTCAATCGACTGCCGAAGAACAGATAGAGACTGCATCGTCCCCATCGCCTCCTGCACCCCTGGAAGAAGTAGAAGAAGACCTGCTTTCCGAAGAAGCAATAGAAGAAGCAGAATTCGATGCAGCTTTCGACCTACCACCACTTCCCCAGGTCAAGCCTCTTCCCCGGGTCGAGCCATCACAGCCTACGCTGCCTTGGTACCTCCAAAACCGCCCAGCTCCCGAGCCAACACAAGCTGCCATCATTCCCGAGCTTCCACCCAATCCGCCCCCATTACTACCAACCCTTTTAGAATACGTCGCGAACACGGCAGGTATGGATGACCTTTTGATCTACGACCTGCGTCATCTCGATCCGCCTGCCGCTCTCGGCTCGTCTCTCATAATGATTATTTGCACCGCTCGCTCAGAGAAACATCTCCACGTCTCCGCGGACCGCTTCTGCCGTTACCTCCGCCGCGAACATCACCTACGGGCCAATGCTGCCGGTTTGCTCGGCCGCAATGAGCTGAAGATCAAATTAAGGAGGAAAGCGAAGAGGATGAAGATGCTGGCTAATGTGGGCGGCCAGGAGCCAGAAGGCAACCTTGATGATGGCATCAGGACTGGCTGGATATGCTGCACCGTCGGAAAGATACAGGCGCATCCTGAGGACAAGGCCTTCGTCGGTGCGCGGGGAGAGGGAGAGGGCTTCGTTGGGTTCAACGACGTGAAGCCTGGCGTCAACGTCGTTGTTCAAATGTTCACGGAAGAGAAGAGGGCCGAGATCGATCTCGAGAACCTATGGAACGGTGTTCTGAAAACGCATGCTAGGAACGAAGGAAAAGCGGACGAAATGATTAAGGCGCTTGATGAGGATGTGCAAGAGGCAGATCTAGAGGCCGAGGTCGCTGAGGAAGAGAAGATCGCAGCCGAAGAGAAGAAGGCAGAGCCTGAGCCGGTCTCTAGGCCTGCTCCGACAACGACACCGACACCGACACCAACGCACACCTTTACTAGACCACGGTCAACTGTCGGTGACGTGTTCCCAGATGTTGACAGCTTTGGAAATCGTCAACAGTTGAGGCGGCTGCATACTGTAGGACTACGAGTGTAACATCAACAGACATATACCCATTGTAAAACATGTACAACACATAGACCATTATCTGACGCAAAACCAATCATATCCCTGGGGTATTACCAGCTGCCACTCCCACCACCAAACTCCTCTCATGCCTTTCATATAAAAGGTAGACCAAGCTCTATGTGATCTTGCAGTTCAAACTCACACCTGCCAAGCCCAACCCTACTCCTCCCTGCCCACTCAGCCTCCACTAAAGACTCGCACCCCCCACCGCCGCCTTCCCATGCTCACACGTATAACACACTTTCCCATCCGCCCCTCCTATCCTCATAACCCCGTCGTCTGCGCAAGCCTCTTCCCCATGTGAACCACCCTGTTCTCAATCCACACTTTCGTCCCAACAGGCGCAGGACGCAGATAAGTGCAATTTAGCGTCCGACTAACATGGCCTAGTAAAACATCAGTGTCTCAGAACTGCTTTTCCATAAATGAATGAGAAGTCCACTCACCCGTATCCCAAAACCCCTCCGTGGAAGCAGCCATAAGCGCCGTGCTAGTCGTGATATCGAAGATTAAAGCTACGGCGCCGCCGTGTAGGTTGCCGGTCATGTTGCAGAGTTCGGGCGTGACTTCGAAACTGAAGACTGTGCGGGCGGCATGGGGGTCTTGGGGGTGGGGTTGAAAGTTACGGATTTGAGGTGCAGGATTTGGGATATGTGGGCGTCGTGGCCTGTGTAGCCTTCTGCGGTGGCGGTTTGACTGACGCGAAGCTACCCAGGTGATGGGGTTAACGTGAGTAATGTGCTGGTGGGTTGGGTATGGTACGTACCCATTGCTGGACTCTTTCGAGGGGGGAACCTGATTTTGGGAGGCTGTATCGAGGTTTTGATTCCCCCATTTTGTATGGAATCAATAGGAGTTGTCAAGGAAGGAATGTTGGTCAACGTTACTGAGATGGGATGCGATGTTGGAGCGATGATGTACCTCGGTTCCAGGCGGACGCGCTTACTCGTTGCGGCTAATGCGCGTGCGCTAGTTGTGACCGCCCCGGTTGGTCACTTTGTACATCAACACGACAATTCCGTCTCGGCTCATCAGGTATTTGCTCGAGGTGATCCAATTGTATTGCTGCAGCTTTTGACTCTGTTGCTGGAAGACGTGGCATACTCTCTGCCAGTATTACAAGCATGTGACGAAGGGGAGCAAACCACTTCGGATATATCCCAACACGACCTCAAGCAATGCCTTCATGGCTCTTGGCTTTCAGTTTCCACGCCACTTCTCCACTTCCTACTTTCCCTTGCACCAACACACTCTTGAAACATCCGATCAACCTGACTTACGTTTCTTCCTTTCATCTCGGGCACAACCAACCAAGTAGCTCCCGCCGCAAGCACACAGCAGCCCGTAAAGACAAACCCCGTCTTCGCCTTCAGATCTGCAGCATCAGGATTGTACAAGTACGGGAGCACAAAGTTGGTAAATATCGCGGAAACGTAGGCCGAAATGCCTCCAATTGCTTGCGAAGGCGCGCGAAGACGCAGCGCAGAAGCTTCTGACATGATGGCATAGGACGCCGGCCACACTCCCAGACCGCACACGGTGATGATCAGCATGAGGAATGCAGCAGTGAGCCATGGGGTGAACCCTTGTACAGTCACGCAGCCGACGACACCCATGGCGGTCCAGATAGCTGCGGCTAGGAGCAGTGTGGAGATGGTGAGGCGGCGTCGACCGACGTGAGAAAGCGTCCACGTAGAACCTAGATTCGCAATGGTTCCAACCACAATGCCGACGATGAGCATCATCAGGCTGTATGTGGACGACATACCGACCTGTTGTAGGAAGTAGGAGGACGAAGTCAGCAGGGGTAGACCGAAGAGCGGAGGAAGCAGATTTGCAAAGATGACGATGAGCGAGCGTCGGCGGTTGGTCCCTTGGAAGCATTTTTTGTAGGTGATGCTACCTGCAGTACGCTCTTCTTCTGCAATGGCTGCTCGAAGCTTCTCAAGCATGTCTTCAACATCATTTTTCGGAGCGAAGAGTTGAGCGAGTGATGCGCGAGCAGCATCCATCTTCTTTTCTCGGACGAGGTAGGCAGGGCTCTCCGGAAGCAAGAATGCCATTGCGAAAGGCGCGATGGAAAAGGCCCATTGTGCGCCAAACGCAATGAGATATCCCGTCTCGTTCTTGATTTGATTGACGCCGAAGATGACGAGGGCCCCGATTAGCTGACCGAGTCTCAGTATACGTATTAGCAACTGCATTGACGATCTAGGAGGGCGTTACTCACAGGTTAAAAGCCGGAAATATTGCCATAGCAGCACCCCTCAAACACGTCGGCGCCGTCTCACTCACCCACGTCAACGTCACCATCTTGATCAACGCGAGCGCAAAGCCCTGCACGATCTTTCCAGCCAGGAAAACGCCCCTCCTCCCATTGACGCTTGGTGCTTTGTACGCCAACATCTCGACCAGGACACTCAACGCTGTGATGACACTCGCAATCAGCAAGCATCTCTTCCTCCCAATCTTATCCTGCAGACGACCTGCCGTGACGGCGCCGAATAGTTGTCCAACGCAAGGCATCGCTTGCCAAAGAGATAGCCACAATGCTGGTATGATCCATTTCTCTTCATTGTCCTCTATTCTGTCGAACTCGCCGAAATCGCGGAGGAAGGGGTCTACAGCGGTTATGCTGCCTACCACGACGAGGTCGTAGCCCCAGAGTATGATGACCGTTGCCAGGCCGAGGACGTAGTAGACGTATTTGGGGTATTGTCGGAGTGCGGCTTTGAGAGAAAGCTCGTTATAAGGATCGGAATTGTGAGGAGCTGCGCTGTCGAACCGCTCCACTTTGTTATGCTGGTCGGATTTTTCGGTGTCGTTGGCGTGTGCCATTGTAGGTCGAGAAGGTAGTCGGATCCTTGGATTTCACAGACGAGTGGAAGTTGGTACGCAAAGTGGTCGAGCTGTTGAACTACGCCAGAGACTTAACAAAAAGTGCCTAAGGTACAAGAAATGGTGTTTCGTCGAGTTCTTCGAACACGGTTTGCGAGAGAACAGAGCTGCGTCGTTACAATGGCCCGCTCCCGATGAACCTTTCGCATCGATGTTCTATATAGTGCCTCTCATGAGTGATCTTCAGCATCGCCATACTGCCCCCCACAGCCTCCTGTAATGCCCAGGTGTTGCAAGGCGTATGGCCCTCAGCTCTCTCAACGTCCCTCGGCATTGGCACTCTCCAAACATGCCTGCGATAGGCTTTCTTCCCCACATCTCAACGGCTGCGGCTCACACTACGGTCCCAGAGACATGGACTTGATCTGTGAGATGAAAGTGCTCGGAAGGGTTCCTCGAGTTGTTTGAACAACAGCCAATCAGATCGGACCAGAGCTGAAGCGAGGTTCGCGTGAGAAACCGAGGATCGCTCGTGCATGTTTTTACATCCCCAATCGACAAAGCTTGCGACGTCCTACTTGGACAAGCTCTCGACTGAACAGCATCACCTCTCACACGGATCACCTCTCAGATACCTGGTCTGCTACGATTAATACTACAACATACTACAGATTAACGGACAGCCTCGTCGACTGTCGCCCTACCTTATATAAAGGAGTGGTGCCCTACAATACACCCAACGAAGTCTAAAGAGATTCGAATGGAATAGTGCTCTTTTGGATTACAACAAAAAGCCGCCGCAGTGCTCAGCGGCGAGTCACGTGACTACAAAACACCCGACGCTATACAGGAACCTAATTCATCACTTCAGGAATATCGAAACTCAGAGAATCTGTCCCAAGCTATAAAGACACGCTGGCAAGCTAGTATAAGCACAGAATGGACACTACCTAGGTAGGGGAGACTAAAGATATCGCGGCCGTGACACAGACGGTAGAGCGCCTTCACGAGCCTCGACATAGTAGCAAGGGAAAACATAAGGCTCTGTATACGGGACTCTGACAGGATTGGCAGTTTGAGCAAGGTTCAAAAAAAGGTAGGTACCTTGCCGCACGGGGCCTGCTGATTCGTTCAGCGAAGCGTCGGCTCTTCGCCAAACCTCTGCATCCGGGCATAGCTGAAAAACTGCGGCTGAAACCGAGTAGGAATCAATCAATCAATCGACTGACCGTACCCCAGTCTGGACGAATGTGATAGAGGGTGGTGACCCCCCTGCACGTTCGCCTCGAATACGATGCTCCGGCTGATGCCAGGACCTGCCCCGCATCTGCCACACAAGCGCAGGATAATGTCAACCTCCAGTCTCGCTAGCATCGATAATCGAGCCTTTGAACTGTATTCCTAGTTTCTATGCTCTCTGGCGCTGGTTTGCACAAGCAATGCCATATCGAAATCGAAATCTTCCGAGTCGCTACACAAGGCGTAACCGCGGCGGAAGCTCGTCGTCCTTGGACCTGTGGGGTTATGTTTCCCTGATTGTGCTTGGTTCAGTTCTTGTCACAGTCGTTATCTCACCTTTTCTTCGCTTCTTGCCCACCAAAGCCGCGGGCATTATCGTGTTAATATGTCTCGCACCAGCAATGGTAGGCCTATTTGTTGGTGCGGTTGTCTTTTATGGTGTCATTGCTATTGCCATCGTGTGGGGCATAATTACGAACTTTCCTAGGATCTTGGAGTGGATGCTCGAGGCGGTCGTTATGGTTGTAGCCGGACTTTGCTATTCGATTTATGGAGTCTGGATCGCCGCGGCTTTGCTCCTCTGGCTTATGTACACGCTTTTCGTCTACCGCACGCCTCCGCTATTCGATTTATGGAGTCTGGATCGCCGCGGCTTTGCTCCTCTGGCTTATGTACACGCTTTTCGTCTACCGCACGCCTCCATTCAGCTATTTCTGGATTCGATGGACCTTTCAGGCAAGAAGATCTGGCTGGGAATCCGCAAAGAAGTGGGGGGAATCAAGTCAGGCATTGCAGCAGTCGGATGAGCTGTACCCAACTAGCCGCCGATCGAACCCCGTTAAACGTATGACGAGTCAGCTTTGCGAACAATGTTTCCAGACCGTTACGAATTCTGGGTTGCTCTCTGGATCCTTCTATCTTTCCACGCCGCGCGAAGAATGGAACACATGGTCTATCCGTGTTAAAGGTGTAGACCTAGCTGCACCAAATGAATTTTGCCACTTGTGCTCTCTTCTGTGGTATTCCATACCATTGGAAAAAAGACAAAAGATCACCGAGAGTGCCTTGATCGGTACCAATGGCGAATCTGAAGGTTTGCGCATCAAAATATACGAGGCTCATGGTCCTCGCTGGTACGAGGAGTATTACCGCTACGTGCAGCCATACCAGGAAGGTGATGGTAGTGAATGCGAAGCACTTTGCGACAGCTTGCTTGTTGAAAGAGGTAATACTGAACCCGCGTGCGACCCTGTGGCGCATGATGCTAATCCAAGTAGAGACTCTGCGTGAAGATATAAGGCTCAGCGCATCTGTGGAAATACCGTCCTGGACGGGTTCTGATGTCAGCTTGGGCCTTGCTAAGAGCTGGATCACAGAATGCGATAAGCACGGAGAAACTTGCCAAAGTCAAAGATCATCTGACGAAGACTCTTATCTTCCAGCCAGACTCCTCTACGTTGGCGACCCGATGTCCAGTGCACTTCGTATTGAAAATCCTTCTTCTAGCGCTATATATATGAGTGACCCAAGGTACCTTGCTCTGAGCCACTGTTGGGGGGAGAACGGTATACCTATCTCGCAAAAGCTTACCCAAGATAAATTAAAAGATTGGGCCGAATGCATCGAGGAAGACAATCTACCGCTCAATTTTAAGGATGCCATCGTATTTACTCGCTGGATCGGAGTGAATTACATGTGGATTGACTCTCTTTGCATAGTCCAAGATGATGCGGGCGATTGGGAGCGCGAATCGAAAAAGATGTGGAAGGTATACGCACATGCATACTGCACCATCTCATCCACCGGCTCCGCGGACGCAAATGGAGGCTGCTTCCATGAAAGAAGCCCCCTCCAGCAATTCCCATGTCAGTTGCGCTATTCTAAGCGAGCAGCTATATCGATCCGAGCCAAAGCTGACACATACAACGCGAAATCATTCACCTCCGAGGTTGACCAGGGTCCGCTTAGCGAGCGGGCATGGGCTTTTCAGGAGAGGCTGCTTTCACGACGAATTGTACACTTTGGCGCGAAGTTCTTGTTCTTCGAATGTGGGACCCAATTCGCGTCTGAGGTCTTCACTCAAGCTGTGAAGCATGTTCCTACTCAGGATGCCGATTCAACGGAGGCCCGCATAGCAGAAGCAATTGGTGGAAAGCGTCGGGATAAACGGGCAGCTGAACTCGTTGAGTCACAGTACGGCCCTGTCACAAGTTTTCGCACCGCTCTCGTAACGTTGCGCGAGGGCACATTCACCAAGCTAAGTATCGAACAAGAGCTCAAGCTGCACAAGTGCTGGTTTGAACTTGTAGCCAAATACACCGCCGCCAAGCTGAGAATGGAGTCCGATCGGATGATAGCCATTCTGGGTATCGCGCAATATATCCAAGGTGAGGCAAAGCGTACGCAGCATTTGCATGGCCTATGGCAGCGCCATCTGCTTCTGGACTTACTTTGGTGCCTTGAGTCAAGTCCAACCACAAGGATCACTCCTCGTACACCTTCTTGGTCGTGGGGATCTGTCAACGGGGAAATAAGTCAGCGACTAAGTCCCTATCCCTTTACAGATAAGTGCAAGCGGACTCGTCTCGTCAAAGTTGCTGAAGCATTGACTGGAGAGACAAGGATACTTAGTGGGCCCTTGGTGGAGTTACTCGAGGACGGGGCGATGTATCTCAATTGCCCTATACTCCCAGTACGCGATCAAGAGCTCGCCCCAGATAATCTCGCGAAACTTAAACTGCATTTGGACTCACCGGTAGACAAGGCCAAGAAGGTCTCTGCCGGGTTTTTACCCGACGTTAAGCAAATTGGCCCACCATCGGCTCTTGTTTGTGCAGAGGTCTTGAGGGTAGAAGTCCTCGAGGGAACAGTTCTAGACAGAATACATTCAGTATGGAGCGAGGGAATAGTTTTGAGGAGCTTGGATAGCGCTCACTCAGGAGTAGAATCTATGGATTTCGAAAGAGTTGGAAGATTTTGGGTGGAATGGCCGAGGATCAATGGAGCCTCGAATTGCGAGGCACGCATCGAAAACCGCGCATCGATATCCGAAAAGAAGGATCGCAGAGAGGTCAGGATCTTCTAGTCAATGGAGAAGGCTATCAGATTCACTGAGTCTGCTGAGATTAGGGTGGCGTCCAAGCCATATTGAGCTTGATTACGAACCTGTTGAGCCGGAAATACAAGAAAATGAGGATCTTGACAGAGGAAGCGTCAACCGTGCCCGAGGATATATGCGCCATTCCCTCGATCGGATATAGACGTCCAGGCGCATGATGTCAACAGTCAGGACTTACCCGATCTGACGCTTGCGGGAATCGTCTCGGTAAAGTTGACGGCCGCGTTCGCAAGGCAACTACAACTGTTTTGATGATCATGTCTACCTGCCTTATGTCATTCAGCGGAGAGCTTCTCGTGGGCAGCATCGACCATTTCGTGGACCATTCGCTCGTCCCCACTACCATGAGGAGCCTCATCATCTTATCAGTGGTAGGCAACGCCTCTGAACTCATCTTTGGCAGCATGATTGCCTACCGCAAGCAGATGAACCTCACTTTTGCTGCGTGCATGGTGAGCGTGATACAAATGGCTCTTCTTGTTGCGCCGCTTGTCGTGCTCTCAGGCTGGACCATTCGCTGACAGATAAGCTCGGATTTTAGCCTTTTCGAAGGCATCACCCTTGTCGCGAGTACAATGCTGTTCTTTTCACTCGTTTTTAGCGACAAGTGCAGTACCAGAAAGGGCGCTTCTCTTCTTTGCAGGCTACACAAACATCAGGTCTGTAAAGAGGCTTGATACTTCTATGGCTACTGATCAACCGACCAGGCTGACAACTTACTTCATCATCAGTATGTAGGATTATTAGATGCACCCTGCGTGTAGATCCACTCAACTATTAAAGGTCACATCTGAGGCAATCTGTAGTGAAAAATTATGTATAGGATGCCTTGCCCTGTAATATTGGGTCCACACATTGGCTTAATAAAAGTTCATAAATTTGTCGGAGAGACATTTTATGCTCGCGATGTCACAATCAGACCCAGACAAATGAAAGTATGGATCTGTTCATGGCATTGTAGGGTCAACAATATCACGGTGTTTACTAAGACGCTAGTACCCGAAAGGTCCTAAACGTGACTTGAAGTCGTGTGCGGCTAATACAGGTTCGCTAGGCCTTCCTGTAGCTCTGACTGGTTGAACACTATTCAAATGGCGGAAATAAGTTACAACGGCTTACTTTACGCCCCATCGACTAGGCCACGCGAGGTATGCCGCAGCCAAAAGCGACATCAGGCCGTGCTGATTAATGGGGGCTAAAATCGGTGCTCTTGAAGGTTATCAGTCGCACCTTTCTGCGACTGACCCTTCTGACTGAGATCCGAGATAGCCTTGTAAATATATTTCTTCGACATATTCGGAGCACCCCTTGACCGCAACCGACAAGGAGGTTTGCCCAGATCGATAAGATGGCTCCGCAGCTCGCGCAGCCCACTATAGAGGAGCTGGATGCTGCCAAATTGATTGCCGGTCCCTTTTCGCAGTTCAATGACTCTGTCATCTTCGAATATCTCGAGCCACCAGCCTCGCTCAACGCAACGTACGCTTGAGCCTGCACATGCTCTACTAATCGTCCTCCTATCACAGAAAGCTAACGCAGATATAGGGTATTGATCCGTGCCACGTACGTCAATCCAGCTGTCAGCGCGCTCAACAAGACTGGAACGAAGCATCCCCAGTCGCCACCGCTTCATATCCATTTTGATCAATGGGAGTCATTCTTGATGGCCAAAGGCAAGATATGCACGACGTCTACGTACGAGGCGAAAGAAGCGACTCACTCGAGAGGGGACGCTGTCCATCATATAGCGCCTTATATGCCGTAAGTAATTCCGTGCTTGTGCTAGTATGACTCTTTTCACAAGACGATCACCAACATACGCAGGCACTCCTTCCACCCGTGCGCAGATGCGACGGAAGATTCGACCATGTACATGTGGGCGCACCCTGAGGCTGTGCCCGATCCGATGGACCGACTCTTCTTCCAGTCATTGCTTGGCTTCCTCAGCGACGTGCACGAGAAGAAAGCATCAATGAGTATATTGCAGATCATGGTGAACCAGTCAGTGATACCTCAGCCTCATCCACAACCGAAGTGGAGATTACGATCTGCTAACATTGGTACAACCAGACATGCGAGTGCGTCGGCAATGGTGATGTTCCCTCGCGCATGGTTCCTAGGTCCGCTGCGATGGTGGATACCGTAAGTGTCTTCCTCCCATTTACTTTTGACAAAATCGTGCAGAAAAACTGTCACGTAAACCTTGAGACACGCTAATCCTGTCTCCATAGATGGCAGTTCCAGGGCCTTATAGCGGCAGTGGGTCGATGGTGCGGGTACAAAGGGCTGATCGAGAACTACATTTCGCCGGAAGAATGGCAGAACTACCTCCACAGTAAGAGGACCTGAGCCTGCAGGCACCGACGTCGTCTTTGCAATATATTCCAGATTACCATAATTCACAACCATGGTTTTAGGTAGCATGTTCAATTATGACTATTCTGCAGCTTGACAATGGTGTAATTGCCATGCATCGCGAGGTAACCAGACCGACCTAACGTATGGAAGCGTAGCGGCCGCGAAATTGATGGCTAAAATACTAGTGACATTTCTGTTGAATGCAGGTTCAAATCAAGACCAGAAACAGCTCCTCGTTTGACACAGCTATTTGGCGAAGAAAAGCCTGTCCGACATTTTCACTGTCCGGTAATCCTATACAAAAGAGTTCCGTGTCCAAAAGCATCATATCCTCCTGAATTCGGTCCATAATCACCACCGCCACCTTCAACATTTGCAGTCAAGTTGCGGTTGACGTAGTTGCGATAGCCTTGAGACCACGATGCATTGAGCCCACGGACGTCATTGTAATGTGCAAAAATAGCCTCATACCCAGGCCGCACCGCGAAGCGCGATTTTTCAGAAACTACTGGAAGGACACCTTCCCAGCTACGGTAGGGAACATAAGGCACTGAGTGGTTGGTGTTGAACTTCGCCGTATACTCCGCACTACGATGCCATATTAGGACTCACTTCTACTCGTCCTCCGAAATAGCGAGTCATAGGAGGGGGCAAGAGCACGTACCCATTGAGGATTTGATTCCTAAAGGCCCCATACAAATCGATGCCTTGATTGCCTCCCTGTTGGCCAATAACGCCCAAGAGTGCTACACAAAGTGTAGCGTGGCCCTGATCTCTGCCGCTTTCTTGAATCTCCATCAAAGTCTTCTTGCTCCCTGACTCGGTGAAATTCGCGATGGAAAAGTAAGGCAGTGCTCCGTTGACAACGATACTTGGATCCGGCAGTCCATTCAAGAAAAGGTCGACAGCCCAATTGTACATGGTGGAGTTGTCAGTGTAGATACCTATTGCCATGAGAGAAGCGATATTGCACAAATCCCAATTCGCATAGTAGAAATCAGGCTTGCCGTTGTGTTCGGTGAGAAAGAGATAGTTGTTGGGAACAAAAACGGTCGTGAGCATCTTCGCAAAAACATCTTGGTCGTCCTTATGCCAGCCTGGATAGATGCGTAACAGCTCGGCAGCATTGGCGAATTGATAACCATACAGGCCAGCAGCAAGCATCCGATCTTCATTTCCGTTGATCGATGTCAACGTGCTGCCCCAAGCATTCAAGATCTTGACCGCAGCGTCGGCGAATGTCGTGTTGGTGGTGATCAGCCAACGCAACGTGAGCTGGTACGCCGAGTGTGCGTCACGGTAAGCGTAGCCGTAGTTTTGGGTGAGGTTGGTGCTAGGATCTGGGGCTCCTCGAACGAGGACGGTTTGAGGGGTCGGCTTCCAGGTCGCTTGGGCTAGAGTACCAGTTGACAAGTGTTGATAGGCGGTATACCAGGGCTCATCTTTGTTATTCACCCGCAGCTTGATTCTCTCGATATCGGTGGAGGAGTGGAGTGCACCCGGATGGACAAAGTTGACCACTCTGTGGTTCTCATGTTCGTAGGAAGACGGATGATGTACCACTGCGCTAGCTAACGCAATGCTGAACAGTATAGAGCTCAGCGAAAAGAAGCGCATGGCTCAAAGCACAATTTTGATGATGGTATTGAATGCAGCTTGTGAGCATCATGTTGCACTCTTATATCTTTTCTCACATATTAAAATTCAAGATATCACCACTGTAGGAAATTGATACTTTTACCCCACACTTTCTGTGCATACTTTCTCCGCTCCCGAGATTGCGGAGTGTGTGGAGCATGGCGAATGTTTGCCGTGAGGCCCAAGAAAGGCGGACGGAGCGCGGCCCGGGACATGCCCCGGAGCCCGCTCACCAGAACGAGTACGAGATCGCTCCCTGAACCCCGCCTTCTCGCATGTTATGGTTGCAAACACGCGTCTTGATAGAGTTCTTTAGGACATATCTCGGACTGTCATGCGGAGAATGTGCCGGAACGACGGCCATTTTCCAAGCTCCCAGTGTGATGCTGAAAGCTTCGTGGCGACCTCAATTTCGTAAAAGTCATTGCGCTTCACATAAATCTTCGAGTTACTGTAGTATATAATCTCGCGTTTCACGAAGATCTCGGAGCCTAGGCCAAACGACAACCACCATGTCTACGAAAGCACTCGAATGCGGTGCTGATACACCGAACCACACCGAGAAGGATCTCGCTGCCACTAAGGGTGCTATCCTGCACTCAGAATCGGTTGACGGAGAGACCTTGCGATACACCACTGGGCCGCCAGTCGAAATCGACAAGGCCACCAACAGACGCCTCTTTTGGAAGATCAATCGCCGGATCCTGGTCATTCAGCTGGTCACGTACTTTTGCCAAGCGCTTGACAAGGGAACTCTAAATTTTGCATCGATAATGGGCATTAAGAAAGACGCAAACTTAGTCGGACAGGAAGTTAGTAATCTTTGACTATGGAGCGTCCGAAACCCACTGACTCTTCTCGTAGTATCAATGGCTCGGTACAATCTTATACATTGGCATTCTTTGTGGCGAATGGCCTCAGAACTATCTACTTCAGAGACTTCCCCTAGCTAAAATGCTCTCCATTAACGTCTTCATATGGGGAGCTATCGTCGCATGCTCGGCTGCATCTACTAACTTTGCATCCCTCATGGCGGTCCGCTTCTTCCTAGGATTTTTCGAGAGTTGCATTCAGCCAGCTATGATGTTACTGTAGGTGCCTGCATGCTATCGGAGGCGCTCCCACTAACAACCATGAAGAACATCTATGTGGTATACTCGGGAGGAACAATCACTTTTAAATTCTCTGTGGTATTGCATGTCTGGGGTGCAACTGATGGTGAGAGTCTGAATGCTTCAGGAGGACATGCACTGACTACTGCAGGTTGGTGGACTCCTGGCATTTGGCGTGTCGCACTTTACAAATGGACCCATCAAGAGCTGGCAGCTCCTATTCCTCATCCTCGGTCTCGCAACATGCGTTTGGTCCTTCGCCATAAGTTATTTTCTGCCTGACAGTCCAATGGCAGCCAAATGCTACTCGGAGGATGAGAAGCGCATGTTCATCGAGCGTGTCCGGCACAACGAAACGGGTATCAGGAACAAAGAGTACAAGAAATACCAGGTCAAGGAGGCCTTCACTGACCCCTTTGTGTGGTGCTGCGTTTTGCTAATCACAGTCGCCAATCTGATTATTGGTGGTCTCGGTGTGTTCTCTAACCTTATCATTCGCGAGTTTGGGTTTTCACTCCTACAGACTCAGCTGCTCAACATTGCTCAGGGAGCTTGGTTGATCATTGTAATGATCGGATCTGCACAAGCTTGTCAAAAGTCGGGTCAAAATTGTCTTATGATGGTCGTAGGTCATTCACTTGTTGATTTGTGGGCCACTTGACTGACGCGATTCAGCTCTGGACTCTGCCCGCCATTGCCGGAACGATAGTTATCCTCATCGTCAAACCAACTCCAAAGAACTCCGGGGGAATGCTCATTGCGTTCTATTGTACCCAATTCTTCTGTGCGCAAGGGAACATGATCATTTCCCTCATCACACGCAACATTGCCGGACAAACCAAAAAGGGCATGACTATGACCCTGGTCTTCGTTGGGTGGTCCGTCGGCAACCTTATCGCACCTCAGATCTTTCAAGAGAAAGATGCACCAAGGTATCTCAGTGGGTTTATTGTACATATTGCCATTTATGGGGCATACATTGGGCTGGTACTTGTGACGCGCTTCGTCTTGATGGCGAAGAACCGCCGCAAAGAAGGTGCTGTGAGCGAGGTTTCGCACGAGCTTGCCTTTGAAGACTTGACAGATACGGAGAACCCGAATTTCCGTTACGTTTATTAGGAAGGTTGCAAGAGAAGAATAGCGATGATAGGCTAAATAGCAAAGGAAGTATGCCAGCTATCAGTCGAGGATTGGAAAGATCGCGGCGATGATAAGGTCTTGTTAGTGAACATGTAGTGACTCGATGTTTTTCTAGGTAGATCACCTGCTTAAATACGTTATTAATATGCATTCTAATTCTAGAGAACGTTTGGCCACTTCCATTTGGATGTAGCTAACCGCCTCGATGGTAAAGCTGTGACTAATCTAAGTATCAAAGTCAGTTCCGTGCTGCGAATGCCGGGTAGTCCATGAAATTTCGAGAGACATGTTACTGCGCTGTTCATAGAACATGGAAACTCCCAGCACTTCGACAATTACATCCCCAGATCTTCCTTTCGCTATAGGCTAGTATGCGCTTATCTCCGGGATGAGAACCGGCTCTTGTACTGTGGATTCTTTGATCAAGCCGGCAGCATTATATGGGTCAGAATCTTGTTCAGGACAAATACCACCTCTGGAGACCCGATTTACGAGATCGCGCGTTGGAAAGAACATGTGAACCATACGAAGTGAGCTTTAGGGCTTACCTAGTCTCGGAACAATTGGTATTTGTGCTGCGATAGCGAGCCGTGGCTGATCTTCTTAGCGCTTTCTGCCCGGCCCGTCACCTTTCCCGCACTCCGTTGCCTTTTCCGCAAGATTCGGGCGAAACCCCCGCTCTTCCCAGACATAGAGTAATGAGTCGAAAAGGCCCATCAAGAAAGCAGTAACCACGTTCTTTCCCTCCTTGACTTTGTTTTCATCGAGTTATAAGCGACCCCTTCGTGTTTTCTTTTATGCAAATCATGACCAGTATGGTAGATTCGACTGCGTTACATCACGCGAAACACTTTTGTGTTGAAAACGACATCGTAGAGGGAGAATCTCTCAGCAGCCCTTTTTCAAATGCACCGATTGAGCAGAGATCTGTAGATGCGGTACGTGTTGAAAATATATACACGATCATCAGTCTCATTCACTAAGATGGCGAAGAACTCACAAGGCGTCCCAGTCAGCGGCCTGGAAGAACCAGGTGCACATCATGAGAAGGAATTAATACGAGAGTGTTCTGAAGATGGACTCCTCAAGTTGTACACACCATCTGTGGAGGCGAAGATTTGGGGCATTGCGGCTAAAGGCTTGGGACTATCGTCACCACCGACATTGTATCCAGAGTACACCATGCCTGGCGGCTCTCACTACATCTATCGGAAAGCGGACTTCTGGACATCTGGGTTCTTTCCTGGCAGCTTATATCGGTTGTTGGAAAGAAGGAGGAAATATTCACATGTTCTCAGTGAAGCGAAATATCCTTCACAAGGTGGCCCGCACCTTTTGAGCATCGAGTAAGCTTTATTTTGGACTCCGATCAAATAGCCCGCTGACATCTCTGCAAAGATACGCATGCAAGTATTGGACGGAAAGTCTACATTCAAACGCGCTGCTCAGCACCACGCATGACCTCGGATTCATGATCATGCCCTGGGCAAAAGTGGCTTACGAATTGGGGCACGATCTCCGTGCCTTGGAGACTATCAAGTGCGCAGCGAATACTTTGTTTTCCCGATACAGCAATAAGATGGGTTGCATCAGATCGTGGGACACTTGCGTGACAAAGGAGTACAGCTTTCACTATCTGGATTCTGACTTCATGGTCATCATTGTAAGTGCAGGAGTACTAGTGATGGTATTGCACATATTGACGAGCCATTAGGATAATATGATGAATCTAGATCTGTTATTCTATGCAGCTTCGAAAACGGGCAACAATGAGATGTTTTCCGCAGCAGTCCAGCATGCTCGTACGACATGTCGGACCCACCTACGGTCCGATGGTTCGACAACACATTTGGTAGTGTTGGACCCAGAATCTGGCGAGATAAAACATCGCCTCACGAACCAAGGTTATTCGCACTCATCTTGCTGGTCCCGCGGTCAAGCATGGGCGATAGCAGGGTTTGCGGAGACGTATCACTGGACAAAGGACGAGGAATTCTTACGCACAAGCCAACGGGCCGCCGATTACTTCCTTAAGCGCTTGCCAGAGAATGGTATCGTCCCTTGGGATTTTGATGCGTTGGAGCTTGAAGGCTTATCTCAGCCGTCTGACTCTAGTGCAGCCATTATTGCGGCGTATGGTATGCTGTTGATCCACCAAGGCCTTGTTGATCTTGGGCAACCCTCAGATTACCTGGCGGCAACGCTGAAGATTACTCAAACGATATGTGCTCATCACATGAGTTCTGCAGCCTCCTGGGACACAAGTGAGGTGGATATAGACACTGTTGAGTGGGGGCATGTAAAGAAAACCATGCAGAAGGTGAACATGGGCGCCGGGGACACAATCCTAACAGGTGCAACGATCAATAACTTCAAACATGCACCAAGAAGATGGGCCAACCACGGCCTCGTCTACGCTGACTATTACTTTATACTAGTTGGAAACAAGTTGCTGGAAATGGGTATCGATCCCTATGGTCTTCTTGTCAAGTAAAAAATATCCAGTACTGAGAGACTTAGCTACACATTGTTTCAAGACCACATCACACCATTTGTTGATTGCGAGAAGGTGGAAACTCGTTGATCGGGAAGGAATGGATAGTCGAGAAAAGAAGCTAGGTCTTCCAAGGCCGAATCGCCGGCAAAGACAGTCCTCGATGGAGATGTGCCGGGAATATTAGATTCGCTTATATCGGTGTGCGTAAATCCTGGTTGTTTCGTCGACTCTCGGTTGGGGGATGGCATAGCGGTCTGAATTCTGCTTGACGGCTGTGCCTGGAAAGCAAGAGGTAAAGGAGGGAAAGCTAAGGTAATGCTGTCGGGCGTCTCGCCCTGATCTGCTGCCACAGGGAGCACTTCGCCGAACGTCCCCAGTGGATGCGATCCCGAGCAGGATGCGTCTAGGGGATTCTCCATCGAAGGCAAGGAATATTCAGCACCTTCAACTTCAAGTTCGGGCGGGTTTTCAGAGTAAGCTGCTTGCCGAAGATCCAGCGTTTGTAGCCCCGATTGCCTCGCGCGAAGGAGCCGCAAAGCGAATTTCGAAGCCAAGTTGCTTCTTGACGTACAATACTCTCCATTCCAGCGATGCGCCATCACTTTGAGGCTTTGAACAAGACTGTCAAAGGCGGGAGGTAAAATGATCTCGTAGTAAAACGAGTGCGCAAGTAGCATACGACCACATATGAAAAGACAGAATGCAAATTGTGGATTTGTCAAACATTGCATGTTGCGGAGGAATTCTTCGGCGATGATTGACACTTCAACACTCGCTGCCATGCAAGTCTCAGCACTTGAGCTAGCTGGCAACTTGATTGGTAGTGACTGCCAGTCTGACGATGGATAAGCTATACCTTGATGCAAAAGTACCACGGCAGTGTTGTGTGTAATGTGGGCTAAAGTCAAATTTGGATCCATATTTCCATCTGCATTTAGAGCGCATGCTTCACGCCAACGCTCCGGCAAGTAGATTTTCCATCTGTGCAATGTCAATCATGGAGTCTAGGGATCAAGCATCGATGGCTTACTGAACCAAGCGCAGGTCCAATTGTTTGAACCTCATGAGCCAGATCTGAACGTCGTGCGCTTTGGCTACATCCACCGCCTGTTGCAGGAAGAACGAGGTAACAAGGCTCAGACTTTCGGTGGCTTCAATGCAATATGCAAACCCGCCTAGGGAGGCTTGGTCAGCTGTCTCCAGTCGTGCACTAGGCAGCGTATTTGCCGTAGTACCTGGGGGGTCTGATACGCCAAAAAATGGCGTTGGCGTAATTAGGGGATTTCCTTCCTCCCATAAAGCTCCTTCGCACGGCAATCGCCTTTTCACATCAGCGCTGGTGAGACAAACGTTCCAACCTGTTGCAATACTGCAGAAGCGATCCATAAGAAAGACGTTCCAGAAGACGCGACGTCGTTCTTCAGCTTCGCTCCAAGTTCGACATGGCCGCAGAAATGCCATGCGTTTTACCAGCGCATGTCTGTCTCTTTTTGTGATGGCTTCTGCCTCGTCTGCCTTGTCCTCAATACTCAACTGCAGTTGCTCAACAGTTCTCGCCATGCTGCCGACGATAGACCATGCTGACGGGCCGCGACCACTCCCTATGGTATCAAAAGCGCAGATAATGAGAGCCTGGAGACCCTCGACAGAGAACGATTCCATGCTTTGTAGTATGACAGCTTGACGGTTGGCTGTGGCCAGCCTCGATCGCGTTTCGAAGTCACCAAGCCGTGGGTCGTGACAGAAGCGAATGCAAGTGGCTATGATGGCACGCAGAATGATCTCTAGCTTCTTCCGCTCAACTTGAATCCCCATCTTTTCTCGAAATTGTCGGACGTGAAGTATGGGAATCCAAGGATGTATGTGGACAAAGTAAAGTTCGACCAAAGAGTCCACGAGCTCTGAAGGTGGTGTATCCCCGATCCCAGTCGTGCCCTGTCGTGACACAGGCGATACGACGCGATCATCAAGGGAGGGTCTTTGTCTCTTATTTGCGACTGATGCCTCGCTATCCTCACTGCAGCGCTTGCGACCAAGACCTTCCAGTTGATTCTTCAAGTGCTGAGCTTGACCGTAAAGCGTGTGAGCTTCCGCCGAGGAAGGTATGCCTTGGCCATTGGTTGTTTGGAGATGGTCCCAGAGCTGTTGCCACATAATGCCTTGCCCAAGAAACATGTTTTCCAATGCATCTAAGCGGTGATTGATCCGATCGATTGCGCCAGCCTTCATTCCTGGTCTTCCCTTTTCCTTATCGTATACGCAAGTCAATTCGGCTTTTATGCATTGTGTACAAGGTATTTGTCGTGAACACTTTGATTTTCTCGTGCGGCACGGTTGGCACGCTGGACCAGAGCCTTTGTCTTTCTTTGCATGATTGTTTTCAGTGTCGGATAATTCAGGACCTAGGAGATCGCAATCATCCATCGAGGCGAGATTGATACTTCTTTGAGCGGACGAAGTGACCCCGTGGATGCAACCCTGCGTGTTGTGCTCCACAGAGAATGGGGCTTACCGATTTCGGTAAAGTGGCGGGGTCCGGAAGAAGTGCGGAGAAAGATTCCGGGGCCTCGAACGTGACCTCCTTCCCGCTGCGCTCCAACCGGACCAGATGCCGTCGTCATGCACTCGATTACACGACGACAACGTCAAAAGGTCTCGCCGTCCTCAAGGTATGTACATTGAGGGACGATATGTCAAGGGTATTCACGACCTTCAACCTTGTCGTAATAGTAAAGGTATGGTACAGATGCATCGATTGTTCTGGACTCTAGCTGAGTTGTTCTACGCACTGCTCCAACACCTGAAGGTGCCAGCGCTGCAATCTCATGTGCGCTGAGATTCTTACCCTTAGGATCCACAATCACTATCTACCAGCTCGAATGTAACGTTTCTTACGTGCTCATTGGCGAATAAGGGCACAAAGTCTGACACCATATACCAACTTGGCTTTTGCATATCATCGTGAATCATCTTACCATCGATCTTGAGGTTTTGAAACGTGACGTTTTCGACTATTCTGCTCAAATCAAAACCAAGGATCTGAGACGGGTTCACTATTTTTGACCTGTCAAGACTGAATTCAATGTTTCGAAATGTCACATTGCTTATCCCGCGACCAGGTGCCGTCGTCCACATGGCATTCCTCATGACCCGAATGTTGAAGAGCTGACCTTTGGTAATACTCTCCACTCTGACATCCTCAACGAGGACATCTCGTATTAGGTTCTCATCAGCAGCGTTGATTGCAATGCACCCTTGGTACCACATCTGGTTCTCACAATGATCCAGAATATCTATATCGCTGATGTGTATGTTGCTGAAGGTTTCCGGGTCGTTGGGATTGCCGTGTGTCCCAATTTGGATGGGGTGGGCGATATCCGGTAACAATGTACAACTCCGGACGCGAATGTCTTGCGTATCACCGTAGTAGTCCCAGCGATGGCCATAGATAGCGATGGTGTCATCAGAGTTCCGCAGGAAGCAATTTTCGATGAGGATGTTTCGGCAACAGAAAAGGTCGATGCCGTCACCATTGCCGTGGGACGAGAAAGAGCGATAACGATCGATGTGGATGTCTTGTCCCTGGCCAATGGGAAGACTAAATCCAAATGAGCGGAGAGAAGTCACTCTCTGCACTAGGATCTTCTGTGATCGTTCGATGAGAATAGCCCCACCGGCCAATTCCCTGGGCATGAGAGATTTAGAGGCGTCGTAGTTTCCTCGACATATGAAGCCAGGGCCTTTTATGGTTGAATCTTCTACACCAGCAAAGACAACTTGTGCTGTGAGGAAAGCACCGCTAGCGAGATATATCGTTGTATTCGAAGGGACGATCAATGTCCCATCAGATATTTTCTCAGTGGCGGAGCTGTTGTTGACGCCGGGGCCAAAGTACCACACGCCTTCCGCTTCGCCCTCTGGATCCCCCGCTTCGATGGTGTTCACAAGCAAATGCAAGGCTTGCCACTTGTCTCCATTGATCTCGAGCATGATGTCAAGAGCTCGGTCGAGTGTAAAGCTGATTACGTTGTCCTCCACGGTGCAAGCAACGCCGAGTGAGACAGGATGAATGGTTGCTATCTTGACGTCCGCAAGGTTGTAATGTGCTTTGAATTGCAGGGATCTCCCAGCCTTTACACTCAAGGATGCGACACTGATCGGGTATGTATCGAACTGATTTCCGGCGATATTGACGTTTGCGACCTTTGTTGTGTACGCTGTGACAGGGATCCATGCGCCGTCGCCTTCACCATCAAGGTCGACATCGTGAGCTAGAATTCTGAAACTTTCGTCAAATGTAATGCCGTCTGGAATGGGACCACGGTCAGCCACTTGAAAATTCGCCATTATGGAGTTCGTCAGGATGTTAAACGTGAACGAACAAGTAGTAATATAGTTGGATCGAACGCAATGAGTCGGGCATACAAAAGCATGGAAGTTCAGACGCGAGGGATACGCGAGCGTCGGGGTCCGGTCCGGGACTTGCGCCACCCAGCTGGTCCAACTCTTACGTGTCTCAAACAGCGGAAGCTGGCTAAAGAGCATGGAGTGGCTTCTGAACTTCGTTGAATATTGGAGAACTGTCCAACGCTTGTGGTACAACTGTGATTGCTCCCCGCTTAACCTTGAAGTTACGATATGCCTAGAGACAATATTAATTCTGGGTCTCGGCATGCCATACGAAGCACCGCATCTACCGTTTCATCTCTATACTAGAAAACACATTCTACTTCTATCACACCTAGCGCAAGATTTCACGGGCTTCACGTGTTGCTGTGGTAGCTGGAGGCTAGAGGTGTGGAACAGGATGTGCTGAGGTCGCAGGTAGCCTAACACTCTCGTGCATCTACTTTCGACCAAAAGCTTGCCATTCTAATTCATGAGATTTTAAGACAATCATAAGCTTAAAAACAATCAGAGCATGAATAGTAACATTGTTCCAATGCTAGATTGTCCGGGCGTGGGGACGGAGTTAATGCTTCTGATCTCCGAGACATTGCATCACAACCGGATTTAAATCAATCGGATAAAATTAATTCTAGATGCACAGGGAGAAACGATTTATGGATGGTGTTATCGAGTTGTTTGGGAATGGCTTAGCGCTACGGCATGAAAAGTGTACCTAAGCGACTCCTGGAAAGATGCGGGGTACGTAAGTCTCGTACGACACTGGAGGTTATCCTCATGAGCAGAGCATGACCTCAAACTTCTCTTGCTAAGGAAGGACCAAGTGCTGTCTTTCAACAACGGCGTCCGTGGCAAAACTCGAAGCTACTCTCGACATGCGTATTCGGCAAGGCCCAGCAACACCCGAAAGAGATGTAGACGCACCAGTTCCGTCCCCACTCGAGAGGATAGTCTTTTCGAATTTCTCCAAGGAACAGATCCTGACAGAACGATGGACAGCCGGCGTGCGACAAACTGCAGCTTACCTCTCAGTGGACCTTGCCATGCTAGGACGCGTTGATATGGCCACCAGGATCCAAGAGCTTCTGCACAATCCTGCCTACATACCAAAAGGCATGTACGACGGGGCAGCCAACTATTGGCCATGCTTGAACTTTGCTTGGGAAGCAGCACATATCCAAGGACCCAATATGGACGATGAGGAAGCGTTGCAGAAGAGACAAGAAGATGAAGTGTTGTATGTGGAAAAGCAGTGTTTTGAGGCCCCTCCAAATGACAAACATCAGATCGAAGTAGAGAATGATCTGAGACGGATTTTCCATGAGGGGATCGATAGCTTTGATGAGGATGAAGTCGTGGCGACGATGACAAAACTCTCAGATATGTGCACGCCAGGATCTTTTCAAGGTCGCGCCGTGCGAGCCAGGGCGATCGACTACCTGATGCGCAAAGGAAGAAGACAGGAGGCGGAGAACATGCTAGGTCTAGCCACTCAGGCTATCCAGAATAGCGCCTACAAGTTGCATAACGAGATGCCTAAGCTGCGGTACGCGTGGAGGCTGCTGGTTACAGGTGTACTTCGTGATCAACTCGGAATCGACAACAGAGAGCTCGAAGAGAAAGGTGGACAGGCGATTCACACCATTCAGCAACGATTGCGTGATGGTCCAATTCGCCCGCTAGCACTGGAACCTATGGAAGAACTCGCCGGCATAGTTGAAGCTAAGTTTGGATACAAGATTCGCAACCCGCCCGTTAATGATGAGGACATCGCGGGTGCGGAGGCTCGTCTTGATGTTCCGCTTCCCAGAGATCTCAAAGCTTTTCTTCACACTTCAAACGGATTTTCTCGCGACGAAGTGGTCGTAATCAACAGCATATCTGCCCTCAAGTGGCAGCCCCCACTCATTCCAGAGTACCAGCTCAGCCTCCTGCCAGGCGTTGACGCTTACAAGGGCCCAGATATTGAATACGTCGCGCTTGATCGCGTAATATCACTCTCTGGTTATAGTCGTTTGGGAAATGAATATGTGTACTTGATCGAGCCACATTTCGTGAACGAAGCGCGAACGCGATTACGCGACTACTATGAGAATCAAGCACAGCCTGAGATGAGAACCATTATGGACAAGTGTGTGAAAGACTATTTTGGTGGCTGGGACGAGTTACAGCAGCTGGACTGGGGTATCACGCGGTTCAGGAAGTACGACTGTGATTTCGTTCCGGGGTTCCATATATTTCTGGAGGACCTGGCAGTGCGACCAGTAGAGCTATAAGCTTATAAGACTGCCTTAGGATAGCCAACTGATCTGTTCGGCCTCTATATCCCTTCTCGGAAGACGACACAGTGTATCTGAAGTTTTGACTCAATATCTCACTGGCCCAGTGCGTATGTACGCGATTATCATCTACCAACACACTAACGAAGCTCAGTACCCACTACCATTAGTACCACGTGTAGTTCAAATGCTCGCCCGTTTGCGAAGCATGCTGCGTCAGTAAGGTAACGAGCTCAGTACGCTAAAACTTAATGCACTGACTTTTTAGATGATACAAGCAAAGCTAAGCGGTAACCCTCACCACAGATAAAATTTCACCCTCCGCCCTCGTCGTCTGCAGGAACATGCCCAACGCCATGTTCTCCAAATCTCACCTCAGCGCCGACTCACTAGCCCCCACTCTGGCGTTACTACCAGTGCGACTAAAGAACTCAGCAATTGACGCTTCCCCAGGCACCACATCATGACCCTTTCCCAACTACGATTGTCGCTACTCAGAGCACGACGGTAAACAAGAACATGGCTATTGGGAGACTCCACCATGCTCAAACGCATGTCTAGAGGACATTACCTTACCCTGATCACACTCAGAGGGCGGTGTCATCCTGATCTGGCCTATTCGAGCGGTAACTGCGTTCGTGAGAGCAATTAGAGAGTTGATAGGGATCATCTTAGCCATTGCAGCAGAGGTTGATCGCGATGGACTGCAAACACAGCAACGATAGTGACGAGGCACAAGGCCGCTATAACCATATCCAGTGACGTGTTAGTTGATGAGGACGGTACCACTTACTGCTCCTACGAGGGTTCGTACTGGTTGCAAGCGGGGTATTCTTTTGAAGGCTGAATGGGAGCTCGGCTGGGTTGTGCATTGCTGAGCCCGATGAGCTTGTTCATTGACCATCCCGACGTCTTTTGGATTTGCAGCTTCAGGGGTCCTAGTAACGGATGTCACTCTTGTAATGTTCGAATCGGGCCTCGGCGGCTGAAACTGCTCCGTAATTGCTGTCTACGTGTCATTGTTTTGAGGCAGAGGCAGGATACTGTCTAGGTCTTCGCTATGTGAGGACGCATTCTGAAGGCCTCGAACCGTCATTGGCGACTGTAATGGGTTAAGTAAGGTTCAAACTGTTCTTATATGAAGTAATCTGATGTGCGGGGCGAAAGGCGATAACCTTGTATCCACGGCTATGGGTTCTGCACGACCAATTGTCGCTGTTCTCGGAAGGCTAAAAGCTGGTGCGTATGAACCTCTTCGTTCACTTTCCGGTTCCGGCGATTTTCACGATACATGGAGCTGGGGCGTTGAGGTAGTGCCAGGTATGATCCGTCCATAGAGCTGACTAACTATACCACCCAAGGACGGCCACGAAAGGATGAGGTAGTAAGGTCAATCAGAGGAGTATAATCTGTCTTTAACGCGAAGCGGAAAGGAAGCGGGGGTGTTTTCTCGCAAGGCTGAAACGGGTTCTGCGAGAGTATTGGCCGGCTGAATGCATTGAGCCCAAGCCAGCTTGAGTTTTGGGATGAAGTTGTCACATTGGTGTAGCTTTGGCTCTTCATATCGCACCGTTGGATATAAGATTGGTCATGCTTCGTAGAAGGTCATTGATTGCTACGCGCAGCTTGGTAGCAGACCTCTACATGTGTGTGACTCACAGAAGGTGAGTGCGCTCTATCTCAACAAGGTAGCCAACAGCCCCAGTCAAAGCGACAACAGCAAGTACTTCGAAGAACATAGAGAATCTGTGTCGGGTATATACGATCGATGACTCTACAATCAATTGACCTGGAAGATTGCAGTTACACTGAGGCTATAGCAATAAATAACAAAGGGCGAGTAGCGCATGGGAGATCGATATTCATTAGGAGTCGAGAGAGGGATGACAGGGAGGCGCGCTGTTTTGCGGCTTCTTGGATGAGTGCCACGGTCTCATCCCCTAAAACCAAAAATTCGTTGAATTACATTTACCTAATGCCGGCGCTGGCTCACGCACATGTGTATCAAAGCCTAATAGAAGATACGGGAGTATATTACAACCATATAAGATTAAGGGAGTGTAGATTATGAAGTACAAGTTAAAGAGTGTCCACACGCAAAGTCCATCCCAACACAAGGAAAACAAGGAGAAAAATACACCCTGAGGATTTAGGGAAACAAAAAGGGAGTGTACTCCAGATCTCCAGCAGGGTTAAAAAACAACCACCCAATCGCAAACAGTGTACACACAATACAGGCTCAGTTCACAAGAGCCATGTTCCAGGCACGAGATGTACCAAATCATGTATCGCCAGAGGCGGGCTGTTTCTGTCGAGCATCCGTAGCTGCCTTGAATCTCTCATCTGCAAGGACCTTCTTCTGTAATGCCGTGCATGCCTCAATGTCATTTTTGTGTACGGCCTCTATTCGGATTATCTCGCTTTTCCCGTCCTTCCCAACGAAGTTTACTTGGGCATGCCAATGACCATCACCGGAAATACCATGTTCGGCCATAGGTGACGAACCTTTTTGTGCAAAGGTTTTGACGGAATCTGAAAACATATCAGGATACAATTTCCATATGCACAGATAGGACCACTTATTTTGAATGGTCTCGTTCATAGCAAAAACCGCGTCTGCATGAGCTGGTCGCATGGGCTTCTCCGTCTCTTTCCTTTCATTGGGTGTGGGTTTATCTGGTGCATGTTTTCTGCCGTGCGCCAGCTGATTGAACATGTCAAAACCACCCGAGGAATCCATCTGTGCGGACTGTTGAGATGTCTGGAAAACGAATTGATTGCCGAGATATTGGGAGATCTAACAGAATCTGCTGCTTGATTTGACCACTATTTCGCTGGTGCTTGTATGTGCTGTATTCTGACCGATAAGTCGAGCGCCAATTTTGGAAAAGGTGTAGAGAGAATTGTGAAAGAGCGACCCAAAGCAGGAACATTACAATATTTATATGGAGGATATATGCTATGAGTCTTCGTATGACTAGAAAAAGAGCCACGAAAGGCCCAAGGAAGGCGTGATGACCGTACTGGAGTGATGGCACTGTGATAACAACGTTAGAGACTATCGAAAGCACGGGCTTAGCAATTGGGACCTGAACTCAACCCTCGGGATTAACATTCCATAGCAAGTGATTAGCCATGTTTCAGCAATGGTTGCTGGTTAATGTTCCGCAATAGAATGGTATTGATGTGCCGATGCGGGTTCAATCGCGGGCGTTCATGCTTCTTAGACATAATAGCGATAATAGTTCTACACCGGCACCAAAAGCACTAGGGAGTGCATATACCTAGGTAGGTAACCTAATTTCTTAATTCTTCTTATTGGTAAGAGTTCTAGCAAATGGACCCGCTGCAACCCGCGAGTTTGTGTAACTAATCTTTAACGAGCCGCGCAGCCCAACGAGTTGGGCACTAGTCTTGTGGAACATAAAGTCGTGACAGTTTCACAGATGGCTATCACACTTGGAACGCCACGGTTAGCAAATGTATGCCTGAATTGCGGCTGCCCGAAATAAACCTCCCGGGATCTTAGAGGCGTGGGCAATGTCTCCGCTATGGTTGTGCGTAGCAAGATTGAACCGCGGTAGACTATATGAGGCGGCGGCTCAAGAACTCATGGTGCGAGGTGGTACAATCGGAAGAAAAATGGTGTTATATCAAGCGCTTGCGGCTGCATCTTTGTTTTTTTAGCCTGCTGTCAAATGTCCTCTGTCTCGCTTCGATTCGGTGACTGGATGCTGCAATCCCAGATCGTAGCATAGAGCACCTACAAAATGTGGGCCTCCGTCAGCCCAGTCATTGCCATCCTTTTGTCACAGTCTGCAGATATCCAGAGCTTTTAAATTTGCGATAGCAGCAATGACAATCCTGAGCAGCCGAGACCGGACCCCGCAGTATCGACGATTGATGGATCACCCATGATCTTCAGAGCTCACGCTCGCCTAGCAAATATCACCTTTCTATTGGTTCTCCAAAGCTCAATCTTGGTCCTCGGGCTACTGATCTTAGTCCCCAGTTTCAAATGAAGAAATGGTGCACAGAATTGAGGCAATGGCTCGGATCTCTTAAGTTGGGCCTACTCACTGCGAGTCTCTTTTCAACCACATTCACAGATCGAGAAACCGCGACCCAACGATCCATATCGCTGGCCAAGGTGTCCGCGTTGGAGCACTCAGTCAGGTCTCGGTTTTGATCTTTGTATGGATTGGAGTATTTTTGAATTTTCCCGAGTCATGAAATACAGATATCGTAAAGATATTGTACACTCACTGGAGAAGAAAACTACGTAAGCCGATGTCTTAGAGCCGTATACAGTGGCAACAGATAGGCAACTGCTGTCAAGTGCATGGTAGGTGGTTTCCAGAAGCGTTCGCGGGTTGGCATGGACCCATCACGTTGAAATCTGTTGGGAAAACGTGCATGTTACGTGAGTGGCATATACAAGTCTGGCTAGCCAATGTGGTGCTTACCGAGCAAGGCTCATTGGTATTTGCGCTGTGAAACACATCGATGTTTACTCTCTCTAGGATCGCTCTAGATGCACTTAGCTTCTCAAATAACATGTCCCAGAGAGCCTATTCATTTGCTGCTCCATCTGGACGTTGAAAAGCCATCCCAATGATGGCGAGAGGCTCTAAATCGACCTTATTGGGCAAGCCTTGGCCTGTGCCATTCCTAGCTAGTTGCCTCTGACTGTGTTACCAATGAGCATCGCCAGTTGTCCGCAAGGGCTTGATCTTAGGTACCATGCCCACTTCGAGCTCTGATATCGAAAAGCGAAAGGCTTACCCCTACATATCAACGTTCCAGGAGGGGCTCCTTGCTTAACACCGAGATCAAGCGCTCAGAAGTCCTGTTTGCAGTGCGATTGTTGCGCCGGTACAACAAACATGGCTCCCAAGTAAAGACAGAGCTGCTTTGCCAAATGTGTGTAGGATAATTGCTCTTGAGAATGAGCGTTCTGAGCAGCATGTGCTCCACGACCAGCGTCTAGCCCCTCATTAAGGCGCACACGGACATTCTGTCAAAGTTCAGCTTAAAATTTGTTGATCGAAGTCCTGTGATGTAATCTAACCGGCTGAAATCGTTCCGTTTTGGAAGATCTCCTCCGTCAAATTCTCAATGCTCACTTGACTTCTTTCAAAGGAGATCCTAGAGATCCTTCATGCGCGCCTAATGAAAGACTCATGGTGATCTAGATTCGACAGCGTACGAACATTCATTCTTCACGGACTGATTCAAAATGAGTTCCACCAGGTATTTTCTTGATTTTCTATATCTATGCCCGAATCGATCGGTCAACACCACACCTCAAAAGAAAAAAGTCAAAATGCACACCCCAAAAGCCAACTGCCACCAGATCCGACAATCCAAAAGCTGCTCTACCCCATCGTTTCGAAAGCATCTCTACTGCTGAAATGCAAATGAGTTAAAGTTGTGTTCGTAATCGGTGCCACTTACTCGTTCAACATGCAGCTCTATTCAATATCGACCTTGATAGTCTCTTCCTGAGCGTCGCGGGCAACCTCGACACTGCGGGCGCTGAGCAAGCTGCGGACCGAGCGGGTCATGCCGACAGAGCGGGCACAGTTGGCGCCTCCACCCATACCGCACTGGTTCTGAAAGTATTCAGCCGAAACGGCAGCGGAGAAAGCGAAAGCAGCGAGGATGGCGGTGAATTGCATCTTGAAAGGTTGTGGTTTTGGGTGGGTTGGAAAAGATGGTGTTGGCTGATTGAGTTGTGGAATTTATGCGGTAGTTGACTGACTTGCAGTAGAAGCGAATGTAGAGCTGTTGGTAAAGAGTGTGTGAAATGAATGTGGATGATGATGGGAATTCGGGCGCAGAGCAGAGAACTTATGTACTGGGTGTTGGCTGGCCTAAGTTCGCGCAATTCGCAAGTTGTGACCCATACGTGCAAGAGAAATTGTGCCCATGGCTTGGCTTTCGGACTATGGTGGACATGCGGATCCTACACGAGAGGTTGCGATCCTTTCCGACATCGTACACATGGTTCATCTCGCAATGTACTGTCCTACAGATCCGGAGTTTGGATACGCTTGTACCATCTAGACGGGGGCCACGTTGGGCGATATCCCTATCCCCACAAATCGGAGAATAAGCTTGTGCCTTCCAAAGCCCTAAAATAGGGTCCAGACAGGAGTAGTCGTGACTTCTACGCTAACCAGTAGAGACAGAGCGTCTTGCACTATATCGCAAAATTTCTACTACGAAGGTAATACCACAGTCACAAGTATACGAACTTCCAGAAACAAAACATCTTATTGAGGACGCACTGATGAAGATATGCATGTCCGAGAGGTCCCAAATTGTCCAAGAGTGCGCGAGGAGGTATTCCAAACGCCACAGTAATCATCATTGACGTTCCCTTGTAAAGGTGTTAGAGTTCGCTCTGCATCCACCGTTTCCGAAGGAATCCGTTGCGATGTGAACTACCGGTGATATGGTGGATAGTTTCCCCTCGTTCATTTCTTCGAATCATACTTGGAGCATTTTTCACGCCATTTTGGGGGCTCAGAATCTTATTCGGACCGCACAATACGCAAAGTCCTTGAAACACTACGCTAACAGGCTAGTCTGTGGTAGTATCCGATCAGGTTACCCTATTACCCAATACGGTTAAAGCATGCATACATAGCCTTGTCAGACAGTCGTCTACAATTCCGGCTATGCAGCACTTTGCGAACCCGCTGGGCTTCAGTTTTGATGTGGACAAATTTAGCAACATAGTCCCCAAACGAATAGATATCAGTTTGTGACTAGCAACTCTACGAATTTGATCCCTTTCTGCAGTCTCTTTCCAATGTCAAATTCTACCGCGGCCATCGTGGGCGCACATACATACGTGCGCCCAGCGGAATGGTCTCTTTCAACAAGTTATCGGTCCATACTGTTCGCTTTGATCTTCCCATTCGTTTCCCTTCTTATCATGTCTTTCCCCCATCGTTTCGATCGCTGGGTTGCCGTCACCATGGTCCTCACGTCCGCATACACCGCATTTGTGACGTCGGATAATCTCTCCCCGGACGATACGCTCAACGAAATCTATACGCGCTACATTATAATTGGAGGCTCTTACATTTTGTCAATAGCATATAAACTCGACAAGGAGCAGAAAGTGCAGCCTCACGTAGGTGCCTGATGAATCGTGTGTTTCCATGCTTTATACTAAAGATCTGAAGCTCGAGTATAAGACTGCAGACAAAACGTGGAGTCCATGGTACAAAGGCTACAAGCTTATGTGGAACATTCGAGGCGTGGGAACCTCATGGGAAAACCCTTACCTCTGGCCAGGTGTGAAACATACTTGGAATGCGCCCAAGTCGGCTGCAGACTTGCGCGAGTCAAAAACCAGTCATGGATCGCGACACACTCTAACGGCAAGAGGAAGGCTGGGTGGTATTGCGGTCCGGTTATTTTATGTGGCCATCAACTTCGTTTTACTTGCGTGTCTCTACGAATTCGGTCATCCACAATATCTACTCGACGCAGGTTCCATGGATATTAGTCCTGAAAAAGAAAGCATAATCCGACGTGGAGTACAAGCATACTTCGGTGGGCAGATGGGCCCGCCAGTCGCCGCGAGAGAAATTGCGGTGCGAGCCGTAGCCGCCACTGAGAATGCTGCATCAAACTTTCTAACCTTTTCCTTATATCACGATATCTGCGCTATTGTCTTCATAGCCGCAGGCCTCGACGAGTCGTGGGAGTGGCCACCCTTTTTTGGTAGAATCACCGAAGCCTACACTATGCGTCGATGGTAAGTGAGCATCCAGGTGCAGTTGAAAGTCGTCTTGCCAGCATCCTCGAAATGAGCCCTTTTGCCTTCTAAAAACTAATGCTGATCCGTTATCTCAACCATAGGTGGTCGATGTGGTGGCATAGATCAATATACCGATCGTTCAACAGCCATACCGAGCTCATACTGAGACCCCTTGGTCTGAAGAAAGGTTCCACACTCTACCGAACCCTGTCAGCTTTCATCGTGTTCGGACTGAGTGCCGTAATGCACGCTTTGGTGGTTCGGAAGTACGGGAACACATGTGCGTGGGGAAGAAGCATGGTCTATTGGATACTACATCCAATCGCTTTTATACTTGAAGGTACAGTGCAAGCTGTTTGGTATAGTCTTAGGAAAAGGCTCGGGTTAAGAAGATCTAGCGCACTAGATATCTTAGAGCGAGTGGTGGGGTATATCTGGGTGGGTGTTTTCCTGATATGGATTGCACCCAAGTACACCTGGCCTCTGAAGAGTTGCGGATCGCAGCCTCACACCCTGCTGTAGTGTTATTGTTGAAAGTTATGCGTTAAAAAGGTTGGAACAACCAACTACAAAAACTTCAAAACATGCGGATCAAGCACTTCCACGGCGTTCCAGCCTACCTTGCTTGGCACGCTATGAACTACTTCTTTTAACCCTTCCACGAACTCATTCGCGACATACAGGCCAAGCGACCCATGTTATCCTTTGTTACAATGGCCTCACCATTCCGGTTTCCGAAGTTCTTCGTCCAGTTGCGACTCGACTATGCTGGAACAGAAGGCAGCTGTTCCGCCATGATCCACGCATTGAGCGCGCAGAAATGTGGGAAGTGACTGGGAAGAGACCTACTTGGCGGAACTGGAACGGTGCTTCGGAAGAAGAGTACCCCTAGTGGACATGGAATGGCAAATGATGAAGATGCTGAACCTCCTCTTCCAACTGTTGTGAACTTATTGGCGAGCAACCCTTCCGGATACACATCGACTGTGTATATTGTTATTTCGACTGCACCTGGACTGCATTGCACCTTCTTTTATGGTCATGGAAGCGTCACTAGGCAGCTGCTTTCAACAAGCGCATCTCTCTGTCACTTCCTCCCCTTGCGCCCTGCAGCTTCCCTCAAATGTTAGCGGAACACAACAGATAACATTGCTAGCCGGCGCCTCGCCTTCTCCACCATTCTCATCCACGCATCAATAGTCTCCATCCACTCTCGCGCTGCATCTTCGCAACAACAGCTCTATCATCACTGCACACAACATCAATCCACACGCTAAAGTCAAATCCCACTTTCTCAAGCAAAGAACCGCGCCACTCGCTACCGGCCCACCATGACTCTCACCAGCGATCTCATCAACTACGCCATCTTCATCCCATGTACGTATCCTCTACCTTTCTTACCTCCCTTTGCACATGACGGCCACTGACCACATGATCCTCAGGCGTCGCCTTTATCTCGCACACGATGTTGAGGACGGCTCAAAGCGAATTTGTACCGGAGTACCGCGACTGCGTCATCGGCACTGTCATCGGCACCGTTTTTGCACAGAGTGTAGGATACATGTTCAATTGGGTGAAGCGCAGGACCGGCGGGCCCCCGGGTCCGGAGCAGGCCAGAGCGGCTTGAACGAAGTCTCAGTCTACATGTGACGGTTTGGTCGGGTGATGGGATAATGGAAGGCCTCTATGCGGATGTTATGGGAAGATCATCGTTTTCAAGGTTTTGCTGTATTCATTCCGGGGCATGGCGTTCAGTTCTTTCACGCGATCAGGAAGCATGGTATCCATTCATAATTGCGTCTACGGATAAAGTTCTATAACCACTCAAACACTCTTCAAACCACTCTGATGAATTTATCTTTCTCCACGACTGCAGTTTTCGTCCCATTCACCTTACACAGCTTCCCATTCTCATTCGGCAGCCCATCCACACTCTCTACAACCCACCCCTCACTCCCCACGGCATTCGCCGCCCAGAACACATCTTTCGGATCCCACTCCTTCTTGATCTGCGCCAGCTTGGCGTACTTGTCGCCCCAGAAGCTCTGCTGCCAGTTTGGTTCCAGGCGATCCGCTTCATTGAGGTAACTTCCGCTTCCGGGCGTGACATCGCGCCACCGCTTCATCGTCCCGTTAGTGAAGGACGTGCGCGCAGCGCGTATATCGGAGGCAGACGCCTTGACGTCCCACCTCTGACCGGTGATGGCGTGCAACACGGCGGTGCGCCACGCAGGATTGACCGCGTTATCAGGGTTCCCACCGCGCGCGAGGGTAGGCGCGAGGTTGAAGCCTATGATGGGCATGCCCGCTTCGACGGTCTGGCGGAGCGCTGAGAACGTCACGTTCCGGCCTGTTTCGGAGGCGAAGTTTGAGCGGGGGAAGAGGCGCGAGCCGAAGGCTGTTTGGACGTCGGATTGGGTTTCTAGGGAAAATTCGGCTTGCCATGCGGGGTAGAAGCCTTTATACTCTGTGATCTTGGGGGAGAAGGGGATGTTAAGGGCTGTAAGCTGGGATTGGAGTGGTGCGAGGATGGTGTTGAGACCTGCTGTGGTTTTGTTGGGGGCGAAAAAGGGCTGCATTGTGAAGGTGAAGTCTTTGCCGGTCGCGCCTGGGGCTACGATAAAGTATGTGTATACTCCGCTGTCGACGTAGTCGGTTGAGCGGTCGAGAACAGCTTTTGCAGCGGCCCAGAATTTGTCTTTGGTGAGCTTGGTGCTGTCGAAGGACCAGGAGGCGGCTGTGACGGGGAGGTCTTTGAAGGCTTTGATGGTTACGGATGTGACTACTCCGAATGTACCACCGCCTCCTCCACGCAGGGCGAAGAAAAGATCGGGGTTGCTAGTTGAGTTCGCGGTGAGGAATTCTCCAGTTGGGGTTACGACTTCGAAACCTAGGACGTGGTCCGCTGCCATGCCGTACAGTGAGCTGAGCGGAGAATGGCCGCCGCCTTGGATGTATCCTCCCATGATGCCCACAGTCTAGATTAATTAGCGAATAGAGGTCCTATATAGCTGGGAGCACTCACCTGTCCTTCACCACCAACCACAACCAAGCCTTTGCCATTAGCCGCTTTGTACAAGTCGAATGCCTGCACTCCGGCACCAGCCTTGACAGCAGGACCTTTGTAACTCCCATCCGCGTAATTATCAAGAAATTGAATGTCCTTCAACCCATGCGTCCATATACTCAATGCACCAGCACCGGTCGATTTGCCTCCGAAATCATGCCCAGTGTTCTTGACGATGAGACGCAGGTAGCCGTTCCGCGCAAAGTTAATACCCAGCTGAATATCCAGCACATCAGCTGCCTTGACAACATACGAAGGATAGCCTCCCAATGTGCAGCTACCACTGTTGTATATCGATGGAGGTTGACAGGTAAGACCTTGATATATGGGCGAGAGCACCTCCGTTGGGTCGTCTATATGAGTGTACGAGTTATTCCAGCTCTTTGTAAGATCTTGACACTTAGCATCATCTTTTGCCGTCCCGTAGCATACGGACGCCTGAGGAGTCGTCTTGATGAGGGCACTGTCCGTACTGAGTTGTTTAGAAAATTTCGCCCAGGCCTTTTCTGCAGGCCATTTTCCGTCTGCTGGGCCGAAGCGACATCTCTTGTCTGTCGTGTTCACCGCGAGGGTACTGAGCTCATCGTCGAATCCAAATAGTGCCTGGTCTTCTTCCGAGAGGGATGCGATGTATTCTTTGGTCAACTGACGTTGCTCGAATGGGAATAATATTCTCGCTTGTGAGGGTATCGAAAGCAGTGAACTTGCTAGCAAAAGAGCAGGTAAAAGAGGCGCCATCGTATAGTAAAATGACTCGCGCGTCGCTCCGCAATATTAAGTATCTGACCCGTTTCGTTGCAGAGGAGGTCCTGATGTGCGACTACATCGGGCGCCCCAAGGAACACAGCAGAGTGTTGGCTCCTTATTGGAATTCACTGACGTTGAAAAATTGAGTACCGAGAGGCAACGCAAGCTTTAGCGATGAGCTTGGTCTTTCTCTAGATTGCACGAAATCGATCTCGAATCTCAGGATAGATGAAGTGACGCACGTTGCCCGCCGCATAGGGCCCATTACCATGTCTTGCAACGCAATTCATTCGCAGCGGAGATTTTGCCATCGCCTAGATGCAGGCACCCCAGTGTAGGATCGCCCGATATCTGCGGTAGTATTACGTGTTGCATCCGGATTCATAGCTGCCGCGGCACCCACTATGGATCTCGTATAGTAGGTGTTGTACTGGGGAAGGACGCAATGTCATTGTGCAGCGTGTTACTTCTGGAACTGTGGCTCAGAGGCATGCTCCACACGGTGGCATTGCATGGTACCCAGACGTCGCAAGTAGAAGATGAGGTTACCGGTTGCTCTGCCGGATGAATTCATCTATCCGAGATTATCTCATGTCTCGTGAAGGGAAGGTATTGCAAGCGGAAGAACAGAAATTGTTGCCCCCTTAGGTGTTCTATCCGAGCGACAATTGTTACATGGCGTTCTAGGATATAAGTCGATGTACGATGATGAGCGAACGTGGCGGTAGTGGGACGGGAAGACGGCGCGCCTGCGCTTTCCTAGTCGAGACTTAGTGCGTATTTCAAACTGCCTAAACAGGCATTTTGTGAGCTGTCGATTACTTATTCGTCCGCGCTTAGCTCGGCAAAAGTATCATCAAAACCCACCTTTTCCAATTCACGTATCTCAACATCAAATCAGTAATATTATTTAAAAGTTTAGAGGGAGAGTCTTTATAGCTAGATCTGGACTTCCTGCTAATGTTTGAGATTATTTTAGAGATTTCGTAGAAACCTTCTGCTGGAAGAGCCTGCTGAGCTAATCGCACGAATTATTGCACTACCTGGTGACTGTATTCAAATTGAATGGCGTGCATCTAAAGGGCATATTCGCGTGTACTATCTAATGCACCGGTATCATTCGTCCACTTACATTCATAAACACTTTGTAATTGAGCAAAAGCGTACTCGGCCACACAGTTTGCCCGTAATGAAGCACGAAATGAAACTCAATTGGAAGTAATGCGTTTTGGCATTCAATTCAATGCTAATAGTATTGAACAAGTCGAAAATATGAACATAATGAAACTATCTAGCTTTCTCGCACTGAGGCAAGCCACTGGTGTAGGTTTTCCTTGGTATATTGCTCAGCGTGTCGATCCGTTCCCTGCACTCTGACACAGCTTCGTCTTCGAGGATACACTCTGATCTCAGAACATCTACTCGTCATCCTCTTCGTCATCGGCCTCATCGGCAGCAGCAGCATCTTCCTCATCGGCGGCAGCAGCATCTTCATCGTCGGCAGCAGCAGCAGCCTTCTTGTTGGAAGCAGCGGCACCCTTCTTACCGGCAGCAGCAGCGTCCTCATCAGCAGCAGCAGCAGCGTCATCGGCAGCAGCATCGTCGGTAGCATTGCCACCCGCAGCAGCAGCAGCGTCGTTACCGCCCGCAGCAGCATCCCCAAGAGCAGGACCCGCGCCTGTGATCTGCGCATCAAACTCTAGAGCCGTGCTGGCCTGGCCCGCGGCAGCCACGTCCTGGGCGATGTTGTTGTCGAGTTTCGTCTGCTCCTCGGCAAGCTTGTCGGCGACGTCCTCGCCCTGTGCTTGCTGGGCCTGGAGCTTCAAGATGGTAGCCTCGAGCTTGAGGACCTTGTTCTTGATCTTGCCGTTCTCCAGAGCCTGCGCCTCGTCACCAGTCGCCGCCTCAATGGCAGGGTTGAATGCCTCCGTCTCAGCGTCGTTGGCGACCTGGTTGACCTGGTTCAAGGTATCCTGGTCATCCGCGGAGATGTTCTCTGGGTTGGCGGTGTCGAGGTTCGCGAAGACGGCGAGGGCCTCGGCTTCGGCATTTCCAGCCACGCCGCCCGAGATAGAGATATCGTTGTAGGCAGCGTTTCCGAGGACGGAGGCGCCGTCCTGGCGCTTGGTAGGGAGTGCGACGCTGAGCGCGGAAAGGGAAAGGACGGTGATGGCGGAGAAATGCATTGTGATTAAGATGTTCAAACAAAAATGTTTAGTGAATGAATGGGTAAATGGATAGCGACAGCCCGGCTGTGGTTGTAATGCTCAAGGAAAGAATAGAAACAGACACAGCGTCAAGCTGGTAGGGTAGAATGAAAGGCTGATGAGAAGGAGAGGATGAGTGATAGGATGAATGCTATAGCCGTCTCGCTCGCGGTCTTTATATCAATGCAAGCGTACGATGTCCTGCATCGTCAAGGCGCCATATCTGCATCTCCAAACGCAGCCTTGCGTGCTCCTGCCCCTACCAAGGCCGCTTCTTCCACAAACTGCTCGCTAGCTTCAATGCAGGCAGTCAGGCCGCGATTCTGAGCGCGTAGCGAGAAATTCCCCACGAGTGATGGAGTGGTGTCAGCTGTTACAGACATCTGGTGTCTCGAAGTAGCAGTAGTAGGGGTGCTTGATCGCCCTTGGCTGTGGTTACAAGTGTGGGTGAAACCCATTTTCGGACCAGGCGGCAAGGCGGTGGTAGAAAGAGGAGTTCGCGGGCGGGTCTGACAGCTTGGCGGAGTTAGACTTGGCGAGTGTTGACAGGGGTGAAGGCGGGAACAAACACTTGGCAGGAGCCTCAGGTGCACAGTGCGCATAGGCCAAGCGTTTGGGACAAGATTTCTTGTCTGAAGGGGAAGCTTGTTTCCTGGTTTGCTCCAGAGCATTGGTGCAATTTTAGAGCGATAGAACGAGGCCGACATTTGAAGCATGACACCCAGATGGTCATGAACGATCACATCATCGTGACCGTCGCAACGGTAGGGTTCGCCTCTACCCACGCTCTTGGGTGCATTTGCCCGACTGCAACGCGTTCAACGAGTCCTTCGTATTCATTGGACTTCTTGACGAGCATGACATTCACCCAGCATCCGCACCCGCTCACCCCAAGGCCCTCTTCTGTGTCGTAGTCTGGTGTGGAGAAGTTCTGGTGCCAACTGTACTGTTTCTTCATGCTCACTGAAATTAGAAAATACCCGTGAACTTCATCATTTTGCGATGAAAGGGCCGGGCTGAGTTTAGGTGGGTTGAACAGTACTCCGCACCTCTTCCCTTCTTCATTGGATATACCGAGGAGCGCCACCTTGATGTACCGTGTTCCATCGCGGTGCTCGTAGGACGTCCAGCTGTGAAAGGCGAAATTAGAGGCAGTGCATATGGAAGTACAAAAACGATATAAGCTCAAAGGGCGGAACTGAGGACATTGACTGTCTTGGGGATGGTGTTTTCCCAATGGTAGGTTTAACACTTGTGAACAGATTGGCTGGTGGCAAAATCTCCCAGGTTCTTGACGCTCGCTATGATCTTCGTCGAGCATACAGAAGCAATCTTGTGAAGCGGTTTTGTAGCGTTGCGACCACCTCAAACTAACTGGATACGACCGGGAGTCCTGCAAGAAAAGCCGTGATGGAAACGTAACAGCTCCTTTCCAAGCTGTCCACGACCAACTAGGATGAAAAGGTTTTTCTGAGTCAAGCAAGTTCAACCGACGAGTCGCGTCTTTTCCAACCGAAAACCAAAGCAAGGAATCTGGAGAGACGAGGTCCATGGTAAGGTCTCCTCGAGGGCGGTAACCCATCTGCTTCATTCGTTGGAGTGCGCCCCAGAAAGCATTGATAATGTCTTCATCGTACGAAAGCGTTCGCCTCGTGTAGTGTTCAACGGAGTCGAAATATCTGTCTTCGTGCCAATCGATCGTAGCAGAAGTGATGAGTCCTAATTCAAATGCTTTAGTTGATGATATTCTTGCTTGCCCATCAACGCCTTCTGAATGATGGCTTCTTGAGCATCGGAAGAAGAATTGACCCTCAGACACGAACAGACACCTTTTCGAGACGACTGTTTCCTGATATGTCCACGCCCTCGTATAGTGTGTAGAAATCATGATAGCCTTCTCCAGATTAGGCAGCCCCTCATATAAGTGCCCCTGTCCGATCTTAACATTCCATGGGCGTCTCATGCGAGTATTAGCATTGAGGCCTGGTAATCCAGAGTGCGCGCTGTTGCCCGCAAGACAAACTATAGTCATGTAAGCCCGTCCGTAGATTTGGTCCATAATATGCAGTTGATCGTGTTTCATTTCATCGTCCTGGACAATGCAGAGAGCGTCGATCCATATATACCTCAGTCCAATAAGATCAACGAGTTTTATGGCATCTTGGAAGGTCTTGGGTAAACATACGTGCGGTTCCGTCAATCCGCCTGGAAGTAACAGAGATCCAATGTTGTCCTTTTTGGTCTTGAAGAAATTGGTTGAACCCCAAACGTAGCTCAATGCAAGATATTTGTCCATCTTCTCCTCCGGCAGCAGAGGAAAACGGACGAGCATCATTCGCTGAACATCTACTAGAAGTATAGTATGGGTATATTGGTGACGATCGTCAACCGCCTCCATGGTGTGGGGATGACCGTGTGTGTTGCAAATTTCGATCCAGGATCGCAACAAAGACTCATTGACTTGATCGGGGATATCAAAAGTAAGCGCAGGTTGGTGATATAATTGGCGTTGATAATGGGCCTCGTTGTTTTCGTACCTGATCCAGATGTGTCCGTCCCCGCGATCCGAATGCAACACCAGGAAGAGAGGAGATCGACCATTCGCACGCTTTCCCAGGCCAGTGACGTCGTCCAGGGCTAACGGCGCAATATATCTGTCTTCGGGCAGCGAAGCGGCGAAGAAGCGATGACTATCGGCAAACCCGTGGATGCGCAGTGTGATGGTGATGAATTTGCAGCACGGACAATCGTTCGATCCCCCCAATCCCTCCACTGAAGTTGTGTACAAGCTGTATCCGCCCAATAGCACCCAGCAGTTATAGCATAGCTGGGTGTTTTCTGTCTTCCAGATCCTGACACTTCTCTTCCGGTCCCAGGCCCTGCGAATGTCTCGAGTACTTCTGGGGAGCCGAGTAAGGAACGACTCAGATTCTTTTTGTTCATTGTAATATAAATTGTAGACCCGCATGATATTGCACGGCTATGTCAACGCTGGAAAGTAGCCAGATGAGAGACGAAATTAAGGAAGATGAGGCAGCTGTAGCTTGAAGTAGGCTGAGCAAGGCCGAAGATATCAGCCCTAACGCCATTGGGCGCTACACAATCTCCAAGCCTCTGTACGTGCATAAAGTCGTCATGATTGGTCTTCTGCAGATGTGTGGCAAAGTGTATCGCGAACGAGCATCAGGCTGTCGTATAGGCGCCGGAATAGTCGCGAGGAATATGTACATTTTCGTCTCATAGTCATAACTCATAGCTTCGCCTTGACGGGTGCAAAAGTCGAGCCTTGCCCACCACCAAGCGCCTCGACGACCTCATCGACCTTCTGAAGTATCCAAGTGCAACCCTCGTCGCTCACCAGCCACTTGATACCCTCCTCTTCTCCTGCCTCGGGCTCGGACTTCCATGTGCCGTCGTCCCAGGCTTTGCGCAGGCCAAAAACATGGCTGAGCACCTGGGGGCCCACTCCTTGCTGTGCTCGCAAGCATGCAATAGCGCACAAGCTGGTTGTTACCCTGCCGACGTCCTTGCCGGTCGAGCGTTCTGGGTCGCTGAAGAGCGCGCCGTATTCGCTGCTTATGATGAAGACTGGTAGATCGGGATGTGCGTCCGCAAGCTTGTGCTCAAGCTTGTCGGCTAGCGGGCGATATATCGATTCCCACAATGCCTTGCCTCGCGAGTTTATCGAGTCTACGTTGGACTGGGTAGGAAGACGAGACGGCTTGGTGTTCAGCGAGGAGACAATCGAGGAAGGAAGCTCGGCACGGAAGGCATTGAGCATGTTTATCGTGCGCGGAACCTGAATCTTATTAGCAAGGTCGATATCAAGCAGGGAGGAGCTACCGTACGCCATTGAAGCCAATGCACTTGAGCCCGACCTCGCGCATCAACTCTGCGATCTCCACGGCATCCTTCTCGGGCTTGTTTTCGCTGGCAGACTTGTATAGCGCTATCATTGACTCCGGAGAGTTCATCGTCATCGTCGTGGCTGTGGAGAGGGCGAGCCATGAGGGACGTCCCAGCTTGTGTGCTGTCGCTTCCTGCTCTATCTTCTTGTATATCGACTGGATCTGGCGGGGAGCTGGAACCGGGCCTGGGCGGGCATGCGCCGCGTTGATGAGCGCTTTCACGCCCGCTCCGAGCCTAGACATTGGGGTGGGTGGGTGGGTGGCAGGGAAGCGGTATGCGTGAAGCAGATAGGACAGTCGAGTCGCAAATGTGATCTAACCGACACACAGTAGCGGGAGGATGCAGGTATATGTGCGCGAAACCGAAATCCAGATGCGTGAAGAGTACAATCGTAGCTTAAGCGCGGTGCGAGGGAAGCTCACCATGATGCTACGACATCCCGAGGTCGGAGCTACAACTATCTCCGAGGCTAGTACGACGCCGATACTTAGCGACCGGTTGTCCTTGAGACGACATACCTATGGGACCTCCAGCAACGATCAGACCACCGACATTCGTAACGCCGGTTTTCGGTGTGCACAATGCCAGCCAACTTTCTCCACCGGGCCGATGATGCATGCAGGGGTCGGCTTTCACACCGATGTAGCACACCGAACACACCTCTTTCAGATAACCTCCGCATTCTCGTATAATCATTCTGCGACTGTATATCTTCGACCTCTCAGCGACAAGGCTGAGCCTTACGTAAATCACCCAAGATGCATGCTGAGAATGGGAAACGCCCGGCGTGGCTTACTATCAATTATCCGGCTTCGTCTCATCCAGCAATAAACGCCAACCGAGCATTCCCGGATCCTGAATAACAGCTGGCTGACATGTCAAGACGGTTGCGCCTACTCCTTCAAAATGCTATCCATGTTGCCCCTCAACTGCCTTGGGTGCGAGAAAGCCGATTATGACGGTACAAATACACGCGCAGACCGCGGTTTTGCATGCCATGTCGTTCCTTTGCTTCAGCCATGGTACATCGAACTTTGCGAAAGGCCCTTGCAGCCATCACCCTGCTTGGCGGTGATTTGTCGAACTTCGTGAATGCCTCGCCTATTGTAACCGGCCGAGCGCAAGTCAAATATTCGACTGCAGATTTGCACGAATCGTATGACTATGTGATCGTAGGAGGTGGAACATCCGGTCTCGTAGTTGCGAATCGCCTGAGCGAAGACCCAAACAGTGAGCTTACAAGCATCCGCCTCTAAAGGCTATACACTCATGCAGGATCTGAAGGGACGGTATTGGTAATCGAGATTGGATACATCGCCGACGAGCCGTGCATTTGGATGCCAGCGAACACCATTGTCCCCAACAGTGCCTGCTTAAAGCATCGCTTCAACAGTAAGTCGTTTCGCACTGCACGTAACTTTCAGCTGACACGTTTGTCTCATCAAGTCTCTAGCGTACCTCAAACGGAAATCACCAATCAATCCATCTATCGCTATGCCATTGGCGCTGTCGTTGGAGGAAGCTCCGCTGTAAATGGTATGGTTTTCGACCGAGGCTCCAAAGCTGATTATGACGCGTGGCAAGAGTTGGGTAATGCAGGCTGGGATTGGGACGGCTTGTTCCCCTACTTCAAGAAAAGCGTCGATTTCACGGCTCCAAGCGAGGAAGACGCGGAGAAATTTGGCTATACATGGAATGAGAGCGCTTGGGGTGACGGCCCTGTGCAGGCCTCGTATCCACCGTTTCAGTGGGAGACTGTGAGTAAGTGGGACCACTTCAAGGATCAAAGAAAGATATTATATGCTGAACGGGGCGATAGAAACTTCTTGGGACGCATGGGCAGACATGGACATTCCACTGCCACAGGAGCATGCGTTGGGCAACGCTGTCGGTCGCTTTTGGGTGCCTTCGTCTGAGCATCCAGTCAATCGAACTCGATCGTACGCACGATACGCTTATCACGACCCCATTGAGTCTCGACCAAACTACCATCTCCTAGTAGGTCACAAAGCCGAGAAATTAGTTTTGACGTCCGAGAATGATGCGGAAGGGGTAGTCTTCTATCAGCGAGACAATCCCAACGAGAAGATGACCGTCAAAGCGAAGAAAGAGGTAGTTCTAGCAGCTGGCGCCGTGCACACTCCACAGATTCTACAACTGAGTGGCATCGGGCCGAAGGCCGTTTTGGACGCAGCCAACATTGAGGTCAAAGTCGATGCTCCAGGTGTGGGTAACAACTTTCAGGACCACCCACAAGTCTATCTGACATGTAATTGTGAGTGCTAGGCCCATCTATCTTCTCTGACTGTATCCTAATTCTCCAGTCACCAACGACGTATGGCCGAACCCCAGCACCCTCGCCACAAACGCAACCTTCCGCGCAGAAGCCCAAGCCCAATACGACGCCAACAGAACCGGGCCCCTCACCCAAGCCCTAAACAGCGCCTTCGTCTTCCTCCCCCTAAACACAATCCATTCCTCCCCCTCATCCTTCCACTCCAAACTCGCCGCCCAAGCCCCTTCCGCTTTCCTCGCGCCCAACCTCCCACCCACCGTCCTCGCAGGCTACGCAGCGCAAAAGCGCATCCTCACCAAACTGTACAACTCCTCCCGTGCAGCCGTTTACGAGAGCCCCTTCGGCGGCGCGTGCAGCCGCAGCACCCTTATCCAGAAGCCCCTCTCGCGAGGCCACGTGCACATCAACGCGAGCGATCCCTCCGGCGACCCGGCCGTCGATTTCCGCGCGTACACCAACCCACTCGACATCGAGCTCGGCATCGAGTCCCTCACGTACACGCGGCGGTATCTGCGCAGCCCCAGATTCGCCCCGCTAGCACCGATGGAAAGCGCGCCGGGGCCGGACGTCAGCGACGAAGACACCGCCGCGCTGGAGGCGTATGTGAGGCTTACCGCTGGGCCGACGAGTTTCCATGCTAGTGGGACGACGGCGATGATGCCGGAGAGATTGGGTGGGGTGGTTGGGAGTGATCTGAGGGTTTATGGGGTGGGTAGGGTAAGTGTGGTGGATGCGGGGGTTATGCCGCTTATTCCGAGTACGCATTTGAGTGCGACTGTTTACGCGGTTGCGGAGAAGGCAGCGGATATTATAAAGGGGAGGGCTTGAGGGTGTGGACTATAGCGTGCCCATGTGAATAGCTATCTGAGTGGGCGGATATGGTCGTAGTGAGGCAAACTAAATGCAATTGTCTTTTTGGCACTTGTATCGCAAATACTTCTGCAGTACAAGATCTCTTGACATGCATCAGGGGCAATGTAGACTTGCAGCTCAGTATCAAGTCTATGCAGCAATGACTGCGTAGGGTAGCGCGGCCACACTTAGCCTGAGGCACCATTCTCGTATCCGTGCCGCACGACTGCTTCAACTGCTCAGGTGTTTAGCCTTGAGCTACATCCATATATATCTCACTCCCCGTCCCTCGCATACTTCAATCGTAGGCACCGCAGCTAGACCGGGAATTAGAGTACATCCACAATGGCCGCAGAGGGACCCGTCTTCTTCTGGAAGGAAACTGAGGCTGAAACTGGGTTCCTCTCGCCCTGGTACAAGACCAGATTCAAAGAGGGCCACCAGCACTACCAGTCGGCTGGACACATGGTCTTAGGCGAAAAGGCGAAATTGTTCGGAGACACGGTAATAACCCGACCCATCTATCGTATGCAGACAGCTGACAAGAAGCAGGAAGCATTCGAGCGCATCATCGCAGCTGAGACTATAGACGAGCAGATTCGATCCGCCGACGGAATTCAAGGCTACGACGAACAAGTGTGGCTAGAAAGTACAAGCCCCTCAGAGAAACGCTCCAACGTCGCTAGTACTCATTGTTAACGCTATCCCAGACGCCCTTCCCATCTGTGAACATGCCAACCTCTTGAAATTCATCTTCAGCTACGAGTATTGGGATGTACGAGACCCGCTGCTGGCGCTCGGTACACGGGAGCTCGTCTACGCTTGTCCCACAGATCGTATTCTGGGGATCGGCTTCGGGCCTGAAGAAGCGAGAAGCACAGTGAGGGAGCAATGGGGAAGGAACATCTTTGCGAGGGGCGTGGATATTGCGAGGAGTAAGGCGTAGCAGTTAGCGACTCCGGGGTTTACGAGGATATTTGATCGGGGTGGGAGGCTGGATGTGGGATGGTAAAGCGGGATGGATTCATATTTTCATGTATGTTCTTGGGAATTAGAACCGCTTGCCTATATATGCTGGTTTCGAATTTGTGCTCCACGGAATACTACGCAACAAGTCACATCAAAGCTATTTCCACGGACGTCCATGGGTTGCCTGACAGCACGTGATGAACAGTGCCTGAAAGAGTTACTGCGCTTTGTAAGGTGGGCGCAGGTTCGCGCTTTCGCGAGGCCGAAGTCGCACATAGGTCGTCCCGGCTGAAAGGAACACTTTCCTGATTCATACACTCATTACAGGATGTACATCAACTGCTGTACGTGTACTGAAACTTCATATGGCGTGAATAGAAGGATCAAGGGAGCTTTCGCGTTTGCATCCCACGTCGTCTGTGCGCGATGGCGTACCCGCTTGTTAGCCTGCCGTGCTTAGCGTGTCGTATGATGCGCTGCAGGGTTTCGACCACATCAGACCTCACTCTCGTGGTTTGCTGTCTTGCAGCATCGGCGAAGGTACTGAATTCACGCTCAGAGATATGTAATGATGAAGGAGCGATTCGAGCCTCGACTCTGGACTATTAAGGAAGGAGAGACCATGCGCAGACAGCCCAGATGCAAGGGACGTCATAGGGCCCCCTGACTCGTTCGATGATGCGGGGGTGGCACCTCGCATGCTTGCGGCAGGTAAGCAAGAAAGTCGCGCACGAGACTTCATCTACGTGTCTGGCGCGCCTTACACCTTGCTCTCACTCTTCTTCAATCGCCTTCAGTACTTTCGCGCTCTTGCCCTGCACAAGGGCACCCAGACGAAAAAGAAAATCATTCCATTCAACTGGATCCTCGCGCCACACGCGTCCAACCTCACAATGACCTCAACATCAACGTCAAACTCAATAACCAGCCCCTACTATCCCTCCCCGAACTCCGCAACCGCATCTTCGCCCACGCGCTCACATCTCCCTCCCACACCCTCCAATACACCCCTCCCACCGCACACTCCCGCCCCACCTTCTCAGACCCCCACCCCCAACCACGAATTCAACCAACTAAAATACACCTGCCACCAACTCCACACCGAAACCGCCGGCCTCGAAATAAAGTTCAACACCCTCCGCTTCGACCTCCCCGAAGAAACCGCCTACACCCTCGCCCGCGTACAAAATAGTCTTGACAGCGGCTTCGACGCCCCCGCCCACCTTTCGCCCGCTACCACTTTCCCCCTTCCTCCACGTGCAGCCCGCAGAAAGAAAATGGCTGAACCGCATTGTGATTACGATACGTAAGCCTGCGAGTTTCAGTCTGAGTCAGACTACCGTCGATACGCTGCTTTGTCTTGCGCGGTTTAAGAGGAGAATCCGAGTGTGGAGATTGGGTATGAGTATGTGGATGAGGTGTATGCGTATAAGGCGCCGGGGTGGCAGGTGGGGGTGCCGTGGATTAGTGTGGCGGTTTGTTTGGGGTGGCGTTGCCGGTGCCGGGGCGTGGAGGCCCGTGGTGGATGCGGTGGCGGGGTGGTGCGGGAAGGGAATTTGGTGTTTTGGAGCTTGGGGTTTGGGGTTTGGGAGGCGGTGGGGATCAAGTGATAGAAAAGGGGGATGGGTGGGAAAGAGAAAGGACAAGACGGGTTAGCAAGTGATAGAAAAGGGGGATGGGTGGGAAAGAGAAAGGACAAGACGGGTTAGGAGGACTGCCGCTGAGAAGCGTTATGTTGATGTTGACATTTTCACGATGTTCTGATTTTGGGTTCTTCGTGGCTCCCAATGTCGTTGTGAGAGCACGTGCACACTAGCGCACGTCGTTGCTTCCTGATTCTTGTCGCTGTGCAACTCACCCTCTTCATCGCCCTGATCTCGCCTGCCGTGCCGTAGCGCTGCTCAATACCCCTCGCAACCAGCTCGCGTCGTGCTTTCCGTTGCAGTGTTTTCTCCTCCATCATCCTTCCTGCATGTGGTCGCTTTCCTCACAAGTGCCATTGAACAGGGCGCTTGACCCAGTGTCGCGACGTACTTCTCCTCCAGCACTACACCACGTGCTGTCAGGCCATATTAGTGGAAAAGCTAATGTGGGTTGTGCGTTGTTTAAGTGGTGATATCTAGGGTAGAATTGTAGATTGCGAGGGGCTGCGTGGTAGCACTGAGAGCGCAATCACTCTGCATCGATATCTTACTTCCACCGTTCTACATGGCCACATACGCGTTGTGTTCTCTGACGTGGCTGCGCTCGGAGAGGTGGCAGAGATAGCGCAAGAGATAACCGGTGTGTCCGGCAGGACTTGATCGACCTGTTCCCGGAAGATCAAGTAGCATCTATACTTAGGAAGTACTATGCAGCTGGACTGTTCACATTCCCTATGGCAGAAATGTTGAGATGGTCAGTGGTAGGGCGAAGAACCTCTCATCGACGACAGAAAAATTGGTGTGCCCCAACGTGGTCGTGGTTCTCCCTCGACGGTCGTGTGTCATACCCTCCTGAAGCGCTTCTATGTGATGCGACTTGCGACGAAAGTCATGGTCATGAATACACCAAATTGAAACACATCAGTCTTCAGTATCAATATACGGATAACCCATTTGGGCCACTCAATGTTGGTTCATTGTACCTCTCTGGACGGATCTTGCCTTGTGCGAACGTCGACCGATATAAGTTCAAAGAGTGCGTGTCAGGTCTCAAAGTCTCGCCATGTGAGCAGCGTCAAAGCATCTTCTATAACAGAGATTAGAAAAGGAATAACGATCTGATGTGTATCACTGATGACACGGACGGGCAGACGCCGTTAGGAGAGCACTGCAAGCTTCCGAATTCTCAACGATTTGCTTTCTTGGCGAAGATTGATGTCGACAGTGAGTATGAAGGAGCAAGCAGGAGTTTGTTCTTCCTTCTCCTGAAGTATCATCAGCGCGGTGATCCCGCGAAGGAGCAGATTCAAAATGTCTCCGACGCGCATTTGTACTAGGTGGATGGACTCCTCCTGAAAAGAACTTCGTGTCCGCCCCTACCAAACACGAAGCTTGAGAGGAGTGTAGCCAGGATTTGCGGCCATTCATTGACGCTCCGGTTTTTCGGCGCCTGGGTATGTTGAGGCCGTTGGCATGGGACGGCCTTAAGGATATCGTATGGGAAAATTTCAGAAACTCGCCGGCCTATTTGATAAGGATTGTCTAGTATCTCCTCTCTAGAACGCTCGTGGTAATCTGCATTTCGACTGAACGCTTCTCTTATTCGTCACATTGATGTCACGAATTCGGAGCCTTCCTATTGCGCTGCTTATGGTAGGTACTTCTTCTGAATATCACGTCATGACCATTGATCTCTTCCATCTTCAAAGTACCATAGGTAGCCAACATGCTGTATGTTGATGTGTCGTATGGGGACGCTTACCACACACAAGGACAAGGGTACAGCCCCACTTAGCGAGGTTCAACACGAGTCCAGCCACCACCATGCACAGCCGCAGCCTTGCTGCATCAACAGGCAGGCGTCGAGATCGTCCATATAGGCTCGCGCCAGGCGTCTCCGCGAAGACGCCTACAACTCGCATCGCTTTCCCGACCTACTCGCGCAGAACACCAGAATTCTGGGACTCGGATCAGCAAGCATGATCCGGTTGCTCCATGTCAGGACAAAAGAGTTCAAGGAATTTCACGATCTCAGCTCAGTGCCAGACTACGCCATTCTATCCCACAGATGGGTCCATACGCTAAGAAATGGAAAATATCGAGCGCTTGAACTATCGTTCACAGAGTTCTCCTTGGGAACCGGCGATGATCGAGGATACGCGAAAATCGACAAAGCTTGCGAGGCTGTTCGCGACTTGTCACAAAATCTTCGTACCGTCCTCGATTGGATATGGATCGACAGTTGCTGTATTGACAAGAACAACAACGAAGAGCATTCGGAAGCTATCAATTCAATGTATGAGTGGTATGCAAAATCCTACGTATGCATCGCCTATTTGGATGATGCAGATCCATTCGATGAAGACAACCCCTCTGAATGGTTCAAGAGAGGCTGGACCCTCCAAGAGCTCATAGCGCCCGAGAGAGTCCTTTTCTACAACAAAGATTGGATCGGTTGCGGCAGCAGGAATAGCTACAATCCAGGCACATACGATCAGCATTCATTCCAAGACCAAAGTCGGGCAATCGCCTCTATCACTCGCATAGACACCGCGCTACTTAAGCTCGAGAAGCGTAAGGACATCAAAAGACGGCTGAACTCCATCCCTGCATGCCAGAAGATGTCATGGGCATCAGACCGGAGCACTACCAAAGACGAGGATATGGCCTACTGTCTGATCGGTATTTTCGATATACCTCACATGTATTTGAAGAGAGGAGAAGGCAAGCGTGCCTTCCTCCGCCTTCAGGAAGAGATCATTAAGCAAAGCAACGACTTGACCCTGTTCGCGTGGAAGCTTTCTGGGGACGCTGACGATGCTTGCATGGACGACAATTGCCTTAGCTTGGGAGACATGAGCGAAAACGCCCCGGAAAACGCGCCATTCTTCGACTCCAGTCCAACTTCAGGCTTACATGGGATATTCGCATGCGGCCCACGTCATTTTCGGTATGCTTCGCAAATAGAGCCAACACAGCTCGCCGTATATAACGACGAGGTCACCATTACCAGTAGGGGGGTTAAACTCACCACTCCGCTGCTGGGTTCAGGACCCTTTCTTCCGTTCAAAATGCCCCTATACTGCACAGATGGAGATTCCTCAAATCTCTTGAGCATTGAGCTTCGACTCCTTGGAGGATCTATTTACGCTCGTGCTAATTGCGCGCAACTACCTCTGATCCGCAAAGGAGCGAAGGTGATCCCCAATCAGGATGATGTTTACTTGGCACACAACGTTCATCACTTCCAGGATTGTGCGGGGCAAATGCATAAGCATGCCATACGCCTACCAGAATCGATACTCGATCATTTGCAACGTGTGCACGTATCACCAGGCTATCTATGGAGCAGTAAGCACAATCTGGTGATCACAAATGGGCGTCGGTTTTTTGTCGGCTACGCGAACTATCAATCTAACAGGTCATCGAAGACCGTGGTCACTTTGCTCTTCGGTCTAGACCACTTACAAAGACCATGGTTCTGCCTATCCAATGCGGACGAAAGCTTCGAACCACATAGTCTAGAAAGCCGGAAGCTATACCTAGAGCGAGTTTGGCGACCAGCTAGCCAACACGCCCAGACAGCCTACCTCGACGACGAGAAAACCTTCAACATTAACCAGATGGATCCCAACGGATACTTACTGGGTTCAATGCGAGCAAATCGTCAGCGATACTGCGATCGAGATATTTTCGAGGTGGAGTTTCTGCACACCTGGCAGAGCCAAAATACCACCAGAATGGACGCAGAACTAAATAGCAAGGACAGCAGCTCACCTGCCATGGTAGCTGATACAAATACAACCGATCCTGTCGGACTAACCCACGCGAGTCCTATCTTCGGCCCACAAACCACTTCTGACGAATTTGAGATCTATCCATCAGCCGGACAATCCGCTGACTACAATGACCTCTTTAATCCTCTATTTGATCCTGCTATAGGTGTCTCCTACGAATTCCCTGTACCATCTGATAGCTTTAGTTGGGAAGACGTGGAGTGGGGAGTTTCGGACTTCGATGTGCGAATGCCCCTAAGTCCTCCTCCTCCATCTGCAAACAGTGGTACAATCGCATACCAGCCTACGGGAGTAACACAACAGTTTCCTCAGCCTCATATGTCTCCAGCAGGCAGCCCGTACACTTCCATAGGGTTGACGCCACAAGTCCGACCTTTCCCCAGCATCGCACATGCAGGATTACAACGCAGCGACGCCCCAAGGCCCCACTTCGCGCCAGTGGCAGGTCCTGCGCAAATTCCTCATACCCAGCCGAGCAGTGGCAATCATGCACCACAGGACTATCAGATGCAACTCATGCTTCTAGATCAGCAAAATAAGAAGCGCTTGTTGATGGCTAAGCAAGAACGAGATGGCAACGACAGTCACACGCCAGACCAAGGCCAGCATGAACCGCAGGACTATCAGATGCAACTCATGCTTTTAGAACAGCAAAACAAGAAGCGCTTGTTGATGGCTAGGCCAGAGCAAGATGGCAACAAAAGTAATACGATACTCCAAGGCCAGCAGATGCATCTCATGATCTTAGAACAGCAAAACAAGAAGCGCTTATTGATGGCCAGGCAGGAGCAAGATGCCAACAACGGGGGCACTCTATCCCAAGGCCAGCATGAACCGCAACAAGATCAAACAAAAGAACTTGAAAGTATTGCAGAGGTAGGGGAACAGTCACCTTCAAGGTCGATCAGCGAGAGCGACCCGAATCATGACTTACAAGACCAACCAATGCGGGATGTGGAAAGCAGCCAGGACGAAGCCAAAGAGAACCAGGGGAAGTGACGAGTACCTCTGCAATGCCCGCACGTCAGAGTTTGTCTCTCGACACTACGGACCAGCGTACAGGCGAGTCTCCAGTAGCCACGTCTCCGGTACCCACAAGGACTCGTAATATCTTTCCGAGCCTTTTCGATGATTCCAACGCATGATCTCAACACGGTCTTTCTTGTTTACTATCTCTACATATATACTCCAAATCGCATTGTATTACCTCCCAACTGTTCTCCTGGAGTGAGATAGTATGTCTTGCTGGTCGAATACACTATCCAGGCTCAAGTACCACACCATGTGCAATATATGAGCCTGAAGTACACGCAACCCCGTGGTAAACCCAGGGACTGCCCTCGGTAGCTGACTCGCAGACCGAGCACTGTGTGGTAACTATGCACATTTCTCCGGTTTAGGCTGCTCCTCTTGCTGCAGTCCTAATTCTGGGTTGGGGGCTGTTGTTGCTACTGGTCCTGCGTTATGCTCATCTGCGAATATGCGGTCCTGTAGCACAGACCCCATCAGATAATGATGGACAGGTTTTGATGATCGCCATGGATCCTGCACGCGATGCCGTGCGACCCTTTTGACGATGTGCACAGTGGCTGCCACTGTCTTCCGGGATGTGGCGTTGAAGCTAAGGTCGGAAGCCATGGTCGAGGGGGAAGAGAAGGCGCGAAGGGGAGGGGGGATAGCCAGAGGGCGATGTATGAGAATGATGGTATATGGGTAGTTATGCATATGGGGTTAGTCAGGGGATCAGTTTGCATACGCAGAAGTGCAGTTAGTAGATTGCATGGGAGCGTGTTGTGGGTCTGTGCGAGATGGCGAGAGGAGCACTCCAGCAGTCTTACGGTCTATCAGAATGAGAGATGGTCGGGCGTATGCTTTAGTATGCTTGGGAGAATTCGTAAGAGCTGCTGTGCGAATGTTGTGACGTGGGCTGGATTTGGTGGCCTAAATAGGAAGAGTAAATGAGGGTCAGTGTATTTGCGTACGAGGACATTGGTCTGTTTCGTCTGTCCACAGAGAGTCCAACACGTGGGTCTTGTAAAGCCTCTGTTGCCAAAATATGACTTGAAGGCCCATATATGATAGCATTCCGATGTTGCGCATGATGATGTATCACATATGGCGCGACGTTATCTTATCAGATGCCCCAACCTTCACGACGTAGCGCAGCGCTACCCTCATAACCTCGGCCTGAACCGCGACCTCGCCATCGCCATCGCACCTTCTGGAATCTCAGCTGCACGCCCCCTCACGCCTGGATATATTCACCCTTTTGTACTTGCATTTCCCGGCGCTTTGCATTTGCCCTCGACTCTACACACCCTGTGATACATCGCGGAATCGACGTCCGCACGCGCATCCGAAGTCGGGATATCCACCGGCAGCGCGCCACCGCTAACACGCCCACCGGGGAGCGGATCCGCTGACGTCTTGTTTGTCCGGGGAACCCTCCCACAACCTACCCACTCACGCGAGCAATTGCTCACGCAAAAGCAAAGATATCGTTGAAAGAAGATGGGCAAATCCTCGTCGAAAACGAGCGCGAAGGTGCTTCCACTCATCCCGCTCGCGCCGCCCCTCGCCGTCCTTCCCGCCACAACCCTCAAGATTCCCATCGCCAACCGCTCAGACATCGCCGCCATACTCGCAAAGATCTATAGCATTAGCCCGACTGCGAAGCCCGATGCCGCCATCACGGTCGCCTGCGTGCCGCTCAACTCGCCGGAGGTTTCGCCGAGGGATGGAAAGCTGTTGATTGAGGACGGGAGTAGGAAGAGCAGGAAGGAGAGCTTGTACGAGACGGATCCGGTAAATGCGACGAAGAAGGATGTCTTTGGATATGCATGCATCGCGAAGGTCAGTGGGGTGCAGGGGCGGAGGCAGGGGGAGTTGAGTCTTGTAGTGGAAGGGTTGGAGAGGGTTAGAGTGGTGGATGTGGTGCAGGATCGGCCGTACTTTGAGGGCGAGCTGGAGGCTGTTGAGGAGTTTGGTGCGTATACACCGTCCCATTTGTGCGCGTTAGATGAATTGGAGACTGACTGTCGCAGTGGATCTCGACAACGCCGAACTCGAGTCACAGTTCAACCTGCTCAAGCAGCTGTCGCGCGAACTCCTCGCCCTCGTCCGCCTATCCTCCATATTACCCCGCGCCCCAGCTGTATCGCTATCGCCTATCGTCGCCCGAAGATTAGAGCTCTTCATCGCCCGGAAGGATCTTGAGGAAGCAGGTGCGCTGGCCGACTTTATGGCCAATGTGGTGGACTGCACACACGAAGAGAAGCTGCGTGTATTAGCAGCAGTCGACGTGAAGGAGCGAGTGGACAAGGTCATCGAGATTCTACAGCGGCAAATCACAAGCATACAGAGCAGCACGCGGTTCACAGTCAGCAGCACAGTGGTGCCTGTACCGACGGGCAGTTTCGACATCGACCAGCTGCGGAGACTACAGCAGGAAGCGCTACAGAGACGGGGATTGAAGGGCGCGGTAATGCCTCCTGGCTTTGCTGGGGGGATGCCAGGCGGTGGGGCGAACGTGGGAGAAGACGAGCCCAATGAGCTAGATGAGCTGAAGAAGAGGCTTCAAGATGCACAGCTTTCGCCCGACGCGGACAAGGTAGCACAGCGAGAGCTCCAGCGGCTGTCAAAGATGAACCCGGCACAGGCAGAATACCAAGTGTGCAGGAATTACCTCGAGAACCTCGCTGAGATCCCATGGACCAAGACCACGGCTGATCAGCTGGATGCGAAGACGCTGATCAAGGCGAAGAAGCAACTCGACGACGACCACTACGGGCTGGATAAGATCAAGAAGCGGTTGTTGGAGTATCTCGCTGTGCTAAAGCTGAAGGAGCACGCCAACAAAAGCCTCGACGAGCAGATCCGCGCGCTTGCTGATGCGGCACATCCTAAGGATGAGAAAGACGAGAAGGAGGAGGAGGATGTAGAAGAGAAGCCCACACGAGAGCCCACAGAAGAAGAAACAAGGTTGCTCGAGAAGAAGCGCATGGTAGACAAGTCGCCCATTCTTCTGCTCGTCGGTCCCCCTGGTACCGGAAAGACGTCACTCGCAAAGTCCATCGCCACGGCCCTGGGCCGCAAATTCCACCGCATCTCCCTCGGCGGTGTGCGCGACGAAGCCGAAATACGCGGCCACCGTCGGACCTACGTCGCCGCGATGCCCGGCCTCGTCGTCAACGGCCTCAAGAAAGTCGGCGTGTCGAACCCCGTCTTTCTCCTTGACGAAATCGACAAGCTCGGCATGTCAAACTACAACGGCGACCCGTCCGCCGCGATGCTCGAGGTCCTCGACCCAGAGCAGAACCACACCTTCACAGACCACTACGTTAATATCCCCATCGACCTCTCCAAAGTCCTCTTCATCGCAACCGCGAACTCACTCGACACGATTCCCCCGCCTTTGCTCGACCGCATGGAAACCATCCAGCTAAGCGGCTACACGACGCTCGAAAAACGCAACATCGCAGAACGCCACCTCATCCCCAAGCAAATCACCACAAACGGCCTGCACAACGAAGAAGTCCACATCCCCACCGACGTGCTCGACAAAATCATCACCTCCTACACGCGCGAATCCGGCGTGCGCAATCTCGAGCGCGAAATCGGCTCCGTGTGCCGCTCCAAAGCAGTCGAATACGCCACTGCAAAAGACACAGACACCCTCGCCGCGTACAACGCCAGCGTCACGCTCTCCGACCTCGACGCCATCCTCGGCATCGAGCGCTTCACAGAGGAACTCACAGAGCAGCACGCCCGCCCCGGCGTCGTAACAGGATTGGTAGCCTACTCCACCGGCGGCCAAGGCTCCATCCTCTTCATCGAGATCGCAGACATGCCTGGCTCAGGCCGCGTGCAACTCACCGGTAAACTGGGCGACGTGCTAAAAGAGAGCGTAGAAGTCGCCCTCTCGTGGGTGAAAGCTCACGCCTTCGAGCTTGGCCTCGCGCACAGCGCAGACGAAGATATAATGAAGAGTAGAAGCATACACGTGCACTGTCCCTCAGGCGCTATCCCCAAGGACGGGCCCTCCGCTGGGCTCGCGCACACCGTTGCGCTCATCTCCTTGTTCTCGGGTAAGCCTGTCCCTCCGACGCTCGCGATGACGGGCGAAGTCTCCCTCCGCGGACGCGTGTTGCCCGTTGGCGGTATCAAAGAGAAACTCATCGGTGCGCTGAGGGCGGGCGTGGAAAGAGTAATTCTTCCTGAGGGGAATAGGAAGGATGCGCGGGATTTACCGGAGGAGGTGCTGGGGGGAGTTAAGATTGAGTTTGTGGGGCATATATGGGAGGCGTTGGGGATGGTGTGGCCTGAGAGGTGGGAGAGGAGTGTGGGCGGGTGGGAGAGTAGGCTGTAGGCTTGTTCAGGTCTTGTTCATCTGAGCAAGAGCATGCGAGGGGAGAGGAGGTGGGCATGAGGTATGCTGGCCTGTCTTCTGAACGGACGTGGATATCCGATTATCGTATCGTTCTGTATATACTGCCTGCATTCATTCGCTTTTGAGCTTTAGCTTTAGCATTTCTGGCTTGGCGGCGTTCGGTGTCACCGGCTTTTTGTAATCTACTCTTTACACTTTTCACACTTTTCACTCCATTCTTGCACATCACCAGTGAACCACTTCTGCAACATCTCCAAGGCTCAGTCTGTCTCAAGCGATATATTTCACCCCATCTCAAATTATGTATTCGTGTACTTTTCGTCTCCCAAACTCCCGCCAATGCAACGACCAAACGAAGGATATACAAGAGAATCTCGATGTCATTCCTGACTTCAACTATTAGACTCCCCATGAGGAATCAGATAGCACCTCAGCTGAGGCTAGCAAAAACGTGGAAGCCCCATACGTATGTGGTGCGCCGGGCGTTGACGCCTCCACGTGGCGTAGATAGCGTGCTCAGAAGAGTTGTGGAAGAAGCCATGGGCGTAGGCTAAAGCGCGCGTTGGGGACAAAGGGGGCCGGGGGGTGTGTTGATGGTCGCGAGCCCCGTACGCTAGCACGGTGCTTACCGCAACTCAGGCGTGTTGCGCCCGCCAGTCCGCGACATGCTATACGGCGCCTGCAAGCTCATCAGCAATGGCTCTTCTAAACGGAGGGGTGCGGTGAAAGACATACCAGGACTTTCTTCGCATTGCAGATGCGCCAGGCGAGATTGCGCACCGTGCCGTCAGCCTGGACGACCTCTGGTGTGAATTCGATGCCGAACCTGTTATGCATTAGATACTACTCCGGAGAAGTATCAACAGGAAACGGAAAAGCAGACTCACATCTGATGCACCGCAAACACAACCCTACTAGCATATTTCCCATCCCTCTCGACCAAGCTGCCAAACGGCTCATCCACCGTACTCGGCGCAATCTCCGGATCCCTATCAAAGCAATTCTGCACGACGGGCAACAGCGCGCGCTCCACAGGCTCGCGAATCGTCCCGTTCGCATCGAGCTCAACGTCCTCCTCGTCAAAGCGCGAGATGCGTGTCTCGAAAGCTTGAGAGACGGCGAGCACGTTGTGTTTCCCGTTGTGGTGGTAGCGGAACTCGAACACGCCCGTCGTCCACCAGAGCTTGTCGCCGCGGAACTCGACTTCGCCAGTATAGCAATCCGTGTCGCCGTCTTTGCGGGCGGCGGCGGGTATGAGCTTGTCAGAGACGAGAATACCTTCTTCGGCACGGGAGGTGTCGTGGACGCCCTTGTTGGTCGCGATCCAGCGTCCGTTGCTACCGATGCGAGTTACGTCGCGCGACGCGTTGTCGGCGACCATGTACAGACCGATCCAGTCTTTCTTGCTGTGGTTCAGCGGAGCCTGCCAACGAACCTTAATGGGGGCGCCGTATTCGAGCATGAGCTTGTCGACATCGCCAGTGCGCTCTGCTGGCGTGCGTGCCATTGATCCTTCTCGCGCATGGCCCTTTTGAAGCTCCATGTACGGCGACAATCGCGACCCCTCAATCTCGAGCTTGTACTGTGTTGGGTCTACTCCAGCTAATTCAGGAGCGAGACGGGTGATTGATATGCGTGCCGGGTAAGACTTGAACAGAGCAGTTGTATCTTTGAAGAATGTATCGACACCAGCAGCTAGCTTGGGCCTCGCGCTCTCGATAACCTCCTCGATGAATTCCACTGTCGAATTGAGGTATTCATCGGCCGCTGACTGCCAGTTGCGGACGGGGCTGGGAAGGGCCTGCCTGAGTGTCTTGCTCACGCCCGACGTCTGGCGCAGCCTTTCGCCGTAGAGCTTCTGCATGTGCGGACGCTCGACGAACTGCAAGAACACCAAGTTGAGGATATGCGCGGTTCCAGCGAGGTAGAACATGGGTAGACTCCATGTGATCAGTGCAACGCCCCACACGCCGGCGAGGCCCAAGACACGTTCGGGGTTGTTCAGGAAGCGGTAGATGCCAGAGTAAGTGAGGTTCTTGGACGGTGGGTCGAAGACTAAAGGCGGGGGGTACAAAGTCAGTGTAATGTTCAAAAGTTGGGGAAGTGGGTGAGGTAGGTGTTCTAGCCAGCTAAAATGTCTGAAAATTTCAGACCTAGTGGTGTAAGGCCTGGAGACTTAGACAATCACCCAGCCTGAACACCTACTCTGTACCCCGGAATTGCTTACAGAAATCTCCGCAAAACCAACCGAATTCTCCCAAAGACTCGTAGATGCTAGATGCAACCCACATTTGCAGGGCGATCAGGCTGACTCCGACAACATGTCGCAGCAGCGTCCATCCATACGTCCAGTCCGACGGAAGAGTGTACATTTTCCAAGCTGCCGCGGCGAAGCTGATATGACTCAACGTCATGCTCAGGTGGTACAAATACTTCCACTGTCGCCACGCTTCTTCTTTGCTGTCTCCATATTTGATGAAGTGGCGTGTCCAGTTCTTCTTCTTGGACTGTCGGTCTAGGATATATCCAAGCCCGAGCGCGTACCACAGCCTCCAGATGAAGGCATTAACAAGGAAGAATGTGCGCACCGGCCAAGTGTTCGGTGTCATGGTTGCAAAGCAGAATATGTAGAATGTGAACAAGACTGCACTTGTATCGAGTGAACGATGGAAATCGGTGTTTAGTGGACCTACGATGTTGTGAACTTGCGAGGGCTGCCCGTAAGAATCGATGATAGGCGCACCATCGATGAATGCAGCTTCGGAGTGGCCGGTTGTCGGGCGTTCTTCGCGAGGGATGCTTTGGGACTGTTGGCGCTTTCTGGGCGGTGGCGTGTTGTACGTCTTGTCGATGTGAGGATTTTCCACGAAGGTCAAAAAGGCAAATTGAGCGGCGTGTGCGATTACGGAGATGAAGAGGACAGCGTAGCTTGATGCCATCATAGATATACCGTAGTATCCCGCATACCCGACTGAGTACATAGGGTGCGGAGCCATCTCGAAGACTCCGTCGAAGGTAAGCTCTTGATCAATGAGGTAGAAAAAGTCTCCCCAATACCATGCGAAGTCCTTGACCACCCTATGAGCGTCGAGCTTAACCCATAGATTGAACAAGAAGAGCAGGATGCCCGTGGCCCATCGTAGCATCCATAAGCCCCAGCTCTCGTCGGGGCGATTAAAGCAGGCTATCGCGAAGAGGCAGTACGACACGAAGTCACACATGAGGATGAGGTCTACGACTCGCCTGAAGAGCAACCACGTGTTGTATTCGAGCGGCGCTTCCTCGAACTTGTAGTCCTTTGGGATCTTGGTCTCCATTTCGCGCTTGAGAAGCCCGTACAGGGTACGATACTTGTTGGTGCCTAGGTCTGGGTTCTCGAAGATGTGCGAGTTCTTCGCCCAGAGGACCAGGCGGTTATGGTTGGACTGCATGTGCAGGAGCCAGCCAATGCCTACGTTATAGGCGGCACGCCAGAACAGAAAGATGACTGCGAAGACGGGCTTGCGGGCGCTTTTGGGCAATGCGTAGAGCAGGAGTATCAGACCAGCGAGGGCAGCGAGTACGACTAGGTCAGACAGGTTCTTTGGTTGCGAGGGCGAAAGAAGCTGCGATACCATGTCGTGCGTTTGCGGCACGATGAAGACTACGCGCAAATTAGCAATCTAGTGTACTACTTGCTACTACTCACGGCGTCGCTCTTGGGCTACCATCTCGATTGCAATGGTTTTGCCGCCTCGTCAACGTACCGGTGCCGTCCGGCGTCCTGCCGTAGGTTCGCGTTGGGCCATGTTTCTGCTCTTTAGCCTCCTGTTCATTCAGGTCTAATACCTTTTGTCTCGCATCTTCAGAATTGTGCAGGTGCAGCGGCTTAGCAGAGGGTCGCTCGCGCAGAGTGCTGCCGTCGGCGCCCATGCTGTGAGATCCGTCGGCCATATTGCTGGGCAAAGCGAGCAGCAAAAACGAGGGGCAGTTGGAGTCGCACAATTTGGGTGGGATGGGCCCGGCGGGCTTTTGGGCGAAGCGGAGGCGCTATTAAATGCAGGCGTGCGCTGCGTGGTGGGTGTAGTGGATCGCGGCAAATGCGGGTTGATGCGACTAGGGTGCGGCTTGCAGAGCCGGTGCAATTGTGTGTGAAGAGGGGTGACAAATGAGTACAGCCATGAAGTGTTGAACTTCAGCAGGTATGTTGAATGTGTCACCGAGCGACGAGGTGTTGTGAATGCAAAAGGAAGGTACTCACGGCTTCGGGGAGTGAGAACTTGTAAGCCGACTCATGCCAGGCTGGCCCAAGCACCACCGCGGCTGCTCTTGCCAACCCCGCACGTGCCCCGCTATGACACAATACTGCACAACACACAACACCACAGCTGCATTGATTCTCCCACGCAGTAATATATCGCATACTTTGACTCCAAACATCCTTGCATAGCGCGATTTTGTGCTGCTCTCTGCATTTTCATATGTACAGGAAAACCATGTCCACGAAATTACGTAGCTGTTGCCCGCATGTGATGCACGAAATGCCTCACGCGCTCTCGGCAGTTCTCAAGCGAACGTGGGTCCTCCGATGCGTTTCCGGAGGAAAGTCGAATGCTAGTTGGTAAAATACACAACACGAAGATGAACGCTACCAGGAACCGTGCTCAAATCGAGTTGGTCCTCTTCAATTTGGATTTTCTTACACATCTCGGGTCTTTATCTCCAAGCGTACTTGGGCCGGGCCAGCTATGGCAGGAGCTTGCCCTTGTCAATGCGGGCTGAATATTGCTCGAGCGGCGGAGGAACGCCACGCCCTCGTCTGAGAAGCGACGCCTCCGGATCGAGTCCATGCGCTTCGATGCCAGGAAACCGGAGATGGTGAGCTTGTCCAGTTCCTTGGTCAAACGGGCAACGGGCAGTTGCAGATGGGCTCCATGTGGCTTGAAGGCCGTGGCTTCCGGGCTGAGGGTAAAGTTGGTGTACGCGGAGTTTGGTGGTGCTGGAGGGAGCGCCGAATCAATTTCAGATACAGGTCGAAGAGGTGGTGGAGGTGGACGCCTGGTCTCCGCTCCTGCATACACAGATGCTACTGTGTCTGGTGCTATATCATCTAACGGGAGCGGACGGATGCGGGTCTTTTCAAACGGCGAGACGGCCACATCCTCTGTCCAGCCTTGCCAGTCAAATGATGTCGTGTCCGAATCGACATATGAGTTGCTGGAGTAGTATTCTGCGCGGGTCCACGGCGTTTCCGGCGGACAGATGATTGCCTCCAGCGTATGAATGTTGTTTTCGCAGACTTTTAGACAATCGAGTATCACTTTCTCCTCGTTTTCGCATGTATGAATTGTCTTACACGTTCTCCATCTGTTCTGCTGGATCTTCTTCCGCTTCGAACGCGGAGTTGGATTGGTGTCCAATACGCGCTGATTGCGTGTCTGTCTGTCGCGGAGTGCGTTGAGCGTCGTGGCAGTCTTCGATAGCAACTCCTCCAGGTAGTCCTTCTGACCCCGCAAGCTGTTCAGTGTTGGCAGCCATGTGTTGACGTCCTGCATCGTTCGTGTATTGTGGACAAAAGCGTCGAAGTAGCCAGAGAGTCGATCCGGGGAGTAGGGCTTGATGGGTGGTAGTCCGTATTCCATGTCACAAAAGTGTCGTTGTTTCCTCCGCGATCTCATTCAAATTAACAAGAAGCGTCAAGTTGAACGCAAGGCGCTCAAGATAATGCAAGGCATTGTTGTACCCTAATGAGGCAACAAGAAGTGAGTTGAAGCTCTGTCTGGTTTGGTGAGAATCTGCAGAATCTGCGGTTCTTTGAAGCAGGGTTATCTACGGCGAGCTGCCCCTCAACATACAAATGGGCTGTGGCCAGGCTCTGGTCCTTCTTTGAGTGCTCCACATCGCTAGGCATCGGTGGTAACAATGACAATGCGGCGGACTCGTCGCTGCTGAGAGGCGAGTCCCCTGCGCATGATCCAGGCCCAGTGTCACGGTTGCATACGAAAGGAAGTCCAATCGCTCTCGCAATCCACTTGTCCCAAAGGTGGCTTGCGGGTGGCTCGGGGTTCGGCCATGACCGAGAAGAAAGAAGATCAGTGTTGAGCACAAAGAGGCGGGTTTAGGAAGCATTGTCCGATGATCAACCAAGAAGGAGCCTGCAGTAGTCATTTCGGGCCCTTCTGTACCTGCTACGCTCCCTCCGCGGGATACGGAAAGCGTGTAGCCCTGATCGAGCTCTCTTTGCAGACTTCATCTGACTCTAGGAAGCAGTGGCCCGCTGCTAGTCCTGTGTATTCAGAACGCCTCTTATAAATTGTTCCCGTCGTACAGACACTCTGGTAGAAAAGGTTAGTTGCCAGCCAGGTACTGTACTCGATCCGAGTCCCAATGATGGTAGTGCTTGATGTGGAGTAGTAGCTACTCTGCGGTCTTGTTTGATTATACCCAGAAATGACCGCGTATCAACTGTTTTACACGAGCACCTATGCCGACCGTCCCCTTAGTAGTCAGATCTGATGCATGTAGGACACTCCAAAACGATTGCAAAATATCTGGCCAGTTTCAAGAAGGCAGTCCGGCGCACCGCTGCCTTTGGATACTAACGGTGGCTTCGAGACGAGAGACGATACAAGTGAGGCTTGAGTGTCAATGGTTGCTAATCTGTAAGAGTATTTTCCGCGTTGCAGATCGTTGACGATGGTCTCGCGAGATAATCTCTGGAATGATAATACCTTTCTTAGTCAGTTATTGAGGCCGCACTCGCCTCCTTCGACCCGAGCTCGTCCTCGAGCTCGGAGAGGCCATCTGAGTCGCCGCTGCGGATGTGACATCGGGCCATTATGCGTCGAGACCCGCACAGCATGTTCGTGAGACACAAAGATTAGGGTCATCGTGTTGGATTCTGCACGGAGCTTGAATGCACCTTGCCATAAGAAACCCGCTAGTCTCCCCTCAGACGACAATGACTAATCTATGCGCATCCCCATCTGCATGCATCTGCAATTCCCTCATCACGTTTAGTGAGCATGCTTCCACCATCACGCAACCTCGCATGCAGCGGAGTCGGAGTTACACACTCCGCAAAAGTCCCGCGAACAGTCATCTTAGCCCGGTGCTGCCCGCCCCGTGCTGACGCGACAAGCTGCAGCTGCCGCTCTACACGTCAATACGCGCGCCGACCCCGCGTTCACACTCAATCTCGAACCTCACACAGCAGACGGATTTGCGCGAATTCGCCGCCATCCCACCATGCTTCCGGAACTGATCAATCAGATGCGCCAGATCGTGGGCCACTCATGGCACTACTGTACCTGATGAAAAACGAGCCCCGCAGCCCGTTGCTGTCCTGCAGCCAGTAACGCGTTCCAACAATGAGGGACGCACGATGGGCTGCGGATCGATTCGTCTCTGCTAGGCCTGCCCTTGCATAACCCCTCAGCTCGGCTTCTTCTTTGGTCTCGAACGGCTTCCGGCCTCCCGTCGACATCATCTCTCAGGAACCGCATAGAGACGTCATCGTTGAGCATGTTCCACCCACCAATGCTCGCCACTACGCCACTCTTGGACGCTGGCGAGTTCGATGTGGGGAACACTGCCGCTCTCAGCAATTCTTTTCTCCTGTCAAGCAGATGATGCGGCTTGTGAGGGGTCAGCCGGAACGATGAGAAGCTAACCGATCCCCGAGACTTGCGGCGAATAAGCACTTCCTGCCGTACCGTCTCCAGTCGTGAACATTTGACGTCGCTTGATTTGTCCTGTGGCTGGAGCGTGATTAGCCCTACCGCACTAGTGCGCTACATTCCTTGCCATCTACTGCAGCATACAGTGACCATCTTCCTTCCAACACTACCGGGTCCATCACCGTGAGCTACGCCATCTTTGGGGTGTATTGCGCTTGTTGTCTATTCCGTGATTATATATTTGCCCTAGCCGCCCTTCGCGATGGAAGCTATTCGAGCTCTGTCAGGAGCCAGACTCCGTCCTTTACGATTACTCGAGACGTCATCCAAAATCATGACCTCGAAAACTTCAACCGAAATCATCGACATCAGGCCTGGCCCAACCGAGTTTGATATTCTACAGGATATCAAAGATGGCCTGCGTCCTGAGGCTGGCGGAGAGAAGACTCTCCCGACCATGCTGTTGTACGATGAAGCAGGGCTGCGACTTTTTGAAAAGATCACTTACGTGAAGGACTATTATCTCACCAATGCCGAGATTGAAGTTTTGGAGACGTATGCCGATCAGATTGCGGAAAGAGTTCAGCCCGGGTCGGTTGTCGTTGAGTTGGGGAGCGGGTAGGAGCCCGCCCGGAAATGAAGCACCACGCCGCCCGAGGCCGATACTAATATGCATTGCAGCAACCTGCGTAAAGTCAACATCCTTCTCCAGGCTATTGAGCGCCTTGGTAAAGACGTCGAGTATTACGCAGTCGATCTTTCCTTGCCCGAGTTGGAGCGAACGTTCGCCGAGATCCCGACCAGTGAGTCCATCTAGTCTACGTATTGGTGGCGTGAACATTCTTCAATAATCAGCCGCTTATGAATAGCCCAAAGCTAACTCTTTCTATAGATTACCAGCATGTCAAGTTGAAAGGACTGTACGGTACATACGACCACGCCTTGGAATGGCTGAAGTCTCCCAAAATCAGCGCGAAACCCAAGTTCATGCTATGGCTCGGTTCGAGTCTGGGGAACTTTAACCGCGCCGATGTTCCTCCTTTCCTAAGCGGATTCCGTGACGCACTCCAACCTGGTGACACCATGTTGATCGGGATCGATTCATGCAAAGATCCCAAACGTGTGTTCCGTAAGTCTAGACTCAAATGCAATTTCGCTCGTATGGTTGCTGATCTGCTCCTTCCTTAAGAGGCATACAATGATAGCGAAGGAGTAACTCGAGATTTCACACTCAATGGACTCAAGAATGCCAACCGCATCCTGGGTACTGAGGCATTCAAACTTGACGAGTGGGAGCATCGCGGTGAATTCGTGGAAAAGGATGGCTATCATCGTGCGTTCGTGTCGCCGCTAAAGGACGTTGTCATCGACGGCGTGCAACTCAAGAAAGGCGAGCGTATTCGCATCGAGGAAAGCTGGAAATTCAGCACTGAAGAGATCGAACATTTGTGGAGTGCAGCTGGCCTCGTCCCCAACACCGTGTTCAGTACCTCAAGGGGAGATTATGGTACGTTCCATGCGTCTTCTGGGACAACGTCTGTGACATCTAACATCCCCAGGACTACACTTTGTCTCCAAGCCCTCGTTCTTCTTTCCGACCAATCCGGAACAATACGCCTCAGGGCCTGTTCCATCGGTTGCTGACTGGCAGGAACTTTGGGCTGCTTGGGATGCCATCACACAGAATATGGTACCCAAAGACGAGCTTTTGTCGAAACCTATCAAACTCCGAAATGCGGTCATCTTCTATTTGGGTCATATTCCGACATTCCTGGACATACACTTGACCCGTGCCACTGATGGAAAACCTACCGAGCCAGCGTCCTACACACGGATCTTTGAGCGAGGCATCGACCCCGATGTGGAGAACCCTGACCAATGTCACGATCATAGCGAGATTCCAGAGGCCTGGCCACCGCTGGAGGAAGTATTGAAATTCCAAGATGCTGTTCGAGTAAGGACTAGGGCTCTATACGATTCAGTCGCTGCACACGATAACGCTCGCGTGTCCCGCGCTCTATGGTTGGCATTTGAACACGAAGCGATGCATCTAGAGACCCTTCTCTACATGCTCATCCAGAGCGAACGAGTCCTGCCTCCACCAGGATCAGTACTGCCCTCATTCGAAGCGCTTGCTCGGAAGTCACAGTTGGCTAAGGTCGAAAACCAATGGTTCACGATTCCAGAATCTGATATACAGGTCGGATTGAACGATCCAGATGATGGTACCGCCACCGACGGATATTTTGGCTGGGACAACGAAAAACCTTCCCGTTCACTACACGTAAAATCGTTCAAGGCAAAGGCACGACCAATCACAAACGGCGAGTATGCCGAATATCTCGTTCAGACAGGGAAGAGTGCACTCCCCGCCTCGTGGTGTGACGCATCGGACCCAGTTGCTCAAGTGGCGGTCAAGCGGGATAGCGTTCAGAATGGCGTCAACGGAGTCAATATCAACATTGACGGTGTCACGCAAGGAAAGTACGTCCGGACAGTCTTTGGGATAGTCCCCCTCCAGTATGCGTTGGACTGGCCAGTAGTAGCATCTTACGATGAGCTAGCTAGTTGCGCTCAGTGGATGGGTGGGCGCATCCCCACTATGGAAGAAGCACGTAGCCTTTACAGCTATGTGGAGCACGGCAAGGCTCAAGAGTTTGAAAAGACGCACGGGAACAGGATCCCAGCCGTAAACGGGTACGTGCAGATATGCTTCCTTTTCCGGCTGCAGCTGACTGGTTAGGCATCTGATCAACAACGGCGTGTCTGAGTCGCCACCATCCCACCATTTGTCGAACGGCAACTCCGGAGCAGTATCCGGTCCGAAGCCGCGCGACCTCTTCATTGACTTGGAGGGGACGAATACGGCATTCCAGCACTGGCACCCTGTGTCCGTTGCCGGCAAGGGCGGAAAGCTCTGCGGGCAATCGGATCTAGGTGGCGCGTGGGAATGGGTAAGTTAGCTGCGAGTGGAAAAGCGAGAGACATCTCTAACTTGACCTTTCAGACCAGCACTGTTCTGGAGAAGCATGATGGCTTTTCAGCCATGCCACTGTACCCCGGCTACACGGCGGACTTCTTTGACGGAAAGCACAATATCGTGCTCGGAGGCTCGTGGGCTACGCATAGCCGCGTTGCAGGACGCAAGACATTGTGAGTATTCCAGGCAAGCCGAGGCGAGGTTTCACTAACGTACGCAGCGTCAACTGGTACCAACGCAACTACCCGTAAGTGATTTAGGCAACAGCGGTGGTTTTCTTTTGCTGACCCACACAGGTACGTATGGGCCACTGCACGACTGGTACAGGACGTGTAGAGCGCGTGCCGTATGCCGCTCGCCGCACGTGGAGTGAATTACACGCGTCACGGGACAGCGCGTTGCCAGGGCATGTTGAGTCTGGTTGGATGGTCGCACCTTCCACACTGTCTTGTCGCTCCAGTAACTACCCGTCAGCCTCACTGCGTCTGTCGTTCCAGAAATTTCCAGCAATTTTCCATGTTCAACCAGCCACTCGTTTACCGTGTTCTGTACTGTCCTTTGTTTTTCCTCCTGTTTCTCCGCGTGGCGCGTCGCCTGAGTGACTCAGGCTTTTGGCTAGTGCATCACAGTCAACAAATGCAACTCTTACGCAGAGACCTCGCCGCAGTGCTTCCCAGTCGTGTTACTCGTGAAATCTATGTGTGGTCCGTCCTTTAATCCATTTCACCGGTACAGCGACAGATCGCGAAGGGCTGCAGCTGCCCGTTTCATAAAGTCGTGCCCCGCTCCCGCACCCCCATCAATACATCAACACACCCAGAACAACTCAGCAGCCCCGATATAAACTTGGACTGTCGTCAGACCTACTGCACTTCGTTCTTCCATTCCGATATACTTGCCATTCGCCATGGGCAAGAGCATTCTGTTTCGGTGAGTACCTTCCTCAAGTGCTGAGCAGCGGCTAACAGTAAACAGGTGGGAGGACTCTGATGCCCTCAGTAAGTGCAACCTGGAACATCCCTCGCGCCTGCGTGCTTTCAACTGCTAATCTTTGAGTAGAACACCACTGCGGCGTCTGCGACCGGCCCTTGTCACACCCCGGTGCGAAGAACACGTGCTTCGGATCGCATGCTGAGCCATGTTTTCGTTTTCATCAAGCCATGTTCATGCGGAACCGCGGTCACACATGCGACATGTGTATGCACATCGACGAACACCACTACAAGCGCCATCATGAAATGTGTGAGCAAATCCGGTGCATATACGAGACTTGCGGTGAAGACTGGCCCATCATTCCTGAGGACGAAGACGGTCGAGGAAGAGCAAGATTCAGAGACCCTGACACGCATGGAAGCGACGATCTGTCATCTGCATCGGGCGAAGTACCACTGAAAAAGAGAGAGAGGAAAGAACAGAAGAGGCAGATGAGAGCCGCGAGCAGATCCAAGGTCGTTACGCAAGATGATATCAATTACGTCGACTCCGTTCTACATCCGGCAGCCTCTCAAGTGGGCACGGGGAACCCGGACAACCCCGAGGAGATTGAAGAGATAGAGAAACATCTGAAGTACAACGCGCAGTGCTACAACGACGGGCAGAAGCGAAGCGACATTCGGCTGTACGCCCACATTCCAGATGCAGACATTGATTTCGGTGCCGAGATCAACCGTATCTTCGAGCTTCTGCACATCGCCGAATTACTCAAGCGCAAAGAGAGGAACCGCGGTTTGCGGAACAAGGAACTATCAAACTTCAAGACGCTGGTGTCTGAGTTCAAAGATCTACTCATCACGGATCTGGTACAGGCCAAGAGGGACGAACTTGAGATCAGGATGCGGAGGGCTGCTTTCTTGAGATACACGAACCGAGCCAGCTTCGACATCATGGCAAATCGTTACGCAGATAAGGACTGGAAGACAGGCCAGAAGTATCAGTCCGCCGGCTCGGCGTCTGCATCCTCGGATAGTCTGACGGCCGTCGAGGAGGAGGAAGAAATTGACTCGGATGACCTCGCGACGCCGGACGATTTGCGGCACCTATCTTCAGCCACCTTACATGATGCTGATCGTAGGCACATTGAACACTCACACAAGAAGATCGGTAGCAGCGTTATCCTTGAACCTGTCGTGGCCGTTCAGGAGAGTAAGGATCCCCCAAAAGAGGGTGCGCCGAAGCCGCCTCCTTCACTGAGAATCGTCAACACCGACATCATTCCGCCGGCAAAGGTCAAGTTTCACAATCCTTGGAAACACCGCAACATGTCCAGACCATTCGAGACTCTCAAACGGAGTGCACAGTCTCCGTCATCAAGCGAGCTATTAAGTGGCGGTCCTGCACCTGACGAGGACGATGGCTGGCAGACTGTAGGCCCTGTTACGATCCCGACCCGTGCTTCAGGTAAACAGAGCGATGCTAGCCGGTCCATAAGTAGGGCATCGGTAGCGGCTCCCGAGGACTCTGCTCCTGGCGCGACTCCCAAGGCTCGTTCGCTTTCCCTGAAGCCGATGCGAGTGGGCGTGATAGCTTCAATGTACCAGGATGAAGCTGAGCGGCACCAGATGGCCGAGAAAGTGGAGCAGGATGCAGAACAAGCGTACGTACAGAGCGTTTTGATCAAGGTTGCTTCAGCTAATTGTTTGACTAGGAGGCAAGACGCCAAGACGCGAGTCCAGGAGCGAAAAGAACAACTGCAGCTCGCCGAAGCACATCTCCAACTACAGACAGAGGAGATGCTCCTGCAGAAGCTCGAAGAGTCTACTGAAGTTGCGAAGTCGCCGGACGTCGAACAGCCCGCTGTTGAGTCGAGAAAGAAGAAGGACAAGAAGAAGCAGCGCGAGACCGATCGGAAAGCTCGGCGGGCTGCGGAGAAGGAGCCTGGAGCCTCCAAGCAGATAGATGAGTTACTTGGTGACACCGATGTAGCGAGTCCTTCGTCGGACGTTTCAGCTCTCTATAATGTGCTTGCGAAAGGACTGGTGGATGAAGCTGATCGAGCCCTTCAATCACCGCGTGGCCAAGGATCAAGCTCAAAGGTTGCGGGGGCTCACACCACAGACGATCTGAGCGGTGCCCATCTCGAATTGTCGAGAGATGCGTTGAAGGAGGGAATTCAGCGCTCCAGGCGTACAATGCATGCGAAGGACGCGACATCTTTGGATTCATGGCTTCATTCCATATCTTCACTCCTAGAAGTTCCTCCTCCTAGCAAGGATCAAGCGCCGGAATTAGGCGACCAAATGTTGACGGGTTCTATCCTGAATGATCCAGTGGCAGATAGCGTTACTACCCCTAAGCGCGAGTCTCGTCATTCCGAGCCAGCTGAGCGCGCGTCGCCGTCTGCTCCGCTCTCAACATCCAAGATTGGCCGACACAAAGATTGGATGAAGTTTGCAGGTTCCCTCAAAGTCGACAGCCTATCCAAACTGCTGTTCACGGCGATGCATCCCGCGTACCAGGAGCACGCAGACGATCTATACATCGGCGGATGCCCGTGGGAAGCTTCGGGAACACCCGATTGTCCATACCACAAAACCTACTGCCCGTGCATTGACCCCGTCGACCCGACCAACGACAAGTACATCGTCTACGCCGAGACATACCCCTACCAGATCGGCCCCTTCAACTGCATCCAGGCAGCGAAGCTCATGCACTTCTTCGAATCTCAGCCCGAGACGAAGGGTAGACTCATGCTCGTGGATGAAGACCTCTACCTGTGGCTCTACACCGAAGGCCGCCACTGGCTCGTCGAAGCTATGACGCCGAAGCAAATGGAGAACAGTTCCTTCCCGAGGCGCCTCTACTGGGAAGTAAAGGACTACGTGCGCGGCTACGCAAAGGGCAGGGTCCTCAAGCTCGTCGAACAGTTTCAGGATCTCGCGGACAAGAACGAGCGCTCGCGCACGATTGGGTGTCGCGCTACTATCTCGGAAGAGCTTCTGGAATCCCTGCGGAAGAAGTGCGAGACTAGGCCTGATAATAAGGCTATCTGCTATTGCAAGGATAACATGCCTGCGCACCCTGAGACCGACGACAACGTGGTGCGGTGCATGTACGTCGACTGCCCGATTGGGTTCTTCCACCGCCGCTGCGTCGAGAAGCTGGGGCATGCGAAGGTGTCTACGTGGTACTGCGCGTTCTGCGAGAAGTACATGAATGTCGCGGCGCAGAAGGCGCTGCATGGGGCGGATGCGATTCATAAGGGGTTGCCTGCGCCGGACTTTACAGACGGGAAGTATGGTGCGCAACTGAGGTGTGTTGCTGCGGGGATTGATATGATGAAGACGGGGCATTGTGAGGGGCATTGAACTACAGAGATGTGAGAGGGGGGCGGTCTCTGACGACTGGGAATGTGAGGTTGGGATTTGATGGACAACATTGATGATGATGGAACATGTTGGAGTGTTTACATGGCAGCATAGCATGATTGTTGTGTTTGACTTGTAGTGTACATCAACGCAGAACCTCATATTCTCTGACTTGTTTGGTGGTTTACTTTCTGGCTAACTCCAAATAACCTTCATCAAATCAAAGAAATCTCCGTACGTGCGATCGATGGCGAAGTATTGTGATTCACGTGTCCATCTTACTACCTAACCCAGGTGAGCACCTGGCCACCCTTCCCAGTCACACTGAAACCCCTCCATGACTCTTCCACCAAACTCCAACAACATGACTCAAACCCATTACCTCACTATCTTTAACACACACGTCCATACTACAAGACCTGCTCATTATCATAAACCTCAGATTCTCCCTCTCTAGACTTTTCTTCCTGTAATAGAAACACACGCGCTTGCTTACGACTATGACTCTTGTAAAGCAGTGATAGCGTAGGGTTGGAAGGTTATACGCCTAATTCCACCCACACCTTCAAGGAAGCAAGCCATAAAGCGCCGAAGGAGTCCGATTAAGACCGATGGAGCAGTGCTGCAAGTGCTGCAACTACGATCTCACGTGTGGCTGCGTTTAGTCTGCAAGGCTGAGAAGAAGTAAGGGCTGTGGGGAAGGTACACCGCTCGCTACTAACAGACGGGTGATATCACGCGGATGGGATGTCGATGGGGATGGGTAGGTCCTTTCCCTCGTATGGATCGATTAGTATTGAGGTTTACATTTCTTTCCCTGAGCAGGAGCTGCGCAGTCTCACGGAGTCTTAAATTAGGGCTGGGTGTGGTTTTGCAGGGGGGTAGATTGGGCGTGTAGTGAGTTGTGACATTGCTCTTTTGTACATCGAACGCATCTTGTTGTTTGGGTGGGAGGTTTGTGGATCGCAGTCTTGAGGGTTGGAGGATTAGATATGAGGCCGGTCGAGTCGTGAGATAAGAGGTGTATGTTGGGGTATGGTTGTTTTGGGAGGTTGAATTGATGGGGGAAGGAGGAGCGTGGTGGTCTAGGGAGATATAACTCGTCTGGTCAGGATAGGAGTGCTTATCTTTCATCTTGAACATGTTGAAACCACTTAGTAACTTGCCAACACACTTTTAAGATTCGTTCGCCGACTTCAAAGCACATTTCCCGCAGCACGGTGATATCTACCCGGTGTTTTGCATCAAGTACGCCATTGGCCACACGGATATTTGGTCAGTTGTCGAGGTTCAGCCGTCTGAGTCAACCTCGATGTGACTCCTCTACTGGAAAACTCGAGAGCCACTCTATTTCCAATCGCTTCGACAGTCACCTGCTTTCCAATTTCAATGAGAATGCTAATGCATATAAGTATAAACATCTGTATGTCCAATTCTCTATCCACACAAAGACAACATCTACGCTCATTCACCACTACACATTCCCACTCTCAACAGCGTTGCGGATCCAGCCTTACACGAAAGAACTCACGATTACAACTCTCGAACACCACTCTCCAAAAGTCCACAGAAAACTATGGGAGCAGGCGGCGGAAATTTCGAATTGTGCCTTGATGGACCTCCACCTGGGAGATATTACTGTTGTGCCTGCGACCAGTATTCCCAGGACGACCTCCCGACTTGCCTTGGGTGCGGCCACAACATTCAGGAATGCCGAGACGACGAATCGAAATCGAAGGACTCAAAGTGCGTGTAACGAGATGGCTGGGTGGTTGAATGGACGTGATACTGGAGGCTTCTTGGTTATGCATTGAGCGGGCTGCACATAGTTGTGTATAGTTCACGGTCATATACGAAGTTCTGTCACATGTAATTACGCTGTTCAATCATTCCGTTATATTATTATGCATATTCCAAATCGCGCTTGATTAATTCTACTTGTGCAGCCGTTCCATTTCACATTGATATATCGCTTGTTCTTATTACTACAAATGGTTCTGTTTGCTCAAGCTGCTGGGTTTTCACATATGAGAGATTGTATGGCGGCCGTAAACTGCACTATCTCTTCGTCATAATCGCAGAGATGGATTTGGTCTTCTCTTCCCAGTCAGTCTTTTGCCGCCTCTAGCACCGTGCACACAGTGTGTAGCCAAGGACGAATGCGATAAGGCTATGTAATGATTACTTCGGCGCGTATCGTAGTAGGCCGAGTCAGGTTTGGAAGCAATCTCAAGTAGAGACTCTCTCTTACGATCATCTAGTGCGAGGGCTTGTTTTTCATGAGGGATGGCCGAATAAGTCCTCACTTGGCACTGCGACACCACACTACAATATACCATATGAATATTTTTAAATCAGTAGGAGCTAAAACTAGAGCTCTTATAATATTCTCTCCCCTAACTAAAAGTAATTACTAACATCGTTAAGGGTCTTTGTTGCGTTGTGTCCGGCTCAGCTGTCAGTGTGCATTCCGTTTAAGAAAATAAAATTAAAAAAAGCTCCTCGTATTATGGCTTGCGAAAACCGATACATAAAGCCACGCATACCGCAAGACTAGGGAAGCCCAAGACATGTATGAATCTTGCGTGTGGATCAGGCGGCTGCAGGTTTTGATGGAAGCGCCACCCGTGCAGGGGTCGGGCGCATGTAAGCCTTCCGGTGAACAATGCTAGCGCTAAGCTCGCTACTCATTGGGTCAGCAACATCAATGCGCTGTAGTGGCTTGGGACACGAAATGTTGTGTAACGATGGCTTGTACCAATAGCTAGGTGGCCTCGTGGAGGGCCGCAGACACGGAGACTGATTCACGAGGTCATCGTACGGGCACAACCCCGCCCTCGCTTGGACAAGTCGCCCATCGCACTCAGCGTGAACACTTACATCAGAATCCGTGCAGCTGCGACAGCGCTTCATCTTCTTCAAAAAATCTCTATATCAACGCTGTTCAGACATTTCATTTTCGAGAGGGGATGGCATGGTCTCCCAAAAAGCTAATTCCTTTCAGGCGAAGCAAACGACCGCAAAGCGAGACAAGTGAGCTGTTTCCTCCAATAATGTGTGACATCTCTGATAGTACTCACGTGTAAGGTGCAGATATTAGTCCACAGAGAAACGACGCTCTCCCTCCGGCAGACGATGGAGTTGGCAGCTTCTCTAAGGAGGATAGTCTCGGGTTAAAGGTCCTATACAATCCAGCATCGGCAGCTCTAGACTTTATTTTCGTGCACGGTCTTACTGGAAGCGCATACTCGACATGGCTCTACGAAGACACCAACACACACTGGCCTAGGGACCTTATCATGAAGGATATAGGAAACGCACGCATTTTAGCCTTTGGTTACGATGCAAATATTGTCAACTTCTGGGACCAGGCGGCACAAGACGGGATATCCGGCTATGCTAAAGATCTCCTGGGAAAATTGTGGAGGAAGAGACAACACGATGTAAATATATCCTCAACAGGCCATACCAAACCGTGTTGGCCTGACTTTTGACATATCAGCCAAACCGCAAGATCGTGTTCATTGCGCACAGCATGGGCGGGCTGGTCACGCAACGAGTGCTTACGATGTCACGAGAAACTCGGCACGCACATCTCCAGGATATTGAAGCATGCACCGTAGGAATATGCTTTCTCGGTACGCCACACCATGGCGCTGATTTGGCCAAGTGGGGCAGTATTCTTACGAGGATTGCCAACGTTGCGAAACCGGCAAATTCAGCGCCTGTAGACTTGCTCAAGCGGAGCTCGGAGATGCTTCGAGACGTACAAGACGGATTTCACAATCTCCTAGAGAAGAGGAAAGATGAAGGGGCTAAGATAGAAATCGTCTGCTTCTATGAAACATTGCCTCTGGTCAGGACTCTGATTGTCCCCAGAGAATCTGCAATTATTAGTGGCGAACTGGATTATCCGCTTCGATCGAATCATACTGTATGAGATCAGCGTGCATACAGATATCGTGCTGACGCATCTTAGGACATGACCAGATTCTCCAGTCGAGATGCTCCAGGGTACGAAGATGTCATCGGAGAAATTCAGAGACTTGCAAGGAATGGTCTTAAACATAATATAGGTTAGTACATCATCGACTGCCTAAGTCATCTGTGTTTCAATCACAGCTAACCAAATGACAAGACACCGTGGAAGCGGACAGCATGCCGTCTACTCCAATCAGTAACCATAGCTCTGGCACTCAAAACCTCAACACCGGGGCGGGAACTCAGAATAACAATACCGGCAGCGGCAAGCAGTATATTGGCGCAGACCAACATTTTGGAAAGGGTGATTAGCACAAGCAATGAAGAGTCCGCGGCTTGCGTAGAACTGATGGGGCGGTGTGTGTAGAGTTAGCTTACCATCATCGTCAATGAGTCCCTAAACTCGTATATGTTGCCTGCCAGAGCGCTGAGCAACTTCCCCAGATCTTTTAGTCTCCAGGAAAAGCGAATCACTGCAGCAACTAGATTTTTGAACACCCACATGTAAGCTATAGTTAAGCTATATGGCTGGCCACGATGCATAGTAAGCTTAACACCCTGCGCGTACCAAAACCCTGATACCCGAGTCCTTCGGCTTGACTTATCCTAACCTACTTCTTTGCAGACTGGTCCAGGTTGTGTCCAAAAGTCTGCGATTGACCGATGTATTGCTGGCCATTACTAGTGTTGTTGTTCTGCGTCCCACGGCCGGTATTTATATTCTGTGTGCCACGGCTCCAGTTGTTGATTGAATTCTCCGACGCAACCTCTGACAACGATGGTGGAAGATCTATTAGTTCCTCGATAGCCTTGCTGAGCTCCTTGCTGAGCTCCTCAATTTGGATGTTTTCGACAGCTTCAGCCATTGGCCCCTCCAGCTCGACCACACACGTTCCTGCCAAACTTTTCACGTCGCCTAACAACCCTACCATCAGAGTCTCCACCTTGTTCTCTTCGATTCCACCAAGAGTTTTCGCAGTCTCACGATAGCGTTCTAGTCTGGATTTGTTCCTTGCTGGCACGACTTTGCGAAATAAGACCTGTACGTTCTTGGCTCGCTGCTCACAGCGATCCATGTTGGCCTTCGCTTCCTCCCAGAATTCCTTGTCGTGCTCATGCTCGCTAACATGACTCGAAAAATATTGGAGGGTACGTTTGACAAGGTCTACCCGTTGAAGCACCTTGCAGAAAGCGTTGGGGAGATCTTCGGTTTCTTTACATTCACTGTAGGACTTTTCGACTTCTTGAAGGGCCGTGGTCGTGTCGCCTACACTTTCGATGACGTCGCTTGCCATGTCGTCGTCCATTTTAAACGTTGGGGAATGAACGCAGAAGATAGGGAGGTGTTGAGCTAAGGCAGGGAAAATATTGAAACGAAACGTATGAACTCGAGAGCGAGGCTCTCTAATATTATATGCTCGATTCGGTCACTAGGCCAGCCGTACCGGTCAGACACCCACGGGTATGAGAAAGACCAGCCACTCGATCTGATGAGGTATAGCGCATCCGCTTTCTGGTAACAGGAGTGGTAGCCGATTGCACGGGGGGTGGGCTTCCATTTACCCCAGTCATTGGCCTGAGTCGTATTTACGAATGTCCGGCCCCCAGCCTTGCAGTACCCACGCCAATGGACAGCTGCGAGATTGACGCCCGCAGGGTCCATCAGGTGGTGTGGAAGCGCTACACCCCAACCTTGCAGCACGGTGGCGCTTTCCTGCAGCTGGCATGGGTGGTGAGCGCGTTCTGTGCCGCTTCCTCAGCTGCCTCGTTAAGGCAGCAGACACGGCGCACACCAGGCTGAGCTCTTCTCTTCTCCTCCCTCGTTCTTGAGGTACGCCGTCTCTTTCGCACAGCTAGCTGCTTACATCACTGCGGACTAGCACACAAGCGACTGCTTTCTTTCATGGGCCTTGAACCCTTAGAGCATGGATTTAAACTCCAGCATCCACAACGCCAACGCTGGTGAGGGTACGCAAAACAACAACACCGGCGCCGGCCAGCAATATATCTAGCTTCCGCCTAGTAAGTTTGAAAAGTAGGCCGCATCCCTCCACGCTAACAGCCGTCACCACGCTAGAACGGCCAGATACCCCGCTGAAACCTTGTCTTCTCATCCCATTCCGCCAAGATAAAGACTTCATCGATCGCGGAACGCTGCTCGGCGATGTCGATGAGAAATGCTCAGAACCCGCGTCGCGCGCTGTTTTGGTAGGGTTAGGTGGGGTCGGGTATGTGGAAAAGAACGGCCAGGCCAGCGCTCGCGACTAACGCAGATGCAGGAAGTCGCAGCTCGCCATCGAGCATTGCTATCGTGTCGAGAAAAAGTATCCCGAGAAGTGGATTTTCTGGGTGCATGCAGCTACAAGAGTGAGGTTCGAGGAAGGGTACCGCATGATCGCCGAGGCAACGAAGATGAGCGGCTGGGACGACCCTAAGGCGGACATTCTCCGGCTCGTGTACAATTGGCTATCCCACAACCGGAACAGACACTGGCTGATGATAGTCGACAACGCTGACGATGAGAGCGTCTTCTTCAAAAGCCGTGCAGCAAGCATTTCGGATGAACCAGAAGACTTACCGATACTCTCCGACTTCCTACCACAGTCGCCAAACGGTTCGATCCTTTTCACCTCACGAAACCGAGACGTAGCATACAAACTCACAGGTGACTTTGACAGCATTATCGAAGTCAACCCGATGAGCGAGGACGACGCGCTAGCCCTTCTCCGTAAGAAGTTAGGGTCCATCGCTCGACAGGACGAGGCTACGGAGTTAATACATGCCCTTGACTCTATGCCGCTCGCTCTAACACAGGCAGCCGCTTTTATCAAACAGAGGAAGCCGCGTATGAGCATCTCAAAGTACACCGAACAAATCCGCAGAAGCGATGATAACCGAGCGTGGCTACTAGAGAAGGACGTGGGAGATATTCGCAGGGACAGCCGGGCGTCTAATTCGATCATGGCCACCTGGCACATCTCGTTCGAATACATCCGACAGAAGTGGCCAACAGCTGCTCGACTGCTGTCGCTCATGAGCCTGTTCGATCGACAAGGGATACCTGAGTCACTCCTTCAAGGCCGATATGCGAGGAGGAAGGACGATGATGCTGACCTTACTGACGTTGGCAACAATGCTGACTTTGACGACGATATCCAAACGCTAACCAGCTTCTCGCTTGTCGAAATGAGCGTAGACGGGCGGGAGTTCGAGATGCATCGGCTGGTGCAGTTCTCGACCAAAAAATGGCTGGAGCTAAAGAACGAGCTAGAGCTGTGGAACGAGACGTACGTGACGCTCATGGACAAAAATTACCCGAAAGGGAAATACGAGAATTGGCCGACGTGTCAGATGTTGTTTCCGCACGCTGAAGCCGTGCTCAACAATAAGCCAACAGAGGCAGGGGCGCTAAAGGCATGGGCCTCTGTGCTCCACAAAGCGGCATTGTATGCAAAGGAGATGGGCCAGTATAGCAAGGCGCGTGATATGGGCTCTCACGCTCTGCAGGTTAGGGAGGCAGTCTTGGGTGGGGAGCATAAAGATACGCTTAGCAGTTTTAACAATATTGGGAACGTTTTGTTTAACCAAGGTCGATATGACGAGGCAGAGGAAATGCATGAACGAGCGCTAGAAGGAAGAAAACGAGTGCTAGGAGTAGAGCACCAAGATACGATTAACAGTTTTAACAACATTGGGAACGTTTTGTTTAACCAAGGTCGATATGACGAGGCAGAGGAAATGCATGAACGAGTGCTAGAAGGAAGAAAACGAGTGCTAGGAGTAGAGCACCAAGATACGATTAACAGTTTTAACAACATTGGGAACGTTTTGTTTAACCAAGGTCGATATGACGAAGCAGAGGAAATGCATAAACGAGCGCTAGAAGGAAGAAAACGAGTGCTAGGAGTAGAGCACCCAGATACGCTTCAGAGCCTTAATAATCTTGGGACTGTCTTAGAATTGCAGGGTCGATATAACGAAGCAGAGGCAATGCACAAACGAGCGCTAGAAGGAAAAAAACGAGTGCTAGGAGTAGAGCACCCAGATACGCTTCGGGGCCTTAGTAGTCTTGGGATTGTTTTAAGACGGCAAGGTCGATACAACGAAGCAGAGGCAATGCACAAACGAGCGCTAGAAGGTGAAAAACGAGTGCTAGGAGAGAGCCATCCCAACACGCTGGTTAGCATGGGCAACCTCGCACTCACATACTTGGCTCAAGGCCACTGCAAGGATGCAGAAGCGCTACAGGTGCAAGTGCTAGAGAAACAAAAGATGAAGCTTGGAGCGGACCATCCCAGCACACTGGTTACCATGCACGACCACGCGCTTACGCTAAGGGACCTGAGACGCACAAATGATGCACTTTCTTTGATGGAAAATTGCTACGAGTTAAAGTTAAGAGTCTTGGGCGATCAGCATCCTAGGACTCTAAACTCTCGAAAACGGTTGGAGAGATGGCGGGGGAAAGATGTACAACCGACCAAGCAGAACGATTCTTAGCGAAATCTTGTATATATCTGAAGCAGTAGCGCATGTGCAGTAAATATATATATATAAAAGTACAGCAGATCGCGCTCGCATCGTGGTGCGATGCAACTTCGTGAAATGACTTGAGGGTGCCGCCGCTGATAGGCAGAGTGGCCGAGATACACAGGCCATGATCTCGACATGACTGTCTGGAATTGACGCCACCATGAAGAGTCATAGTCAATCCTGGTAACAGAGGACATCAAGTAGCCTTCGATGAAGTAGCGATTTACTAGGAATAGCCACCATCACAGCTCTGCCAGCACTCACCCCTAACGAACGTAATCGTACGATGGCGTTTTCCATCTTGCCACTATACTTGTTGAGTTGTGCGTTGAATCAATTCTCGAAGTCACGATATCGCGTCTTCCGCCATCGAAGTTCGCATCACGCATGACCAGTTTGGAGGATCACCAGGATTTCAAATTTAGTCAATATGTGGCTCTTCCTATCCTCAACAACAAAAACCGAAGTACCAGGCTCCCTACCACGTCTCTACCTTTAGTCAAACTGCCCTCCTTCGTCACATCCACATCGGCCCATCGTCGCAAAAAAGAAACAGACAGTGACAGATCATTCAGTTTCAGTTGACTTGACAGGATCTACGACTCTATCGACATTAAGAGCCAGCATTAACGACAACTCGGTAGTTACTTATTTGCAAATCGAGGGCATACACAAACTAAAAGTAAATCGTATAAGACCGCAAGGCTCAACCCTTGTATCAATCCAAGCTTCGCATGGGACCTCGAGCCCAAACATTCTGGAGATAATGAGTCAAGTATCACAGAAAAGAAAGCAAGGCTGCAGAAAGACCCCTCATCATGTACCTGACAAACACCCCTTCGAAGCATCGCAATAGTCACACAGTGATTTTTGCTTTTTAATGTAAGGATCGCCAGTCCGCTACAAAGACATTAGCGTACCGTGCAAGAACACCATACTAAGAAAATCTCCCATTGACTGCAGGAACTCGACAGCATGGGCTGCGCGGGAACAGGCGCGTTCTAAGTGTCTGAGCCTAGAAGTACATGTCCTCACTCCTATGCATCTTAAACTCCTTATCCCACGCCTCGGGCGGATCCTCTCCATCCACGAACCCATCATCGCTATCATCGTCGTCGTCTCTACCCAGAGTGACCGAGCTACCATCCGATGCATCGTCATCCTCAGATGCATCCTCCATGACTGCATTGTGAGGACGCGGCGGTGCAACAACCAGCTCCTTCCCCAGCACCTCATTCCTCGGCCCGCGCTGCGCCACGGTGGTTAAAAAACCCGTCCTCTTCGCCTTGCGGAAATCGGACTTCCTCACGCGCTTGAACCGCGCCTCTACGCACCCTTCAACAGGCCCTTCGAGATCGTTCAGGAGTTGATGCTCTGGGTTACAAGCCAAGCCATCCTTGTACTCAACATCCTCGACACTCAGCTGGCCACCGCGGTCAATATACCTCAGCGCGACGAAGACTTCAGGACGACCTACCGGCTTAGGGATGCTGCTGACATGCTGATTGATGTGCTTCCAAGTGTCCTTCATGAACATGCTCTTGAGCCAATCGTTAGGCACAGGCGTGTAGATGGAGGTTTCGCCCAGGAGCATAGACTCCCACGTCCGGGCCTTGATTCGTTTACCGATGTGATCGTGTAAGAGGTCGCAAAAAAGGCTCACACCGCCGAAGGTGTGGTACTCCCAGCTCCAGCCCACCTCGTTCGACATGTCGGTGTCGAAGACGAAGAGCTCGGATTGCCCGTTTTGGAACCCCCAGCAGGGTAAGTCGCGCCATGCGTAGATGGCGTGTGCGAGCTCGTGTGTCAGAGTGACCGCAAGGAGAAACTGAATGTTTATGTCAGCTTCTACATGCGTGCGCGTAGGTGCATGCCTACCAATGAGGTTGTAGAGGAAATTACTGCTCAGGCCGATGTAGCCGTTGTAGCCTTCCGCGCGCCGACGGAGGTTCTGCCACCGTGTGATGTCCACGAACTCCTCCAGGGTTTGCCAGAAGGAAGATCCATAGATGGCATTGACATGCCCGCCATTGTGCATTGCAGGCCGCCAGTAGAACGACATGCGGTCCGCTAAGCTCTCAAGCAAGGCGGCGAAATCCGCCTGTGCAGTTTCCAGATCGTTTTCTTTGGGCGAGTGCATCAGGTAGGACTTCCTCGTAGCACGATCCGTGACGGCAGTGCCGTACATGAGGTGATACCAAAATGCCCCATGCCTCTGATCGAGTAGAAACTTGGTCGCCAATATCAGTGCCGGGCGCATATTGACCCAGACCTGGTGTTGCCGTTCTTCCGGCAGTTTCACCTTCAGCAGAGGATTCTGGAAGTTCGAAGGCCGGAACACGCGGTGAATGCGTGGGGCTACCGCATCCGGCGACTCCTGGAACTCTTTGACGAAAAGGCCTGAGCCGCCCTCGTCGAGCAGGAACCCTTCCATTCGCTCCTCCCCAAGAAGCGCCCGCATACCTGGGTCGTTCTTGAAGGCTCCGCACCGCCAGTTGAAATTGATCAACCACCAGTACTGCTCAGGGATAGCCTCCTGTGATCGGACTGGCGCTCGCATTTGTCCGATGGAACGGCCGAACTCTGTGACTTGGGGAACACGACGAACAGCTTTAGGGTCCTGTCGTTTCCGCTCTCGACGCTGTCGAAGTCGGAGCTTTCGCAACCGATATTCGAAAGCCTGCTTTCGACGTTCTTCTCGGCTGTATCCCATGCTTCGTCGTGCATGGTACGCGATGTCTTTGACAAACTCTCCAACGAGAGAAAAGTCTTCACTGTTTCCAATGAAGCCACTCATGGTCTACAAGCCTGCTGTAGATTGCGAGATTAATGTTGTATTCAACGTCAGCTGTAACGCTTTGGGTTGAGTTGTTTCTTCCGATTTTGAAAGTGATGGATATGATAGGGAAGTATATAGCTGAGCTCTTATATAGAACAAGACTGCCATGATGGGCCACGAGATGACAACGAAACATGGTGAAAGTGTGATTACAGAATTGTCTAGAGCTGATCAGTACACAATGTGACCGGTGTCTTTCATGCTGCAGGTCTTCCATCACCACAGCACGTGTCTGCTAGTGAATGAGCCCTGGATAGAGAATCGACTGTGTTGACTTGACCTGTTACTCACATCAACTGTACATATAGATGGCTAGTGTAGAATCAAGTCATCTTCGCTAATAGGTGCTCGAATTGACGAGCGTGAAGACTGAGCATCGGTCTGGCCTGCGGGACGGGATCTACGCAATGAGAGATAATGAAATGTTCCGTACAATGTGTGATTAAGTAGGAAGTCGATACATTGTGAACAGTGCTCGGTTTGAGTGAAGACGTGATTGCTAGCTTCGTAGCAATGCTTGTTATTTGTTAAGTATGTCGACATGTTTCTCCCGGATGTCGCGTTAGCTCGTCTCGAACTCGACGTCTTCGCATATAGTGAAACTTCATTAAATCGTGTTCATCGTCTTTGTTAAGCGTGCTTCATGTCTCCACTCCACGTTTCTCTCATGAAAATGCCATTCGTGATCGAAATGGATCACGTACGTGCCCGAGAAACTTGAAGTGAATGTCAAGGCCTACTTCTAAGATTGCGCATAACGGCGATGGTGTCAATGTAGGTATAGACTCCGTTACTTCCTTAAAGTTCCGATGCGCGAACCCGGCTTGCATCGTATAGCAGCGAGCCGGTATGTGGACTAAACATGGAAGGTGAGTGAGGCGACGCAACCACGCGTGATTGCTGGGATTGTTGATTGGCCCGATTGTTTAGGTTTGCAAAAGCTCGGATGTCGGCTATGAGCCATGTCCGCACTCATCTTGGACAATGCTTGCCGTCGATCATAGTCAAGCAAGCATCAAAAGATAACGCCGAAGGCAAAAGACGACGCTGTTGCGATTCGTGGGGGTTAGTATAACGAGCTGAAACGAGACTGCTGAAACGTAAAGCGAACCGTCGGGGCCGATGTTAGCGTGACATAAGAAATTGGTACGTTGAAGGCTTCGTTGACTTTGTTATCTGCGCGGGACAGGTGAATTTCCTAGCGGTGAACTAATCGTACGTTCGATACCGTGCCATCGCTAGAGCAGGCTTGGCGTCAACTCTCCGATCCGCTGGTGGTGATTCGGTGGGTCGTCCAGCCAAACAGAAGGCCGGCGAACCACAGCACGTGCCCATGCCCCTTTCTCTCTTATTATATCGTGTGGAATATGTCCACGCGTTGGCGTAGGTAGCGCACACTATGAATCGCCTTTCAATTTCTCTTCGATTTCTTCCAAGTCGTCGGCGCTGTCGATCTCAATTATCTTGTTGACCTCGGCCGTGTTTCGCATCAGCTCCTTTGCGCCCGCGTACAACATCTTGACCTCGCTGTTGCAGGTGATGGGTAGGTAGTACAACATGACGTAGGGCACCGACAGTCTTCCTGAGTCCTAAACGCTCTCAGCGGACGTACTGTGACGGATGAGACGAAAGGCATACCAGGGTCAGCGGGTAGCTGAGGAGCACGAAGCGTGGGGCATGGTCCGGTAGCTCATCGGCGAGCTCCTGTACGTTCGAGTAGACTTCTCCGTCTATAGGCCGTATCTCCAACGTCTTCTTGTCGATCTCGTCTGGCGCGCACAGGCGTCAGCCTCGTCATTGTAAGGCCACAACGTGCCAACCTTGGTTGTACATGCACAAGAGCGACAGCGTGGGAATAATCAGGCCAGCGTACAGATGATAGCCTGAGGATCTTTGGCGCGCGAGGTGCCCAAGCGGAACTTTCTCAGCTTTTGCTTCGTCTCATCGGAGAAGGTGTAAAGACGCGATTCAGACGACTAGTTCAGTGTTAGCTCTGCACAGAACATTCGATGGACGCTTCGGAACGTGCCATGATCGCGTGTTCTCGGAGATGTGGAGCGAGATAGACTTTGGATGAGGTTTCGAGAATCAATCGTAGAATATCAGGGCTGAGCGGGAAGGCGCGAGACTCCGCGAGGTGGGATTGGTGGTGCGGGGCAGTTGCGAGAGACGCTACGCGGGGCGCGACTTCCTGGACGCGAGCAGTGGTTGCTCCTTCGATGCGCCTAGCTACTCAACAACAAGCCTTCACCACCATCGCGCTTCTCCCAGGCTAGATCTCTATGTTTAGCAGGTTGAGCCAGGTAGCCAGACACCTCTCGCGACCGCTTCCCAACTACGCTCACCGCGCGGCCGCTTCTTTCCAAGCAACATCGTATACGTCATCGATCATGGCTGCTGCCACAGGCGCGCAGAGCAAGGGGCTGATTCACACGGCTGCGTGTCTGATTATTGGGGATGAAGTGTTGGGAGGCAAGGTATGCAGGATACGCCATTGTATTGCGCGCGTCGGATATCTGCTAACGCATCAAAGACGGTAGACACGAACTCGGTACGTGTGTTAACGGACACGGCATGCACCTGCTAATTGACTACAGGCGTACCTTGCCAAATTCTGCTTCTCCGCTGGAATCAATCTGAAACGCATAGAAGTCATTGCCGACGACGAGAGCGAGATCGTAGAGGCGGTTCGGCGCATGTCCAATAACTATGACTTTGTAGTCACTTCTGGAGGCATTGGCCCTACGTACGTAGTGTCCTTCGTGCAATGCATTGACGAGCTGACTCTAGGCCTCAGACACGACGACATCACATACCAATCGATAGCGAAAGCATTCGACCTACCGTTGAAGCAGCACGATGCAGCTTTCGAGCGCATGAAGCGTCTGTCTAAGCCGCACCCTTCGCAGCCCAACTTCGACTGGAACACACCGTCCGCCGCGCTCACCGCTAAGAAGCGCATGATTATCCTACCCTACAACGATTCAATACCAGACGAGGAGCAAGTCATCTTCACTGATGATCAGTTGTGGGTGCCTGTGGCCTGTGTCAACGGCAATGTACACATTCTACCTGGTGTACCGAGATTGTTCGAGAGGATGCTGGATGGACTCAAGCCCCGTTTGCTGCCCCGGCTGACGGATCCGGAGGGCAAGGGCGTGCTGCGGATATTGATCTCTACCCCTCTACCAGAGAGCGCAGTAGCCGAATATCTCACCCAGCTTGCGGCGCGGGCAGAGCCAAAGGGTGTCAAAGTGGGCAGCTACCCAAGGTGGGGCAAGGAGAATAACACAGTTACGCTTGTGGGCCGCGATGTTGAATTCATGGAATCAATTGTTCCGGAGGTAGAGAAGGCGGTTCAGGGGCATCGCGTTGCGGTCGAAGGGGAGGATGACCCAGCGCAGGCCGACCCCAAGAAGACCGAGGTGGCGTAAGGCTGAGTGGGCATGTCTTGGGCCGTCCGTGTGTAAATAGAAAGGAGGGGTGTGCGGTGAGACCAGTTGACGTATATAGATGATGTTGGGACAGCAGTAGATGACCCGCAGAAATTAGAGCGGACGGTGGACACGCTGCTTGGCTTCTCGAAGGCCCGTGGAAGCCTGCGGTGCCCCAACCCAAAATGCACAACGACGGCGCGGTGGCGATCTGCAGGGTGAAGTCTCCAGAGTTGCTTGTTCCGCGAGGGTTGCCCTTCTGGGTGCGGCGTGCACAGTAAAAAGCAACGCTCGCTTGAGCCGCCCGCGTGGAAACCGTGATGCATCAGCGCGGTCCTGCATGTACGAAGCCGCACACGCTTGTGCGACGATGCGTTTTCGCGCCCGCATAGGACGGCGTGTCAGGTGACATGCAGGTGAATTGGCGGATGCAGTGAGATGTCACTCGGTCCGCAGGCTGGTGCGCGCAGCGAGGCGGCTTTCGTTTGAGACTGTGCGCAAAGCAAGCGTTCGCCTCGGCTGCACTGGGCTGGGCTGGCCCGGGGTGCGAACGGGTGGTCGTCGTTCTCGCACGCTCGCTGGCTGGCCGTCGTCCTGCTGCTGGCGCTGGGGTGCAGGTGCGAGGCTGCGAGGCCCGACGAGTGCAACGGGTGGATTCGATGGGGAGCTGCAGGCGCCGCTTTAAGCGCTGCCGGACGCGCTGCACGCGTTTGCTCGCTCTGGACGCGCTGGTCAGTGGGCTCCGGTGCTCAGGCCTGCCCTTCGCGGCCATTCGTGGGGACGGGCTCTGTTCGCGCGGGCTTTTCGTGGGAGCTGGTGCCATCCTGCCATCCGCGCTATTGTCGCTACGAATCAGACGTTAGCAGGGCGCAGGGCCCAGGACAAGCTAGCAGACGGTCGTTTTTTGCTGCCGGAGCACTGAAGTCGACCTCCCGTCTCCCCATACACCGTCACTGCGACCGAGTGAAGACGTCCGTCACAAATCCGCCCCCGCCCGCTATCCCCCGAGGCCCCAATTGCTGCACCTGCCTGCCTGAACCGCCTCGACGATAAGCCGCGGACCTGCCTCTGCCTCCCTTGGATCGCCGCAGCGCCCTCCGTTCCCGCCTCCTTCAGGACCTCCTGCGAGACAGCAGCCCTCGTCGCGCCGCAAGTGACACCCCCCGACACAATCACACAATGGCATCCAAGGTGCGCCTGAACACCCGCACATCCACCTGTTTTCGCACCGCTGACCGCGCAGTTCCTCCGAGAGTACAAGCTGGTAGTAGTCGGCGGCGGAGGTGTGGGAAAGTCGTGCTTGACCATCCAGCTCATCCAGTCCCACTTCGTCGACGAGTATGACCCGACCATCGAGGGTGAGCCGCTCTTCCCGTCTGCGCGACCGCACCGGCTAACGCACCTGATCTAGATTCGTACCGCAAGCAGTGCGTCATCGACGACGAGGTCGCCCTCCTCGACGTGCTCGACACAGCCGGCCAGGAGGAGTACTCGGCGATGCGCGAACAGTACATGCGGACGGGCGAGGGCTTCCTGCTCGTCTACTCGATAACCGACCGCCAGTCATTTGAGGAGATCATGACGTTCCAGCAGCAGATTCTCCGGGTCAAGGACAAGGACTACTTCCCCATGATTGTAGTCGGCAACAAGTGCGATCTCGACGGCGAGCGGCAGGTGTCCACACAAGGTGCGTAGCCCTCCGAGTCATGTCTCACCGCCATGCCACATTCCTTCCTTCGCTAACACAACGTAGAGGGTCAGAACCTCGCACGGCAATTCGGCTGCAAATTCATCGAGACCTCGGCCAAGAGCCGCATCAACGTGGACAACGCTTTCTACGACATTGTGCGCGAGATCCGCAGATATAACAAGGAGATGTCATCGTACACAGGCGCACAGTCAGGCGGCCAGCAGAACGGCGTGTCCAAGATGGGCATGGACGACGGCAGCGACGAGAAGAAGGGCTGCTGCGGGTGCGTGGTCATGTAGAGGAGCATTCCCATTTCCTTGTCGAGTCGAGGAGCGCATGGCGTGGAAGGATTGAGTCGAGGAAGAAAGATACCTGTCGCCATTCTCCGACGCCCAATGTCGCGTCGAGAATGCCGACTTTCTGAAGGCCAAAGCCCAAAAGGAAAAAATCATTGATACCTACCCTCAGCACGTACTGCCGCTTTAACTCCATCTCGTGGTCTGGCATCCGTCCTTTACCTTCTCTCACCAACACCTTTGTGGGTTCGCATGGGGGCTCGGCGGTGTTGTCACGGATATCTGCAAAACCAAACCACATCACATCTCACAGTCGCTGGATCGCGTACGTACGACGATACAATACACGATCCGACACTTTCTCTTTCCGCGCTGCTTGTCAGAATCAAAGATCTAGACATCGATTTCCATCTACTGGCAGGCATCGTGGTAAATTGTTTTTAATTTCCTAACGTCTCATGGCCGCACACGAGGAGGCAAGCAAGGCAGGGAGGCAGGCGTGGGCATGGAAAAGAAACTCCATTTCCGCTTTTTTTTATTTACATTTTATTTCTCAGCTTTTATCTACCCGTTTCTTTATCTGATGTCTATTTACCTCTAGATCGCATTTTTAACTTCTATGACCATAATTCATCTCCTCTTTTTACGAAATGATTGCTTGGGGCGCCGTCTACGTGATGTTTACATTGCCGTGAGACTAAGGTTTGGGAAAGTACGATTCATACATGCACTCATGAGTGAATGATTTCGAGCTCTCGAACTCGCGTGGTCTCTCACATGCACGCTCAGGCTCTCAACCTCCGCGGTAACCATCTATACTAACATCTTGGTACTAATACCAAGCTCCACGCTACTCACCGTTTCTCAAATCCCCTACGCGCTACCGAAGGTACCACCGAAGGTACCCTTAACCACAAACCCCCGATCTCCTCTCCAAACGCCGTCTACCTGCTTCCGAAGACGACCGCTTTACCTTTCCCACCGATCGTCGCCCCACTCCCTCCTCCTGCGACGGCGAGGCACAGCTGCATCTGCCCCTCCAATGCAAACTTTCTCTACTGATCTGCGTGCCGCCGCTTCCTATTAGGACAACCATCGCGTGCATCCGGATGGGATGGGATGTGCGTTGCGCCACTTGTCTTTCCATGCGATGAATGCCTGCCCAGTGAGGCGTACGCCACCTGTCTTGATGTAGGCCGTAGATGCCTGAGGCTTATGCAGCGCGCACGTGTGGCGGGATGAGCCGGCGGAGCAAGCGGAGTTCGCATACGGCTCGCTGGGTGAGGATTGAGGGGTATTGCTGATCAGCGTTCGGGGCGTGGTGACGGCAGTGGATATGCGACATGTGCATTGGCTGGCTGGCCGTCGCATCGCATCGCATCGCATCGCATCGCATCTACGGCGCGGTGGAGTGAGGCTGCTTCACGTGCCGAGGCGCGAGGCCTCACAACCACGAGCGTCCTTCCCTTCCTTTCCCCTCATCCTAGTCTAGTCCCTCTCTGCCTGAGTGTCTACTAGTAAGACGCACGAATACTCACCCCCCTCCGTATCTAAACCGGCATCACAAGATAGGACATGCGCCCGGTGCGCCAACTCCGGTGCCGTGCTGCTGGATCGCTTCCACCCTCCTTCTCTCGTCCTCCCTCTCCCATCTACATTTCCTATCTTGAAGGCTATTCTGAGCGACGCAAGTAAGCACGCATGTATGCGCGTCACATCTAACCTTGGGCACCGCGCAGCCTCGGACTCCGTATGTATATATTGCCTCTTCCCTACTACCGTTGCTCCCCTGCCGAGTGGCCGCAGAAGCGGTCTGCAGAAGCGGCCTTGTACCCAAGCGCAGGGGACGCTCGACTGTCATTGGCGAGAACATAAATCCTGCAAAAGCATGCGAAAATATAGCCGTGTGGCCAATCACGGGGAGCTAGCTGCTGCTTTATGGGCAGTCGGGTCAATCTGATATTAGGCTTTGAGATGGATATGCTTCTGGGCGGCGGTGCGATGCGGTTTGGATAATGGCATCGGTGGGTGGATGTGGGGAAAGCACGGATGGGGAAACCACGGCTGCTGGGAGAGGAGACGGTCTGTGTGCGTGTTTGATCTGCCAAAGGGCTGGGGGTGTGTTTCACTGGACGGGTTGTCGGAACGACTCTTCGCGAGCTGTATAAGTCTTACAACTCTGCATGTTTCCCTGCCTGACTTGGGTGCGAAGACCTCCGTAGGATTGCGTTTACTGCCTAAGGCACGCCTGAGTGCGGACCGTTCCTAAGAGGAAGACGGGCCGAAGGCGAGGGTGGATGTGAGCGTAAGCTGCAGAGGGGCAACGATATCCTGGTCTGTCAGCTTGGATGAGGCGTAGGTAGGGGAACGTGCGCTGGAGAACATGGAAGCTGTTTCTGTATTTCGGGCTGTTGGATGGCGAATACGGCGCGGGCGATGCCGTGCTTGTGAAGTCCTGAAGTGATTTTTATACTGAAAGTAGAGTGTAACATTCGAAAAGTGATGGATTGCTAGGGTGACGGGAACCGTCTATGTACACTAAGCCAGTGCGGTGGCTCCTGCCATGTGGGAAGGTCCTTCTGCGTAGGTTTACAAATCCCACGTTGTGTAAATGGTAATTCTAGCGTAAGCTATTTATCCGTTTGGCACCGAAATCTCATTGAGCATTTTGTGAGATTCAGTCACCGGATAGAAGCTGTAGCCTAGCTGGCTTGCCGTGTCGGGATGTATTCTTGCGGCGTGGCCTGTGTTTCTGCTTGCTGGTACTATGTGACACATGAAGTTACCTGTAACTTGCTGAGTGAAGTATTGTTCTCAGAGGCGTAAGAAATTCTGCAGGCCGTTTTTTTGCTTGTGATCATGAATGAAAAGTTGCGCTTAGCAGAATCGTGATATCTTCGCCTGAGGCCCAGAAGTGATACTTTGAAACTACGTGGGTATCGTCGTTTCCATGGCCAGTGAAAAGGTTATCAGATGTGCTATAATGACTATAGCTAGTCTTGAAACCAGTTTTGTTATTTAGATAGACAAGGGTATTCAGCTTGAAAAGATAAGATAGAATCATCTGCTGTGCGTGATTGTGGTCGTGCTCGCCATTTCAACTCACCTTGGGGTTCCGTTGGGTAGCGTTCATCCAGCGTTTCGGTGGAGATCGCAATAAATTCTTTATTCAGAGGCAAAGCATAAGTTCACTTTAAGCCCACGACACATGCGTGATCTTGAATCATTGCACAAGAATGATGTTTTCCAATTCAATTCGCAGCTGTTGTTCATACCAAGACCAAACGCTGTTCTTCTAAATCCTCATACCAGTCCATGTCAGCTTCCACTAGTTCTAGCTCCGATCGAGACATCGTGGTTGGCTGTTCCTCGCCGTCTCGAATTCCGGGTAGTTCTCGATAAAATAAAGCACATCCAACCCTTCGATATGACTCTTGAGGTCCTGTGCTAAGTTTATGCAAAATGAGAAAGTGCACTGTAAGGTGGCGCTTAGGTCCCGAGCCTAATGATAATAATGACGTACAGACTGGAAGGACGAGTAGTTCATTCGGTTCAATGCAAGCCTCGTTCTCTCCATCGAAGCGACTGTCAAGCACATCTACCTTGCTGTCTACCATCAACCAAGGTAGGAGTCGACCCTGAAGGGTGATATATGCGCTCTTCAGCCTTCCAAATGGCTTATCCGAGTCCGCGGGCGTTGCTTTTGCATCGACAATAGTGACATAGTATTTTGTGACGTACCCAAAGATTAGAGAATGAACCCCACCTGAAGATCTTGCACCTGGAACTGCATCTATCTTTGCCCAACTCCAGGACGGACAACGATAGTCATCATTGGGTACTTGTTGAGGTGCAGGTAGAGATTTGTTCAATTGTTCGGCGCTTTGCTTCGAATACGGATTCCCTGCTGCCCAAAGCAGAGCGTAAGGCAATTGGCTTCGCCAAATTCCAGCGATGTATTCGTCGCTGAACTCACGAGAAACATGTTCAGCAATGCCGGCGAATGCGGCGAATTTGTCTGATACGACTAAGTATCAGTCTTCTATTTTCGAAGTGCAGGAGAATGAATACAGCCTACCTTTATCTGGGAATGTGAGCTTAAGTTTACTGTACGCCCCTACGAATAGCTTGCAAATTTTCCAACGTTCTATGGTCGTGCTATACGCTTCTTTCGTTGGAAGCTTGAGAGGACCATTACCCAGATGAAACGGGTTCTCAAGACCGGCTGGCAGTGTTTCACACATCATGCAGGTATCACATTCCCAGAATACCTGCTCTGCCTCGAAATGGACAACTCGTCGAGATAACAGTCGCTCTTGAAACACCCAGCCTCTCGAGTTCAGAGGTGAATGGGTGTAGCCAGGTGCGACATTACCATTGAAGAGTAGATATCGCTCATTTTTCAGAGAGAAACGATTGCTGCCTTCGATAACGGCGAGCTTTATGAACTTCGGGTTTCGAGACCTGTGCATGCCTTCAGTCGAGGCTGCAGCACAACTTGCTGCAATGTTGAGAGCTCCTTCGTGGTATATGCGGCGCATCTCGGTCACGTGAAGCGCCCAGTCGCCGGAGCTCCCCTCTCCTTCTTGTATTATGCAAAGGCTATCGATCCAGAGGTACTTCATACCAATGCGATGACAGAGGCGGCAAGCGTCCTGAAATGTTTGCGGGAGACGAGACATAAGGTTCCATTGTCGTAATTGCTCTTTGTTGGTTGAGGTAAGTTTGAGGAAGTCTGGTGAGCTGCCCCAACAATGGCTCAGCGTTGCATACGAGCCGCCAAACCTACACTCGCTCGGAACGACCAAGCGGAAGAACTCTCTTTGTATCTCTAATAGCCGAGGAGGGCGGTACATGGATTCCGTGGAGTCGCATTGCGAATGCTCGGTAGTACATCCCAGGAACCAGGATTCGATGAGTTCGGCAACTGATTCAGCGTCAGTGCTCGGAGGGTATTCATATCGCGCCGCTAACTCTGCAGTCCGAAGATCTTGTCCTACAAGAGGAAGGAATTGCGGCCAGTGCGAATAGTATTGGACCGATGTTTCTTCTGCGAAACGATATTTCATTTGAAACCGAAGCTGAAACCGGTCCTCAAGTCCATGTCCAAAGGCCATATAAGAAAGCTTGTGAATCTGGAAGTCTTTGCCATCTGTCACATGCAAGGGCATATTAAGAATATATTGGATAGCGATTAAGCAAAGAGGACATCCGAATTCTGCACCTGCTTGGAGATCAACGATGCCTCGCTTATATTTCCTCCCGCGAGGGCCTGGGGGACCATTCGCCATATCTTCACATGTTGCGCAGAGTTGGGAGATAGTGATGTCGGTCGAAGTCGTGCTTGAGAGCTCCTCTCCATCAGACATAGTGGCGCTCCACTGTATTGCTTGTGAGTCCTTCAATAGCGTGTAGAGCACCGACGGAGCGAGCGAAATGCCAGATCGACCGAAGAACCGAGAATAGCGATGGGGAATAGGATGGCAGAGTGTTGAGCGTAAAAGCACAAGGCTGAGCCCGAGCTGATTGAAAGGTGGGGTTCAGCTGTCGGGTGCAATCTGCAAGGCTACGTATTGGCTCTTCCATACACGGAGTTAGCGATTGGATGTATTATCGTTGCCTAAACGAAGGTGAATCGATGTGAATGGATAGCCGTCCTGATTCTAGATATTAGTAGCCAATTACTGGGCGACTAAGTAGTAAGAAGGCGCAGTCTCGCCTCGTGATAAAGGAACATGGCCACAGTGGCCTAAGGTGTGAGCTTGAACACCAGTAATACAGTATCAAGCCGCGGTTCGGGCCACTCTTTACAAAGTAAGCAGCCCTAGGATGCATAATGCTACTAGTAACTTGCCGACCTAGATTTCAACGCAAGTGAGGTTTTATCGACAGAGCCCGAGTTGTCCCTTCCGTCACTGTGGGCCGTCGTCGCTGGTAAGTGTTCACATCGAAGATCGAGTCATTTAATCAAATAGGCTACAAGAATGTATGCGCCTGTGCGCGTACTGTCGGTGATTGAACGCCGCAGTACGCTTCTCCGCGGAGAGCAAGGCAGGTATAGGCTAATTCTGGCGGTGCACCATCGAGCCTGGTGATAGGAAGACATTTAAGCGCGCTGTGCGGATGCGTGTTTCGCGATTTCTTTTCAAGGCTGCAAACACCGAAAAATACAAGGAAGAGAGACAGCATGCAAATGCCTCGTATCTTGTATTTGCTAGTTACTAGCACCTGCCGAACTGTTTCACGACCGTCGGAAGTCCATGCATTGTCTAGAAAACCAATTTCTGCAAGTACCACTGAATTCGACGGCCGCGACGCAGGACGTGCAGTTATATCTTCAGACTAGTCTTTCTTTCCAAGATGCCTACAACTAGGTCATCCAACGTCTTCTTACGGGTATTCTCCAGAATTTTCCACTGCTCTTCATCGCTGCGGTAGTAGCGTCTTCCTTGCCAACGCCAAGATTCTCATAGAGTGATAAGCCGAATGCCTTCGAACATGAAATTCCTACGTCTCCATAGGATCGCCACCCTCCAAAACATACGCTGGTATCCGCCCCTCTGCAAGATCTTTCTCCAGCCTCGCCATTTCTGCCAAGGAGCTCGCATTCCTGATCGCAGCCCGCATCCTGTTCTTCTCTTCCTCGGTCCAGATGCGCTCTTTCGTCGGGGTGTCGGCGCCGTTTGTGTAGTTCGGCACAACGAAGCCCTTCGATTTCTGGCCCTTGATCTTGGTCGCTAGCTCAGAGGGTTCCTCGGCTGTTCCGAATAGCTCGGTGGCTTTACGGCGCTCGACATCGCGTACCTTGACAAAGTCAAGATAGCGGACAGTTGGGCAGAGCCATACTATCCATAGTCGATAGTTCTGGAGATTCGTTAACAACTGCGTATTCAGAGGATCTTAGTGCGCGTCTGCAGTTTGCAGTAAAGCGCCACGCTATGTTGCGTTCACACATCCTTGCCAAAATTAGGCGCACGTCGTGAGCCAGCGATACTGTTGTGCTTACCTCTTTGCTTGTGACCGGGTTGTCCTTCAGGGAAAGATACACCAGCTTTTTGAAGCCACCCAGAGGGTCTAGCTCGGCCAACTCGGTGATCCTATTCTTGGTGAGAACGAGTGTCGTAAGGTTCGGGATGCTCGAGCTCAGGTTGGCCTGGATGTTCGATATGCGGTTTTGAGCAAGAAATAGCGTACGCAGGCGAGGCTGAAGCGGAAAGTTGCCCAGCTGTGCAATATCGTTGTCGGTCAGGTCGATCGCGTCGTTGTCTCGTGCCGCACCCATGTTCTCGATGGCGGAGATTTTGTGGCCTGTGGTTTACACATATTGATATCAATTCAGCTCTTCAAGTGTAGCATCTGTCCTTTCCATACGCACCTCGTAGATCGAGTTCACGCTCCGTGAGACAATTAATGAAGGAGAGGGAGTTGTTGATCAAATCCGTAGTGAGCCTCATAGTGGCGGCGGGTTGTGGTTTTTGGACGCAGTTTCAATTACTTCTATATTTCAAGACGGTTGCGTATAGAAGATTTGGTACGTGTACGGTGGGCGAGTGGGGTGGGGTTTGCGACAGCGGCGAGCTCTATCTTCGCGCGCGTCGACGATTTTCGGCTGGCAAACACGACCCCGATGCCAAGATTCCGCTTACTTAAGTAGCGTACCTGGTTTTCTCACTCCAAGCTTCCACGAGTCAAGCTGCCGACGTAACTCCACCCCGCGTATACAATTTGATCTTAGCATCGCCGTTTGCAAGCGTACAGCCTAGCAATCTGCCGTCTTTTTTCCATCATGACATCAGTCAAGCCATATGAAGGCCCGAAAATCTTCCCGATTAACCCCGCGAGTGTGGACAGTGCGGGCATGGAGGCTGGGCGAGCCATGATTTAAATACTGGCCATGGACCCATGTTGAGACGGAGCACCTATATTTCCATTCACCATGAAGGTCGCTGGTTCAATCGTGTTGCCGGCAGCAGCAGTACTAGCCGCCAATCCCATCTTCCCTCGTCAGAACAATGCGACCAGCCCAGACTACAACTCTGCACCGCCCAATCTAACAACCTTGGCGAACGCTTCACTGCTTGAAACATGGAGGCCTCGAGCTCACGTACTGCCGGCATATGGTCAGATTGGTGACCCATGTATGCACTACACAGATCCTTCAACAGGTCTCTTCCACGTCGGTTACCTACATCTAGGCGCCTCTGGAGCAACGACTTCCGACTTGGTCACATATACTGATCTCAATGCCAACTCGGAACCTTTCATCCGAGCAGGCGGGATCAACGATCAAGTTGCTGTGTTTGACGGAAGTGTTATCGAAAAAGGCATCAACGGGACGCCAACGCTACTATACACGAGCGTAAATTACCTCCCGATTCAATGGACCATTCAGTATACCAAGGGAAGTGAAACACAGTCGCTTGCCGTCGCGACAGATGGTGGACGCAACTTCACCAAGCTCGAGCATGGACCGGTCATCCCAAGTCCGCCTTTCGCATACAATGTGACAGGTTTCCGCGATCCTTTTGTGTTCCAAAACCCCAGCTTTGATCGGCTGCTAGAGAGCAGTAACGGTACCTGGTACACCATCATCTCTGGAGGAATTCATGGAGAAGGCCCAAGCCTGTTCCTCTACAGGCAGTATGAGCAGGACCCGCAGTTTGAGACCTGGGAGTTCCTCGGCCAATGGTGGAGTGAGGACGCAAACTCGACATGGACTGAAGCTGGCTGGGCTGGACGATGGGGCTTCAACTTTGAGGTCGGGAACTTGTTCGCTCTGGATTCCGATGGATACAATGCAGAAGGCGAGATTTTTGTCACACTTGGTGCTGAATGGTCATACACGCCGATAGTACCGCAGGTATCCGACAACAGGGAGATGCTATGGGCCTCGGGGACGCATAAATTTGTCGACGGCAAGCTGCAGTTTGTGCCATCCATGGCAGGAAGACTGGATGCAGGACGCTCTGCCTACGCAGCCGCTGGGAAGCACCTGCCAGCTTCCTCCCAGGCCAGCCAAAACAGCGGCGCTTCAGATCGTTTCATTTCCTACCTGTGGTTGACGGGCGACTTTTATGGCACGCTGGACTTCCCAACTCCGCAGCAAAACTGGACCGGCTCGCTGTTACTGCCTAGAGAGCTCAGTGTGGGGTCCATCAACGTTGCCGACAATGCGCTGGCGTGGGAGAAGGGCTCTTGGAGGGTAGCATCGCAGCATGATAACGGCACACTCACGCTTGCAACCCTCAGGCAGCAGATCGCGAGAGAGCCTCTCGCGGCTTTCCAGCAAAACGCTACAAACACTACTACGCAGTCTGGAGGCATTATTTCGTCAAGCCAATCTTTTGACCAGAGTCCCAAGTCAAAGCACTACCTGCTCACCGCCTCGATCTCCTTCTCTTCTCGGACGAACGAGAACCTCAAAGCCGGCTTCTCCATTCTCTCAGGACCCAACGAGCACACGAACATTTACTACCAATTCTCCAACGAGAGTCTTGTCATCGATCGCTCGAATAGCTCGGCTGCAGCTTCTACGACTCCTGGTATCAACACGGACAACGAATCCGGAAAACTACGTTTATTCGACGTTCCAAGCGCGAACGGAACCAGCATTGAGACTCTGAACCTCACCATCGTAGTCGACGGTGGCGTTGTTGAAGTCCACGCCAACGATCGATTTGCGGCGAGCACATGGGTGTGGAGTTGGTTCGAGGATAGCAGAGACGTGGGTTTCTTCGTCGAGGGTGGCGAGGCTGAGTTTGGCGAAGTAAAGATCTGGGAAGGTCTGGTTGATGCCTGGCCAGGTAGGAATGGAACGTCGTAGTGTATAGGCAAACACACAGAAAGTACATGCTACATACAATAGCTGACATTAGTCAAACTATTTTTGCCTTGTTCCAAAATTTCCTGAGGTCTCACCCGCCCTCGTAGCACCTCCTGTCTCCTCAAAACGCGGAAGTAGATTTCCGCAATTGCACCCACGCTTCGACAGACCCCTCAAATGCCATTCTCAATTCCTCATCTCCACCTTTCCCAGTCCTATCTTCTACTCCATAACACTCTTGACCTTCTTTTCATCCGCAGCTCATCTCCCCAATACCCTTAGCACAGCATGCCTATTCACAACCCACTTATATTTCAACCATCCACACACCCTCTTATCTCCCTCGATCATCTTCCCAAGCTTCTCCCAAAAACGACAAATCTCAATCCAGTCCCCGCACGTAAGTGTAAATATAGTGGAAGCGTTAGTATTAGGAGGACGGGGACCCGCCATTGAACAGTAAGAACGGACATTTCAGCAAGGTGATCAACCGCACCATGACTTAATCCACGAGAATTCTGTGGCGCTACTGACTGGCAGAGATGTAGGGGTATGTGCTCTATGTTTTTGGATGAGAAATGGAACTGTAAAAATGGCGACGTCTGTTCCACTTAAGGGAACAGAGTCAGTGTATGTTGATGGTGTCGGGTATGGTACTTCGCTTCTACCGGGCGTAGGCAGAAAGAGAGATGGTTTGTTCTCGCAGGGAGTTGGGAGAGTTGTCCTCTGCTGAGGAGTTGAACTAGATGTTGGGTGTTATTTTGGAGAGGGATGCGGTGGTTGTAGCTTATTTATGGTTGTCGGCATCTAGCTGTTTCTACAGGATATGAACAGTAATATCATAAAGATGTAATAGGGATTGGACTTGAGGTGTCTTTTGGACTTTGGTGGGTGGGGGGAGGCTGCCAACTGGGATGCAACGCCAGGAGCGCGTTCGCATGGAAAGGTTCCGCCGTGCATTAGTGAAGGTGGGCGCGCGAAGCCATTTGAAGGGCGTTGGTGCCTGAAGTACGAACAATGGGAAGATTTTGGATGCAGGTTGGATCTTGGTGTCATATTATCGTCGACGATCATGCACATTAAGGAAGATGGGCCGAAAAAGCTTGGGTTTGTTTGTGCAGTGCTATAATACAGAAATGTATGGTAGGATAAGTTGTTGCATCCCGTGTGCGTTTTGAAACTGTAACACAAAGACAGTGTGGGATTGAAAATTAGCTGATGATCGCATTGGTGATCGCAATGCTTATCCTGTCCACCGGGCGCCATTCGGTCCAGCTGGATCGAATCGGTACGCTGATGATCTATCTCCCAAGATTGAAAAAGCCACAATTGCCTCTCTGTGAATTCGCAATAGAGTCTTCGGGTCCCCAAGATACACGCGTCCCTGCTTCACTGACAGCATTTCCTCTTAGATGGTTCTGCCGATGACTGCTTGGATGGTCGCCAGCTTTGCCCGGGCCTCATCAGCCCTCCTCTTCTCTTTTTCTACGTTGCCTGCTATCTCTGCAGCCTTCTTCACAAACTCTGCCGTCATGATATCCAGCTTCTTCCTGAGGTCTTTGGCTACTTTCTTCTCCTGCTCTCTCTCGGATTCGACTTTCGCGGCCTTCGTCTTCTCATGTTCCAGCTGAGTCGCGAACTCTTTTCGGCCCTCTTCGAATATTTTGTTCTGTCTCTCACGAAATTCCGCATTCTGTTTCTTCTCCACCTCCAAATCCGTTCGTAATTTCAGATTCTCGCGTGTCAATGTGTTATTGACTGCTCCGAATCCATTGTTTTTGTCTTGAACTGATTGTGCGTTAAGCTTGAGACGTTTATTGCCTTGAACCATTTCCTGACACTCTTTCTGGGCCTTATCGAGCAGTTCGTTGAGCTGACGTAATGCGTTTTCATTCTGGTCTACTTGAGACACGATGTTGTCTTCTGCAAGCAAGAGATCTGCAAGGCCTAAAGATAAGTGAGTGTGTGGACCATAGTGTATTGACAGTGTGTTAATACCTGTTGCCGAAGCTGAGGCCTCTTTCTTAGGAGCCGCATCTTCTTCCGCTGGGGCTTTCCTTTTCATCTCTGCACCAGTGGACATGATGACGAAGTCGTTAAGATATTCGCCGGTCTCGCTGTCGTAGCCAACGTTCAGGCCACTGACTCTACGTTTGTATGTTTTGGGTTCGTGCTCGAGGTCGCTAGGCGTGGCTTTGGGCCGCGAGCCTCGAGCTGCGATCCAAGCGCATGCCATGTAGAAGTCTTGCGGATAGGCCTGATATCCACCGACTCTAGAGATGTACCCTGCCGTCATTTAGTAATAGCAAATAACTGCCCTGAACCTCGCCATTGTGCCGTTTGACCCCATTCGCTCGACGATATCGCAAAAGGGATGGGCAAAATCTGTCTTCACCACTTCTTCAGGCCAAAATAATCTCGATCTTTGGTAAATGGGTGAGCTTGAGCAGTCGCTAAGAAAGCTGATACTGTTGGCTCGCTTGGAATAGTAGGCATATACGTAATCCACGCAGTCTCCAGCGGCTGTGCATTTGTATGTCCCCACGAGGAGCAATATCATGCGGGCTCCCTCTGGCCAACAGTTGTTCATGCTGGCTGCCTTCTCTTTGTTAATTGGAGTAAAGCTGAGGTTGTTGACATCTGGCAGTACGCTGAAGGTGCTCCGAAAGTTAGCAAGCGCCCAGTCATGGATTGCCTTCTTGTTGTAGGGAAGCCGTTCATTCTCGAAGTTCGGTCCGTATATCAGCGGGTTCGCTTTGTGGGTCGCCATAGTCAGGTCAAATGATATCCGGTCTAAGATCGATTCTATCAGAACGTTTTCAATAACAATATTTCCGTAGTTGGCGTACCTTAGCTCAGATCAATGTTGCGGTATGGGCGAAAGATCGTTGTCGTAAGAGCGGGAGTCTTAGTTGTTTTTAAGTGGCTAATTCTAGCCGTGAAGGTGAGAGCGAGTGCCACGCCATGCAAGGTGAAGGCGCAAGCAAACGGACGAGAAATTAAGGGAAAGCGTAAAGCGGGGAGGTGAAAGCGATAGGCAACGAAGCAGCTATCGTGCAGGCGACAAGTGCGCTATACGCTATACGACTCTTAATCTCATAATCATATCTTTTCTGTAATTGATTGGTGCTTGACATTTCTAGTGTGGCCAGTTTCTGAAGTTCTTCGGGAATCGTGAAGCGCCAATACTCCCTCAAATGGCATTCCAAAGCTGTCCTCCGGTCTTTGACTTGCGATCGGACCGTTATACAAGTGAGAGAAACTGGGATCACATTACCGCAGATTGGATGTGTTCCGAGATGCGTACTACCCGATCGAAGTGCACGATAAGGTCTTTCACCGCATATACAGCTGCTGGAACTCTCGAGGCCAAGGGTATCAGAGTACCTAATCTGGCCAAATCAAGGCGATCTAGAGAGTTTCTGCATCATACATTGTTTTCGAGAACTTTTAGGTAACTCAGGCTCGGCAGTCAACTATTGAGAGCTTTGAAAAATGGTGTCAATGACCCATTTGATGCCTCGGGGGCCTCTGCAGGATTGGGCATCGAAAACGCGAACTCATACTACTGCAGGAACTTCGATGCATACAGAGGGAGTGTTTTTCGCACGCATACCTACTGTGGTGCCTTGATTGTTTCGGCCGACTTTACGATAATCAAGCCCCGTGCTAATTTGTCGATTACGGTGTTATCAATAAATTGTATAGGAATGCCATCTACAGATTAAATGGAATCCCGCGAGTCGTAAGGTGGCTTGACGGGGCGTAAGGCGATGTTGGTGCGGGGACGAAATTAACGGAGCGAATGAACAGTACCACAATTGAGAGGACCTTCTCAACCTCTCTTAGACGAATCTGCGGTTCATGGTGCGCACCAGAAGTAAAACTCTCAAAGAATGTTGACAGCGAAGTTGCTGTGAAATCTACGTGTACACAACCTTGCTATACCTCGGGCAATAAATCGAGTGTATGACTTTTGAATTCCAAAGTACGAGCATAGATTTCATCCGCCTCATACAACGTTCAAGAGTCTCATTGAATGGTCTAAGTGAGCATCATTACAACTTCGCCGCGCGCAAGATTTTCTCTTTTTGATTCTCACGCTTCGAGACCGTTAAGCCGCGTTAGGCTAAGTGTGAGAGTGAGATGACGTGGGCGAGGAAGAGCGCAGGAAGCAGTTCACGACTTGCGTGGACCGCCTCTTTCCGCCCCCACTTAGCGCTGACAGCGATCCCGGACAGAGGATAGACACATAAAGGTAGCTCTCTAGCACCGGTCCCAGCTGCATACGCGATTATTCTTACGCTGTCACACTCAATTAATACAGCTACGATTCTCCATACAATTATTCAACGCCATGTCCGAGTACACATCCAGTCGCGAGGGTTTCGAGCGAGCCATGAAGTGGGCCCTTACTGGCCCTTCCGAAGAAGCTAAGGCGTACGCCGAAGGCACCGCAACATCGAACTTCTATCACGTTATGAACGGTCAACACTTGGGCTACGATGTGTACATCAAGGGCATCGCTGAATGGCGAGCCAAAATCAGTCATTATGAGCCGAAAGTGTAGGTTTATCTCATTGTCTCACGAGGATGTAGTTGCCCCACGAAAATCGGTTCAGGTACTGACATTTCTCGCGCGAAAAAGACACGAGTTCCTCCGCGATGGAGATCAGCTGGCTGCGCGTATGACTGGTACAATTAAAGTTGACGGGAATGACACTGAATTCGAGAGCTTCTTGTTTGCTAAGATAGAAAGGGCCAGTGGGAAGATGGAATGGTTGATTGAACGTTCAGTCTGGGGTCCTGTTGGCGGAGCCTCCGAACATGGCGTCAACTAAGGCTTTGAACAGTTGTTGGTTCCATTCCTGATTGCTGTTAAAGGATAGATTATGCGAAGGTAGTATTTTAGCACTCTGAGCTAGCATGAATATGCGCAGACTGGTGTTACCGTTAAAAAAACATAGTACAATCATAACATCATCCTAACACTTTGCTCATCGCTCTTCTAGTTCTCATCCACATGACAAGGCTGTTTAACATGTTTTATATTCCTCTGGATAGTCATGCAATGAGTGACTATGGTGAGCTAGTACAGACAATATCCTGGCAGCCATGCAACTGCACCGTCCGGAACGAGCAACCCCTTATAGAGCAACTGGAAGATCGAAGAACTTGACAAGACCAACGACCAATGATGAAAGAGAACCCTTCTCGATGCCTTGACCAAAGTAGCCGAAGCCAGTGCAGGTGAGCCAGCTCGAAGCCCGCAGTCAACGGAAAGGACCCAGAATGGACCGCAGTGACATAGATGGCCTCACTGAAACCGTCGCTTCCAGCTGTCGTCCAGATTGGCTCACTGCGGTTGGCATCATCTACCACCCAGGCGCGCCGCCGATACGCTTGACAGCATCATCCTCAGCAGTAGCAGCAGTGGTCCAGATGGCCTCACTACGCTTGGCAGTACCGTCCCCAGCCGTGGTCCAAATCGATTCACTGCGTTTGACAGTGCCATCCACGGAGATGGTCCAGATGGATTCACCACGCTTGACCTTGTCATCCTCAGCAGCAGCCAAAGTCGTCCAGATCGCCTCACTGCGCTTGACAGCTTCATCTCCAGCCGTGGCCCAGATGGACTCACCGCGTTTGACAGCGTCATCCGCAGAGGTGGTCCAGATGGACTCGCTACGCTTTACTTTATCATCCTCAACAGCGGCCGCAGTAGTCCAGATCGCCTCACTTCTCTTGACCTCGTCGTCCTCAGCAGTAGCAGCGGTCGTCCAGATCGCCTCACTGCGCTTCTGATCATTGGCTGGGGCTACCGTTGTCCAGATCGACTCGCTACGCTGTTGCAGGCTCGCATCATCGGCCTTGGCTGCAGTTGTCCAAATCGCCTCACTGCGCTTGACGGCCTCATCCTCAACGGTGGCTGCAGTTGTCCAGATAGCCTCGCTACGCTTTCCATCGTCGGCTTTGGCCACGGTAGTCCAGACAGCCTCACTGCGCTTAGCCGGGTTGGCTCCACCATCGACCTGGGCAGCAGTAGTCCAGATGTTCGTACCGCGCTCGACAACAGCATTCTTTCCAATTGCACCTTGAATAGATCAGTAAATGACCGAGAGAGCTGGATTGCCAATGTTTGTACCCACCTAAAGGAGCGGCAAGGACTGAGCAGATAGCGGTGCTGCCTGCGAGAATTTGGAGAGGGCCCTTCATGATGCTAGCTTTCGGATGCTGCGCTCTCTTGTAGTTGTGTATAGATGCGCAGAGAGCAAGACAAAGATGATGGATGAGGATAGTTGATGGAGCTGGATGATGTCTTTACTTTATACCCCAATCTCGCAGGCGCCTCATCGGATAATCGAGCGCTATAGCCGCCGCTTTCATGATACACATCCATGAGTGGTAAAGGCTATCGCTTACCCACCACAACTCTACATAGATCTAGTCTTGCTAATCGCACGGCAGATGAAGTCCCTTCTGCATTGTGTTCAAATGAAGAAGGTGGACTATGGCACGACGATACGTAGGCATCCAGCTGCGATAACTGGCCGATATGGCATTATGGCACTAGAATTCTTGGCCTTCATGTGGCTTATGTAGATTTGTTCTGGCCCGATGTGCACCATGCAAACTGCATAAACCCGTGGACCTAGCTCTAATCCTTGAAGGAGTGTTTCTCTGTGTCTGTGGGTGGTACGAATTGCTCCAGTCCATCCTGATGGAGTACTTCGTAGCTGACGCCAAGTGAAACGTGGCGCACATGCGCGATCTGAGCCTGAACTGACTGGCTCGCGCAAGTTGTTCTTACGAAACTCGCCTCTGCAAATAACTGATGTACGTTGTGCATAACGACACTTGAGGACAAAGCTCGGGCTTTGCTGACGACAGCGCACAGGGTCGCAGTAGGAATGGAGCTGCACATGTGTAACGTCCTCACCGACAATGTGATGTTCATATTTAGAAGTAAAAAAAGAGAAGTTTATCAATCACACATAAGATCCCCGCTCATGACTCTATAAGAAACTAAGGGGGAGTTAATAACCTCTCCTTGGCTAGAAATGCTCATTGGTGACACAAGCAACCAACTTGCAGATCTGATCGGGGCTCCAAACCTAGTTATGAATCAAGACCTACATCATGGGGTTATTGATAGAGTGTTCTAGACTCGAGAATATCGTATAGTTTCAAGCGAAAGACGTTGGAGAACTCGTTTGCCAACTGGGGAATTGAACAGCAAATTCACAGAATTGTGATAAGCGACAAGAGAAATAGGTCCGGGGCGTACGCGCAATACGTCTGCTCGACTGCCAAAGACTGTTGATCATCATTCGCCACCAGTTCGAATAGTAAAGCTTGATCAGTAATTATGGTTCTCGTACAGCTCAGCGGTTGCGTCTAGCGTACTGCACAACCACCTAAACGTTTAACAATATAGACTAGCCTGCTCTCCTACAAATTACTGCGGCGTAAAGCCCATATCCTGGTAGCCAATATTACGGACAATATGACGACACTAGCATCTTACCTGCATGAACACAAGACACACATGAGCAATGCCCACGCTTTTTGATTCGGGGAATGCCCACGTCAGCGCCCGTGGTATACGCACCATCAGCAGGCACACATTGCCTCATCCGAAGCAAACATTCCTTCTCTTCAACCGCAATACTCAATCGCACAAGCAACGAAATGTCCTACCAGAAATCCCACGAGGCCAGCGTCGGACTGCTCACAAACGAAGGGGAGTACGTGAGTAGCGTTGACGATTCGGATCCGGTTGCCTTCCAAAGTGGTAGGCAATACACTTCGTCGCACCGCGCGAGGGTTTTGGCTTCGTGGACCCTCTACTGCTCTTTCATCTTTAACTTTGCTCTGTTAGCGAGCACAATCTTGCTTTATCACAAGAATGCGCAATTGGCGTCGCCGTTACCTCCATGGCCTGCAACAGTATACTGTGAGTACACTTCAGCATGAGACTGAAAAGATCTATGTTTGCTAAGTTGGACTGTAGCCCCGGCTGAAAGTGCAATCGAATATGGAACCGTGGTTTTCGACACCAATCTCCGAGCGGACGTGTAAGGAACATACATCCTACTGATATATGGAACAAAGTTACTCACTCTCCTCAAGCGTATCTGGAAAGCCCAACATCTACCTTGAGTTGACTGATGAAGGAGATGCAGCATGGGAAAAGCTGACCGAAGGTAATCATTCTCTTCGCACACTATCCTTCCACATCACTGACGTTTTCTAAAGAGTACGCCACTTCCGGCATTCCCTTCTCCCAAGCATCCCGCCTTCCTTTCAATACCGTACCTTCCCCTCGTCATCCTGGAAGATACATGACAGGCCTCTCCGTCTTCCATCAATTGCATTGCTTGAACCGCATCCGCAAACTGCTCCATCCGGAACGCTATCCGTGGCAGTTAGCGGCCAACCTGTCTGAATTCGAAACGCATATCCATGATAACCATTGCGTCGACCTCATCCGCCAGGCGCTGATGTGCAACGCAGATATCAGTCCCATACAGTGGGAGATGAATTCGAAACTGGGAATACCGCTACCTTCCGCGAAGACAATACATACATGCAGGAAGTGGGACAGTATCATGGATTGGGCGGCGGACCACAAGATGTGAGTGTTGGGAACAACATTTGAAGGATGCGGGCAACATTGAATAGTACCTAGGTAGACGCTGCTCTACTTTAGCTCTCCATCAATTCATCACTATGGTAGCTCCAGTATGCAGATGCAAGTGATCATCGCCCTGAAAGCGATGGATAAGATGTGTCGATTTTTCCGAGTTGTGCGTGATTCAGTCGAGTGATTCTTTGGCGTATCGTGGTGGAACGCTCACTTCGCGCGAGCGCTAAGCCGAAAGGGACACAGGCCCGTGCGGCGCGATCGTGACCAGCGACCAACCGTGCCTTAGAACGTCACATCTGCATCCCTTGCGCATCAAACAAATGTTTCTTCACCGGTGCCGAGCGGCGATACCATCGCCATTGGCGGCACACCGATCGGCTGTTCGCGTGTCTCGATGGAGCCACATCCGACAGCTCCAGACGCATGGCTCGCAAAACCAGTCGCGCCAACCATCTAAGACCCTGCCTCAGCGTGGAAGTCCACGACCGCCACCACCAAGGCAACCTGAACCGGCCCAAGATGAACCACAGCATACCCCGAACCCTAATGAAGAGGACCAATTTCCCGAAGATCAAGAGATTCCTAATGTGAAGGTCCGATTTTTAATTCCTGCAATTTGGGCGGTCACAGTTTCCACGGGCATCTATATCTCGTTCGCATACTTCACAGCCAAGAGTGAATTGGAAACTAGGAATCCCTACAGACTTTTCGGAGGCAACACCAATCCGGCCAGAAACCCCTCATATTCAACCTATGCTTCCAACGGACCTCCCACGCCTACTGAAGTCGTCACTAGAGCTTGGCGCGAAGCGGACCCCATGTCAAAGCTAAGCTTGGGTCTCATCGGAGTGAACGGCGCAGTCCATCTTTCCGGTCTTGTCGCGCGAGGAGCCTGGCAGCACCTGTGGCATATCCCAGCGACCAACCGCAACTATACGCTGTTTACTTCGACCTTCGTTCATTCAGGGCCCATGCACCTTGCAGTCAATATGTACGCCATGTACAACTTCCTGCCTGCAACCGGGTATTCGAAACTATTTCGAGGAGACACGAACCACATGCTCTCCTTTTTCCTGTCGACAGGTGTTATATCTGGACTCGCGCAACATATTGCAAGCACTATCTTCAAGCAGGGTCGTCCTTACTCGGCTTTCATCTCTTCTGGAGGGGCCAGTGGCGCGCTCTTCGCTGTTTTCGGCGCCTTCTGTATGGAGTACCCGACTCAGGGCGTTGGTATTATCTTGATCCCATATTACATCGAGGCGCAGTACTTCCTACCCATAGTCATGGCGTTTGATCTTGTTGGTATGATCCGTGGCTTTAAGTTTGTGAGCTTCGGTCATGCAGTAAGTACCGTACAGTGTTAGTGTGATACTCTTGACTTACTTTTTCGCAGGCGCATTTGAGCGGCGCTACCATCGGTATGGCCTACTCTTATCTTGATGGACGCAACAAGGTTTGGAGGCCCCTGGTAGATTTCTGGAAACGACGACTGCAGGGAAAGTCAGTGGCTTGAGTGGCTTTTCCGCTGCAAAAGCTTCATCTACTCACCCCGGCTACGAGTATTTATCACGATGACAGCTTGCTCGTCAATCTCACAGGATGACGATAGCGATAGCTAAAACCTGCACATCACAACATTTTCGAACAACAAGCAACAACGGACATTGTTCAATAGGTAGGACATTTCCAGTGTATCACTAAGATCTTGTATATACTATGAACAAACATCAGCTCTCATATATCTATCGAATCACTTTGCAGTGGAAATGCTGTTCCGGTTTCTTTCCCTGTTTATCTGACAAATCCATCTCTCGATTCTGGCTATGCACCCTTACATATCCGGTAAACTCAGCCAGACTTCGACTGGTATCACAAACGATCAATGACCGAACACTCAAGCTACTAAAACGTCGAAGTAGCTCATGGGCGACATCCCAATCACATCTCCACCTCCTGGAACGTAAATCTCCCCATCGACAGCCACCGCGTCTCCACCATGTCGCGGAACCCTCATCTCGCCCAGCTTCTCCTGCCACACCAAATATTAGCATTCGTTTGCCGATCCTATAATATCCACCCAAATCGCGATCTATAAACTTACCCAGCTATCGGCCTCAACATCATACACTTCCGTAACATTCCACACCCCACTCTCAACCTTCAGATTCCCCTCGCCTCCAAAAGTATACAACTTCTTCCCCACAACTCCACACGCCAATCCCGCCCTTGGAGTTGGCATCACTCCCTCTCTCACGCTCCACCCCTTCTCCAAATCATCCAAATCTAAAACCAGGACGGAAGATTTCCCAGTAAGTTGACCGTGCTCACGACCACCCAGGACGTACAACTTCCGGTCTATGATAGCGCTACAGGCGTGATCTCTCGCATCTGGTAATTGCGCTGCGGGTGAGGGGAGAGCGATGTAAGTGTTAGACGTGGTGTCGTAGACATGCACAGCGGAGACAGTGGACTGGGTATATGGCGATACCAATTGTATCTCGCGCAGTCCTCCCGCAAGAATCACTTTATTATCCCATACTCCAATAGCTGCGCTGCCGATCCCGCCGTCCGGTACGTCTGTGATTGGTTTCCACGTCCTCGTCTTCGCATCGTACTGATACGAGTGGGGAACGGCGGTCCAGGACGTATTTGTCTGCGCGAGGCCGCCGAGGATGTACAATTGGTCTGATATGACTGCGGCGTTGGGATGATTCAACGGAATGGGGAGGGGTGGAAGCGAGGTCCATTTGCGATGAGTGATAGAATATGATTGAACAAGAGAGGTTGTGCTTTGGGTGCCGTTCGTGATGCCACCTATGATAATGATATTATCTGGTGGGAGAAAGACGGTTGCGTGTTCTTGTCGCGGTGCGATTGGGATACTGGGTAAAGGACGCCATGTCTCGGATAGGACGAACGAGGCGTATAGAAGACCCAATGGAGCTATTGGGCGCATGTTGAAGGCTGCCAGTATGTGCTCCCGGACGCCGGGTTTGCAGTAGCATTCACTTGCTTTATTGTACGATTCCACAGACACTGATAGAGGGTTCGTTGTGTTGGGGCGAGTGGGGCTAGGCGAAGAAAGGAAGGTCAAGACGTTGAGAGCCTTGGTATTATAGACGAGCGCATGAGAAAGGCAGTAGTGTGCGAGGTTCGATGTAGAAGCCATTTGGCTGGATGCAAGTAAGTACAAACTATCTATCGATTCAGTATTATATTGCTTGTTCAACATTGGTGGTCAGTTGGCCGAACTTGGGCATGATAATCACCTTGAAAGAACATGTGGTAGAGTGGTGTTCTACGAGGGGTTTGATTATCAGCCTATAGGTGGATGGATTAGCATCTTTACTCAATTTACCATTGCCATATGCCTCTACCAATGTTAGTAGCTGGTTCATCCTAAAATTGTGAGACTGTACCCCGTTGTTCTATATGTTCTTCCACGGCAAGTTAGCCACAGAACCTTTGAAAACGACAATAGCATTCACATTTATGAGAAGAGCACTGTGATAGCGGCATTTGTTTTCCGGTAACCCGCACATTGTCTGCTTCAAAGTAGTTACACTATAATCAAGTTAACGGCTTGATTGGCTTATGTAGTCAGCCTAACAGTAAAGAGGCATTCCTCCCACCACTGAACAATAAAATCAATCTATATTCCATCCTTAAACCGGATTCATTACTGCGTCCTCCAGCAACGATCACGAGCTCTGCGGAACCGCTCTACGTGTCTGTGAAAACTTTAAGTGAATTTCTTGTGAGCTCTTACATCTTACGCTGACACATTCTAGGTCGCGACTGCCCTATCACACCTGGGCACGCAGTATCCGATCCCACCAGGGCACATCATGAGGATAGAATGAGTTGAAGGCTTCCCTGCCAAACACGAGAGCATCCAGAACGACTTTAAGGAAACTTTCCGTAATTGAGATGCTCCAAGCTCAAGTCGAGCCAGGACACCATGGATCCCTCGCAGATACTGAAACATATCGTCCTGGCTGCGAGATTCGAGAAAAGGTCGCTTTAAGATGGAATGTACCCTTTCTGCTTGCAGATGCATTCTACCAGGGGTAGCACTAATTCAAGCGCAGAAGGGTACAGTATCGGAAAAGTGCATGTGGTTCAACAATTGCTCTCATTCAGATGTTTTCATCCAGAGGGCTCCTTGCGAGGAGTGTTTGGCTAGCACACTCACGGTACATGGACCGCATAACTGATTGACCCCAATATCTGATATCGTTAACTTGTCCTCGAAGATGCTGATGACAAGGAGGACCTACACTGACGCAGCTTTGTTACAGGGGAAAGAATACCTCATTCTGCGTCCGCTTTCGATCACGACAGTGTTTCAGAATCATAGCCGCAGGATTGGTCGTTTCGAAACTTTCTCTTCGGGAGCGCATGCAACTACAGGCGCACAGCATACTACGCGACCCGACCTTGCATCCGCCACGCCGCTGTGGTTCATGCAACCCGGTAATGATTGATGCCCATGCATCAGCCACTCTCCGTTCGCTCTTGCTACCCGTTCTTGTCAGCGTGGCTGAATCTGCTGTCAACTAGTAGTGCCTGGGTCTCCTTTCTTATCTTGTTTTCCGAGCACCGAGCGTTGCGGGACACGAGTGTAAATTGGCGAGGCTGCAGCATGTCACCACTCCTTACTGATCTTGACACAGCGCAAGTCCGCAACGCTTCTATGCAGGACTGGCCTACGTCCGCGGCATGGAACCCACACCACATTGCCGCGGGAACTCACATGCCCAGTGCGGGATTGTGCTTCTGCATCCGACTACGTGTTTGTATGACTTGAAAAACACGCTTCATCCTCATCGTGTTACTGATCTCCAAGCTCGGGCAGCGGAAAAGATGCCGATGCCCAGGCGCAATCCCTTGGCGACGAGTCACCCAAATGAAGGCTGGACAGACATCTAGAAGTCTTGGATTGGAAGCCTAACGACAAGGCTCGGCGTGGAAATTCGACCACGTCGTACTTGGGTTCAGGGCAAGATATGCTCGATACATACCATAGGTAGCCATCAAACCCTCGTTCCAGGAGAGGACTGATCCCGCTGTCAAAGCCCGCTTCAGAGCTGAATCTACACATAGTATTCACTTAATGGTAAGCGTCGCGACATTACTGTCAGGAGAGCGTATTTTGAGGGGGTGGATGCTGAGATTAAGGTGCTGTGCGTAAACTAGCGGGTTTCGGAGAACCCACAAGCGACCTTCGCCCCGTAGGAGGGTTACTAGCGCCAGCCCGCGGGCCTTCGATGATGTTTCACGTTTCCCTAAAACGCACGGCAACGCTCCCTGATTCGCCAGCTCGACCTCATGGCTGCCGCGCGCTCGGATTCTGACATGAACCAGGGCCCAGATCGGCAGGCACAGAGGATGCGTTGCAAGGAAAATGAAGACGGCTCCCGAGAAGGAAACAAACTTTTGGCGCTTTGGCGCTCGCCGCAGGGATGGGGTCCGCCGTGGGTGATTGCATGCGGGAGCGGGCTGGGGCGGAGATCAAAACCCATGGTCTCCCCGCGTTGATGATCGTCCTCTTCCTTACCTTCGTCGGACTTCATTTCCAACTTTCTGTCGTTCTTTTGGGTGCTTTCAGCCCCTTTGTCACTCTTTGTTAGGTCGCCAGTCGACATTTACGTTCCTTTGAGAGGATTGTGTGAAGGGTCCTAGAGACTGCTTTGTTCGTGTGTCTATACTACGCCTATTTTTCGAAACAAGACGATTCTACACGAGAAGAATTATTCTAGACGTCCAGCATGAAGACACAATCCATTCTCCTCGCGGCTCTTGCTGCCGTGCCTTCTGTCATGGCGCACACTGTCTGGTCTGTACTGTATGTCGATGGAGAGAGTCAGGTGAGGCAATACGTCTAGTGCTCTTGATAATATGCTAACAGCAGCTAGGGAGATGGTGCCGGTATTCGTATGAGAAAGGACCCTGCCAAAGCCTCTTTCCCTCTCGTCGACTACAGCAGTGACGACATGGCCTGCAGTATGTTACATTTTCCAGTATCCCCCAGGCCAATTCTTTGAGACTAACCCCAACAGACGTGGACGGAACCAAAGGAGTCAACTTCGTCAACTCTGTCAACGACGGGTCCACTCTAACCTTCGAGATGCGATCCTGGCCCGATGACCCATCAAAGGAATCTCTCGATAGAGGCCACTACGGCCCCTGTGCCGTCTACCTGAAGAAAGTCTCCTCTGCCATTGAAGACAAGGGCGCCGGCGACGGCTGGTTCAAACTCATGGACGACGGCTACCACGCCGACACCGACAAGTGGTGCACCGATCGCCTCATCGACAACAACGGCCGTCTCTCCGTGGAGCTCCCCAAGGGTCTCGAAGGCGGCTACTATCTCGCTCGTCCCGAAGTCGTGGCTCTGCACAATGCCACAAACGGCCAGGCCCAGTTCTACACCGGCTGCGCCCAGATCTTCCTCGCGAGCTCGGGAAGCCTCGTCCCAGAGAGCACCGTCGCGATTCCCGGCCCAGACTACGTCAGCGCAGGCCAGTCTTCAGTCCAGTTCAACATCTACATGGGCAAGAACGCAGAGTACCAGGTTCCCGGCCCGGCGGTCGCCAACTTCACGCACAACGCGAACGTCGCTTCTGACGCACAGACGAGCCAGACAGAGGGTCTCGTGCCCGACTCCTGCATCGCCCAGAGCGCGAACTGGTGCGGCAAGGAAGTCGCCTCGTACACAGACGAAACCGGGTGCTGGGCCTCAGGCGAAGACTGCTGGACGCAGGGCAAGGCATGCTGGGACCAGGCGCCTGCGACCGGCGGCAGTGTCTGCGAGCTGTGGAACGACAAGTGCCAGGACATGAACGACCAGTGTAAGGCGAAGAACTTCAATGGGCCGCCGAACAAAGGAAAGAGTCTTACGCCCAAGCGCGAGACCATCGACATCGGCTTGATTATCAAGCCTGTGGGCGGCGGCAACGTAGATGACTCTACGGCGCCTCAGTCGTCCGCTGCTGCTTCGTCGTCCGCTGCTGCATCGCCCTCCACCCCTGCAGCGCTCAAGTCTACTGCACCGGCGCTCGCATCTTCGGCTTACGAGCCTAAGTCTTCTGCTATTGAGACGCCTGTTCCATCTTCTACCCTCGCGTCCTTCGTTGAGACACCTTCGTTCTCCTCCACGGTCTCGCTTCTCTCTTTCGCAGGCGGCGTGTATAACGACGCCTCCACTTCTACAACTTCCAGTGTCGTAAAGCCCACAGTGACGTCCACCGTCAAGGTACCCGCCTCGGAGTACCCCGCTGCGCCGGCGCCGACGCAGGCGGCTAAGGAGGAAGTGAACGAGGACGGTGTCGTTGTCGTTACGAAGTATGAGGTTAAGGTTGTGACGGAGACGGAGTATGTTACCCTCACCGCTGGGGGATATAGACACAGGAGGCATAGGAGGCACTAGGTGTGTGTGGTGATGGGATGGAAGGGTTTTCGATTCTACATACTCGCGACGGAAAAGTTGTGGGTGAGCTTGAGGCTCGTTTTTAGCATGAGGGGGTTTTGCATGTGATGCGTAGATGGATGACTTTCACTTCTCTTCTTGATACCGATATTTTTAGCATGAATTCTGAGACGATGTCGCTCAGTGTTGTCGCTCAATTAGCCTGCCGATCTCAGAATGATTCTGGCGCGCTGCGTGAGGTACGATAATTTATGAGACGATGTGAAGAACGCTGTCCTGGTATGTACCATTTCGGATCCTTTTGACCCTGCCATGATTTCCTACCTATCCTTGTGGAGCCCCGTCGTCGATATGTGGGAACAGTTTCAAAGTATCGCCGATATGTGATGACAGTCACAAAGTGATTCTACCATAAATTTAGCTTTCGTCTATGATTGATTTAATAGTCTCTGTCTACCTGGATCCTACTCCTTGGTCGTTCATTGACCATTGAATGCCTCCGGACACATTGAATATCTCCTGTCTACATAGTCTTTTCGCTAAGCATCGCGGTATGGTACATCAATTCCCCCGACTATCGCCATCTCTTGAGCTGACGTTTTTGCTTACTCGACAACCCTATCAAATCATTCCACCTCCCTTGCACCATGATGCTTATCGGGACGTGAAGAATAATATCTGTACGACATGAGCACAGGGCATAGCCACATGTAGGTGCCTGCCACCGACGCGCAGGAGCAGGCTGGCATGCGGGGAACTCACTTGAACAACCGTGCAACTGCACTCCTCCCTTTGCAATTTACTCGCTATTAGAATTGACGTCTAGCTTCAATCCTACTACCTCTATCTCGCTGCAACCTCTACCTGCAGCTTCAGTAGCACTGCAACATTCGCATCCTTTGTGACGTTGCTCGATCACGCTAAACCGCATTCGCGAGAACTATGCCAATAACGCTCACCGGCAAACATGAAGGAAGCACTTCGCAAAACCGCATTTGCGAGAGTTATGCCAATAACGCTCACCGGCAACCTGAAGGAAGCACTTCGCAAAGTACTTACAATCGCTATCATACCCATTTAACTGATCGATATGTGTATTTAGAGTGTCCAATCCCACTTCTTTCCTTTACATCTTGTCATCCATATTCCCAGAAAGCTACCTGGCAACCACTCCAAACATGTCTAAGGTTCTTGCCATCTTTGGCGCCACCGGCCAGCAAGGAGGTTCAATCGTGGACCATGTCTTGAACGACTCTGGACTCTCTCAACAATACAAAATCCGTGCTATAACTCGGGATGCCACTTCCGAGAAGGCGAAACAGTTAAAAGACAAAGTCGAAGTCGTCCATGGCGACGTACTCGACCGATCCTCCCTCGAGACAGCGTTGACCGGTGTGCATACCGTATTCATCATGACAGCACCATTTCTCAGTCCCGACGTCGAGTATGACACCGTGAAAACTATCGCCGACATCGCCCTCGAGAAAGATGCCAAGTACATCATCTTCAGCACTCTACCATCTGTTCACGAGCTCTCTGGTGGCAAGTACACGAAAGTCACACCCTTCGACAACAAGGCGAAATGCGAGCAGTACATTCGGGGACTTCCCATTCAGAGTGCTTTCTGCTCGCTCGGGTCGTTCATGGAGAATTTCGAGTCGGCCTCCTACTTGACACCACGGAAGGAAGAGGATGGTACATGGGTTGTGGCCCTTCACGTCTCTCCGAAGATGCAATGGCCTTTGGTGAATGCTGTCAGAGACACGGGAAAGTTTGTCGGCGCAATTTTAGCTGAGCCGGACAAATTTGACGGCAAGACGTTCTGCGGCGCTACGAAGTTATACACCTTGGAGGAAATGATCGCTACCATGTCGAAGGCTACTGGAAAGGACATCACTTACAAGCGTATCTCGCCTGAGGAGTTCAGGGAGAGGATGAAGTTGCCAGATGGTTTGGCTGATTTGTTCATGGAAATGATCGCTTTTCTGGATGAGACTGGTTACTTTGGGCCTGATAGCGAGAAGTTGGTTGCTTGGGCTGCGAACAATGCCCGCGGCAAACTATCCACTTTCGAGGAGTACTTTGAGGCTCATCCTCTTCGGCTCGAGTAAAACGTTATCCGGAGACTATTGACTCCGTTGTTGGGGTTTTTCCGTCGCCCTGTTGTGATAGGTATCAAGGCGCAGGAAGCGAAGGGCAGTAACATAGTGGCAGGCCGTAGATTTGATAGCTTTAGCCAGAATTGTACCTTTACAGTGTGGCTAATAGCAAGTCCTTGTTCGAAACTGTACTCAGTCAGGAAGCAGGTGCGTTGATGTACACCTAGCGTGAGCTAGACCAAACGCCTTAGGCCCAGATGGACCGGCGCGAAGCAAATTTTCGACCGCTCTGGCCTAGCTAACCCCCCTACTGCGCGAAGTCCCGACCATATCCCCGGCATATCACGTGTTCCAATAAGGGAGAGTGAAATGCCGCAATTGCAGAATACACCGCGAAACGCACAAAACGTCGGCATGCTGGGGTTCATGACCAAATCAGGCCATCCCTACTCCCGAGGTATCACGATCAGGCTTCCCTTTGCATGCGTGACCCATACGGATACTGATAATGACATGTCAGTAAACTGGAGGGTTGAAACCATAGGCACATGGGCGGCAACCCAGCGATGCGGACAGGCTACCTACCTCATCAAGGCGTATCAGTTTCCACGCGCTCTATTGCCTACCGGCACGTGATGATGTTTCAACTCCGACCCGGTTTCTCTTTCGGCACTTCGATCACGTGCTGCTAGGTAACTTTGGTGGGAATAGCTTTGATGTGACTTTGTTGGTGTTTTGTTGAGTGGTGATTCGACCCGGGTGAGCACAGCCCCATGCAGGCGCCTTTCGCCAACGCGCAGCAGCAGGCTGGCATGCGGGGAACTCACTCGAACAGTCCGTGGTACTCCCCCCACCCTTTGTGCTTCCCCTTATAGCTGTCAGAATTGACGTCTGATTCAATGTCTACTACTTTAATCTCGCTACAACCTATACCCATAGCTTCAGCAGTCCTGCAACCTTCCCAGCGCCCACCTTCGACTCCGCCGGTGGTTGCTCAGCCTCAGCCTGATCCAGCAGCATCGACCGAAGCGGCAGATCTGATCTCAGAGCCGCCACAAGCAACGACAGCAGTACAGTAACTGGCACCAGTTGCAGCGGCACCTGCAAGAAACCCCCGTGGATGGCGGCTTGTGAATATCGTATGGCAAAACGTCCTTGCCATTGTCGCTATTGTCGGGTTCGCTATCGCCATTTACTACGCTCTTCGCACGGATGTTACGGGGACGGAAGGCCTACATTATACGGTGAAGAGCTGGTTCCTGTCGGCATGGACTGCGAAAAAAGATTATTGCGAGTTTAAGAGGACTTATAAGGTAAGTCTTGGTCTAATAGGGCGAGGTTACTGTTAACAATGATTGTTTTTTAAGAACGATACAGACTGTGACCCAGGGCCTCCTCCCACTCCACGAGATATACATGAGAGGCGAACACAACATAGCGTTCCAGAAGACGAGTTCGAGCAGAACGTGTGGTGGATAGTCAGATCCCTGTTCTATGGTACCTGCTATGTGTTCTTCATGAGAGGAGTCTCCGCAGCTCTTACAAGACTAAGACTTCGAAGCAACCGACGGGACGGACTCACCGGCCGCTTTGATCTGTCCCTAGATCTCGTGGGGCTTTACGTGCCTTCCACAGTCCTATTTCTGTACGACTCAAATCTAAATTACTATGCCGCAGCGCTATCATCCGTCTATGCGTTCGTCTTCCCAAGACAGAAGTTTCTTCTCAATCCTATCATTCTTGTCGATTCTTTCGTTCACGAAATGGCCCCGCTGCTGGCTCCGTCATATGTATCAATCATGGGTATAAATACGATGTTGCAGCCGTTGCATGAATATCCTGCCTTAAAGGCCAATTTGGAGCGTTTGTATGACGTTTCTTACCTTAAGGTCTATTTGGAGCATTTGTATGACATTCCTTGCCTTAGGCCTTATATATTAGCGGCCTCCGATTTCGTAGCCGACAGAGCCCACATCCCATTCCTAAGACCCTTGAAATTGCTCCTCAGTTTCATAATCCTATTACCTCGAATCTTAACGGCGCGCATATCGAGTTTGTGTCCTGAGTATTTGTTGTGGTAGCGCAATTGTGCAAGTAGAACGCGAGCAATTCCCTGTAACTTTTCGGTGTCCATACAGGAACTGCAGCCAATCTGATGCACCTGCGGGTGTCACACCTTGCATCTTACCCCGCTACTCATCTTGACGCGAGAGTACGACAAAGTTCTCCACACCCTTCAAAAGATTATCGGAACGCAGACATAAGGCCCGTTAATCGAAAAGTAAAGCCCAAGGCGGAGAAAAGTTGGTACGATGGGAGTCACAGCAAGCCAGCCCATCTACGCTGTCGAAGACATACCTGGCAAGGGTAGAGGCCTAATCGCAACAAAGGACATCGCTAAGGGTACGCGAATCATCTCCGAGAAACCTATCGTCTCAATAAGCCAATCCGGCGGAAATATTGAGCAACTGCAACTTTCTATGCACCAACAAGTCAACTCTCTACGCGAAGCAGACAAACAAGAGTTCCTTTCTATGATGAACATCTGCCCTTACAACAATTCTACAGAGGAGTGGTTTGGCATCGTTCGGACAAATGCACTACCAATGGGACCAGATTTGGATGCTGGAGGCGTCTTTCTCCACGCATGCCGCATCAACCACGCGTGCGACAACAATGCAACGAACTTTTGGAACGAGAATATCAACCAGCTCACCATCCATGCTATAAGAGATATACGCAAAGGAGAAGAAATCACTATATCGTATCTGAGTAGTCTCAGAAACCGTCAGGCACGACAGGAAGAGCTTCTTAAGAATTTCAAGTTTACGTGCTCGTGCCGACTGTGCTCCTTGCCGCCGGACCAAAGCAGAGATAGAGACGCAAAGCTGGATCGGATACACGAAATAGATGGCATCATCGAACAAGGCGGGATCGAAGCGCTTGTATCAGCGCCCCGACGCATGCTCGGCTACGTCGATGAGCAGATCCAGCTGTGGAGCGACATGAGCCCCAACGAGGTCGGCCTGGGGCGGGCATATCCCGACGCTTTTCAAATCGCTATCGCAAATGGCGACTTCGCGAGGGCGCGAATCTTCGCGGAGAAAGTAGTGGATTTGTATTTGACCACCCTTGGAAAGGACAGCCCGGACGTAGCTCAGTACAAAGAGCTATTTCGAGACCCTACGACTCATAATTACTACGGTATATCGATGAAGTGGAAGACGACCGTGGAAGACATCCCGATAGAATTCGATTCTCAGATTTTCGAAGGTTGGCTTTGGAAGCGGAGGAAGCCAGTTACCGAAGGACAACTTGCGGATTTTCGCGACCGTGAGACTTTCCCTAGCTTTGGCGGACTGCCGGACCAGAGCGGTTGTGAATCGGATTACTTCGATTGCGGAGACATCGCCACTCGTCGTCCGATGCATCACTGGTGCTTCCTGGCGGAGGTTCAGGATGTCTTCGGTTTCAGTCCACTGCACGTAGTGGTCAAGGATGTAAACGGCGTAGTTCTACCACTGTTGGTTCATACCAGTTGTCCAGGTGAACAGATCTCCCCGTCAAAGATTCAAAAGGGATATACGCTTGCGATACTGTACGCTGTGCGACGTATCTCCCTATTTAGGAAACCTTTTATCCATCTGGAGAAACCAAAGATGGTGAAGGTAGGGTCTTCACGTCGCGAAATGAGTCCATCGCTGACAAAAACCTGCAGATCTTTCCTTTACCACTTGACAGACTGCAAACTCTAAGTGATAAAGCGCGTAGTTCCTCTAAGGAGTCTGACAATGAGAAAATATGCGACGAATGCGGTACAAGGGGAACTGCTCTAAAGCGTTGCGGCGTGTGCTTTTCTTCCTGGTATTGCGATCTGGTAGGTCGATCTCTCATCTAGCCCCAAACCAGGCTTGCATTTTGATCTCTCGTGGACAGGCATGCCAAACGGCAGATTGGACCGAGGGGGAACATAAGGAGGAATGCAAGGTGTTAAAAGACCCAGATTGGAAAGCAATGCTTCATCTCAATTGGGACAAGTTTAATGGCCATTTACACTTTCCGCTTCGGATCGCGAAAAAGACCTAGGCATGAATCGAGGCGGTATGCAATCCGAATTACAAACCGGTCAGCGAACAGATGGAACTGCGCAGATTCCGAATAGTTCGATGGATGCATTGCCCGCACGCGATCGGCTTGTCGGCAGATTCGGCCTGGACGTAGGAACAAGTATTGTGCATGATACGCTAATCTGGAGAATCCTCAATCTCTTCGATTCTCTTGCTGCCATGCGGTCGAATCTCTGTCCGTGGTGTTTTAATTGATTCATTCCTCCTTTGATATAAGGAAGATCTGGTGAAGAACAGTGTCTGTTCAATGTCTTTTGTCTTGCATACACGCTCATCAATACATCTAGCCACGGTGAGATCCCGCACCTCGCCACCACAAAGAGGGCGATGACTCTACTTCGCGGTCCGTACCTCCACACTTCCATCCTGCATCCCAAAGTACACAGCAACCGGCTTCTGCCCACTCGTCACCGTCTTGACTCCATCCGTAGACCTTATTGTTTCCGCATCCAGTCCATTCAGCCCAGAGAAAATGCCCACCTCGAGCACTCCGGTAAGTGCCTTAATTGCCTCGCTCAGCTTGTTGACCTCCCACGTGCCGTCGCTGCCATCGCCCTTGCCCTTGCCTGCTTTTACGTCCGCCTCGATGAGCAGTGTCTTGAAGGGCGCGTCTACGATGAAAAAATCCTGGTCTGTTTTCAGGGGCCCTGATTTCTCGAGAAGCGTGGTGCGAAGTTCAGGGTTGGTGGAGCCGAGGGTGCGCAAGCCCTTGAGAACGGTAGGGACGGCGATGGGGGCGACTTCGATGGGGATTGTGGGCCAGTTGGTGAGGAGGCGGTCTTGTTTCTTGCGGTAGTCTGTCATCCATGTCAGCGATTGTCCCTTTCATCTTTTTAAGATATGAAGAGAGAGCGGAGTAGAACCTACCAGCAACACAGACGAACTTCCTTGCTCTTTCCGCAACCAGCTTCTCCTGGAACAAACACGCGCCTCCACCCTTTATACAATTCAGTTCCGCATCCACCTCATCTGCACCATCAAACGCAACATCGAACATGGTATCTTCTGGCAGTGAGTCGAAGGCGACCGGTGTGAGTCCGGCTTTTACAATGACCTGGCGTGACTGGTAGCCCGTGGGGATGAAGCGGATGCCGGGGTTTGTAGAGACTTCTTTAATGGCTTCGACGACATAAACGATGGTGGAACCGGAGCCGATACCGACGTTGGTTGCGGAAGTGTCGAAGTGGTCCTTTACAGCTTGTTGCGCGGCGGCACGTTTTGCGGATTCGACATTTGCGTCGGTCATGGAGGGCGAGCTGGTGAAGGGTCGCGATGGAGGGGTGGAGGGGAACGCGGCTGGGAAGACGCGCGGAAAAACTGCTAAGGATTGCTCGCTTGCTAGAGGAAGGCAGATGAGTGGTATGAGCAGACAATCGAGTGGTATATGACCTCAATTGGTATGTTGGATGACTGATGCAACGAGCCTGCTGAGTGATGCAATGTAGGCGGCGGAGGGACTGTGAAGAAGTTAAGTTCATAAAAGCTGGCCGAAAGTGGTATCTGTAGGCTAAAAAATCCAGGCCGAAGTCGCAAACGGAAAAACAAAGTTTAGTCGTGAATCCGATGAAGTTATTTTAGGTTCGGAGGAGGGAACCCCATAACATCAGTGAGGGGCAGCCGCCGCGGAAGAGTGACGCGACAATTGCCCCGCCACGAGCTTGGCGCGTGGTCCGGGCGGTGGCAGGCGGCAGAATGGCTGCGGTGCCTGGAGCTGCGGGAACCTTAAGTGCCGCCGACATTCTCTCTTCAACGCTTTATACCCAACCGTAATTCTTCTTTCTTTCGAATAGAATGACGATGGCAGATCTTCCTCCCCCCAGTCCAAGGCCCCACAGCGAAGGAGAAGAAGTAAGATCGTCCGTGCTTCGCCGTCCATATAGCTTCTAAACATTACAGGTACGACCGCCAGTTGCGCCTGTGGGGAGCTACTGGGCAGATTGCCCTCGAAAACTCGCACATACTCCTCATAAATTCTGGTCCAGGCGTTGTCGGCCTAGAGACGCTGAAGAATTTGGTGCTTCCTGGCGCCGGCAACTTTACGATACAAGATTCAGCTGTGGTGGACGAGGCAGACTTGGGCATAAACTTCTTCTTAGAAGAGTCGCATCTAGGTGGCTTTCGCGCAGAGCATACATGTAATCTGCTGAAGGAGCTCAACCCAGACGTGCAAGGCAACTTCATAACTGAGGTGAAAACGCACCTGCCCGATGGTGTATATGCATAGCTAAATCATTGCAGCCCGTCGAATCATGGCTCAGCCAAGCCGACGCACTCAAACCATACACCCTCATCCTTGCGACCGCTCCCATCCGACCCGAACTCCTCACCAAGCTCACCGCACACGCCGACCAAGCACTCGTCCCACTCTTCTACGTACACTCCGTAGGCTTCTACTCGCACTTCTCCGTACACCTACCACCAGCCTTCCCTATCGTAGACACACACCCGAGCCCCGAGACCACAGCCGACCTACGGCTGCTGAAGCCGTGGCCGGAGTTACTCGAATACGCAAAAGAGAAGACGAAGGACATGGAAAACATGGCCGCCGACGATCACGGCCACATACCGTACATCGCCATCTTATTGCATTGCTTAGAAGAGTGGAAGAAGGAACATAACGGCGAGGCGCCAAAGAATTACAAGGACAAGACCGCCTTTCGCGACCTCGTGAAGAAGGCAACACAAACAGACAACCCCGAAGGCGGAGAAGAGAACTTCGAGGAAGCCGTGTCAGCAGTCCTCAAATCTCTCAACCCTCCAGAGCCAAGCAGTACCGTCAAGGACATCTTCAAGGCCCCAGAGTGCGTCATAATACGCGAGAATTCGGCGCCCTTCTGGGTCATCGCACATGCGATCGGTCTCTTCTACACAAAGTACGGCGTGTTGCCAGTGCCGGGCGCGGTGCCGGATATGAAGGCGCGATCGGCAGACTACATCCAGCTGCAGAATGTATACAAGTCGAAAGCACGGAAAGATCTCGCAGAGGTGCTAGAGAGCGTGCGGTTCCTGGAGCGCAATGCAAATATGAGCACACACATCGAGGAGAAGGACGTAGAAGCTTTCTGCAAGAACGCAGCGCATATCAAGCTTGTTCGAGGGCGGCCGTTCCACATCGTGCCAGCGGAGGGGGACTTGAAGTTCGGATCGAACGCCAAATCGCTAGGTGCGTCATTCCATTGCAGGCTGTGTGCATGGTGTGAAAGACTAACGAGAATTTACAGCACAAAAGCTCACCTTTCCCGACGCTCTTATCCCCATATACATCGCCTTCCTCGCCTGGGACAAATTTACCGCAACGCACACCCTCGACGGCCTCGCGGGCGCTCCCAGACCCCCTGGTTCCTCCGACGCAGAAGTCGAATCTGACACTGAGAAGGTGACCAGTATTGCGCTCAAGCTCATTGATAGCTTGGTCAAAGAGGCGAAGTACACGATAGACGAGGAGGAGTACGATACCATCAGGACGCAGATCGGCGAGCTAGCGCAAGAGCTCGTGCGAGCGGGAGGCGGCGAGTTACACAATATCGGCGCACTGACGGGTGGCATTGTAAGCCAGGAGGTTATCAAGGTCATTACCGAGCAGTACGTGCCCGTGGACAACACGTGTGTGTTCGATGGCGTGAGGAGTAAGTCGAGTGTGTTTAAGGTATAGAATATTAGGCGGGACTGCAAGCATTGTAGTGAGCGTTACGGCATGGAGTATCAGAGCAACGGGTCACAACATGATCGTCCGGCAAGGGCCTGAGAGCTCGAGCACGCTGTTACCGCAGGAGGGGTCTGCACAAGATCAATGCGTTCGAGCTTTTGTCCTCGGTGCGAGGAAGCATGAGCTGGAGTAATTATTACAAGCGAGTCATAAGTGCAGATAACGCACAGCAATGCAATCCACGATACGAAATCGCTTAGGAATGCAAGTGGTGTGCTGGCTAAGTGTTCGATGTAGATGGCATGTGTGTTATCCGGTATTCCGCTGGCATACTTTCTTATCATTCCAAAACATACTACAATTTGATCTCAAATTGGCCGTCTGAGCTTTGGAGAGGGAGAGCTGGACTTTCAAAATAGAATAGAGATAGGGACGGACACATGCTCTCGCGCGGTGCATCTCGCACTGCTGTAACTACTTTTACTCAATATATCTTCCCGACCTAAAACAACAGCTATTCCACAGTCTAGTTGATACATGCATACGCAGTCGTACAATTACACTCCTTACACACCGTTCGCACCCCATTCCCGCTCCCTTACGCCTTCACCAACGGCCTCCTCTCCACCTCCTCATCCTCACTGCTATCATCCTCCGTCGCATTAACCGCCTTCTCAATCAGCGGATTCGACACCACACGCCTCTTGCTCGCGCTCCCACCCACCCCGCCACCCCTCTTCTTAGTCGGCGTGCCCTCGGGCGTCCCACCAACTGTGTCCACGACCTCGAAGCCCCGTACACTAGCCCCGCTCTTCGTGTCGTCTCCCTCCATGTCCTTTCCTCTGGCGTCGAGCTCGATGATAAGAGGCTCATCGCGCTTATTAGTGCCACGCTCGAGACCAGAGTACAACGCGCTTGAGCGATGCGACGAGCGGCGACTCAAGCCTGATAGGCGGCGAGTCTTCTCCCAGATTTTCTGCGGCGCTGTGCGAAGCGTAGAAGGGGAGCCGTTCTGCGTTGGAGAAGGCGCGGAGTCGAGCAAGGGGCGGGCCTGTGAGCGGACGGAACCAGGGGATGGGACGGGGAGGTTCGTTTGGGACGCGGCTGCTGAGGCTGAAGCTGAGGCGAAAGGGTCTGTGGGGATGGGTAGGGCAGAGGTGGACGCGAAGGGGTCAGTGAGGGCGTTGCGGGTTGGTTTGGGGGTGGGATTGGAGGAGAGCAGACGGTAGGCGTCGTTGACGGCTTTTTCTTGGATGAGCTTTGCGCTGGGTGGGTGTTAGTGGGAGGTTGGATGGAGGATGATGGTTATGTGTGTGCAGGCCGTGATTAACTTCGAGGGGAGGATAGGATGCTGGATCGGTAGGATTGGAGACTTACTCGGCTTCTGTAAGATCGGGCATTCCTTCGGTGATGTCCATTCGCCGCACGTCAGTCGTAGGTCCCTATAGCCGGTGGTTAGCTCATGTGTCCTGATATATGGACGTGTGTAGCCAGACGATATGTACAATTTTCAGCAATGGTTTCTTCTTTTCTTTCCTGCAACACAGCAGGGTCCTTTTGACCTTGTTCATAGCATTCTTGAAACCCATGCTTGCGAGAACGTTGTCGACGAAAACGAGAGACGGAGACTGATACGATTTGATAATATTATGTAGGACCCGAGAATGAGAAAACAAATGATGAGTAGAATGAGAAGACAAGAAATAGCGATGAACGGAATTTCGGATATGCAACTGATGGATGAATGCAGATGAGTGGAAAGGTGCTCTTGACCCCCAAGGGCAGGCTTTTATAAAGGAAGTGGCATGAAACAGACTACAAGCAATGAGAAACTGGCTTTCTGCCACGCGACGGGTCTGACGGAGCGAGGGCAACGGATTCCTTGCGCTGACGAGTCAACGCCAACATTCCTTGATGTGCAATCAGTCTGCGCACGAGAAAAATTTCTTCCGCTCTCAGGAATGTATGAGAGTCCTGTTAGCGACTGTCATCCGAGCGAGAGAGATCGTCTAAAGTCATCAGTCAATATCTGAGAAGCTACTCGTAATGTACGCGAGATGTGAGTAACATCGTAAATAGATGAAACCTTTAGAGCTAGGTTGCACCTGCGTCTTCTGAATTGGACGCGTGACGTGGAAATAGCGATATCTTTGGGTAGGTTGCACATTCGCTTGTACCACCGACCTTGCATGTAGCGCTCATTTCTCATTCAGGTACCAAAACGCGCGTTTGAGACGTGAGGAGACGATGATCCGCCTTGCTGATTCTGGAAACGGTAGTATTGAGGCTGCATATATATGACGCTCTGTTCCACTCCGCGGACGTGTGTCGTAGCGACTCAAGTTCGCGTCTGGTGAAGCGCCGCTCCGCTGCTATCCTAGTATAACACGGTTTCCAGTCAGGTTCACAAGAAAAGCCCATCTTGTCGCCGGGAGGTGCGATGACACCCGCCTAGCTTGTCGTTGCCAGTCGTGGGAAACATCGTGTTACAAGCTAGAACATGGTTCGTCATACCGCGCACAAGCATCTATTTCGGGTAGTCTTTCACATGGTAGCTCTTTAGCTTGACGAACTGGTCGAATCCAAATTTGGAAAGCGTCTGACCCTTTCCAGAGTCCTTCCACCCCACCCAAGCGAGGTCCTGAAAATCGAAGTTAGTACATGCTAGCCAGAGATGATATAGGGTCACTTACTGGTGCAGGGTAATCGCAACGGTTGACGAAGACAGTGCCAGCCTCGACTTCGTCAACGAGCTCGTGACCCTTGTTGGTATCCTTGGTCCAGATGCTGGCTGTCAATCCAAATTGGCTATCGTTCATGAGTTTGATAGCTTCAGCATCGTTCTTGACCTTCATAACTGGGATGACCGGGCCAAAGGTTTCTTCGGTCATCACAGCCATGCTGTGATCAACGTTGGTCAGGAGCGTCGGGGCAACAAAATTTCCGTCCGCTGGAGGAGATTTGAAAGACGCATTGTCTGGCGTGGCGTCTTTCGCACCCTTCTCGAGAGCGTCCTTGATATGCGCACGGATGGAGTCGGCGGAACGAGAGGAAACCACTGGGCCCACATGCGTGTCCTTCTCCATGGGATCGCCAAGCTTGTAGCCCTTCAGCACGTCCTGAAGAGCGGCGATGAACTCATCGTGAATCTTCTCATCGACGTAGACACGCTCGACACTACAACAGCTCTGGCCAGAGTTGAAGACTGACCCGTCGACGATTTCTTCGGCTGCCCACTTGATATCGACATCAGATCGAATATACGCGGGATCTTTGCCTCCAAGCTCAAGCCCGACACGAATCGGTACACGATCGCTAGCAGCGCTCTGTACAGCAAGACCGTTGGCAACCGATCCAGTGAAGCATACTAGTTGGATCTGCGGTGACCGCGCTATGGCTTCGATTTGGGTGATTGATCCACTGTGAAAGATTTGTAGAACACCTTCAGGCAGTCCAGCGTCTGCAAAAATTTGTTTGATCTGCTCCGCACTCGTGGGTGTTTGTGGGGATGGTTTCAAAACCACAGAATTGCCCGCAAGCAAGGCTGGAATTAGTGAATTGACAAGGGTCAGGTATGGATACTGTATGTGGAGTCAGTGGAAGTTGTTGTTATCGATCGCATGTTGAACGCACATTCCAAGGGAAAAGAATTAATACTGGTCCTACGGGGACCTTCTTGATGTAGCGTTTGAAGCCTTTCTCTGCTTCACCTTCGGTTTCTTTGAGAGCCTCATTACTGATCTTGAGCATGTACTCGCCGCGTGCTACGGCAGTCGTGACTTCCTTTGGCGTGTAGTTAATAGGACGGCCCATCTGCTCCGTGAGCTCTTTGCCCAAGGCATCTTGGCGCTCATCCAGCAATTTCAACGCCTTTTTGACGATTGCTTGACGCTCTGAGAGAGAAGTGCGACGGTAGGACTCGAAAGCACGTGCAGCTGTTTCTGGTATGGAGAGCAGATCGACATCCGAGAGGCCATTGCGGGTGAGGATGGGCTTGTTGGTGACCGGCGAGATGGTCGTGATAGTTTCCACTGACATGATGCCGTAGTGATGACGATTGTGGGTTGATATATTGATTGGGTATGTCAATGCAGGACCGCGGTGAGGTGCAATTATTTTTGGTGTCGATGAAGTCGCCGCCAGCGGGGTGACGTATTTGTCGATTAGCTATGGAAGCTACGACCCCGCCAAGTCTAGTGCGTTCGGTTAGTGACCGCTTTCCGCCTTCTGCCAGCCTCAATGTTGACCACATCACTGTTCTGCTTCCCTCAACCTGCACCCACCAATTCGTTTCGATTGACAACTCGGATGCGGCTGTTCGGACGGCACGGCCAGTGGCGCTCTGCAGAGCAACTCGTGAGACGCAGACTGACCGATCCCTAAACAGTCAATAACGCGTCCATTTCGCGACCAGACGCGTCTCCGGCGTTGTGTAACAGTCACAGGCCGCCAGAGAATCAGCCACTGCGCCTTTTCTGGATTTTCGAGCCATCTGGACAGCGCTGAGCGATCATCATCCTGCATCGAATATCAAGGGTGAATGAGCCAAATTATCTCACTGAACGACCAGAAGAGGAAGGCCATCCTGCAGGTTTCATTGTTGGCGGTACGCTTCACCATGTTGTGTTCTATTTTCCTTGGGGTCTGAAGCTTTCTTTATCTTTGGCGCATCGGCTGGCTTGAAGTAAGCCATCTGAAGCTGTCAGCAACCGCCCCGTTGGTCGGCAGTTCCCGCAGCCATCATTGTGATGCGAACACATCCCGACAATTCTCCTGTCCATTGCATGATGCCTTTGTTGCTTTCGGGCTTACATCTTTCGCCCAGTCACAGAGCCTTGTGGTGGCGCAGTGGCGGGAACTAGGGCAGCCGAACCGACTCTGGCGTCGAGGAAAACGTCCCGAGTCAGGTCGCCAGATCCTGATCCTACAGCCATGGAGTGCTGATCCTATGTGCAGAGGATCATGGGCCTTCTCTGCGACCGGCTCGACATTGTTTGCCAGGAATTAGAACTTCCAAACCTTGCGATAGAGATTGCAGTCCAGCAGCATGATCGAGTGCTTCTGAACACAGAATACCCAATCCGAACGTTTTGGAGCCTACAATCGTAGCGTCTGGTCCCACCAGGTACGCGAAAACAGTCGTCGAGTGTCTAGATTTGGCGTTGATGGCTATATACTTCAATGCGTCTGGATGCAAAGTCCCCATATGGAGCACGGAACATGTGAGAAGCGCACAGTGTAAGGGGAGCGGCCCCCAAGCACCAACTCCACCGATCCCTCAGCGACACCAGTGTGACCTCAGCTTCGCGCAGCAAAACAACCTATTGACGGTGCTTTTCACAGGACTATACAGCATAGAACCACGATTTCTGGGCTGACAGCTGCACAGGAGGTGAGGTGCGATGCTGCAGTGCAATGAAACCTGCACCCTCCGATACATTCCCAAAAATTGCGAAACTGTCACTGGCTGCAATTTACTGCACCTCCAACCGACTTTTGGCTCTCACTAAGCCACGTCTAGATTAGTTGGTCCGTTACTATCGGGAGGAGCGGGAAGTTGTGAACGCTAACGCTCTCGGCTTAGACCGAGTGGCAGAAGGGTTCGGCAGCGATCCCAGTCAAGGTGTCTCCATTCCCTGTTCTCTTTCTACGCGGCAACATGCGTTGCGAGAGTGCGACCGCACCACAAGGGGGTCGATCTTTACAAAGAACCATCTAGTCTGGTTCATCTGCCGCTTTACCGACCTTGTCGCGAACCTTTTCGGACGCCTCAACAAGCAGCCAAACCACGAAGCGCGAGCGACGAACGGTCCACCCGGAGTCGCTCATGTGGGTACGAACGGAGAAAACCACCCGTTCCCGAAACGGTGTAGCGACCACCTCATTCTTCCCGCCCCAACTCGTTACTCTCGCGAGGCGATTTTTGGGCCGAGTAGATCTTCGCGGACTCGACGCTTGGACAACGTGCTCAGCCTTTTTCTTGTTCAACAAGCTCGTCATCGTTCACATCTTTCACAAATTTATGCTATGGTACAGGCCTTGAATGCTGATGGCTTCGGAAGCAACCCTTCCTTGGATAATTGCGACGACGAACCTGAGTATGAATTGCCGGTCGCTCGTGTTGGTCTCTGCGGAACTACGCTATTGATCGCCAGACAGGATGGCCCCGTCAACGTGACCAAATGTTCGCACCACTCTCGCCAGACGTTCCTGCAGCATTCTGCTGCCAAGACGTCAAAGGCACGACACAGTGAATGGGGTAAAGTGAAATGCTGGGCGCTGAAATGCGGAGCGATCCGCTGGCTTCAAATCGCCCGCCAATCACTGAAATCGACCATCAAAGCGCGTACCGGTCACGACGTTGATAGGCCCTCGACGACATATGCAACCGTTTTCTCCACAATTGAAGCCACCGTTTTAGCGGATTCAGTTACTTTGAAAACGGTGAGATGGGTGGAGAGGGCCGACCAGCGTGTCTAAGCGCGCGTTGTCTGCAACGTTCGCACGCCACTTTGCGTGTTGGCCGCAGTCGGACAAGGCACGCTGACTTGGCCGTGTCACGGCCTCTCATTCTGGACCTCTTGTTATCATAAATGAGGTATTATAGATCAGAAGCCTGCGCAGCCAGTCTCTCCACAAGACCCGTTCTGGCCAACCCATCTGCAGGTGACCTTTCAAAACTTCAATTTCCTACGGACCCCCACAGGATGCATTACCGTGCTTGATCACGGAGGGCACTTTGATGCGCTCGCCTTCGCAAAAAGCGTTGGAGGCGCGATTTGTTTCTGGGTCGGATCGCGGAAGATCGAAGCGTTTTGGAAGGCCCTGAGTCCGATTCCATCGGAGCATTGTCAGCATTGATTCATGCCCACCGGCTTCTTCTGGGAAAATTCTGGATGAAAGGCTGATCCGCACAGGCTGCGGAAGGCTGGCGAGACGGATTATTCACTGGGATGCGATGACCGGCAGGGTGTGGCGGAAGGCTAGCCATGAATCGTAGCCGGTCGCAGCTGGGGGGCAGCAACTTGGTTCTTGCTGTTCGAGGACTCTACAGCCGGCAGCGCATACTGATGAAAGGGGACAGCAGGCTGGAGAGCGCGTCGACTAAACGGTCCCGTGCCATCGTTTGGAGGTCTTGCTGGCAAATGCACAAAAGTGGGTTGTGGGCCCCAATCATGGCACAGGTCGTTTCTGGATCGCCAGTCAGTCGAGCGACGGATCCGATGGTGGCATTGGCGGTACGGGGGGTTACAAAACGGTACCTCTAGCCGGCATCGGTACGGTATGGCACTCTTAAGACGGGCACATATAGGGCTGGCATGGCACCGATCAAGCAATATCGTTTTTGATTACGGGCCTTGACGCGGCGAGCAGCTTGGGGTGCATCCGCTCAAGCTCGCGGCACCGACGATCAAGCGGCTTCGTGCCCTGTGCTTAACGTGGAAGCGTTGCGCTACACCGGGATCCCTGGGACGTGCCGGGGTAGCTGCTGAGGCGTGATGACTGGGGACATGAGGCCTTGGCTCGAACCCAGCGTGCAGAAGTCATTGCCCATCTCGTTTGCATGTGGCCCAGCAGTTTTCTGACGCGCGACGCAGCTAGCAGACCCGGAGATGGGAGGTCGCTGCCCATGCCATCCGGTATTGGCCACCCTGCACCTCAGGCACTGGCAGCCTGTGCTATACCCCGCGGGCACCACTAAGACCTGACCTGGCTGGAGGCGGAGAAGCCTGCGGCCGGCAGCTACCTATATTGTACTCAGGGACACGGGCGAGCGAGTCAAAAGAGCACCGTGGACCTACCTCTGACCTGCATCCATCCCGACGACATCTCTCCCAGCCCGGCGCTGAACGCACCTCGACCACGTATCGCCTGCTGTTTATCTGCCTTCTTCTGTTGGGTTTATTCACTCGAGATTAACCTCCACACCGCCGCCATTGAGCCCTATCCGTCGTTGTCGAGCGGTGCAGTTGTGGCCGAGGCCGGCGCTAGAAGGATGATGTCGACGAGTCTCCACCAATACGAGCAGTTTCCTCCACCAATGCAGCATCAACACCACTATGCTGCCCAGCACATGGGCCCTTCGCCGCTCGATACATTGGCCCATACTTCACAGTACGCACTGCAGTTCCATCAAAACCGACATGTCCTTCAGCCGGGCAAGGGCCTCGTCAAGCCGCACCGCCTATCCTACGCCAACGGACCTCTTGCTGCAGCTCCTCGCAGCCAACGTGATGCGATGCTCCACGAGCGGGCAGGACGAGGTGCTGCCGCTGCAGGACCAGTGCGACGCAGAATCAGCCGAGCGTGTGATCAGTGTAATCAGTTGCGGACAAAGTGCGATGGCAAGGCACCTGTGAGTAGCTGACATTGACGTGATGACTAGTTGCTAACGTCGCGTAGTGCGCTCACTGTATAGGTACGTTCCACAGGATCCACCAAGCAATTTTGACAGCTGTCGGCGCTGTCAAAACCAACGTGGCACTAACCGTATCGCAGAATTCGGTCTATCATGCGAGTACATGCGCGAGCGCAAGAAGCGCGGAAAGGCATCACGAAAGGACCTTGCTGCAGCAGCCGCTGCGGCAGTAGCAAATGGCTCCGCTCCACCATCTGGCGAATCCACGTCCGGGAGCCCTCAATCACGCGGGACTGTCCTTCCTGACGACCAGAAGGAATCCTCACCGACTGTCGAGCTGCCCGAAGGCCAGCGACCTCTACCAGACTTGCCTCCACCCAACCTCCCACAGCCTGGGAGGTCCGCCAGCATTGCCACGACCCGTGACATAGATAGCGCCGGCATGTTTCAAGGTGTCAATCCGGTATCCCGGACCATGAGCATGAGCGCCATCGACTCCATCCCAGAGAATCAAATCAGCGAAAGCATTCACCATCCCATGCAGCCACCGCGCATTCAGACCCAAGGCTTGCCAATGCACAACCACTCAATTCCAGAATATGCCTCTATGGACGACTACAACCGTGCGTACCAGCAACCTCACCAGATGATGCACCCCATCATTCCCTCCAACATGCCAGATTATGCACAAAGTCCTTACGAGATGATGAGCCCACAGAGCGCACAAGGGACTGCAAACTCGTACAGGATGGCCCATGGCGAATCTCCGTTGCCGGGCTACATTACGACCTCACCTGTAACTGGATCGCCAGGCTGGCTGTCACTGCCGTCTCCTTCTACGACTATATACCCGAATGCACACCCACCGAGTTCCCAACAACTGCGATACCCGGTTCTTGCGCCCCTGGTGCCTCATCTGACGAACATCATGCCCGTATCTCTTGCCTGTGATTTGCTGGAGCTCTATTTCCAGAGCTCCAGTACTGCTTTCATGCAGCCCACAAGCCCGTATGTGCTGTGTTACGTGTTCCAGAAAGAATCGTTCTTGCGGCACAATACCCCACGCGTGTGTAGCCCAGCACTACTCGCTAGCATGCTCTGGATCGGATGTTTGACAAGCGAATCGCCCTACCTAGCGTCGTCACCATCCGCACGAAGTCAATTATCGGAGAAACTCATCAACTTGACCATTTCCCTCCTCAAGCCTTTAGTGCACCAATCACAAGGTGAAGATGCAAGTCCGACATTCAGCTCCGGTGCAACAATGAACAACTTTGGCATCTCGACACAAGATCCGGAACTAGGACTACCTGGCGAAGGTATTTGGCAAAGAAGCTATGCGGCTAGCTCTGCCGGCGCTCCAGGTGGCATTGATGATGTCTGCACGTACGCTAACCTTGCAGTCGTCATAAGCGCCAGCGAGTACAAGGCGGCGTCGCTGCGGTGGTGGAACGCTGCGTGGAGTTTGGCTAGGGAGTTGAAACTTAGCAAGGAGGTGCCGTTGACGCCACCGCCGGAGGAGAATCCAGATGCCCGATCCGACCTTGACTCAGCACACGTTGGTGGCTCCTCGTCTGGACAGAACGCTCCAGCCAACCTCACCGAGGAGCAACGAGAAGAGCGACGTCGAGTTTGGTGGATGCTGTACACCGTGGATCGGCACCTGGCGTTAGCCTACAACAGGCCATTATCGCTACTCGATATCGAGTGCGGCGATTTACAGACACCTGTTTCTGATGATGTATGGCAAAATCCGGCTCTCTTTGCAAACTCCGCTCAATCATTTTCAGATCCTACCGTTCGACGAAGCACAGGACCCATATATGAGTGCACTGGGACATCCACATTTGGATTCTTTCTCCCTCTGATGAGCATATTGGGCGAGATTGTCGAAGTCCACCATGCAAGAAATCATCCTAGATTTGGTTCGAAGACCAACTGGGACGACCATGCCGCAGAAATCACCCGGCAGCTAGAGGCGTATGGCCATTCGCTTCGCGAGTTGAAGGCAAGAGCTATCGCAGAGGCAAACGCAGAAGTTCAGGAACCCATACACCCAGGCACACCATCAGCTCGATCAGTAAACTCTACGACATCTAGAGCTCAGGAATCGCTCATGCGCGCGAGAATCGTTGTCGCCTATGGCACGCACATCATGCATACTCTCCATATTCTACTGAACGGCAAATGGGATCCTATCTCGTTGTTAGACGACAATGATCTCTGGATATCATCCCAGAGCTTTATCGACGCCACCGGACACGCTGTCGCCGCCGCCGAAGCACTCAACGAAATTCTGGAACTCGATCCTGATCTCAGCTTCATGCCGTTCTTCTTTGGAATCTACCTCCTACAGGGGAGCTTCCTATTGCTTCTCATAGCCGACAAGTTGCAAGGCGAAGCCAACCCCAACGTCGTCAAAGCTTGCGAGACAATCGTACGAGCGCATGAAGCGTGCATCGTCACCCTCAACACCGAGTACCAGGTAAGTCTCCCCAGATCTCTTACACCGCAATGTCCCTTGAAGCAGCCATACCCGGGTTTCGCAGTTGCAGCTTCGCGCTTCCACGCTATTACCCGTCTCGGCCGCGAACCTCCTGCATTCAGCCTCTTCCCCGTCCTCGTTTCAACACCCACACTTGCATCACTCACTCCCCACAATCTCGGAAAATTGAGGTCGATCATGCTGACCAAACATTGTAGAGAAATTTCCGGAAGGTGATGCGCTCGGCTTTGCAGCAGGTGCGGGGGCGCGGCATGGACGAAAATGCCGAGTTCGCGCAGCTGCGGCGTCGCGAAATGCTCTGCCTGTACCGCTGGAGCGGCGACGGGACGGGTCTTGCGCTGTAGGCTTGCCTGCCTTCTAGAAGACACATCGCCACATGCGCTCTCGACGCCCCACATTCAATGATGGACTGGAGTCTGGAGCTTGTCACACCCCTTCTTCGTGCAGCACACGTAATGTCTTCACTTTTATTATATTGGTAACTTTTAGCGGGAACTTATGGCTTCACGGATTGGGAAATGATCATGATAGATTGGGTATTTGGTATGGCGTTGGATCTTCACTTTTACTTCTGGCGGTTGGCTGGCTGGCTTTGCAATCTTCCCTTTCTCTTCGTCTATATCGATACCATTCCACTTGAGCGTTGCGTTGGCACTGCGTAGCCCAATATCCTCTCTTCGAAACAGCGGCGCATGTACATTCGTCTTTTATCACTTTAGCGATGCCGTAGTTCCTCGCATCCATCAAAATCCCTTCATAGCGTTCTTACTTGCAACCACTATACATATATCCACGTCCGAGTCATGCCCAACTACACATGTTCCACCGCCGCTACTGCCCTTCTTCGCGCTAGCTCCTCGTTGCAAACCTTCTCGAAGAGCTTGCTTGCGGGAAGGATCCAGCAGCCGGGCCGGGGCCCAGAACGGGCGTGCCATCACGAGATAGCATAAGGCAGACGGATAAGCTTAAGCCATGGCAGGGCAGGGCAGGGCAGGGCAGACAGTTCGGTCGGCCGATCAGCGCATCGGGCCCGAAGCGTCATAGCGCCTATAGCACGGCAACGCATGGCTATAGCAAACGTTAATGCTGCCTCGCGTGCGCGCGTCCAACCGAACTGGGCGCTCGGAACGAGAAAAACTCAAATCTCAGGTCGCTGCACGTTGGCTGCACGCACGCGCCTCGCTCAGTAGGGAGGGACGTCGTTAGCGGCCTCAGGATGCCAACTGTCGCGGACGAGGCCGACCTTGCTACGTACGGGGCTAGCCAGCAGAGCCAACGCATGCGCATTCGGGCGCGCAGAAAGACGCGTTTCACCGTTTTCTGGTACTATAGCTTGGGATGCGGTTTCAGGACGGGATCAGATCAGGATGGCGCAAGTGATGGACTGGGCAGCCAGCCACGAGTCTGCATGAAGCGTCACGGGTCAAAGCCCGGCTGTCAAGACGTAGCGAGGCAAGAGCCGGGCGAGTATACCCACTGTACTCTATTGAACGCGCCGGCAGGAATCTGGCAGTGCAACCGTCGCATCTGGTGTCGGAGGGCGCCCCGTGATCCCTACTGATGTCACAAATCACGGGCCCCGCAGACCACATAGTTCGGACATATTGGAGTCGTGGTCAGGATGTGGTTCCTTTTCGAGGTTCTGTAAGCGCGCGCGAGAAGGCATCGGTGAGTGCACCTTGCTGCCAGTCGTCATGTCTTGCTGTTGTAGGCTGACGTGCTACGAGTGGACGCCGCCGCCGCGGACGTCTGCCGCTGAGCCGATTTGCTTCGTGCTCCGCTGGGCCATAGTGGCGAAGGCGTACCACATCGCGAACGATTTTTATTGACGTGAAATCCACCTTCGGAGATTTGATAATCGCTGTGGTGAGAATGCGGCAAGTGGCGAGAACAATGGGGCGGCTCAAGATCGGAGGAAAGCTGGACGAAGGCGGTCGGCAGTACGTTGGGTAGCGATGTGATATTGATGTTCGAGGTGCAGTAGGAGAGTGACGAGGTGGATACGTACCTTGGTACGTGGGAGCACCTGGAACATGTCTGCTTCGCTACCAGATCTGTACCACACTTGTACGCCATGTCAACTGTCAGTTCACTGTTGTGGTGACCTCCCAAGCGTGACCAGTTGCCGACGCTGCCCAACATAGCATTTGCCCATCGATGTTCAGCCATTGTACGTCATGTTACGGTGGGGTTTGATCTCAGTACTAGCTGACCAGTGGGCGAGGGTTGCCACAACACAGCCTCCAGAATCAAAGACGATCTTGCTCATCCGTTTCCTGCACAATAAGATACTTCGGCCTTGGCAGGGTTGCCAGGCTGGTGTGCTCGTATATGTATGGAACGTTGAAAAACTTGGATATGAGGGCTGCAGGATGTCGCTCACTGCAATGCACCCCAGATCCACATTGGTCCCATGGCCATGATCATCGTAGAGTTGCCTTGGAATGCCTGCTTGTTGGCCGTCTGTTCTTTGGTACTGCTCCTGAGCTAGGTACAGCCCAAGTCTCATGACTTGTCTGAGCTTGCTGAGCTGTGGTGGCGGGGTCGATTTGCGCGTTTGTCCTTTGCCCGCATGCTTTGCGGAGTGGGCGTCTGCCCACATGGCAGTTTCATCTTAACAGAGACCCCTTAAGACGCACTGTCAACTTTCGCGCCGTCTTTCCACAGCACGGTGAAGCCGAATGCACGGTCGGGCGCAGGCTGCGAACTGTCTTCGCATCGGCACTTGCTGACGATGTACGGATCCCATCCGTGCTCCGGTACCCGTCCCTTACGCTCCGCTCAGCCGGGGTTGGTGCGGTAGAGAGCAAGGTAAATCCAGGTAAGCACATCCGCAATAGTAATACCGCAGTACGGCAGACGGTGAACAGCTGTGGATATCATAGCCACCCCTACTGCGGTATTCAGCTGCCACATTACGCTATTGCAGCCCTCCACATTCCCCACACTTTCCGACATTGTTGAGATTGCATGTATTGAAGACTTCATTTGTGCAAATGAGGGCGGCGAGGAAACCTGGGTACCGACCCCACCATGCAGTTGCTGCAGCGCGGCACGGACGCACACGTTGTGAAGGGGCATGCGGAGAATAATAACACGGCAGGCAAGGACACCAGATGTTGTCCAGGTCTTTTCGCGAACGGCCGAAGGATTGAGATCCTTCATTAGATCGTCAGCAGTGAAATTTGTTGTCCTGTTGGTGACGGAGGCGACTGGACGACATTGACACAATCGTAGTATTACAATCCGAAAGCGCGACATTTTGATGAGCTGTGGCTGGCGTTCCGGAAATGATCGCTGCAACCGATACGCGCTAAAAGGTCTTCTAGAACGGTGTTAGATGAAGTGGTGTAGACTAGCAGCGAAAGGATTTGGCCGAGTCCTCTGTTCGTCAAACATGGTTTAGTGACGTATGTCAAGAATGGTGATGGTCTAGCGACTTCTCATCCAGAAGCTGTTGTGCGGTTCACTGTTCAGGTACGGAGGCCTGCATTCCGACTTCGAGCGGGCGCATGCCGTAAAAACGCACATCATAGCGCGCAATGGTCGTGGCATGCACGCGAGAACAACGTTCAGTAGTGCCCGCGGCAACTAAAGTGGAAGCGAGCTACAGGATCTGTGCCTGCACATGTGGGGAGAATTTGCGGTAGGGTTGGGGCGCCGACAGTCCAAGGGTACCTCGTCCCTGTTGTCCATGTGTACCTCCAAGTACACTCTGGCAGACTTTTCTCGGGCTTGATTCGCTACGATCAAGAGATTATTCGACCAAGGAGGTGACCCAGTCCTAGGAAAGGTTGCGTTCTGCTCCGTTTGTGTGGCTTGCGACTGTTTTGGGTAAGCATTCGGGTTTTAGCCTAAAAACCGGTCTTGGAGAACTTCGAGTCGTTTATCGTAGCTATAACAGACTCCTATTAAGTCGTTATACGTGAATGTGTAGATGGCTTCAGGCCTGGTGGATATATTCCAAATCGTGTGATAATCGAAAGCGTTGAGCTTGCGTATGCAAAGAGCCGTATACTGATCCTTCGAAAGTTTAAATCCTGGCAGAGCGTATGGGTGCATTGTGGGTGGTATCAAGCAAAAAAACAGCACGGCTTCTTAGACTACCAACTCAGTTGATCTTGGTGGAAACGCACCTCTCTATTTGCTTGGCTGCAATGTGTTAGGCAATGAGGTGCTTATTTTAAATCGTGTACCAGATGCCGTCCACCTTCGTGCTGGTGTATCTCTCGAAGTCTTCAGGGCCTCATGAATGCTTGTTATTGAGGAACGCCTAGGACCTGCTTGGCAAAAATCTCTTGTTGTCAGCGTTGCGAAGCTTAGCCCCAGTAGCCATTCGCATCTTAGACGACGTTCGAACTTTTCCAAGCGTAAAAATCATAAAGAGTCGAGTGCAGGACAGGCCAACAGGTCTGCATATGTGGGCTGTGCCATATTCAGACAGATCCTGTATTTAGAGGTGATAAGAAAACCACTGAGAGACATATCCAGGCTTGTTCGTGGCACTTCGTCCTGCTAAATCACAGTTGGAGACCTGGATCCTGCCGATGCAGCGACAGTGTGTCGTAAAATCTCTTGTCAAAGTCGTGGATTTTGAACAATAGACCTGAATAAGCCCAAGTTTCTGGGCAAACAAAAACCTGCAAGTAATGATCGTGTCTTAGGTGGGCATTCGCATCGAGCAAAGCACCGGTAGATCCATCCCAATACGTGTAGAGATCAATATAGAGCGCCTGTACGCGTACCAAAGCGGATGGTAGGTCAGGCGAGGATGCTGTACCACGTTCGCATCACGAACGGATACGTACAAACGAATCGATGCCGTGTGACATACGTTATCGACCAACTTGAAGGCGATAGTCGAGCCTTCCGAGTGGTCTGATCAATGTGGGACCTTCGCAAAGTATGTGGTATGCGTCCGTCAAGCCCTTCTTCTGAAGTCTTTGCAGGGTTGACATCTCAAGCTGCGCTGCACATAGAGCGGCCACGTTGCAATATTCATCCGTGCCTCAATACTGAGCTGACAGTGTTACTATCATATGATAATAACTGGGAGCGCTGCGGTGCTTGGTAGAATTTATGGCGATGGCGTATGGGGTAAACGCGTACGCTCGGGCCGCGAGTCAGGCGGGTGTACACGTATGTAAGTAGACCAGGCGGAAGTGACGACAGTCATAGCTGATTAGCGATTCCTGGTGTGAGTCTTAGAAGATCGCGTAATATGCAGAATCCTGTAGAATCGGCCCTTTTCAGCAAGAGGCATCAAACATCTGCGAAGCTCTCCGCATCATGCTCTCCACATGGATGACAACGAGTCATTACGAATGTTGAGGTGGACACAGACCCATTCTGTAACCCCGAAATTGAAGGTAATGGGTTCGCGGCGAGTCGAACCGGTCAACCGCGAGACGGGTACCTCCAATAGAGGAGCGGTCTTTCTTGAGAGGGAGGCGACCACATGCGATAACAACTCGATTGTCTCGGACAAAGTCGATGTCGGTCCTCTCCGTATTTAGTCTCAACACCATCATCCATGTCCTCACACGGACAGGTGAACCATCGCGCACTTGCGATCACCGTTCGGCTACATGTACTGCTTTGCGTAGGTACACACAGTGTTGTAGACGGATACTCGAGAACCGTAACCCGGCGTTTCGAGATCGATTGAGGGGCATCACCTAATGCGGTAATGGCGGAGAAGCCGGAGCCGCGCAGGGTTTGCCGTACATGAGCAGAGAGCTGCATGCAAAGCATACGATATGCCACACCGTGTTTAGCTGCGCGAGCCATCCGGGGTAGACTATCGGCTTCTGGCTTAAATGTAGTATGAGCCTTGCCTGGGTTCATCGATCGTGGTCTTACAAGGTTGACCCATGTTATATGTCTCCGCATTCTGATACTGTAGGTACAGATTTAGGCGGTTCTTGGTCCTGCACCTGTCGAGTCACCAGCCACTTAACAGACCTGATAAGTGGCGGGTGGCAAAGAGGTCAGCTGCTCCGTTGAGTCCTGGGAAATATGTGACATGCAGTATTGATAGCAGTCACATCCAGTGACCTGTACAGTATGGAATTCGATGGCCTAGAAGCTGCGCTGGCATGGTCGTTGACACACGGAAACAGGTACTCCAAATAGACATTTTGGTTGGGGCCAGCAAAATCAGTTAGCTAAGAAGTCATGGGACGCTGATGTGTAATCTCTGGTTTCTTCGTTCGCCTGCGCAAGACAGATACTCTTGGGATCGATCGTGATCTCTCGGGTCTCTCGGTTATGCTGGTTGCTGTAGTGAAAGGTGTGGGTTTTTGAGCATGTTCGGCATCACAGTGATCGGTGAGGGAGATCGGCCTGGAGAAAGGAAGCTCAAATCCAACATAGTCTCAATATTGATAGTTGATGATGCCCGCTGAAGTCAGAGATTCTGTTCTTGAGCGGTCAGCTCAGGAACAAGGAGGTACTCGTTGCATCCGGCCAAGAATCTATTTTCGTAGCGTGTCAATGTGTGAACATTGCACTTAGGTGCGCAGAGATGTCGCTGGGCCACCGCGATCAATGTATGGTTGACCTATCCGCTTCCGAACGCCGCCCAACTTCTGTAGCAGATTCGCGCACGTTGAGTACCGTTGTTGCGTTTGTGATGGGGGGCTCGAGCTCCGTAGCTGTCGCAAGCAATCAAAACCACTTCTGGATGATAACGCAGGTTTGATTGAAGCAGAGGTAATGCACGATTAGTTGCCCCGATTGGAAGCGCCTAGAGCGTCGAATGGGGCGGTCGACGAAAGTCTGAGCCTTAGTGGAATAGATGAGCTTCCATCAACCCAAGCCGATTCGTTGCTGGTTATCAGTGGCGAAGTCAGATCATATGTGCAACTGCTTTCCCACTGACTGTCGCTGAATCGCTTCTTCTTTATCTAGAGCGCCATGTGTTATATGTTCGCCGTCGCTGTATTGCGTGATTGCGTTCTTTTGCTCGGTCTTGCCATCATCTTCCGCGTTCACAGCCTCGTCGTCAGATATTTCATCCCTGGAATCACTCCATTAACTCTCGTCCAAGGACTTCAGAGGGGTGGAGGATCATGTTAAGACAGTGCGAGCCTCTGGCTATCTCCTGCGACACCTACTCTCAAAACTCAAGCCACTCGTTGGTGCGCAGCTTCCCGCTATTGATAAAATTCCAACCTTATCTGACCACAAGCCGTCAGCAGGTGTCAGTTGGCTTGCTCCCACGTCTTGACTCGGAAAGTACCTCTTTGATCTGTTGCATTGCCAGTGTCAAATCTGACGTAGCAGCGATGGTAGGTACAAGGATGCAAGGTGTGTGGCGCTTTCCACGATGAATCTTCCATGAAGCCGTGTCGCAACTCGACATCCGCCTTTTAAGGAGCCCCATCCCCTTTTGCATATGCTGAACCACATACTGAAAGGTCGGGCATAGATCGAAGAGATAGTATTATTCGCAAACGGATCCGGGTCGATTTTGTGTTCCTGTTGAGGCGTATAGCGGCTACTTCCATGAAATTTAACTTGATGCACCGGCCGACAGAGCTTCGTTGTTCTTCGTTGTCCTTCGTTCGTCCTGCACCCGTCGTCCGCATATATCACGTCAGTACCATTGGAACCCAACTCAGTCCATGGGAACTTGGACAACGAGTGATATACGTTCTTTGAAGCACCTCAGCGACTTCGACATGTCGCATTTGTTACGCAAGTCGTGTTGAAGTATCATCCAACTGCAAGGCGCTCTGTTGTCGGGTCGGGTGACGTCACAAGAGGAGCCCTCCAGACGCCGGGTCGGCGTTGCCCATTGGAATGTGGAATGATCGGGACCTGAACGAACCTGAGTAGGTCCTGCTGTCCCTCGAAGGCCAAATTTCGGCGAGTGGTGGTGTTGATCGCGGATGGATTGCGAAGAGAAAGAGGTGCGACGTCGTCGATGAACTAGCGCGTTCTTTCCGCGTTTCCACGTGTCACAACGTCGCACCTTCTATCCATCAAGCTGGCCTTTCGACAGGGACAACTTCCAAGAACCTTGATACGCTGTTTCAACATGTGGGCTCCGAGGCCCACCACCGCTTGGTTGGCGATCACTACGGTGCTGCGGAATTAGCTATCGCTTGGACGCCTTCCCGCGACGCCTGTAGTGAATGGGGACAACCAACTCAACCAAGCTCGAGCGCTGAGGAATCTAGAGATTACCGATATGGTCCAAAGCGATCCGTTACTGGGTTGAAGAAGTCAGAGAGGGTCGTCCCGCCGAGATCAATCACGCACGATCGGACTGGTCGCTTTGAAAGCCGCAATAAAGAACGCGCGTCATCTTCGAGTCTAATCTTTCTAGAGATGCCGGTTCGAATGTAACTGTGTGAAGTCTGTTGCAATGGTTGCCGTCCGGATTCTTCGCTGCTTTTCCACGATTCATTTGGGGGGAGCATCACACCGATCACCGTTTCGTCTGCTGGTCGTCGAAATTATCACCGCGGATCAGACCTCGGTCACAATGGCAGACGCTCACATCTTAAATGCCTTGAACTTTAGTGCGCCCTTGTAATGCCGTTTCGTGGCTTGCAGCAATACCATCGACGCGCGTTGTTCTTCCACGAATCAGCATCGGCCACTTCCGGCAAACAACCTTCTTCAGAAGGTAACAACACCGAGAAAGGACCTTCTAGAAGGATAACCAGAGATCAACGAATCATCGAGAAGATAGCGATCGCTGGAAAGAATACTATTTTTAGTTAGGAAGTGGTTCCTCCGCATTGTGTTCGCCGACTACTATTTATCTGCATAACTGACTCGTGCAGCAACCGGAGAGACTTTGTGGAGATAACGGCATTTCCACACGGGTTACATACTGCAAGTTCCGTGTCCTCCTCTGTGTCTGCGGAATGAGCGTGTCTCTGCCGACATCGTGGCATCGAAAAGATCTCAGTAGGCCTATTGAGGTGACCATGAAAATTGTTTCGTGGAGTAGACGTCTCCTCATGGGGTACATGCTGCAGGCCACGAAACACGACCTGAAGAGCTTCGTGATGTGCGAATCTGAGTATTCCAGGAGAGCTCGCATATAGTATACTCTTCCTAAAGATCAAGCACCCACGCTGTTCACGGACCAGCAAAGGTATCAAGGTCTGGCCTTACCTTGCCTGCCAGAATGAAATCCCTATCCCTGTGAGTCTCAATAGGAGATGACGCTTGTCATTCCCATGGGTACTGTCCCACATTGCTGCATATTTCAAGTGCCTCTCCTTGAGCCAAAACACGGTGCATCTATCTGATACAAAATTTGCACATATGCAGAGGATATCTGTTGGCCGCACATTGAATTTAATAGAATAAATTGAAAAAGGTAGGACATAAATCCTCAAACCGGAATACCCAAAAATATGTTGGAAGAAAATGAAACAATCCCTGTAAACTCCTCCAGGCCTGACTTCTCCCTTAGCCGGGCCGAAAATAGTCACCCACGATGATGTGTGATCGTATGTGACGATCATCCCACCCAGAAAGCATCTCCAAAGATATCTGCTCGTATGGGCCATACTGGCATACGAAAGCCTTCTCCAGATTTTCGATTCCTCCATTCCCGTGTACTAAACCACCTGAACCTTCTCAGATGACATTGATATGAGATGCTTCTTCAGTATTTGACGGCAGTGGATCCATTGAACGAACTGATGGAGGTTCGAATTCAGCTACTCCGTTCCCATAATGGCCACCCTGAATTTGGCATTAATTGCCACCACGGGCTGGCTGGTAATGATTGTTTGCTTTGTTGCTGTGTGACTCTCGTCGAGCACCAAGGCAAGCCAGAATAGATCCATCAGAGGACAGTGGCAGTCACGTCGAACGCTGTCCTTTAAGGCCTTCTCGCGTTCCTCATATTCTGCCTCGAGAGTTTGGTATGTCGTGATGACCACATCGCTGGCTAGAAGTCCTATAGAAGACTCGATACCCTTGGCGCTTTCACCGGCTAGAAAAACAAAGTGTTAGCTTTTTCTACTATTATTTGGCTTGAGATGTACTGACAGTACACCAGGACTGACAGGTGGCCTTCCTTCACCCGTTCCTCGAATACATGTTCCCAGTGGCTGATCAGGTTGAGCGGCACCACGATCAGGATGCCTGCTCGGACTGGTGAAAGGACGACGGCTTTGAGCTATTTCGAAGAATTTTCGGTGGGCTCATGTGTCCACATTCCTGGCGTTTCGTCCGGGTTGATTCCATGTGCTATAGGCGGAACTTGATAGCGCTTGTGAAGTTCTATGCACAACACTGTGTAGCTGTTAGGTTTCTCAGGGATTCAAGAACAGGTGCTTGTCTTTCTTACCAATGATAACACGGTGGGTCTTGTCAAGCTCCGTGCCAAGGGATAGCAAGGCACCACACTCTGAGACGAACAGGGCATAGAGGATTCGGTTGAGTAAATGTCGCTGGTAGTCGTTGAGCCTGATCGGCGATTTGGCCTCTAGGAGTACCGGTGGCTCGAGCCGATGAACCCAATCGTAATTACTGGCAGCCCATATCTGGTCACCGAATGGTGTATTGCGTCCGTTCTCAATTGCCTGATACACAGATCCCTGGAAGAACCTTTCCTTCCTTTTCCGTGATTTCTCAGTGGTGTTTTCATCCGAGTCCAGGTTCCGAGGCTCAGGGAAATCTTGCATGGCCGCTAAGATCCCTAGCGGGTCTCCCGCTTGTGGCGTCCGTTGATTGTGTCGCGGAATGTCACCGACGGATATCTTGGCGGATGCCATATGAAGGCTGGGCGTATTCTGGAGGCTATATACCACTGCAAAGATATGGGTCTTGAGAGGAGAGGAAGAGGAGTGAAAGTGGTAGAAAGTACTGAGGACAGGCTATATATCATAAGTACTCTGACATATCTCACCGACTCTTGGCACACTAGCGTAGTTTTATTATCCACCGGAAAGCATTGATCGCAGTTGATGATGGTTGTTCCATTGCGCTTGCTCATATAGAACTTTCCTTGAAACAATGAATTGTGGCGTTCCGCTCGAATGCATTCACCGTGCTCGATCGTACATGGTTTCAATGTGATGTGATACGAACTATCGGTGCTTTGCAGAAAGGATTTGCGACTTCCCACAGCGCGGGAAATAGTCCAAGTATGTTTAACCATTATAGTTACTACAGGAACTAAAACATTAACTAGATTTTAGTAAATTTGTGTTTTTCCGCCCATCTGTAGACGTAAAATAGGGCACTAAACTATACCAAAACATGCAATTCAGGGTTCAGACCAATACTTTTCTCCTTACAGTATATATGTTAGTTGAAAAATTTAAATTGCGATTCCAGCGCCCTGGCATGTAGCACGTTCTTTCTGCAAACGATAATAAGGGAGATTGACCTTGAGAGCATACAAGTACCTGCATGTATAAGTCATGACTGTTGCGTTCCGCTCGCGATCTCATGTTGTGCTCACATAGAGCTCTCTATCGAGTCAATGAGAGTTCCGTTGCGCTTGCATGGATTGTTGCGTTCCGCTCGGAAGCTTCCTGCCTTCACCTGTATTAGTCTTGGCACGTGTGCTTGTCTAATCTATAAATACACAAAGCACCACCGCCACAACTCTGACAACAACTTCCAATGACTTCAGCGAGTCTACAATGTCGCCATCGCCATCGCCCAGAGTCACTCACGGGAAGCCTGATGAGATTCGCACCCAAAGCCAGCAACATCATGGAAGACCTGCCGAAGTGCCATCACGCTCTCCCATGGCAATGACTTTCCAAAATCCGTCACCTCAAGCGGATCTCTCCCTGATGAACAAGCTGCCGTCGGCGCCATCTAACGGACCTGTTCCGAGTCCACCAGTACCCATAAACTCTTCTAGCTCGCAACTACCCACAACAACCACTTCTCAGAAGCCCTCGCCTAAGAGGTCTTATGATGTGTTTGCTGAGCCCTCGACAATGCAATTTAGCACACTGGTCCGGATGCATCCAGTGCCTTCACACGCTTCTGGCTCACGACCGCCCGCGGCAACAACTTTCCAGGACTCTTGGCCCCAAGTACCTGCCGTTTCTTTCGACTTGCGAACATCACCGAGCCAGAACAACCACTTTCAATCTGCGATGAAGGCGCATGATGGCTTGAGAGCCACCCAACAGAAGTTGCGCCAAGCACATGGGAATCTGCTTCAAGTGGAAGTCGATCTTTTTCAAACGATTAAGAATGTCGAACGCCATGTATGGCACCTGCAAATCACATTGTATTCTCATTGACTTATTCGATAGGCGCTCCATACCCGTTTGAAGACAATACGGGATCCGATATCAAACTTGCAAAGTTGGATCAACCACCTGGGTCACCGCTACAACGTAGTCGAAAAACGTGCCGACTTGATCACACATGCGGTTCTTTCGGTCGGCAAGCCAATCTGTGCCGCCCTGGAAAGGTTGGAGGACAACCTCGGAGCACTCATGGTCTACGTCACAAAGTATACTCCGGTGAAATCAATGTCAGAGCCAGACCTGCAGAAGAGGCTTATGGACTTGGATGAACTCGCACGGATGGCCCTGAAAGCCATCATGGAGATTCAGCAGCCGTTAAAGTCTCTGCAGACTGAGTTCAATCACGAGATTCAACTTCTTCATGAAAGCATTGGGCATGGACGACCGTTCGACTCCTTGAACGAGGAGGAGCAGAAAGCGCACCGGAAGGAATTATGGAGAAATGCGGTCACTATCTCGTACGACAATGCGGACAGAACCGTGCGCGCTGTTCGTGTGAAGCAGGCCTTTGCAAGTTGCAGATTTGGTTGCAAGAGCAGAGTGGATGATGCGATTGGGCAACTGGGGGCGGCTAGCATTGCGCTGAATGCTGTCACCAATACTGGTGCCGGGCCAACGTAGGTGGGCTTAGTTCGAGCCTGCGCTACTATACTCATGGGATTGCTCACTTTTTATTGACTATCATGCGAGTATGAGTCGAAAGGGTCCTACGAATCTTGCACACTCTGAAGGAACTGGGGCCATGTTTACGGTGCAAAAGCAACAGCAAAGGAATCGTAGAATGAACACTCTGATGTTCATTCTAGGCCTTGATTTGCAATATTTCCAGATACTATATCATTCTCTACTCAATGTCCCAAACTCTGTTTCCTGCTTGTTCTTACTGTGAACGGGCTTTTCATGTTCCACGTACATGACCACACCTTGCGCTGTTAACGTCTGCCATAACGGCATACGATAGGCTTGGTCAACTATACCACTGTGCAGCGTATCCAGGTTCCGCTGCGTTTATCATGTACCAGGAGGAACGGTATGTTACTTCAAAATGTAGTCTCATGTGCTGCTCCGCGGAACGGAACAATTGCCGCGGTGTAGAGACACTTGGTTTGCTCCGTTTACACCTGCAAACAATTGATCGATCCCCACGAGTAGAACAGCTTGTAATGCGTACGACACACAGAGACCATCTCAGTACACAGTGGCTGACACAGAACTGAAACTACTCAGCGTCAATCCCTCTTACAATTAATCTCTCCTGTTAAGGTTGAGGCTAGCTATACGTGCATAACCACGTAGCGCAGGGTAGGTAACTCACGCTACAGTACGTGTTTAGATCTACAACCTGATACTATAACGCCTTGTCTCATGTTGGCTCAAGAACTAGCTTGTGTACGACGCCACCCCACTTTGTCATCCAAAAAAAAAGCCTGCCTCCTACCCGAGACCACACAACCCCAAAAAAGATGTTTTCCCGAAACCCGTTCAATGAACGGACGATGCTGATGAGAGTGGGACTCGAACCCACGCCACTTTCGTGACCAGGAAATGATGTTAAGATGACCTTAACCTGGCGCCATAACCAACTCGGCCATCTCACCGATGTTTGGGAGATGATTGATGAGGATAGAGGCAATTGGAGCGTTCATATAGCAATAGATGCACGGGAAAAGCATGGAAAAGACATGGGAGTGTCACAAGACTAGATCAGCGCTAGAGGAGGATGTACGGTGGGTTAGAGTTGGAAGGAGATGATTGGTGCACGTTACGCGAGCGAAGGTCAGGGTCCGATGAAATTTTCTCGCCGAGAACATCACGTTTTGTGTGGGCTTCAGTGACGAACATTAACGTCCCCGACCATCCAATTTCGCTGTAAGTATCACAACTATCGTGATGGAAAGGCGCGATTTTGTCACGATGCCGAATGTTTCCATATCTAGTTTCGTTCATGCTACGATTAGATGACATGCGCCAATGTGCGTTGCGCTATCTACACAAAGCTAATTCGAAACGCCACTCTACAATCGACTCTTGATGCTAAGGCTGTTGTTCTCCGGTCTCCACATCTCGTTCAAGAGTCGTGTCGCATTTACCATCTCAGGCTTCAACTGGTCCAGCGAAGTGACACCCAGTAGGCGCATGCCCAGAGTGAGCTCGTCGGCAAGCACTGCAGTGGGTCAGCTTAGCAAAAAACCCAGCTAGAATAGAAAGGTCTTACCATCAATACACCTCTCCACACCTTGGCTCCCATACGCCGCAAGCGCGTACATAAAAGGCCGACCTACCCCGACAGCCGTCGCACCCAGACAAAGCGCTTTGAGAACATCGCTTCCATCCCGCAATCCGCCGTCGAGGAAGATCTCCAGTTTTCCGATGATCTCAGGGCAGTATGTTCGTATCTCCAGGAGCGTCATAAGCGCGCTGGGCGCAGTATGCAGCTGTCGACCACCGTGGTTGCTCAACAAGATTCCATCGCAACCGTACTCATACGCGAGCTTCGCATCCTCGGCAGTCTGAATGCCCTTCAAAACGATGGGGCCTTCCCATTCTTTTCGTATCCATGCTAAATCTTCCCACGTCGTATGCGGGCTTAGCTGACCACTAACGGGCCGTCCGCCCATTGCAGGCGCAAATGCGTTCTCGCCGCCGGTCTCCCACGATGCTGTTTCTTCTTCTGCTAAGCCTACGGCGAGCGCTTCCTCGGCCTGTAGTACGCGGTCTGCAGTCCGCTTGCCGAGAACGGGGGTGTCGACTGTTATCCAGATACCCTTGTATCCAGCCTTCTTGACGATGTGCATGAGCTCGATGGCCTTTTTGCGGTCTACAGGCATATAGTATTGGTAGAACAACCGAGTAGGGCTCTTGTTGTTCAAACGTTGCTGCTCGTCCTGAAAAGTCTGCATAATCTGGTCCGAAGTTTTAGTCGACGCTGTGCTAACAACCATATGCGCACCCTTCCGCACTGCTCCGCGGACCATCTCTGGCTCCGCTTCCGGATGTATGGCACCCAATGTACCCATGGGAGAAATGTAAAACGGATACTGCGAGGTATGTCCGAATATGGAACGCCGAGAGTCGACATCGCCTACATTGCGCATCACACGTGGACGGAAGTTGATGCGGCTCCAGTCGTCAAGATTTGTCTTGAGTGATAGTCCGGTATTTGCTGATGTGCTAGCATACACATAGCTCTTATGCGGTAGCACAGCTTTCGCGGCCTTCTCGAAGTCCGGACATGATACGCACATGGTGAGGTGTGGTATCTCCTTGTCGCCATCTGCGGATTGTGCAGGTGCCGCGTTGACTTCTTTTTTCTCTCGTAGGTTCCCTAGGGTGTCTGGATTTACTGATCCGAGTACACTGCCCTCTGGTAAATCATGTACATAGTTCTATATCATTATTTTTAGTCTGGTGATCTTCAAGCTTGCTTTCTGATTTGCATACCAATGGATGGTATTTCTTAAACTCTTCAGTAGCGTCCTGTCAATGTTAGCGATAGGGCACTACCAAGCCGAAAAGACATACCGTGCCAGCATTCTTCAATATAATAGCTGCACCGCCGGGATGCGTAGGGAGAAACTTCGTGACATCGTACACCTTCGAATCGAGAACCTAAAGGGTGGGGGCGCAAGTGAGCAATTGCCATCAAGAGCTTGGGATATTAGCTACATACAATCCAACAAGACTTCCTGTTATCATGCTTCGCTACCTCTGCGCCATCTATTGCTGCCATCTTACAACGCCTATTAAGCAATGAGAATGATGATGATTGAGATGTTGGACCACCGTGAAATAGCCGACCAACTGCCGTCGGGGTATTTGAGGGGCGAGGCGAACTAGGCTGCAAGGGGCGATGCCGTGTTCCTAGCCGAGGTCGGGGAGAACCCCGTCGACGTGGTGCATTGTGCAGTTTCCTTTGGCATACATCTGCTATAACATCCCATAGTACCCTTATTTAAACGGCATAGCAAACGCGTGCGCGATTGCATATATCCCAGCTGTTTACTTCTATGTCTTTGGCGAATGCAATCGCACGACATAGCACACTAATCGAACGCAACGACACGCGCTAGACAGGCTTCGATGGAACAAGCACAATCCGCGTAGAACCTCCTCTAAAGTGAAGGGCAACGCATCAAGAACCATCATAGTATCCCAGTAGGAGGACTCACCCCAGCCCCCTGTCAACATAGCTATGAACAAATCTTGAACACAGTAAGCTAAAAGATATCCTCCGTCCCCAACTCCTCACCCACCCATCCCCGGTCTCAAAACACAAGCAACCTCCTCATAAACAACCACCCCACTCCCCCTCAATCTCAACCCCATCGATATCCCCTTCCACCGTAAAACCCTCCCTCCTATACAATTCCACCGCCTCCATCGTACTCTCCAAATACGCAGCAACACCTTCCCTTCCAGCTCGCTCGACACCCCATCGGAGCATCATAGCCCCCACACCACGATTCTGATATACCGGATCGGTGGCTATGAAATTGAGACCTGCGAGATATAAGTGCCCATGACGGTGGTTTAAAAGTTTGGGGGGTTTTACGGTAGCATGGCTGGTTTCCAAGTACTTTCCTTTCCGCCTCTTGTACCTTCTCACTCCAGGAATCCAGCACGGAGAGATTCGTGCCTTCAGGCCATACCCACGGCTCCTCTGCGGAAGACTCTCCGGATGCGAGGGGATGATTCCATTTCGCGTAGCCGACGATGGGGCCTGTGCGCAGGGGTAATTGCCCATCAGGTAAATCGGGGGAGGATACTTCAGCATCGTTGACGACTAACACTGTGATGTGAGGATCTAGTATGTCCGCTAGTGTCTTTTGTTCTACCGCTTTTCGTAGGCCGTGTCGGACTGTTGGGGTGGGGAATTGCGCTAGTAGCATCGCGTTATGGGCGAAGGCGGCCATGTGGATCTCGCTGATACGAGGGGCATCGTTTGCACGGGCGAGCGCAAGGATGAGAGGCATAACGTCAATCAATGTCGGATCTCAATCCACATATAAGGCTTAGGGTTCATGAGTTATATTCTCGAAGGCGGAGGTAGTTCTTTGTCCTCTCCGCTGTGTCGCTTGCCCCTCGCTAAGCGAAGCGCGGGTCAGCAAACAGCTGTGTTGCAGCTTCACGGAACCAATGAACAGATGAATTCACCACTACTTCGTAGCTTGTTTTGTTTTGGATGTGGTTATGACCCTGCGATCAGACTCAGAAAGAGGTCAATAATAGTATTATCCTGCAATGGTCCTTGCAGATCTCCACGAAAGTTCGCGGAATTAGATATATCTCTGCTGACTGTAGACCAACCTTCGTTCGACCAATGCGAATCTATCGCGGCGTGAGCCTTTTTTGTACCGAAATTAACGCCCCAGCTCAAGCGCATAGCGCGAGCTCCTGTATCTCAAAACGCCAGCCCGTGTGTATACACTTATCCCTAACCCAAGTATGACCCTGTCCACGCAAACCACCCTAGCCGAAGCGTTTCCCAAAACCACCCAAGCCGAAGCGTTTTCCAGAGCTGCCCAGACATCCCATCGGAACATACTAGATAATTACAACACACTCTTCTCCACATCCCCCGAAACGCTCACCGTCTCAACAGGCGACTTGCCCCTCCCCGCATAACTCCCTCCATCACTCTCTCCATCCTCAGATGCCTTCCCTTTCTTCCTCGACAGCTTCTCCGACACTCGATCCGTGAATCTCGCGAGCGGACGATACATAGCCACGAACGGCCGTCCAACAAATTTAGCAATAGCCCCAAACCACTTATCAGGAAACAGCCTCACACAAACACCCCACGGCACACACAACAGCGCCACAACCACGCTGATGGCCCACTGGTTCCCGTTCAGCTGCACGATACTGAACGCCGTGCTGCCGAAGTAGATGATGACCACCTGGCACCCCACCATGATGACGTTCATGGCAATAAAGTAGTAATTCTTGTGTATGCCTACGAAGATGTTGAGTTTGTTATCGAGACGGCGGTTGTTGTACTGGTTGAAGATCTGCAGCCAGACGAAGACGTTGAAGATGATAGTGCGCATCTCATTTTCAGGATAGGGGAGGAACTTGGGGCCGGCGAAATGTAGGACGAACGTCGCGGTCATCTGGAAGAGGGTTTGGCCGATGATCATCTTCCACATGGTGAGGCTAATGATGGAAGCGCTGCGGGGCGTGGGCGGACGATCGAGGATCTCGTTGGTGGGAGGGTCGGTCGAGAGGGAAAGCGCGGCGAGGGAGTCCATGAAGAGGTTGATCCAGAGGAGCTGGACTGCGGTGAGGACGGAGCGCATCTCGGGGTCTTGGATTGCGGTGACGAAGGCGACGACCATTGCTGTGATGTTGACTGTGATTTGGAATTGGAGGAACTTCTGGACAGCGTCGTTTACTGCACGGCCCCACATCAGAGCCGTCAGGATGGAGGCAAAGTTGTCGTCCATCAGGATGATTGCTGATGCCTCCTTAGCTACCTCTGTACCAGAGATGCCCATCGAGAAGCCAATGTCCGCCGCCTTGAGTGCCGGTCCGTCGTTAGTTCCATCGCCGGTGACTGCAACAATACCACCGAGCTCGCGCAGCTTGGTGACCAAGATCCGCTTGTCCTCTGGGGATGACCTGGCGAGCACCTGTAGACGCGGAAGGGTCTCGTTCATCTCCTGGTCGCTGAGCTTTCTGAACTCGGGACCTTCCATCACGACGCCGTCGGTGTATATGCCGCAATCAGTGGCAATGGCTCTAGCTGTAACAACGTTGTCGCCAGTGACCATGCGGACGATGACACCTGCATGCTTGCACTTTGCGACAGCCTCTGGGACGCCCGGACGAAGAGGGTCTTGGATGCCAACCACACCAATGTATGTCATGCCGTTAAGCAGTGCGCCCAGATCCGAAGCGACAGAAGGGTCATCGGGGTTCTCGGCGCCTTGGGGTGGCCATTGCGCGAAGTCTTTGTAGATGAGACCGATAGTACGAAGAGACTGCTGGGCATAGGAGTCGATGACGTCTGATATAGCTTTCCTTCGAGTCGAATCCATGGACACATCCCCGTTAGGTAGAGCAAGTGAGGTAGAGAATCGCAGGAGGATTTCCGAAGCACCTTTGACGAGCAGTCGAAAGGTTCCGTTTGGTAACCTTTGCACAGCGCCCATGCACTTGCGGCCAGAGTCGAATGGGAGCATCTGAACCATTTGTGCGCTAGTGCGTTCCTGCGAGAGCGAAGTCATGCCCAGGACATTCTTTGCGAAGCCTAGAAGCGCCGTCTCCGTCTTCGAACCGACGAACCCGAACTCGCCACCATCGCCCTCGAACGCTGTGGAGTTGATGGCGATAGACTCGATCAAAAGCCGCGTCTGCTGAGCAGTCAAGCGTTGTGCGAATTCTGAAGACCGACTGCCTGATGCTCCAGGGTTCTTGTCGTCGAACGAGTCCTCGCCAAAGGTACCTGTGACAACGGTCATCTTATTCTGCGTCAAAGTTCCCGTCTTGTCCGAGCACACGGTAGTCGCATTTCCCATCGTCTCGCATGACTTGAGAACACGAACGAGATTATTCATCTTGACCATCTGTGAGGTGGCAAATGCAAGGGAAAGAGTTATGGCGAGCGGTAGACCTTCAGGTACAGCAACGACAATGATGGTGACGGATACAATGAGGATATCCATGAACTTAGAGGCCTTCTCAGCGGGGCTCAGGGGGCTTCCAGGGAAAGTCGCGACAAGACGGAAGAGCAAGATCAGCAGCAGGAGGAACGAGGCAAAACTCGCAAGCTTCGCGATAGCCTTGGCGAGCTTGTCGAGCTTGATCTGGAGAGGTGTCTGTTCTGGTTCCTGCCGCATGGCCATGAGAATCTTTCCATAACTGGAATTGACACCAACAGAGGTCACGAGATCTGTCATGGTCAGTTGACAGCTTTCGTCACAGCCCAAGGGCAAGGGTGAGCTTACACGTTCCAACCCCCTCGAGCACCTTGCTTCCGGAGATGACGAAAGGATCGAGATCTTTGCCGTTGTTGTGGCCGCGCTCAAGGAGCCGCAGAACCTGTTCAGCGTTCGTCTTCTTCATCTGATCAGATTCTCCGGTAGCCGAGCTCTCGTCGCATTTGACGTTATGACCAGAGATGAAGACTCCATCGGCCGGAATGAGATCGCCAGGCTCCATGTGAAGCACGTCGCCTACCAGGATATCGTAGACAGAGATGGTGAAAGACTTTCCAGAGCGAATAACTTTGACCTCGCGAGCTTCCTTTTTTGCATTGAGCTTGACGAATGCGCGCTCTTTTTGGAAGTCGTTGATAGCGCCTACCAAGACGACAACAACGATCGAGACGCAGATAGCACAGCCCTCGATCCAATCAACGGATGGTGGGGCTCCAGGCCCATGATCCACGCCAAACGTTTCGTACAGACCCAGAGCTAGAGAGACAACAGCTGCAACGGTGAGTAGAATGAGTACGCTCTCCTTGTAATACCTACCAGCAGGGTGGGTCAGCAAAGGCAGGGTAGCTGTAAACCACATCACTTACGCTTCCCACATGAGCATCAGGAAGGACTTTGGCTTCTTCGCTGGAAGCAAGTTGGCGCTGAAGACTCGTTTGCGATCATAAAAAGCATCGTTCGCATGTGAACCCGTCCCAGAAGCTCCAGCATCGGTAACGTCAACATGGCGAACCTCAACCGGACGAGGAAGCGTTGATGCAATACCGCGTGCTTTCCGGTACTGCTTTGTGACCTCTTCAAAAGACAAGGATCCTGCCAATTCGGTCTCCTCGGTGCTCAGTCCCGCATCAACATCGGTCCTCAGGCCGGTCTCAAGACCTGGGAGCCCACCAAGCGCGACGAAAGCAGCTAGCGACTTGGGGTTCAACATCTTATTCAACTGCCCTGGGGAAAATGCGAACTTGTTGTTGAGGACTGCAAAGTCCTTCTCGGACCCTGGGTCAGCCTTGAGGGCATCGTCATGGAGATACGAGTCCAGCGTGTGTGTCGATGCGCCCGCAGAGGTAGTAGGCGGTGCGAGTGTGGCCTCGCTTGGTGCTCGACTTCGGCCTGTGAGTGGGTTCGAGCTAGATGCTGTGCTTTGGGCACTTGTCGATGGATTTCGGGATTGCATCTGTCTGAAGGATCGTTCCGGGGCCAGCGTCGCAGGCGAAATGTCGTCAACAGCAGTAACTGCAGTTAGTGTATCATCCGTGTTGGCACGCATTGGCGTCCTCGGTATCTCGACTGTGATCTCTGGAAGGGTCGGCAAAGCTGCATTTCCTGCGCGACCAGGCGCATCATTGGATGTAGCCATGCTCAGCAGGCAATAAATAATAAGACTAAGTATTAGAGAGGACAATGACGGAGAGGGTACAGGGCGATGAAAGTGCGAGGCACTATGCGTTCTCTATTGTAAAGTGCATCCTCCAGACGCTGATATAGTGATCTACGAATGCTGTGTTGTTTCTCGCAGTGGGTCGGATGTGCACAAGGCGAGGCAGAAGCGGCCACCAGCGGACGCCCAGCCCGCACGCCGAGAAGCGTAGAGGCCAAAGGCAGACATGATGCCCAGGTGATTGTGACAATCGACTTCAAGAGACATTGAGGCAGTGCAAAATGAGACGGATAGTAGCTCTTCTAACGTGATATGACAGGCATGGTGGGGACATTGTGGACGGAGCCGTGGCGAATCAGCGTGGTTCGAAACAACTGCAGGAACCAGAAAGCAGAAGAGCAGGGAAAGCGCAACAGATAAGGGCTTGGAATAAAGCTTGGGTGGGCTGCTCTTAAGATGTGAATCAAAGGAGAGGCGGCGGTCGACGTGACTGATGTGATGGACGCGGGTGGCCAGTGCAGACTTGAGGCCGCCGACCTTCTCAGGGTCCTGGCGAGGCTTCGGCAGTTGTAGCACGTTGCGACTGACGCGATGGAGGGTCTTGGTGAAGTTTGACGATCCCGTTCAACAAGGAGGCCGCCGCCAAGTCATCAAGCGACACCGTGTCGTGTACCAGGCCGACGTGTAACCGAACCGCAATTGCTCAAATTTGGTGATCTTGTCTTCCCGTCCTCGACACTCATCTCACCTAGCATGAGAAGTATGCTTTGGCGCATAGGGGTCTTCCATGGCGATGGTCTCAACGCGACTGCCCAGGCAGGGGTGGGAATTCCCCGTCATGCATCCTCGATTGGCCTGCCGCAAGGCTGACTGCTGCCGGAAGGGGGTGCATGGCAAAGGCAAAAGGCATCGCGGAGGAGTGGAGAATTGACGGAGGGCGGGCAGGAGTCCGCTCTGCTGCGCCGAGGAGGAGAGAGATGTGGAGGGCTGAAGCCTAAGATCGAAGGTGGTATGCAGGCGCGGAGCGTCTCCCGCTCTCCTCCGCGCGCTAACGCATCCTTTCTAGAAAAACGTCGATTAGCGAGGGCAGGTGCACGCGCTCATTAAGACAGGGCAGGAATTAATACAGGAAGCGTATGATTGCTGGGCGAAACGCGCGCGCATAAGCAAAGCAGCGCACTCCAGACGGTCGGCAGCGTCACAGGCAGTCGGTCTCGCTGTGGTGCGGAGGTTGCTGCGGCAGATCTGCTTCGACCCTGCCCCCGTGGCCGCCAGAGGGAAGGCGCTACCGATTAGTCACCCAATCTCTGCCCTGCCAGCTGCTTTCGCTCCATCTGTAAAACATGCCCGATTCTCATCTTCCGCCTTCTTGCTCCTCTGTTGTCTATCTGGTTTTCCGGCTCGTTCGATATCCGGTGCGGGATCCCCGACGTTTTTGCTCCTGCTCTCGTGTTCGTCCATCCCTGAGCCATCTTGCACAGCCCACGGCTACGACGACTCCCGAGAACATGTGCCCATTCAGTAACTTGAACCTGCCAATTACCCAGTATATACGTGCTGACAGCTACAGCGTCGTTGCCAGCGGGCGAAGCGCCGGCTACCTTCTCGCCAGCAGCCGTTCAAGACTGGGCACCAAGACGCAAGTCAGTGTCCAACGCTTGTGAAAGGTGTCGAAGACGAAAGGTAGCTAGTTGTTCTTTAGAGGAGAAGAGCCATGTCTGAAGGTCTCCAGATTCGATGCGATGGGGACACTCCATGTGCAACGTGTAAAAGATTCTCATTAAATTGTTCGTGGCCCTGGTTAAATCCTCTTTGCCTCGCCGTGGCAGCTAACAGTCTCCAGGTGTGAGAACACAAAAACCAAGAGAAGTCGTCGCATCGTCAGTATCCACCACCTTTGCGCCTGTGACGCGCGCTATCACGTGACTCTACCAACACCTTGCAGAGAACATCAAGCAGCACTAGAAAGTCGAATACACCATCTAGAAGCTCAATTAGCTGCACATGTAAATGCACCCATGCATGGAATGGAGTCAATAGACGAAAATCTCATGTCCTCGACGCCGACCAGCTTCGATTGGGGTCAGAGTCCGCCCCCACTGTCATTGGACACGAACTTCACCTCCGCCTTCACCGCCGAACCCTCGCAGTTGGATCTCGGAAGCTTCTCGGCTGGCAGCGCAGGGGCAAGCGTGCCCTCAATAGCCATCACTGAATGTGAGCTTGTCCCCAATGTGGCAGTTGTATCTTCACCAGTACCTTCATTCTGGTCAGGCACCACACGCGCATCGTCTCCCGATGTCCCGCCTACGAGTGCGCCGTCGTACCCGCCTATGGGTTTTCCTGCGAGCACCAAGTCTTACACACCGTCTCCAGGCCCACCGCACGCTACAGAGTGGGATTTCATGGCCCAAAGAAACAAGCTGAAACCCGAGGCACCTCAGAGTGGTAGCATCTCCCGCACCACCTCGATATCGTCGACCTCGGAGGAAAACGAAGATCAAGGCACTGAAGACGAAAGCGATGTTCTACCTCTTGCGCCCGCGCCTCGCCTACCCCGCCCAGGACTATTCGCTGCCACCACCGAAAGCCCTCCACCGGGCTCTTCGCGCTCGAGCTTCACCGACAGAAGCAGAGCGCTGACTACCACACCGTTTCCGAGTCGCTTCGAAGCCGAAACTCTCACATCCGAGTTTGTTCAGCATTTGGAATCTGCGGAACAGAGAGGGTACTCAGTAACTCCTGGCCTTTTCAGTCGCTTTTGCGAATCTGTCTATCCTGATCCCAAGAAACGAGGTGTTGCACTTGAAATTCCTGTATCAACACAAATGGCCCGTTTCCACGTCTTCATGGCTATGGCTATTGGCATGAAGATGCGTATCAAAGACAGCCCGGAAAACACCAACTCGCTCCTTGACACCTGCTACGACCTCGCCATGCAGCAAGCATCTTCCGCGCCGTTCTGGCAAGAGAATGGTGGCGTGGAAGCTACACAGCTCCTCAACATTTTTGCTTCTATCCGCAAAGAGCCGCAATTTGCGCCGAAGCCGCTGCAACCTTCCATGTCTTGGTGACGCGCTCGCGAGGATGAAAACAAGTTTCCTTTATGGGCATGGTGGCAGTTTGATCGAGGCATTTCGCATTGCGCTGCCGCTCCTGTACACTACCCACGCGTTCCTTTCACTGTACATGTCCTTCAGATATACCAACGCAATAGATTACATGACAATACCCCCACGTCGCTTTGCCCCTGAAGGCGGAACTTGTTTTGCAAGCTTACAGCAGGGTTTACTGATTCAATCTTAAGGCAGCGTCTCCGACAGTCAGAATTGAATCCACGCTGAATGGAAAATTCCCCCCTCCACCGCAAACAAGGTGCGAGGCTTCGCCTCACCAATCTCAGCGCATTCCAATTTTCGATCCAGCTTAACAGCATCGCGCTGACTTAAATGGTAACACTGACAATGAACTCCTCAGTGCGAATATTCGTCTGCGCGCAACACCGCATGATAAATCACCGACTCCAAAATCACGCACCTACATACCTTAACCTTCCCACCTCCCATCGTGCTCTTGATTTGCTTCATCAATTTCTTTACGCAACCACTAGGAATAATCTCAACTCCGCGAGAACCCTACCTGGGTAAAAAGGTGTAACCACACAGCCACACGCACGCAAGGCATACCCGAGCTGCTGCACATCCTGGACTAAAGCTACGACGCAGCGCGGAAGGCGAATTAGATGGGAAAGCACACTTCGGTGCTGCGTCTGGACGGTTGGCTGGGCCAGCCTATAACGTGAGTGGAGAAGATTCCTGAGAAGGCGGCGACGGAGGGGAATGCGTGCTGTGGGAGAAGCTTACGATTGAACGAAGAGGGCGATGAGGGAGAAGGCGAGAAAGAAGATTAAAACGAAAACGAAAAACAAAACCAAAACGAAAACCAAAACCAAAACCAAAACGAAAACGACAACAACAAGCACGAAGTCAACGAGAATGACAGAGTCAGAAATGAAACGAAAAACCAAATTTGGGCGTTAAGAGGGGGACTCTAGAATCGATGCACATCTTGTATGTCTTACTAACGGCTTCTACGTCTGGTGAAGACGACCCGCAGGCCTTTTTCTTGTACGGCTGTGTCTCTCAGGGGTGTAGCTCAGTACTAGGCCGTGGACGTTACGCTGTCAAGGAGAACGACCGAACCATTGACCCCAGGTGGTAGTCATGAGGGGGAGGGTCATGACAGGAGTGCAGGTGGGGGGAGATGATGGTAATGAAGATGAAGATTGAATGGGAGATATTAAGATCTATAGATACATCATGAAACTTGAGCTGTAGCACGTTTTCAAGTGCGAGGACAGCGCATAAGTAGATAAGGATGTGGACGAAAGACGTAGGAGGATAGAAGCAGGATATGCGATGCAGAAGTTAACTCCGCAGCTCTTGATATATTTAAGCAGCCCCTTCACGCGTACCACGGTTCTATCCTAGGAATTACTATTTGATAACAGCGTACGTTAATCACAGCATTACCCCCGAGTGTTACATAGCGGCACGTGATAGAGTGCCGAAAGAGAACTGAAGATGGCATCGTGGTGTTCCCTTTTCGGCTAGTCTGTCAATCACGCTGCGACCTCGGCTCGGACTATTCCACCCCGATGCACGATATAACGTCCGCTCTATGTCGATCTTCCTCCGCAACCAAGACAGAGCTAGATGGCGGAAGCATACCGTATAATGGCATGGCCGCCGAAAACTCGGGGTACCCCGCGAAACCCGCGTGCTTCCAAGGAAGAGGTACGTCACCAACCCTAGTAACGACCACATGGCATTCGTGGACAAATATATCGGCCCGGTACTCGATGCCACGTGAGAGGTTTGTCTAGGGGTGCTACCTGCTGTCCGGAGAGATGTAGTTTACTGGGCGAGGGAACTATTGTTTGCTAGCCAGGGCAGTTCTGCCGGCGAGGAAAATATCAAACGGCATGTGCATACTTATATAGACACTTGCTGTCGCTGCAAGTTCAAGAAAGAGTCCAAGTCACGATGCGCTTAACTTCGGTGCTCCTCGGCGCCTGCAGCCTAGGACTTTCCGTCGCGCAGTCGGACCCTCTCGAGGGCTACGCATTCCTTTATTTCACGGGCAGCACTGTTGCTGGCGAGAACATTTTCCTAGCGGCGAGCACCGGCAACAATGCCTTGAACTGGACAGAACTCAATGGCGGACAGCCCATACTCAAATCCTCCTACGGTACAAAAGGCTTGCGAGATCCCTTCGTCATCCGTTCAGCAGAGGGTGACAAATTCTTCCTCCTCGCCACAGATCTCTCAATCGGCTCCGGCACATCATGGGACGCTGCAGTACGTACCGGGAGCCGCTATCTGGAGATCTGGGAGTCGAGCGACCTCATCAATTGGTCGGCGCAACGTCATGTCGAGGTGTCGCCTCCAACCGCAGGCAATACTTGGGCGCCCGAGGCATACTACGACCCGACTATCGAGCAGTATGTGGTTTTCTGGGCTTCTTCGCTTTATGACGAAACGGATACGAATCATACCGGGACGACGTATCACCGAATGCTGTATGTCACAACGAGCGACTTCGTCACCTTCAGCGAGCCCCAGATTTGGCAGGATGCAGGTATGTCGCGCATCGATTCAACGGTAATTCAAGACAACGGCACGTTTTATCGCTTCACAAAGGACGAGGGCGCCTCTGGAACCGGCTGCGCGGACATCATTGAAGAGCGCTCTGATTCGCTGCGCGCAACGTTGGATTCCTGGACCCAAGTCACTGCTTGCATTGGGAAGAACGCGGGCACCAAGTCTGTAGAGGGACCAACGGTATTCAAATCCAACCCGGATGATTCGAATGGGGAGAAGTTCTATCTGTTTGTGGACGAGTATGTGGATCGTGGGTATATCCCGCTTGAGACGGAGGATTTGGCAAATCCGAGCTGGAAGGTGTCAGCGAGCTATAAGCTTCCGACGAGTCCTCGCCATGGTGAGTTGAGTTTATTCACGCTGGTGTTTATTGTCACATACATCTTTTGTATGGGACAGTTATTTGCTTCAAGTTTATCAGTCTCTCTAAGCCGTATTCTGGGTAAACATGCTGACGTTTCCGTACAGGCACCGTCATTCCTATAACCGCAAAAGAGCTCGAAGTCATCACTGCGAGCACCGCGACTGCCAAACGACAAGAAGCACAGAGAACACGTATCGCGAAGAGAGACAGCCCAGTCCTTCCAGGTCTCTATGCCGACCCTAATATCGCCATTTTCGGAGACTCGTACTATATCTACGCCACCACAGATGGCTTCCCCAGCTGGGACGGTAAGAAAGCCAGTGTATGCAACGTGTTGGTGTCTATAGCAAACGAAAGAAAGCTTTTCCGCTTAGCTGAGACATACACGAGGTATCCATCCATTTTGTTTCGACTCATACTAACATTATGCCAGGCAACGTCTTCTACGTCTGGAAGTCCCCCGACCTCGTATCCTGGACGCGCTCCACCACCCCCATCCTCACCCTCAACGGCACAAGCGGCAACGTCCCCTGGGCCACCGGCTCCGCCTGGGCCCCCACCATCATCGAACGAGACTCAAAGTACTACTTCTACTTCAGCGGGCAGAACCCAACCTACGACCGCAAGACCATCGGCGTGGCCATCGCCTCCTCCCCAGAAGGCCCCTTCACCGCGCAGCCCACCGCCATGATCTTGAACAACGAGGAACTCACTACAGGCCAGGCGATTGACTCGGCTGCTTTCCAAGACCCTACTACCGGGAAGTATTATCTGTTTTGGGGGAATACTGGTACGGGGCAGCCGCTTTATGCTGAGCTTGCAGACGATATGGTGTCGCTTAAGGAGGGCACGCTGGCTACGACAAGCGGGCTTACTGACTTCCGCGAGGGTGTTTTCGTTAACTACCGGCGGGGTCTGTTCCACATGACGTATTCCATCGACGACACGCGCTCGGAGGACTACCGCGTTGGGTACGCCACTTCTCTAAATGTAACAGGCCCGTGGACGTACCGCGGTGTGATGCTGCAGAAGGATGTAGACAAGGGCATTTTGGGTACGGGACACGATTCTATTGTGCAAGTGCCGGGGACGGATGATTGGTATATTGCATACCATCGGTTTAGGATTCCTGATGGGAATGGGACGATGAGGGAGACGACGATTGATAAGGTGTTCTTTGATGAGGAGGGGATTATGATGCCTGTTGTGCCGACGTTGGACAGTGTCGGGCCGCAGAGGATAAACGGGACGGGGTATTAGGCTGGTGACTGTGGAGTCGATGGCAGCGACATCTTACGGAGTGAGATATGTCAGCAAGAAATGCCTGTATGAATCGCTCATGTATGAAATTTCCCACATCAAATCCGTCTATCACTCATCTATTCCCACTTCAAATATTGAAGCCCATTAATCTGAGGAACCTCCTAGCTTCTTCTTGTTCTTGCCGTTCCTGCTCTAGTATAGCCTGCTCCTGTATGGCTTTGGCAAACATGTAATTGAAGACTGCAGTTTGCCTTTCTTCTTCTTGCTGTTTCAAGCGTTGCTTGATGGCCGCTTCGAGTTGTGCGCGTTGTCGTGCATCTTCTACGCTTTGCTGAATTTGCAGGAGGGCAGAAAGAAGCTCTTCTGCTGTGATTTCTTCATCGCCAGCGTCTGCAGCTTGGGTAGGCGGAGTGGGTACGGGAGCTTCGGGTGCTGGTGCTGGTGTAGCGATGGGAGGCTGTGGAGATGCAACGGTGGGAGGTTGCTCAGGAGGGACTTTCAGAGGCTCCGTGAAGTCTCGTATATCGTAGAGACTATCAATGCAGCGTTAGTATGAATTTTCCAGACATTTGAGCCCAATACTCAAGGCTTACCGAATATCTGCAACATTGATCGAAACAGTAGCCTCGTTCCCGCTTGCGAATGCTCTAATGCCAGACCACTGGACGATCAGGCCCAAGTCCTCGGGAGTCTCCAGCGAGAAAACGCAATCCGCATGTAAAACTACAGGCTCTCCGTCTCCCGGGAGCTTGACCACGGTCCACCAGTAGCGATCGAGCATCTTGTCGATCATCTGCCCTTCCTCCAGGACGAGCGACGCAAACGACTCTTCCTGATAACGTGTCCTGAAAAATTGTTTCTTGTTTCTCAAGGTACCGAGCCCAACGCGGAGATACCCTAGCCCCTCTTCCTTGAGATCATCCAGTCCAGCCTGATTCAGCAAGCCTGACAAACGAGTCAGGATAGTAAGGTGAGCAGCATAGTGACCTGGCTCGACCGTTGCTGTGAGGTATCGTAGATGGCTATCAGCCCCATGGAGAAAGTGCCAGCGCATTTCACTTTCAGGCCGGTTGACGTCGGGCTCCAAGGTGATGAAGGTCTTGAGTTGATCCGCACTTTGCTCTGGATTGACGTCGTCATGTGGAGGGATGAAGTCGTCTGGCTTGAGCACCTCGGTCTTTAGAATGTGACGTATGGCATGAGAACTTTTGTGGGATTTGGATTCTCGGCCACTCCGGAAGCAGGATAAGCAGAGGTCATAGTCGTAGCACTCAGTGCACTGGAATCTGTTCTGGGAGCAGTAGATGTTGTTCAGGCAGGCGTCGCACATAGCTCCTACTTCGGAATTCTCGGGGACTTGCCCTGCTTCTGCATTTTGTGGCACCGATGGTTGCGTAGAAACCGATGAGGGTGCAGGGCTATTAGTAACTGGAGGAATCACTTGTGGAGTTGGAGTACGATCAACAGGGGGAGTGGGTTGAGGGTTCGGAATATGGGTGGCTGGAGGAGCAGGCTGTGGGGAAGGAGTTGATCTTGATGCAAACGGAACTGGCGAGACAGCTTCTCGTGCATAGCTGGTGTTGAATGAGGAATAAGGCCGCCTCTCACGGTATTCTTGTCCAATTGATAGGTCTGGTTGGGATGCCGATGGGTCTGTAGCTTGCGAAGAACTACTGGAGCTGTGTGGTATGGGCAAGCTTAAAGACCCTCCGGGTAACGGCACTTTTGGTGGACGGGGAGGGTTAGATTGCACGGAAGGGCTTGGTGAAGGTACAGGTCTGCGTATCATCTCCGGTAATTCTGCAGACCATCCAGTAGTCGGTCTTGCATACTGTCCATAGTACGGATCCGTGTAGGGAGCTGGAGCTTGCGATGCATGAATTTGGAAAGCCGGACCCTGAGGATTTGGAGCTTGAGAAAACCCGCCTCTTGGATATGAATTGACATGGTGTTGCTGGGACATAGAACTCTGGGGGTACGGAGGCTGTGGCTGTCTTTGGTTCCCAATCCCAGAAAGCGGAGGACTTCGAGCTGGCACTTTGACGGTCAGCTGAGCGGGCCACATACTGCTCTGTCAAAATCACATACCAGGCCCCGGGGTCGTTCTGACGGTCATGTTCACCATGCCTAGGATGCTATTCAAAACAGGTCGCCAATTCTGATCGCTTCGATCTTTGAACCTGCATATACTTTGGTGGGTTGCATTCAGCTCCCTTGCAGTTTCATTTGGGAGGTTGAGTACGGCAGAAGATCTTGTGACAACCTAAAACGAAAATCAGTGAAAGTCGTTCCAAAAAGTATAGTGTTTTGTGGCTTTCCTGGAAGTTAGAGAAGATTTAAATAACGAAACTTACCACACGAGTCCCCATTAGTGGTCGTGATTCGTAGAATGTATATATCTTAAACTTTGAACAGATTGAAGCAAAACGGTTCGAGGTCTCGAACAGAGTCGTACTATTTCTCTCTAGATTTCTCAGTAGCCCGCGGTTTAGGATCTGTGCTCCCGGTACGAAGGCTCCTGCAACGCCAGCGGCAATCTGTCCAATTGTTGCGGTCCCGGATCCTTGATGAGGGGTCCCCAGAAATGTAATGCCTATTGTAGCTCGGAAGATATCAATATACTGGCTTTGGCCGCATGCCTCGTTCAATGCGCGCTTTACAATTATGCCACCCAACGAATGGCAGACCCAAATGATGCGTCGATTTTCACACCCATTGCGTATATCCCTGACCTCTTGCAATAGAGAGAGGGCAAAGTCGTAGATTTGTGATGTTTGGAAGCCTACATCGGCGGGATATCCATACGACCATATCCGAGCTCTTCCATTGGGTAATTGTTCGCGCATCTGTTGCGGTAGGAGATCTCGAAAGAACACACATCCGGTTTCGGGATGTTGCCATGTTTTAGTCGGTTTCCCCATAAGACCGTGGACAAAGATTATCCTTTTGGTTTGGCCTTATTAGCTAGGACTTTCTTTCGTGCAGTCGGAAAGATCGGATCGATGGAGAACCCTTCGGAGCTTGAACGTACTCGACATCGCAGGGAGCGGCCTCATTCTGAGGGTGAACGAGGTATAGCCCAGGTTCGTTCTGGTCCTGAAATTGAACGAAGCGTGCCTAAACAGGCACCATTAGTCTAGTCTCGCGAAGATTCACTGACATAAACGTCGAAAACTGTATTCACCATTGGATTCTGCAATGTAGACCTCAAGTCACAAAGAAAGAGATTTCTACTATTCGCCGTAATAGCTACACCGTGATCATGATGCGCGATGGCGGGACATCCTCGAACTTAAGGATTCAGCTCAAGCTCGGCCTGGTCGCACATGCATAGCCTTGTTCCAGGGCTTGCATGCTTTTTATACTTAGCGCTGCGCCACCAATTTTCCAGCGCTTTCGATTGGCGAGAACTTACCAACGACGAATAACAATTGCAGGTTCGCTGGACGATAATACGAGCACCCCGAGAATACGAGCTTGGAGACGCGGATATGGCATGACCGAGCCGCAAACCCCGCGCTGGATCTGTAATACACCACACCTACTTCGTATTCACTTCAACGAATTCATGCGACTTCGGCATGAAACAGTTGAGATCTTAACAATTTTTCATGCGTACAATGGGGACATTTTCAACATAACAGTCAACGCGCCCGTCCACGGAACCTTGAAGGCCGAATTAGAAACAGTAACGGACATTGTTGCCTTACTAGTAAATGTCATATTGAGCCTTCCCTTGATTTAGAGCATGGCGCACAACTTTCAACGGCGTCGTCCTACGCGAAAGGCCAGTATGCTTAACATTAGGGTAGCACGAGTATTACGAGGGCTGTAAGCCTCAATCCGACCTCATCATAGGGGAACAGCGAGTGAGCATCGGCTTCAGCGCGTAAGCGGACCCAACTAGAACTCAAATTCGCACGCTTGCGGTTCCACTACCTTTTTCATGGAAAGTTGCCGAAAGGGTTACCGACGCCGACGATGTTTCAAAAGAATGCGTAAAACAGTCCGTACTGCAAATGGGAGTGTTGGTCGGAGGGTGCGTTGAGGGGCAAGGCTGAGGCTGAGTCCAAAACAAGTTTTGCACCACGCAAAGCCGATAGGCAAGGGGAACTTTAGCAATACGTGTACCTCAGAACTCATCGTAATGCGAGAGCTTTCTTATCGAGTCACATCAATATGATGCGTTTTTGCTGGTATTATGGAAGGATGAGAAACCCTGAATGTAGCCACTCAGCCGGCGGAGGTATGCAAGGTGAATGCTAGTGCTTGTGCGCATTGCACAGTATAGAAACAGTACCCTTAATATGCCCTGAACTAAACTCTGCTATATGTGCTTTTTAGGAAACAAAATGGGTTATGTACACATGACAGACAAAGTTTGTACGCTAAAAGAATGACCCCCTAGGTGCTTCACAGTCCTAAACACATCCTCACCAAGTCGTGTGCAGTGTGGTTAACGAATGAGTAGTTCTACCACCCATCCTTCGACGCTTTAGGTCAGTGGGATCGGACATCCAAGGTTCTGAAACGATGGCGACACCTTCGTAGCAATGAAAGTGAGCGCCTCTACCGTCGGCGTGATGAGGCCATTCAGCGAGCTCGGGAGCTGGCCTGTCGACAGCTGATACAGCAAGCAGGCAGTTGTCGCTGCATTGATACTGGAATCTATCTTGCCATCTTTGATAGCACCAAAGTTGATGGCATCGAAGGACCCATCACCAGTAGTGCCACCAAAGAGGACAGGGTGAAGGAGGTACTGTGCGAGGATCTCCGTTGTGACGTCCGTGTTGGTGTAAGGGAGCTTCCGGTTTGTCCAGTTGTCCGGGATCTTCTCCATGTTGTTGAAGAACCATGAGCCGTCTGCAGCTTGCTCAGCCCCGAAGAAACTCGAGATGGTCTCCAAGTCTGGGGCGTAGTTGTGGTTGCCGTTTGGCATGAGCTCGTATAAGAAGGATGCGGCACCGTACAGGAGAAGGGAAAGCGGCCCAAAGTAGAAGTTCCCGTTGTCTTGAAGGGACTGTTGATAGCGTTGGTAGCGATAAAGGGCTAGGTTTTCGCGATTGAAGTTGCCTTGGCAGGTCTCTTGCATCATGGCAAAGAGGGTAGCGTTCATGGAGTAGTCATCACCATTCGCAAGGAACTGTATGGGTCAATCTAAAGATATCAAAGAACGGTCTGCGGGGAACACATACATAGTCGTTTCGAGTGAGCGATGTGTCAGCCTCAAACTTGTTGTGGCCATTCAAACCAGGTTCACTCCCAGTCAGTACAGGACTAAAAGATGTCCGTGAGGTCGCGTCGCAACCTATGGAGAGTTTCTCTGTAACGATATCGCCTAGGCTATATCAGCATCGGGAACCCAGGGTATACTTCAATGAAACCTACCGTCAGTCAAGGTGAGGCCTAGGGCAGCCAGAAGTACAGCAAGATCATAGCCGACGTTATACACATTTTGCTGAGCATCAACGAGCTCATTGAACGTCACGATACCATCGTGTGCAAGGAACTAGCTCACAGTCAGCACCATCAACCCGCAATGAGACATACAAGTTGACTGCTTACGTGATGATTAGCAGCCGTGTTTAGCCCTGGACACGGTCCTCTAATGTCACCCGCCCCTGGTGCTTCAAAAGCATGGGCAGTATCTCCAGGCGCAGGTACTTGGTATCCACCGATCCCTTTGCCTGGTGTACCATTCTTGGCTCCGTTATAAGGGTACTCGTCCGTAACAGGTGCTGCATTCACATGGTTTGCATTAAACGGGCATGCATCTGGGCTTGGCTGTTGCCGTGGTCGGTTCTTATATCCGGTCAGCATAGACGAGTCTACGCCAGGCATTTTGGCAACCCATGGGTATGCATGTGCACCTCCAATGGTGAGCGAAAAGAAACAAGCGGAGAAGAGCATTGTGAATCTGGTTTCCAAGAAGGTTCGATCAAGAATTACTGGACATTATGAGATCTTATATCAAAGCTATGAGTTCACCTGCTGGCCAATCTAAGCGTTAGTACGAATTCCAACTCACAGGTTCATGTAATTCAGACCGAGGCATTGCAAACCGTTCCGAGCATCGCATTGGCCATGACCTTCACATTCTGGAGGCGCAAAGTATAAGAAGAAATTATGGGGCTCAGCAGGTACCACTAGAAGCACGGAGGAATTACCTGAATAGGAAAGCCCTGGAAGGCAGTGATGATCTGATCTGGGAATTGAGATGAACCAGGCCTCGGCATGCGCATATTTGCACGTAGTATCCATACCATCAACTTGGTCGCCGGAGGGGCAGATCAAGCTTTGGAATAAGCACGCGCGTATTGGCCACGACGTTGATGATCTGCGCATGATCTACGCCTTCCCCGCATCTAGCGACGGGAGCACGTTGTGACGTTCCTACGTTCAGCACACGGGACTCTGTGCATTTAACCAGTTGGGACGCAATATTTCCGTAAGAGGGATTAGGCTCGGAGCTTACCTACTCGTTTCGATCACCGGACCCTGGGACATGACGAAGTTCCACGCCTACGACACCAGTAGCGCAGCTCCCCGCAACTCCATTTCGCCGCAACGGTAGCACAAGCATTATTAGAACACAGCCTTGCAGCATGGCGTTCGTGGGTACCGCTCGGAAACTCAGATTTCCGTTCAACAGCCTGCACGCGTACCAATGAAGGACCTGATGGAGTTGTGCCGAGGTTCTTATCCACATTCTGCACCATGTCGTTCTGATTGTGGTCCGCGAGCTATACAGAGTTCGACCTCTAATGGTATGGTATTGTTTGTGCTTGAGTATGGCAAATAACTGAGAGCTGGACCGATCTCCTTCGCCAGTGTTGTAGCACGAATGCTACGATGACAACTAATCGACGTCGATGAGGCTACCATCGATTGTAGCCATGCTACTTCAGTAATTTAGGCGATGCCATGGGAGATTGAATGACCTTGTTGTAACATTGAAGTCTTGATCTCTGGTATTTGGGCTGCTAACACCATGGTGACACCTGGAGTTGCCAGTATGGCAGGGACGGTCAGTTTTACCTATCAAGCGACAAGAGCTTGCGCACGTTTCCGCAGTCGTAGGAGGGATTTGGTCTACAAATAAATTATTCCCGTGTGGCTGCAGGTTGTTACGCGCCACTATTCGCGTAGAGTCTTGACTGGGATGAAACAGGAAGGTTACGCAAGAAGGTCAGGACCACAAACCTTAATCGACTGAGCGCTATTTGAAGACCAAAGTTATGGATGACAGCCTAAGCCAAATGGATGATCCCAAACGAGCGCAAGAAGACCACTGACGATATGTTCGAAGGCGCCATCTCACATGCCAGACAATCTCTCGCTTACCGTTTTTCAAGGGAGACGTTGATGCAAATAAGTGAGCGGCATCATGCAGCAGCAGGTTTCTTCCAAAGCTGTTGGCTCCTAGACATATACTTCTTAACAGCCACGGAGCTAGCCTGCTGATTTGCCCGCGGATTTTCCGTAACGAAGAGATCTTCACCATGGATGAGCGCTATCACGTAAGACTTTGCAAGCCAAAACTTGGCATATAACGCCGCGCAGCTTGTCCCTCCGGCCAGAATTACCATGAGTCGTTCTTCCGTATTGTCAAGGTGCGGACTCTCGCTAAGCATCTCTAAGTGCGAATGCGCGAACCTATGCTATCTCAAATAGTCATGTGACTGAATGGTCCCTTGAGTGGACATCGAAAGCTGCCGCATGCGGAGTTATCACCTCTTCCCTTTGATTTGTCCCTTGTTGAAAAGCATAGCGCTCTCTTCCACTGTTGGCCACTCCCTTGGCATTATCTGGTTTAGCCGTCTGAAACGGTCGGGCAGGTTTTTTGGCTTCAATTCAAAAATGACCTCTTCTTTCGCCATAATGTCGAACTCTTCACCCCATGGCCGTCCGATATCCACCTCATCATCTCCCACCACGTTGATTCCCGCCCTTTCAGCATACATCTTGATGTCTCGAACCACCTCTTCGGTGCGATCGTATCCGTCTTCCCAAACCTTGTTGAGAACGGGCCCTAGTCGCTCGTCTTCGAGCTCCTCGAATAGGTCCGAATGGGGTCGGTCCCGAACCATGAGCCAAAAAACCCATACCGCCCAATAATACAGATCTTCCTTGACACTGCCCCGACAATCATCCACACTACCTTCCATATTACCGCAGTACGGCTCCTCGTCGCCTATCCATCCCCCGCTCTCACCGTAATTTTCTTCGTCTTTCACGCCGTCGATGACAGCACAGATAAAGCCCGTAACAGCGACGGAGAAATCTGAACGTAGCCAGGTCCCATGTGAGGAGAAGTTACATGTGTATATATTGTGCGAGTGCAGAAAGAGTAATGCGGAGAGTGTTTGGAGCGCCCAGCGGTAATACAAGGAGAGCATAGTGCGATTGACATGCTGGGGAAGTTCGAGGTCTTGGAGTGGGCCGGGGCAGAGCTTTTCGAGAAGAATACTATTATCTGAGAGGGTTCCGTCATATCTAGTTTCATTAATGGTGTGTTTGAAGACCGCGTAGCGATGGATAATTCCTACCTGACTATTCGCGGATGGCGAGCGCCGTCTAGATGCTCGTATGCTTTACGCAATTTTATAGTCGCCCACCCGGGTCTATCGCGGTAGAACTCCCTGGGATCACTCTGCTCTGCGAGTGCGATTATACTCTCTCCGTCTTCGTGAAGAATGCAGATAACTTTGTCGAAGAACCGAGTGTACGTCGATGTGGAGTCTTCCCTTTTGAGCATATCGGGTGGGCAATGGTCGTTCTCATGTTCTCTTATCTGCCGACCCGGATGCGAAGAGGGTGGGCCAAAGTATATCAAGAATACAACAATTGAGAAGAGGATTCCTAGGGTACAAGCAAGGATGCACACAACGTAAGGTCTATACCGTATCACGAAGATCAGGATCCCGATGAATGCACAGATAATTGATGCAGCGACACTTGTTAGAGAAACAATGCGGAGTAGATCCAAGGACATGCTCTGTGACGTTGATGTGCGGAGATTGGGGCGAGATCAGCTGGGTTAATGTAACTGAGAAAGTCGCCGAGGGTGGGCGGCGCCCTGGCGAACGCTGCCTATTTGGCGAGAGTTACCTCGCATGCAAAAGGTAGCGACCGAACGACGAACTTATTTTGCAAATTGTAGCCAATGATCATCAAGGTCGCGCTCCTATGATAATATGTGATATCGTGGCGCAATGAGCAAATACAATTCGTGAAACCAATATATACAGGGAACACGCTCCGACTGTACACCGCGATGAATCGCAAAAAAGACGAATGCATCGAATTACAAGGAGGACAGGATGTTTGGGAAATTTGGTGACAGCGATGTTACAGGAGATTTCCATCCGCCATTATCACTCCAGGTCAGGGATCGCGGCGTGCCCTCTCCCCAATTATCGCGCTCGTCTTCTGAGGACGAGAGATCGGTGAGTCTCTTTTGCGGTGACGAGATGGAGAGACCCAATGTTGTTAACTTGTCCTGTAGAATGCTGGTGACGGCAGGGTTACCGCCTCTGAATGAGCCGAGTAGCGACGATAGAGAATGAATTAGATCTCTTGGGCCCATGCCAAACCCAGAGTCTTGGTTCAGGGACGGAACGCATATCATTACGTCGGCGAGGGAATTGGCAATGTCGAACAACTTGGACTCCTGTCAAGAGATAAGCGAAGAGCTACCCGACAAAGGGAGTCTGACTCACCATGCCAGGACCGTGAGCTTCTAGACTTTCCTTTGGTAGCGTGCACAGAAATGATAACGCGTTCTGTGCAACCTTTGCAGGGAAGGCAAATGAAAATCCATCGTCTTGGTCTGATGATCGTAGATTTGTAACACTCAGAGCGTGTTGCCAAAGGAAGATCCGCATCCACTGTTGCGTCATCGAAATGTCGGCGCGCTGCAAAACATTGTCTAAGCTCCTGGTTGATGCATCATCGTCAAGTTGCTGCTGTGCAAGCGCGAGTGCACTACGGGCACCCGTAGGGTCTGCAGTGAGCGTAGCGTCAAGTATGTTGAAGAGGCGGCAGAGCTGGATGAAAGCTGGAGTTACTGAGCCGTCGTTGAGATCTTCGAGTTGTGGCAGATCAAGAGAACGTTTGAGCATCGTCGGTACATCGTTTTGAATTGAGTGGGCCCTGCGAGTGTGTTGTCAGTGACCGATGGGAACACCCGTCGCCGATTTAGTTACCTTTCAGTGATGAAGAGAAGCCAATATATCCTCACGTTGTATTGGAGACGCTCAACGTCCATATTCTGATAGTACGAAGGCTTGTGCAACCCGACCATGTGCGCTTTGGTAATAGCTTCACCGAGATATACTGTCGAAGTAGACATACGGCCAATATTGGCGGCATAGACGTGAAGAAAGAACGCACCCAGAAGAGACGAGACCGTAACATGTTCCGAGTGATCAGAGTCTTCTCGCGCCCTCTTTGCCTCACTGTCGAACATAGCGCTTGATACGCGATAATGACCTTCGACCGGACTTCCAGGCTCTGCATCGATCTGGAACTGGGTTATAGTCGCTGCACAGACTGCGGCAGCAAGCGCGTATGCTTCCGTATCTTCTGGGTTAGTCAGAAGACGAGCGAGTAATGATTCCGTGTCGACCACTGGCCAGATTGCATATCCGCGCGCCTGGTAAGTGTCTAGGTATTGTGATATGGTACTCGTAGAAATCTTTTGTGGTCCTCTATGTCCCTGCAATGGAGGATAGGCAGCATCTGGCCATCCTAAGGGCGGCTCACTGGTAGGAGGCAGTTGGTCGCTGAGGGGAAATTCGATCGTGGTCGGACTTCCATCGTCTAAGCTTGTGTCACTGTCGCTGTTCGCCTTATGTGACAGTGACAAGTCGCTTCGGCTTCGCTCTTGGAACCTCCTGATCGCAGCCTCAGTGGTACGGCGAGGACCTTTTGGTCCTGATTTGCCATGCGACTTCAGATAGGTACAGTCCCAGTTTGCAGTCTGACATCGCGCACAAGGCTGGTTGCCATCGCATCGAACCTTTCGCACAGAACAAGGATCACAGGCTCTCCGCGTCCCTTTTCGCGGCGCCATGTTCATCCGGCTGGGCGCAATGAGGCTCTGCGATAGCGCGCCTTTACGCGATGCACCAATCTCGCTAGTCCTTCATTGCAAATCGTTCCGAAAATCAGGTACGTGGTGGGTTAGATTGTGAAGGATATTGGCCCTACCGGTGGGACGTTCGGAAGAATGGATCGTGGGGAAGAGGGGACCGGTCAGGGTCTATGCAATGCGAACAGGTGTTGTGCAAAGTGGAGATGACGTTTGGTGGTTGGGGAGTAAAAGGTGGGGATACGGGCGGCCCCTCTTCGGACGGCCCTTTCCCTGTTCAAGCACGTCGACGCCACCAATCACGAGACCATCCGAAATGGCTTTATAACTGCGCAGTCCTTGACTCGACCGGTCGATTCATTTCGAGATTTGGATATGGGCCTTGTGGTCAGACGAGCTGTTGCGTTGACATGCAGAACACGTCCTGTTCATTCTGGTATACCTAGGTAGAGGGAATGCAGAGCTAATAAGGAAACCCCATCTGAATGTGAGAATAAAAATAACGCTAAGCAGGAGCTTGAATGAATGCGGGCGTATATTGCGAATCCATATGACAGTCGAGTGAAAGTACCTCAGGGAGAAAGCATAAAATAATACAAAAAGACAAAAATATCGTGCTCCAAGGCTCGAACCCCCGACTATCACAGATTGAGCACCATATGAGTTTGGCCGCTAAAGCGCGCTAGGGATATACACCTTAAGAACGACCACGTTTCAGTATACACAGTTACTATTCAGCCACTGCTTCGTAAATCGTGATCTGTTTGATGGGACTTCTATGAAACAAGTAATATATAAACCACATGAGACAGGATCAAATAAAGCACCGATAAGGGACCTCCAACCTTTCACCGCTGAGTCCTCATGAATCTAGTGAAATTGGCTCTAAGGTTCGACCTCAGCAATAACAATTGGTTGCCAGATTTGCTTCCAAAGGTTGCGCTCAAGGACTTGCACTTCAGCTCATTATCGCCCTTCTTACGGCTATCGTCATGATGGTTCAATTTTTCGACCTCACATCACGAGTCTCGTGGATCATAGTGGGGAACTTTGCTAGCAATCGACTACACAGCCACCAAAGTAATCACGGAGCTAAGAAGTATGGTGTTTCCAAGAGTTTGTATCACGCGCATTCTATTCAGGCTGCCACGTTGTCGGAAAGAGCAGTAAAGGATTGGGTGGTTGACGCAAATTGCCGAAAGGCGACTACAATAGCGAAAATTCAACCGTTTGCGCGGCCGAAATGCACACAGGAGTAGATACCGTGCCACTACATCTTCAATGGCGCGCCTACGACCCGTCTTCATGTTTTCTCATTTTGACTGCGGGGGACGTGCGACTCATATAAACTATGGCACTGAAACTTAGTAAACACATTCGACACATTCAATTCTAAATTTTCGGAAGCACGATTTCCGTGTGTATTATCTTGTGTAGCCAGTATAACTTCTAACATGCAAAAACGCCTTTTTGAACAAACCATACTCACATGCCGTTGGACAATTCACGAAGAGTCTAAGGATGACTCAAACCTTGTGGCAATGGCTGCGTGGAGTACTCCAAATCTACACCTCATCCACTGTGATGCGCAAGACTGATTGAGCTAAATCTTGACCAGAGAGCGTCGCAATTCTCCTCCTTCCCCATTCAACTAGTTGAGCTGGAAGAGTTCCGTCGCCTTCTTATTGACCTTGTCTTTGTACTCATCCGCTTCACGGATGCGCTTCTCCGCACGAGTCTTGTAGTCGGCGAACTCCGCGTGCAATTCCTTCATCTCTTCGCTCATCTCCTCCATCTTCTTCCGCTTGTTCTCAAGCTTCTCATCCTTTTCGCTATTGGCTTTGCGCTCATCGGCGAGCGCCCGCTCCAAAGCCGCCTTATCCTTGTTCCAGCTCCTCTTCTCCGCGCGAAGCTTCTTCTTCTTCTCCGCACGAAGCTTCTTCTCCTGCGCACGACACCTCTTCTTCTCCTGCGCACGAAACCTCTTCTCCGCGCGTACCTCTTGGAGCTCTCGCGTTTCCTCTGCTTTCTTGTCAGCTAGTTTTCATACTTCAATTCCTATCAGTAAACATACCCTCAACCATTTGCTCCCTTCCAGGTACTCCTTCCTCGCTCTTGATCTCCTTCATATGCGTCTCGTCATCATCGTTGTCATCGTCGCCGTCGTAGGGTAGTCCCTCCCAATTCCGGACCGCGAAGCAAGCCTCCTTGAAGAATTCTGGCTTTGAGATGGTGCTGATCACGAAGCGTGGGATGACTCCATCTTTCACGAAGCAATACATCAAAACGGAACCCAAGAGCTCCACGCGACCTTCACATCGCTTTCTGTCGGCTGTGAGGAGGATACGGAAGACGCCGTCAAGATAATGAGGGTGAAGCCTGTGACCCACTTCTGAGAGGGGTAGTGGTTTGAGTCCGGGACCGCTGTTAAGGTCTTCTTCACATAAGAAATGTACTTGCTGCTCGCTGTTGATACCGGCGAAGAGGTTGTTGGGCTCGCGACCAATATCGAGCAATTTGCCACCTTGACTTCCAGATTGGGAACCTGCCTGCGCATGCCAGTAAGTCGCAGTCTTGCGGTTGCTCATCTCTAAGGTGAGGGCCTCGAAGGCTTGGGGGCACTCGCGCCTCGCCCACTTGTTTATGCCCTTGAGCGTATACCTATTGAAATGGGCCGACATGATGAGAAGCGCGTTCTAGTCGAGCGAGATAGAGGCGGTCGGTGAGGTGACGAGTAGGTTGAAGGAAGGACCGCGGGGCTTGGGTAATTGGAGGTCGCGCTGTGTGTCCGAGGGAGGCGGGGGCAAACGGCGACGTCTTCGACCCGCGGGCTGAACGGCGCGATCTGGCTAGAATCGGAAGTCGCGCGTTTGTATGATGACAGGTCGAGTGCGTGCAAAGAAAGTTCCTGTTGATTCACCTACACTTCCGCACTGCCCCACCAAGTGCTTCACGAGCGAAAATTCTCGCAAGGCAAACGGACGTTGGAGCCTTGACCATACTCCTGAAAGATTCTGATACCTTGTATTACCCCAGGATAAGTAGTGTAGTACTCGAACGGTTGAGTCATTACTATCCTTGCGAAGTCATGATGGCGCTGCTTCACGAACAGATACGTTGGCAAATTGTATGTAGAGCGGAATCTCTAAAAGTTCTCATCAAAGTTTTGAATACCCTGTGTTACCCACCCTAGGATGAGCAAAGCAGCATCCAAATCTTTGCCACAACACTATACTTGTGAAGTCAAGCTGGCGACCAAATTCGTTACATGCATTGCTACTCAAGCTAGCAATCGTCATAACCAGTGTATCAGAACAATTAAAATCGAGAAGCATCGCCTCATGAAAACATTAGACCGCAGTCAAACACTCCGCACCTCCCTCACCCAGCTACTCCAACTCTATCTCCGAAATGGCCTTCTCCAGCTCCGTCATCTTCTTCTCAATCCAGTCTTTGTACAGCTGTGCCTCTTGAAGCCGTTTCTGTGCGTCGGCTTTATGCTTGTCACACTCCGCCTGCAGTTCCTCGATCTTGCGATCCTTCGCTTCGTTCGCCGCGTCGAGCTCCACGATTTCCTCCTGTAGCTCCCCAATTTGCGAGTGCAAGTCCTGAGTGTGCGAATTCAACTCCTGGAGCTCGTGCTTCTCCTCTACTCCCGACGTCAGCGTGTGTCCGTTTCAGGACCATGTAGGAAACTTACCGGAAATGAGCGGCATGGTCAGGCGCGTCTTCTCGTTGGTCGTGGGAGAGGTGGTGTCCGACCTCTCAAGACAGTTGAATTGAAGGGGAGTGGGTTGTGTTGAACTGGAGCGAGGAATATATATAGAGTGAGAGAAACCGCGCGCGTCGTCGCGATGCTTTGAAGGCTTCGAATGGAGGGGCACGGGCCGGAGCTGGTCGCGCACAAACTCAGAGTCTTTCAAAGCGCGGGGAACTTATTTCTTTGCTAACTCAACTATAGCAACCTTTCACTATTCACTAAGGCTCCAAGAACTATTCCGAGCCGTCCGCAAGTTTGTCAAGCGCTCTGAGATCGCCCAGTATACTCGGTGTGCTTTTCTGTGTCGTCACTTGCATGGACCTTCAACTCCTTAGCAACAGATACGCGGCGGTGAACTTCCGGCTCGGCTGCCTCCCCATCAAACACGATAGCGATTTCTTCTAGCGTGCGGCCCTTCGTCTCTGGAAACAGCTACTCAAGCGTTAGCATAACAACAATCAGCCGGAAGGTCGAGACTTACAAAGTAGATAATAAAGATCATTGCAAACAACGTCCCAATGTACACGAAGTAGAACCTCCAGTGGATCGCACCAAGAGCGACAGGGTTAACGTACTGATTGAAGAACCCCGCTCCAAACACAACAGTCAAGTTGATAGACAAACCTTTCGAACGCAGGCGGAAAGGCAGGATTTCCACGGGGTAAGCAACCGAAAGCGGTGTGAACGCGATATCGTAAAAACCGAAGAAGATGAACAGGAAAGCAACGACAGCCGACCCTGCCGCATCTATATGCTTCTCCGCGAACACCGCAGACAACGCAGTCACGATGATAAACGACACCAGCATACCGCACGCGGAAATCATCCAAAGCGGCCGCCTCCCGTACCGCTCAGCAGCAACCGCACCGGCCGCGGCGAGAAGCGCGTTCCAGACCTGAAGACCAACGTTGATGGTTGCTTGTGAGATGGCGGATGTGACACCGACGGATTCGAGGATAGGCGCGAGATAGTACGAGACAATGCCGTTGCCGGCCCATTGGATCATGAAGCCGACGAGGACGCAGATGAGGAGGCGGTGGCGATTTCCACGGGTCTCGAAGAATGAGAGGAAGCCGGTCGTCTTGGAGGCTTCGCGTTCGCGGAAGATGGCTTCATGGATTTCGGAGAATTCGAAGCGGACCTGGATAACGTGAGAAAACGATGCGTATGGCGGCGTTTAGAAGTGCAACTGTGGGGAGACTTACCAATTCATCGTTGATGTCGCCGTTCGCGTGGTACTTTGCGAGCATGTTCAAAGCTTCGTCAGTTCTTCCCTTCGAAACGAGCCATCTCGGCGACTCCGGCGTGACTAGTAGACCAAACAGCTGCAGCCCAGGGAAGAACCCCTGCAGAAGGCAAGGCGCTCTCCAGCTCCAGCTGTTTGGTACAAATAGCGTACCAAGCGTGATGCACGCCGACAGAATAGCTCCCCAATACCAGGTGGCTTGGAAGAGCGCGGTAATCTGGCCGCGATGCTTCGGATGTGCGATTTCTGTAGTCAAGGGTGGTGCTGCGGTCTGAGAGAACCCAAGGCCTATGCCGAGCATGATTCGAGTACCTAAGATCGCCCATGGTCCGTTTGTCGCCGCTTGAATAATGGAAGCTGCAAGCATGATGGAGGATCCAATGGCCACAGTGTACCGTCGCCCAATCATATCCGAGACATAGGATGCTGGAATAAAAGATGGGAGACCACCGAGGCTGATACCGGCAATTATGAGACCGAGTATACTTGTTGATATGGGGCCCAAGTCTTCTTTGACTGTTGAGTGTTAGTAGGACTACAGCTACTAACGGATGATGTACTGACATCGCGGGATTGCTAGAAGCCCGTTCATCAAGCTTCCGTCGAAGCCATTGGCTGCCGCAGAGCAGAACATCAGGCCAATGCCAAAATTCAGTCGTCGAAGGCCAGGGTCCCTAATCCAACTGGAAGCGACATTGTTCCTCAAGGTCTTGTACGCAGCGCCCCCGCCCTCCGAAACGATGCCTGCTGGTCCGCCCATTTCGTCTGGAAAGGCTAGTAAATCAAAGTACAAGGGAGTTCCTGAGGCTTTCCGTGAATCTGAAAGTTGAAATGCCGCGAGGAAACCACCATTTATGTTGTCCTGACGAGCGGTATGAGGGCTCGCTTTCCCTGAGGTCTACCCCGCAGGCGTCCGAGCGTGAGACCCTGTAGTCCTCCTCTTGCAAGCCATCTTACCTCAACCCTGAGCCGTATTTCGATAGTCTGCTGCAGGGCTTGCCATCGATCGTGGAGTATGCGGCGGGTATCCTGGAGATGTGGGTGAAGGTTTACAAACCCCAGACGCTGCCCATGGGGAAAGATCGCTAGTGCGGCTCAGCGGAATAAATCGCGGCTAGATTCGCGGTCAGTATCTCGGAAATCTCTGCTGGTCGTTGAGATGGCGAATGAAAAGTGATGGGAGGTCCTCCGCATCAAGGAAGCTAAACCTCATTTGGTGGATGACTGTGGCTTCGGAAAGAATCTCGGAAGAACTGTAATGCGCTAGCATACTGAACGCCATGGCTAGGGCCAAGACTACCGTTGCGTAAACTGAGGATGTAATTGACATCAATTAACTCAAGATGTATTTGATGCAAACTCACAAGCTATCAGCTGATGCAGATGCTACGGCACGCCTTGACTGATCCTCACACATTCGTTACCCAGATGCTTCCCACCTTCTTCAATACCTTCTCTCTTTCTCAAGCCTTCCCGTAATCTTCTTCTCGAACACGTCGGGCGGCAAGTTCCTCCCCGTCTTATCCTTGAACCTCCACGACACCCGCTCCCACACCATTGAGCAATCCTGCTGCAAGATCCTCGCAACAATTTTCAACTCATCTTGTGAGAAGGTGCCGTCAGGCGCGACCTTGTACTCTGCTGGGTGGCTACTGCTGTGGTGTCGATGCGACCTATGCTTGTCTCTCTTTGTATCCGAGTGCCGCCGTGACGAGCGGTGCTTCTCGTGATCACCGGAAGACGCTGTTGAGGTAGGCTTTCGAGGAGAGCTAGATGTAGCCCATGTGTTGGCCCAGGAGTCGGCATCTGGGCCCTTGTCTTTCTTCTTGGACTTGTCATTCGAGGCCTTTGTCTTCTCCGGTGATGCAGCACCAGGCCATCCTCCACCACCCGACTCGTTTACGCCGCCGGTATTGCCTGAGTCGCCACCCCAACCTGCGAAACCACCCCCAGTGTCGGCTTTGTTATTAGCCCAAGTTGGATCACCACCACCACCAGCGACAGTGACTCCCCATCCACTGTTGCTTCCTGTCTTGGAGGAGCTTGACTTGCTCAGCTTGCTCTCACTTTTCTTGTCTTTGTCTCCGGCATCCCAATTAACGCCACCCCAGTCTGCTGTCGCAGCACCGCCTCCGATATCGACACCGGCAGATCCCCAAGGATCGGGAGCAATATTGGGTTCGCTTTCCTTCTTCTTTTCCTTCTCCATCTCCTTCTTCTTCTCTTTCTCCTTCTCCTTTTCTTTCTCCTTCTCCTTCTCCTTTTCCTTTTCCTTCTCGTCCTTGTCGTTCTTCCCTTCGCTGTTCTTATTGTTGTCGTCTTCTTTGCTAGGCTCAGCAGTCCAGGTATCTCCGGCCCATGTGTCCATTCCGCCTGCATTGTTGTCATTTCCAGACTTGTTCCACTCTGGTCCTCCACTATTGTCATTATCCCACCCCGTCGTTAATAGGGCATTGTTACCGGTCCCAGTCGCAGCATCCAGGTCAAAAGTGTCCCATCCGCCTGCATCGCCAGTTACTCCATCATCTTTCTTAGAGCCCTTGTTGGAAGCACCGGATTTATTATCGTCTGCGCTATCGAACAGGGCAGCGTATGGGTTATCCCAACCGTCTCCACCGGCGGCCTCTTCTTTTTTGTCGTCCTTCTTCTGTTCTTCCTGCCTGTTCTGGTTCTGATTCTGGCCTTTACCATTCTGCTTCTGACCACTGCCTTGGTTGTTACCTTGCCCGCCACCCTTCTTGCCCCCCTTGCCTTGGATATTGGCGGGCTTCCAGCCGTCGGGCTTGATCTGTTGGAAGCGTTCTTTACATTCGTCCTTGTTCTTCCCGGTCGCCTCTGCGATACGGTCCCATTGAGTACCTGGGTTTTCGTTCTTCATGCGCATGATCGTTCTATCCTGCTCGTCGGTGAAACCGTATTCGTTGGTGACGCCCTTCTTGTACTCGATCTCACCGGAGACGTTTGCTTGACCGCTCGCCTCGTTCTTTGCCTCGTTCTGGCCTTTCCCAGACCAATTGGCTGTCTTTGCTTGGCTCTTCACCGCCGCAGCGGCGTCCAGCGCATTCAACAGGCGCGGTTTGCCTTTACCGGTCAACCTGCCCCTTCGGCCATCGCTAGCTGCCCATTCAAGAGCCGCGCCGGGTGTTGTCAGCTGCGCAACGCATTAGTGTATATAGAGCCTGAGTGAGCGCGCGTTCACACACCATGCCCCGGTAGCTGTTCAGCGGAAGCGGCTTCGGCGGGTCCTTGAAGGGCTTGTTGCTGAGCCCAAGGAGATACGAGGTCCTGATACGCGGAGGCTGGTTGTCGGCCATGTCGGCTAAGGTGGGGATGAAGTGCCGTGGCATTCGGATTGTGATATGTAGTTGGGTGAACGAAGAAGCTCGAAGAAGGGAGGGGAGGTAGTGGAATTGATGCTCCGAAAGCGCACACCAGGGAGATTTCGGAAGTAAAGCAGACAAACGGAGAATTCGGCAGACGTGTTATGGGAATTAGGGTTGAGTGAGTGATGTCGCTGGCTTGGCAACGCAGCCGGCCAGTGTTGCGCGTCATCACCAGCCATTGAGGGTCTCGGAAATAAGAAGGTGAACGACAGAGAGAGAAATGAGTGAAGCGTCAAGGCCATAGTGAGATGAAGGGAACATCAACGGCAGAATCGTTTCCATCATTCTCGACCTATGCTCTTGCCGCGCACTCAAACCTGGCAAGGAACGCGCGACCCCTAGACTTGAACAAGGAGCCTGCCGGCATCTTTACACGCGAATGACAGTTGAAAGAGGATACATGATAAATAGGAAGCGATCTAGACGATTGAAGCAACGAAACCGAACATTAAACGGACAACATGAAGGATGTGATTTGGGAAATTTGGTGCATACTGAAAACGAGGTCTAGTAATGAAAATCATCAAGCTAGACATCACAGTTGAGATTTCACTCGTTTTATGTGTACTGCTTTGAGTCAATACTTGAAAATGTCTGTTGTTTGTGCTGTGTTGTTGCGTCCTGCATCGTTTGAAGATAAAGTGCAGCTCTGGCAAAGGGTTAAAAGGGTAAACATTTCCTTGGGATATTACAGGATTATCCTTTTAGCAAATGAGAGTCTCTTGCCATCAAGACATGGAAAACCATGGTTGAATGTAAGTGATGAAGTCCTCGAGCCCCACCCGCCCCATCCCCACGCCTCGGCCCGACCATTCCTCCGCCCAGGAACCCTGAACCGTGGCATCTCCAATGCAACCCCAAACATTCGCGCCAACCGTCCGCGAAGCTTCATTCCACACCGCAACACCGCCAAATTAGCAGCCCGCCATGATATTTCCGTCCTTCAGCGTCCTCGCCGCGGCCTCGAGCCTGCTCGCTCTCGCCTCGGCGCACAACATCCAAATGAAAGCCTACATGCGCGAATGCTTCCACGAACAATTGCACAAGGACGATAAGATGACTGTGACGTTTCAAGTGGGCGATCGGGAGTTTGGCGGGAGCGGGAATCTGGATATCGATTTCTGGGTACGGATGCCTGCAAACCCATTCAACTTGGAGATCAAGCGCGGACGCATGTCCAACATAGGCTGCATTCGAGAACTCGCGCATTGCGTCTTCTAGCGAAGCCGGACCTGGACGAGAAGGAGTACACACCACTAACACACCCCCAGATCGAAACCCCCTCCCGCGCCTACCAGGTCCACGAACGCGGCGTCTCCTCCGGCGACCACTCCTTCACCGCAACCGAAGACGGAAAATACACCTACTGCTTCAACAACGAGCACTGGGGCGCGAACACAAAGGAGGTCAGCTTCAACGTCCACGGAATAGTCTACGTGCCCGAGCACGAGGCGCCACAGGATCCGCTCGAGAAAGAAAGTACGTTTCACCCCGACTCCTCTAAACAAGGGAGGATGGATGCAGGTTTGAGGCTACACGCTAACAATGCCAGTCCGCTCCCTCTCCGAACTAGTCGCCCAAGTAAAAGACGAGCAAGGCTACATCGTCGTCCGCGAGCGCACCCACCGCAACACCGCCGAATCCACAAACTCGCGCGTAAAATGGTGGAGCATCTTCCAGCTCACGCTCCTCGTCGGAGAGGGCATCTTCCAGGTCTGGTGGATCAAGCGCTTCTTCGAGGTCAAGCGCCTCGTGTAGAACCCGAGGCCCATGGGCGGCTTCGAGAAGTTTGCGACAAGGTGGTGGGACTGGTGCGATCGACGGTTTAGCTCGAGGCATTTCTAGCTTGGCGTTTTGTGGGTTGCGTTTGGCGTATGTACTGCGCTGTTTGCTGGTACGGCAATGCTGCAAAATGGAATGGAGTTTGGCTGGGACCGAGTGTACGATTGATTCGTAGAGCGCTTGCGTTAAGATATCAACGATTGCATTGCCATTGCGAATCTTTTTCGTTGATGTGCTGCTCCTGCACTGCGATTTTGGAGCAGCTCGCAAAGGGAGAGCCCCTTGCTGTTTTGATCGATACTATGCTGGGCAAGGCTTGCTCTTCAGACTGTTCCCAAAACCCTGCTACAGCTGCCCGTGAGCGAATGAGCAATGTTCAAACCCATCTTTCCCTGCCCCAAAAGTCCAAAGTCAAGCCAAACCATTCCAAACGCGTCCACCTCATCACTGCGCATCCTCTGGGCGGACCCGCACGGTCCTATCATGCCGCAAGAGCTGATCGTAAAGCGGCGCCTCCGGATCCCCAACCACGATGTGATCCAGATTCATTGCCCCAATACCCTGTGCAATTCCCATCACCACATCCGAGGCATCCCGTGCGTCTTCTGCGCTCACAGGTCCGCAGTCAGTGTCCAGATTGACTTTCCTCCTACTGCCGTTAGCCATTGTTGCAAAACCCAAGCTGAGTGACTTACACGCCAGGAAACAAATCATAGTCCACGGCATTCGGGTCCGTGGCGCCAGTGACAGGCGCCCTTCTCAGCAATCCACCCAACTCCCTCCGATTAGCAGCCATCCAATATGCTTTATGGAATCTCTTCTCCCTGGGCTGCATATCCTTGCTCCACTCCCTAACCTTCTTGATGTACCCCTCCTTCTCCATCGTCTTTAACCACGTCTCCACACTCGGGGTGAAGGTAACCCAGTGAATCCAGTCGTCCTCGAAGCAGTGGTAGCCGTACGTCCCAATGGTCGTGGTGCTTTCCCTCTGGAGGGTGGTATGCGCCCAAGGGTCGGTTGCGTTGTGCAGGACGAGGAGGGAGAGGGCGTTACCAGAGTGGATGAAGCCTTGCGTGCTGTGGTAGAAGCGGTACTCAATGTTTTGTACCGAGCCATATTGTGAGAGCAGCGTTGGCGAAGGGGGATGGTCGGAAGTGTTGTTATCAAGCCAGGCTTGTCTGTGGACTGTTAGTGGGCCAACTCACCGCAAGGGAGGTCAATTGAATGGGATGCTCACGCGTAATAACACCCGGTAGTCATAGGCACGATCTCGTAGAGGGTTACTGGTGCCTGGTAGTCCCCGTAGTCGGCAACGATTCGCTGATCAGTGAGCCCAACAGAGCTTCGGTCTAGAAAAGTCAGTGAAGGCTCTTCATTGTACTCAGAAGCGAGTGTGAAGTGAGTTGTGAGTTAGAAGGGTATTGCACAGTGCTCGAAAACAAGCTTTCAGCCACAGGACCTAGCTCGGGATCTTCCTGGTAGACAAAGCTAGTAAAGAAGGTAGACATACCATGATCTGCAGAGACAGGCCTCAAATGCTCCTGCAGACGTCCGCTAGCCTGTCCCTGCGAGGTAAAACTTGGGTAACGTCGCTCCTCGTCGCTCTGGAAAGATGAGGTGCCGATGGTATGCCCCTGTGGAGAACGATTAGACCCCGGATCCGTAGCCCAAGCATGCAGTTCTGGGCGGAATCCCCCGTAGGGATTCACATCTGGGGAGTCTTGGCTCGAGCTACTGAATGGTGAAGGAATTGATCGCAGCGCATTCCCTGGGTGCGCGTAGGGTGATTCGGAAATTGGCGAAGTCTGACTGATTGTAGAGTATGGCGTCGAGGCGCTACGAGATCTGCTGGGAGCCAATGGTGGTGGCATGTTTGTTCTGGGTGGGCGAGCAGTGCTTCTACGCGAGGGGCGAACAAAGACATCCTCCGCGTCTCCATTGTGCGGGCTCATGTTGGCATGAAGATATGTTCGGTCCGACGAACGTCTAGCCGAAGTAGCATCATTGAGCGAAGTTGGAGTTGCCGAGCTGGGTGGCGCATATGGACTAAACGTACTGGAAGGCTGTAGGGTGTAGCCGGTACTACTGCTACGCCGATCATCAGTCACGTACGGACTTATATAGCCCCCCTGCATCGGAGTATTGATACGAGACTGTAGCGGCCACGCTATATCTCCTGTGGAAGTAGAAGCAGGCGACGTGAACTGCTGAGAAGTGAAGCCAGGAAAGAAGCCGGGAGTGAATCGAGGCTCGATTCGCGCCGTGCCGCCAGAGGATGGCCTTTCACTTGCCGATGATGAGCTCACAGGCCGATAACCGGCTGGGACGGGTCGCTGTCTAGACCGTTGAGGCGTAAGCAAAGCGTCGACTGCCTCCTGGAGTGCCTCCTCGGAGCCGAACGACGGTTCAGGCCAATGGGGTCGATTGCTAGTGGGTGGTCGCGAATTCAAGTCTGGAAAGCCGTGCGAGTTATGCTGCAGTGTACCTCTAGGGTTCGTAGTCACGTCATCTTGTTGCGTGTTTCCAGTGTCTGCAAAAGACGATTGGGGTGCGGCTCTGGGGTAATGGCCAGCAACACCAGGAATCCCTCCATGAGGAGCAACGCCAGACCGAGCCACAACACTGGTGTTTCCCAGTTGGGAGGCGTCACGCCTTACACCACGCGATTGATATGCCTCGATGCCGATGGGCGGTTGTGGGGCATTTTGAGGATGAATTGGCCGGTGCTGAGTTCCCTCGTAGGCAGTCCTTCCCGCAGAGCTCGGTGGCAAAGGATTGGTGTCGGTATAGCCACTATGGCTCAATGTTAGCAGATCGGAAGAAGCACTGTGAAGGTTGTCAAAATACGTATACATCCACGTTGGGTACCCCGGCTGTTGTTGCGAACGAGTTTGGCTACTACCCAGCTGGACTGGAGCCGGCGAAAAGACCGGAATGAGGGCAGTTGCATCTGGGCCGGGAGGAGCCTGGCGGAAAGAACCAGGCACCGGATTTGGGCGTGTGAGTGGTGCCAGGCCGGGAAGTTGCGGCCCCGAGCTGTTATTGTCATTGGCAGCAACTCCATCGTCGATACCTGCACCTTCCGGAAAGCCTTCCGCAGCTGGCTGCCTGTTTGTCCCTGGAACCGCCGAGTTGTCCCAAGGTGGATGTGCTGATTGTCCCGAATCGTGCGGTGTCCCCGCCATTGTGCCGGTAATATCTCTTGTCAATGCACGGCCTGTTCGCAAACACGTTAGTATGGTATTTCTCAAGTGGCGATCGCGAAGGTGAGCGTTTGGTTGAGTGCGGGGAGTTGGTTATATACTTGTGGAGGAGACGATTTTGCGAAATCGAGGTGACACACGCTATAGTCCGATTTGCTGTAACTCGACGCCATGTGAATGAGGAGATTCGGTATGATTTGGTCAGCTGGCTGGCACCAAGCAAGCGATACATATTGCCTACTTCACAGGCGTATATGTGCTGGCGCGGGGATCGCATCTGTGGTACTTTCGCAACTTCACGACTGCGTTTGTAGCGGTGAAGCGGACAGCCACGAGAGTGCAGAGCTCGGCCATACGATACAAACTACATTGAAGCCGGATACTGACCTTCTCGATACCACGTATCTCAAATACACGCACACGTACTTGAAGCCGGCCAATGAGAAAGATATCGAGTAGAAAGTTTGCACTGGTCGAATCATACATTTGATTGTGCTGATGTCGAGCGGAGGTGCCAACACCATCATATTGGCTAAGTTCCAACAAGCAGTATCCAAATACCAACCAGGGCACTTACTCGATGTTTACTCCACCTCTTCGTCCTGCACACTCATATTATCAACGCTACCTTCCAGGCCGGTGCTCTCCTGCTTTAGCATGTTGGGCTTCTTGCCTTTAGGCCTAGGCTTGCGCTTCTTCCCAGTTCCCTCCGTGATCGGAGGCGCATCACGCACCCAGCGGGAAATTGCTTCTGCACGCTCGGTGGAGATGGGGTACTCTCGTCCATCATCTTGTGCCCATCGCTTCGGAGCAGGTGCGGGACTAGCAGGGCTCCCATTAGCTGAAGAGTCTGTGGGGGTGCCGCTGCCATTCTTCGCACGCTGCTCTGCCTCGTCGTCTTCGCGGAAGCGGCGCTCCCGGGCACGGACAGCGCGTTGAAATGACTCTTCATCGACAACACGCTCGTCGGCGAGCGCCTCGAGGATGGCTTCATGTTTTTGACGTTCGCGCTTCTGCGTTTCTGTCTCTTGGCGCTCACTCTTGCTCTCATCGGATGAACCGTTCTTGCCATGTCCGGGAAGAGGGGCAGGGCGACAAAGCTTCTCCCATGAGGTAGATAGGCCAACCCAGTTGCTCGCACGGCGCAGCACTTCAATCCAGTCTGCGCGCGCAGGCGAGCGCGCTGCAAGGAAGATCGGGTAGCCGTCGCAGACACGAGCCAAACGAGCCGCGTTATGTGCGTGTCGCTGAAGTTCCTTAGGCGGCGTCTGAATAAGAGCATGGCAGAGAAGGAGCGAGTGCAGCGCATCGGTTAGAAGAGGATGATATGTGATACTCTCGTGGGAATCAGCGAAGGCGGTTGCTGCAGCCGACGCCGCTGATTCTGAGGGGTCCTTGGCGCCGGCGTGAGGGAAAGGAGGGAGCGACGCTGGTGGTGCCGAATCGAAAAGCTGGGATATCTTAAAGATTTCGGGGGCTGGCAATTTCGGCCAAGCAGCACGATCGTGTCCACGGGATCCGCGATGAGGAACAAGAGCTTCGGAAATAGGAGAGGCAGCAGCTGAAGATGAATCAAGCAAACGATCTAATGGCTTGTTGAACGTTCCCTTGGGATATGAACCATTGGCCGAACCTTCAAGCCGTCTCAAGAAATCCTCTGCAACCTCAGCCGATATGCCAGGTGTGTAGTCGAAATGTGACAGAAAGGCTGTGTAGTCACGCAGGGCACGCTTGGCGTTCGTTCGCACCTGTTTCCGTGCCTCAGCGCGACGGCGATTCCCCTCTACTTCCTCAACAGTCTCCTCATCCGGCAATTCTTCTGCGGCTACTTGAACATCTCTTGCTGCTTTAGCTTCCTCCGCCTCTTTCAGTCCATCCAACGCGCCATGCACGTGTTGGCAGGCGATTGTGAAGTAGACGCCCGCACGATGGAACAACAACTGCGTTTCTAGTGAATTAGGCTGGTCCTCGTCGGGTATCTTGACCTCCTGTCTCCAATCTCGTCCGTGCTGATCCTGTATTGATCTCGCCAGGACCAATTGGTCCTTGCCTGCGCGGTGCTGCGCGTTGATGTATCGCGCCACAGCCAACGCTTCCGAGAGGTCTCTTGCCGAGTTCACATAATCTTCCTTAAAGATACGCGTCAACGCTCTCGTCCGCAGGGGTGATCCATCACTTGGGCGCTCTGCTATTATTTCATTTAGCGTATCCAGCGGTGTACATTGGGCCATCATCCGTGACGGAATCTTCTCGTGGAAAAAGTGCACGTATTTGGCATCGACATCGTTCGCATTCCTCTGCAGCACAAATTGGGCGACATCCTCCAGCGTCGAGGCTGATTGCATTGTCGCCACACTGGCTGCGATCTCGTCTAAGTGGTATGCCTGGCTCAATTTCGCCGTCGCCAACTCGCGCATGCGATGTTTCCGCTCCCTACTCAGCTTAGCATTTCCCCCGTGCCCACCATACCCTATCCCCAGCGCTGCAGCGTTTCCAAGCATGCCATTGCCCGCGTTCAACGAGTTGCTGAGCGCCGCTGAGGTGAGACCGCTAGTGGCGCGAACGGCGAGGTTCGTGGCTTCATCGACGGCCTTGCGGATCTTGACGAGGTCATAGAAGACGGCGGGATCAATGGGGTGGGGGCGCGGAGAGAGGTAGTTGCTGTGCGCGAGCGACTCAAGCACCTCTGGTGGGAGCTGCAACCATGGCCCGTGAAAGGAAGAGATGTAGCGCCAATGCCTGGAGTACCACGGTCAGATCCAATTCTTGCCTACTACAACCTGAAGAAGTCCAGCGACGTGCCTCCACGAGACCTACTTATTGCGACATATTATTAGTGCCGACGTCGACGGTTCCGGCGGCGGCGGCGCCTTTTTCGCGTTGCCGTTGGACGATTGGGGCGTGCTGGTACCGCTGTTGTCGGAAGGAGAGTCGACCTGCGCACTCTTCTTTTTCTTGGCCATGCTGAAAGAAGGACCTACGAGGCAGCAGTTCGCGATGCAGCGCTGCCGTTTGGTGCGATTCGCGCGTCGTTGTACTCAAACAATAATTTAGTGCTCCGCTTCTTGGCAACGCGGGCAATCGTGCATCCCTCACACTCCGAGTCTCCGACAAGGCTGGGGCCGCTGACCTCACCACTCACCTACACCATTTCTTTGTTAGCGGCTTCCCATCCGTTCATCTAGTGCACGGAATGCATTCTTTTACCCTCCTACCTTCACATGTATCTGCCTCACAATCGCGCCGCATCTCGCGTGGTCTTTTGTCTGGAGGATGTCAGTGAAGCATCCAGCAGAACTTCCAGGCGTCTCAGCTACATCTTATCCTCGAAGCAAGACCTCCATCGCCTACAGGTACCGAACGGGAAAATGGCGCCAGACTCAATTAGACTTTTCCGGCCCCAATCGTCACGCGTGCACGTGCATTCACTTACACTCATCACGTGCCGCTTCCAAGCAATTGAGCCAAGCAATTGAGCCACGGAGTCGCTTATGGACCTTTATGCGATTTCAGAAGACACCCGAACGTCACTTGCACGAAGATAACAGATGAGCCTAGCAGCTGCCAGATTCGAACATGCATAGCCGCCGATGCCGTCCGTGGGAGTGCTATAACGAGGAGGAATGGCTCTAGCAGATCTCGGAACGGCGCGCTGCAGCAGTAGAATTAAGCGACCGCTGATTGCGCAAACTCCTGTCAACCTTGATGACGCCAACACGTGTTGCGAGCGAACTGGAAGTTTCGATTGCTGAGGTCAGCTTGGCTACCGTCAACATAGGCCACGTTCTGGATGAACACAAGCTACGATCGACTTTGCTAAAGTAATCCTCTCACGCGGCGGGCCGCGCCTTTGCATTAATACCAGCTCCTTCTATTGAGGGCACTACCAGACGCAGGGCAGAAAGATCGTGTCTCGCAATACGAATAGATCCAACTAATGCGCTTGTGTGCGGCAGTCAATCGTGCACTGCGGCTCATGAAGAATAGCCGTTGCGTAGATCTTGCCCTCGGACTTTAGTTGGAAGTTCACAGATATATGACCAGGAAACCTTGTTCTGGGCCAGTTACTCTTGCACGCTGCACCTGTTGATAGGCTGCACACCTTTCCTTATCAAAGTGGAAGCCCAATCGGGAGAGCGCTTAGATGCAGGTGTGAACACCATTATGGAACGGCAATCACCTTCCTGTACGCGGTGAGCCTCCGGATAGTCACATCTCGCTTCCCTACCGCTGGGCCACCGCGCCACGACGCGTCTGCAGTTCACGATGGTTCAGCCCAGACTTTCTACAACGTTCAGAACTTCACCTCGGCTTGACTGACCTCATGTTTCTCGGATGATCTTTGTTTAGAGTTTGGTGTGTTTGGGATGCGACCCGGGTATGTTTCTATCCGACCCACAACGACAACGGCCCGAACACCAGCACGGTCGAAACAGCTTCTCGCCCCGTATTAAGAGATATGACTTCAGAGTGGGTTGCTACGAGACTATAAACAGCACCGCGCGCGGATGTTTCCAGACGTACAGCGTTGCGCGTCGAGGGCGACATGGGGTTAAATGCGCCAATCACTTGTCGAAGCTTAGCCCCGAGCTTATGTGCACTTCCTTACCCTTCCGCCAGGATGCAGCGGGGAAGCTTGCTAGCGACCACTACCCGTGGCCGCCTATCCGTCAGCACGTACTGGTGCGGGGTCATCCAAGTTCCTTGTTCCTCTAGAAACATTTGAGTTCATTGCCAAATTGCGGCGCAGCAGAAGAAATGGGGTCGGTGCGGAGCCTCACAAGCTTAGATTATGTAAAGACCTGGGACAGTGAAAGGACAATACGGCCATGTTACACGGCTGCTCACAAGCTTTCTAACGCGCTCAGTGATCTGCACTCGCACAGGCCCTGCTGTGGTCGTTCCCGGTGCTTGTCAAAAACGGCTAGGTTCAATATCCCACGAAGAGCGTTCAGCTCAAGGCCACGTCTAGGATTGCCCAGCCGCCCTCGTTTTGCAGGAAGCATTTCGGATCCAAAACTGGCTCCGCTTTCACGCCCGCTTTAATCTTGGGACTGTTGGGCCTGTGGGCACTGACGACAACACTCGTCAAGGCAAGTCTCCACCATATATACTAACGCTTATTCGGTGGTCCTACCTTGTGAAGCGAGGCCATACTGCGGAGCCTTGTCGAGCTCATAGCGTTGTGAAACTTTGCGTGGTAGTTGGGTGTGTGGCTTCTTTGATTCATTCGATGGTAGGTTCGGATGTCCACAATACTCAATCGACGACCACTAATGCAACATCAAGTAACAAGACCTTGGTGTGGATACCGTGACCGAAGGAATATAAACTTGTGACTTCGCTTGCCCCAGCCAAGTGTACGAGTAAGCCTTCTCCACTCTTCCCGCTCTTTAGTATACTTATCTCAAGTTCGTCCTAGGTGTACTCATACTACCCCTCTTTCGTCTTGTATCGCCTTCACTCTGATCTCTGAACACCATGGGTATTTTCCAGAAGTCCAAGCGACTCGTCGCAGAAGATCACAACATTCTGAGAGCACGACGAGATGGTGCGAGAGGCGCTCGCGCCCTTCCTCGAGTAGCGGGCAAGTATCTGGTCGATAAGGTACCGGTGGTGCACTGGGCCCCGCATTACAGCCCGCGATGGCTAGCCAACGACTTTCTTGCTGGCATCACTGTCGGTGTGATGCTTATTCCTCAGGCTCTAGCCTACGCTAAGATTGCGACAATTTCTGGAGAGTACGGGTTGATGAGTAGCTGGCTGCCCAACTTCCTTTACTTCTTCATGGGCACATCAAAAAGGTACGCACCCAGACTATGCCGTACAGCGAGCGTTCCAGGAATGTGTTCTGCAGACACGAACTGTGGAAATTCACGTTCAGCCCCTGAGCCATAAAGTACTGTAACGAACCGTGCTGACGAGCGCAACAGACATGTCAACAGGACCAACTTCACTGCTCGGTCTCCTGACGGCAGAGATCGTCCGTGACTACACAAGCGAGGGGGTTTTCTGCACAGTCTATCGCTTCCATGGTAGCCATGTGCATGGGCATCTACTGCTTAATCATTGGTGGACTCAAACTTGGTTTCCTGCTTGAGTTCGTCTCCATACCCGTTCTGCACGGCTTCATTTCCGCTGCAGGTATTGTGATCATGCTCGGCCAGATTCCATCACTCTTTGGTGTCAAGGTTGGAACAGGTACAGCCAAGATCATCCACGATCTCTTTGCTCAGATTCCGGTGAGTAGCTCCAGTAATACTGCGCCTGTCAGCACATCTAACGGCTTGTAGGACTTCAAAGGCCCCACCGTCGGTGTCGGCCTGGGCGGTATCGTACTTCTGGTCGCTCTGCAGAAGATGGGCCAGAAATGGGGCAGCAAGAACAAGACAATCTGGTTCATCGCTTTGGGTCGCGCTGCAATCGTTCTGGTTCTCTTCACTGGCATTTCCTACGGCGTCAACAAGGACATCGATCTTGACAACGACGACCCTGTATGGGAGCTGAGCAAGGTCAAGGTACGTCCTTATCTCTTTCGCACACAAGCAAGCCCCACCCCTGAGACGGCATCGCTCCATACGCTGTTCCTTTCACACACACTATGAAAGCTTCTCTAACTTTACCATAGTCCAACGGTATCAACGCCCCGAAGATGCCCCCGAGTGCACTTTTCTCCAGAGTGTTCCCCCGCGCTGTCGCACCCTTCCTTGCCGGTGTCATCGAACATCTTGCCATCGCCAAAGCCTTCGCCCGCAAGAACGGCTATGTTATCGACCCGGCACAAGAACTTGTATACCTCGGCGTGACAAACTTCTTTAATAGCTTCTTCTCCTCCATGGCCGTTGGTGGCGCCATGTCCCGCACAGCCGTCAACTCCTCGACCGGCGTGAAATCGCCCGCCTACGCCATTATCGCTGGCGGCGTCGTCGTCCTCTCTATCTTCGAGCTAAGCCCCGCCCTCTTCTGGATCCCCAAAGCCACCCTCGCCGCCATCATTGTCACAGCCGTGTGGGGTATCCTCTCGCCCCCTAAGATCTTCTGGCACTTCTGGAAGACCTCCTTCGTTGACTTCGTCGCCTCCATGCTCGCCTTCTGGCTCACTCTCTTTGAGTCCAGCGAAATCGGCATCGGCGCTGCAGTCGGCTTCCAGCTCGTATACCACATTCTCGTGACGGCTTTCTCGCGCGTGCACCGCGTCACAGCTGTGCCCGAGCGTGACCCCAACGTCGACTTTAACGACATGCCCACCGATGTCCAGGTCTTCAAGCCCCACCAGTCGCTTATCTTCTACAACGCGTTCAGCATCACGAACCAGTGCTTCGACGCCATCCAGACGTACTCCTCTGGCGCAAACATCTCCTTCGAGGTGCTTCGTGCGCAGCGCAACTGGAGTACTGCTGGTGAGCGACGTGCGAAGGCGCTGAGGAAACGCGCGGGTATCACGATGGAGCCGTCGAGACTGCATCTCGTTGTGCTGGATATGAGTATGGTCACCATCATCGACACTACAGGCTTGACTGCGCTGCAGGATCTCAAGGCTGATCTGGAGCGGTACGCAGGGAAGACTGCGGAGTTGAGATTCGCCAATGTGCATAGGGGTGTCAGGGAACGCTTCGAGAGGTTCGGCTGGGACTTGTACGACGGTGGTGCCCTCCCTGTTGAGAAACGCACCGAAGAGAGAAAGGGTAATGCGGTGTTCAACAGCGTTGTGGAAGCTGTGCGACACCCTCGCGTCGGGTCGGAGGACCCCGAGGAGGTTGTAGTTGTGGGATCTGAGAAGGTTTAGCCGTGCGGTGAGGGGCTTGCTTGTGGTACTGTCGCTTCTGCTGGACTTTTGGGCGGTGTTGTCTATTCTTTCATTGCGTCTTTCCTAGAGGCACGTTGCAGGGCAATGGCGGAGGATCTCCTTGTATGGTCTTTAACTGTCATGATTGTTCGTTCCTTGATATATATCCCTCTAGCTTGATGTGAATAGATGATTACGACCTTCTAAGCTCCAGCGTGCAGATGAGGAAACTGAGCATTGTCGAGACAGATCACTCACGGCCTCCCTCCTACCCTTGCTAGGTACATCATACTCATCCATTCCATCGGATATCGGACTTTCAAGCTTGATCCTAGCTCTACGTTTCATTAAACCCGTGCATGGTGTTGAAAGGTAACAATGACGAACAGCCAAGCATTGGCTTCAGCACGCCGCACATGGGCCTATAACTGGCTCCGAACGCACGTGACTTACAACTGCCAGGTACGCTTGGTTCCGTCATCGTGCGCAATACAAATACGTCCTGAATCCTTTAGATATACATTACTAGCGCTGGCGTTGGAGAGTATTGTCTAATATGGTATACCTTATACGAGCTGATGAACGTGGATGCGTGAGTGTTTAAGACGGTGCATGCATAAATACATAGCTGTTTTTGGATGGATTTGGAACCGGCAATCGCGACCTTCTCAATAAAAGATGCTTTTCATAGCATGAGGCTAATAACATTTCGTTTGTCTTTCAGGAAGCGCTAGTTGATGGAGCGGGGCTGCGATCAAGTTGAGCAGTATTAGCGAAGAAAGGAGCCGTCCTGATGGATGGCTATACGCCATACTCGAAGTCCGGTTTGGACAGCATCTAGAACGAATGAGCGACGTAGACCTCGAAAATACCTTCGTAATACGACTTAGCTTTCTGGAAGGACTGCATCATAGCTGGGTGTGGCTCGCCTGCAAGAAACTTGTGGGATGAGCTAGATCGACAAGTTGAACGTATTATGGGTATCTGAGACATTGTAACGGAGCAAGAATTTGTATGGCGTCAAACGCGATAGTTGCTGAAGACTTTTCTTGGCTGTACAGATGAATAATTATGGTGTCCAGAGTGAAATGAACTACAGTGATGTGATTGATAATGAAGTTGTGATTACGATTACCATAGGTACTTGTCTAAGCGCTCGACTGCGGCTCCCACTTTGTATGGATCTGGTCAAGAATGCCACCGTTATGAATGTGGCTATTCAGATACTGCGCTATGCAAAGTTTGGAGGAATAGCGCGGAGGTCGAGGTGGAGTAGGATTTCTCGAGACATAGCAATAGGACCGTGGACACTCATTGACAAATTTGTAAGCTCAGCAGGATCTAGCTTACCAACATAATCTTTGTGTAGCGCCCGATAGACTAAGGATGCGCTTGGCAGCTTATAGGAAGCGAATCCTGCTCAGAGTAACTTTGCGCTTCGGGGTACGTAATGCGGGTGGAAGATGCGCCTATCGATTGCCGGCCATTAGCGGTGAACCCGGTTATGTAGACTGGACGAGCCCTCTCCACTTCTTTCATGATAAGACTAAACTTCCCGAGTTCCAATCTCCATCAGAACATTTGTAGTCTGGGTAAGGTCTTGGCATCGTAGGATTACCCTAGGCGCCTGGTCGGACCTTCCGCGACCACACTCTTCATCTCCAAACTCCAACCCTATGATGTTCAACAGCGTTGCAACCCCATTTTCGAGAATGGCATTGCCGTCTCGGCTCCGAACACCTGCCGAAATTGCTGTGACAGGAAGGTGAGTGCATGTTAGCGTGTGACGCCCCGCAGCCAAGGTCTTGGAAACCACGATGGGCAATAGCTGGCGGAACTTGATCACCACCCTTTACACTCACCTATCCGAGTCAACGTGAAGACATGGTCACGGACACGACACCCCAGTTCTCCAGCCCTGCTATTTTCGGTCCACCCCGCTCCGTTATCAGTTCCATCATACCACTTACACCACTACCGACATCGGAGAAGCAATGCAGGATAACTTCATCAGCCGCGGGAAAGAATCCGAAGCAAAAGAACTTGATAGAAGCCGTCCTTGGCGTTGTAGATACCGAAGTTTTCCCCCAGGCCTGACGCTCAACGACTCGATATCTGCTTCGCACGAGTCATCACGACAGCCGCGATGGGCGAGATAGTCAGTCAATCGGAATGCGTGAGCGATCTGGTATTTCAGTGAATGAGTATATAACATCGTCTTGACCTGCCGTTGCACAGTCTTGTGCCTTGGCCCCCACTCTTCAAATCCCCACACCCAAGATGAAGTCAGCTACTGGTCTTCTCTTGAGCGCAAGCGCTCTTCTCGGTGCCTCGTGCGTAAACGGTCTTGCCGAAGAGGTCTTTGCTGCGATCGACAAACAGGATGACGGTTTGAGGACAGTCAACAAGGAAGTACGCTTTCCGATACATATCAAAAACGCATACTGTCGCTGACTAGCCGAAAAGATCTGGGAGAATCCTGAATTGGGATACAAAGAGGTGCACGCACACAAGATACTCACGGACTTTCTTGAAGAGCAAGGGTTCAATGTGACTCGTAGCGCATACAACTTGAGCACCGCGTTTCGTGCCGAGTACTCAAGCGGCGAGGGACGTGCCGTCTCATTCAACTCGGAATTCGATGCACTTCCCGGAATTGGACATTCTTGCGGACACAACCTGATCGCGACGATCGGTGTTGCTTCCGCGATTGGCGTCAAGGAGGCTTTGGAGAATCAGGGTGTGTCGGGGAAGGTAGTGTATGTGCCCAAAACCTCGACGCATCCTGCCTACACACAGCTAACGTGCCCCGTAGACTCATCGGTACACCCGCAGAGGAATCTATGGGCGGCAAGGTCAAACTTCTTGAAGCAGGTGCATACGATGACCTTGACTGTAGCTTGATGGCCCACCCTGGCAATGACCTTTATGCGTCGTATGGACGTACGCTAGCTTCTTGGAGAGCTAATGTCACCTGGAGCGGAGAGGCCTCGCACGCAGCCGCCGCACCTTGGCTGGGTCGAAATGCCCTCGACGGTTTCGTATCCGCGTACTCAAGCACTGGACTCTACCGCCAGCAGCTCATGTCGACGGATCGCATCCATCACGTCATCCAGGGAACGAGCGACATGGTAGCCAATATCATCCCGGATTTCGTCGACACCGTGTGGGGCGTACGAGGCAAGTCCCGACCCCGCGCCGAGCAGGTCCGAGAACAGCTCTTCCGGATCCTGTATGCGTCTTCAAACGCTACGAACACATCCATCGAGATCACTCCATTTCAAGACTACTGGGATCAGAACCCCAGCTTTCAATTAGCGCAGGCATACTACAATCTCCAGAAGGAATATCTTGATCCGTCTGAAGACAGTGAAACAGCCAACTTCACCATCACAGCACCCGAGGACGACGACGGCGAAGCATCAGCGTCGTCCGACCAGGGTAACGTTTCGTGGTTCCTGCCTGTGATTCAAGTTAGCTTCCCCGTTGGGGGTACAGCGCCTGTACATAATGCTGGGTTCCGCGAGCTTGCTGGGACTGTGAGTCAAGTATCATATACCGTGCGGCGGAGCTTTCGCTAATCTTGTGTAGGATTTCGCCCATGAGCAGGCGATAAAGACGGCAAAGGCGCTTGCGTTGACTGGAATACAGGTCTTGCAGAACGAGACTTTTGCTGAGGCCATGTGGACCGAGTGGGAGGCGATGATCAAGGAGATTTCGGTTGGTCTTAGTGAGAACATGGGGAACTCGACAAGGAATTCCACGCGGAAGCGCCACGTACACTAAAATGGACCTGGAGGATGGCTCGAGAGAATGAAGCATGTGTACTGCGCAAAAGCAATTCACTCTTAATGGGCATTGGGCAACATGTTTTCAAAATAGTTTCGATGAAAGGAAATCATGATAGACCAACCAGTAAGCGACAGAAAATGCGACGTTGCTAATAGAATGAAGTCTCGAAGCGTTGATCGATAATCGTTGGGGACTCGATGCACTTCCGATCACGTGTACATCCGTTTCGGTCGTAGCGCCAACCGGCATTACCCAGCGGGATATCTCGGACAAAATCTCCGGCCTGCGGTCGACTTTTCATCTCTGTTAACATTTCCGAATCATTTCAAATGTTGAAGTGCATCTTCCAGTGAAGCACAGGCGTCATCGTTTCGGCCACCGTTCGTTGTGATACCCGACTGACCTTCCGTGCGGCCGACCGACCATTCCCGCATTCTGACGAAGTGCGACTGCCGTGTTCACCCGAAACATTGAAATTTTCCAGCTCACACGCGACCACAACATCATGGGTTTCGCCATCAGCAGCGTGGAAGGCGCTTTGAGGAGCTCGTTATGAGTGTTTGCGCGGAACTTGATAGTTTCTCCAGTGTAAGTTAGAGATCCTTTTCCAGTTGTTGTGTCGTTCCTTCCTGTTCTGCTTCTCTTATTTGCCGAGTTTTCTCCGTACCTCTCTGCGGCGACAGAACGTCTTCACCATTTCTCTACTTTCAGATGCGCCGGAAGGCGAACAGTTCTCCTCGCTCGATATTGTGATTACATCGCGACCAACATAACATACACACCAAGTTAGACCAGCAGCGAACGTTGGCCTTCCCCTGCGCAACACCTGCCTGACACTGGACTCATGGCCAATATGTACATTCATTCGGATTTCTCGTAGCTTTTCTATTTCTGTTTAGTCTTTTCACTAAGCATTTGTCTTTTGCACCACAGGCACGTTCGTAGGCTTCAGTCCCGCATCTGATGTGAAGAATCGACTGCTGAACTCGCACCAAAGGCAGCTGCTGGCTTGGTCAGCCTGACGGCAGGCTCGCCACCATGAAGAGAAAGAGGTCTCCAGATTTGGCGGACCCGCGCGCCTGCCCAAAGATTGCCAAACATGGTACAACGTCCCTACAAGAAGGCACCGACAAGGCTGAACCGTGTCCGCTCTTGCGCGTTATTCAACAGTATGGCTTATTAATATCGATCGTCTCAAATTTCGCACCTGAAGACTTGTTCTCCTTGGCAGCAGCATCGAAAGCTACCTACAAAGCCTTATTCTCCGGCAAAGCTAGTATGCTCAACATCTTCAGCAAGATGCCCTGCTCTGGGAGAGGCATCGCTCTCCGCCGCTCTATTCACAAAAGATCGCCTGCCTCTATGGGCCCTCGGTGCGTACGCTACGACGTGTGTGGAACAAACAGTGTAAGGCCTGTCGAAACACATCCTTGTGTCAAATGCAAGTTCACGACATGCGACGAATGTCGCATACACTGCGTGTTCAACAGCACCATTGAGCCCGAAGATGAGCCAGATGATTTGCCGACATACAGTGGTTTCGTCCTTCTTTCGAGTACTGATATGGGTATCCTGACACCGGCGCATCTCAATCTGTCCGGAGCCACGACAATCACCCCGTTCCATGACCGAGGCTATCTCGACACCCCATGGACAGCCCAGCAACCTGCCTATCTCGAATCGGTCGATGATATCCTCGATTTCAATCTTGGGCAAGGACCCCTGCGACTCGCGGATGGCTCTACCGCTCGACACCCATCCTCCGTCATCAAGGCGTCTTGGGAATATACGGAAGAGCGGAAACTGAAGATGTGCTTTAATTGTCGAGAGGGACAAAAAGTGGGCGAGTTCCATCCCGAGCAGCATGAGTGTGATTGTACCCTTCGTGAACACATACTCGGACGATGGTTGTGCCTAGAGTGCTTCCAAGAAGAGAGTCAAGCTATCAGGGACATCACCAAAGCCCAGATGGCTTTCAAATATCCGAAGCCCGACGTCAGGAGCAGCTGCTCGTATATTCGCTGCAGCTGTGGCAAATGCCTTAATGGCATGGGTCGACTTGTCTGCCTCTGGTGTAGAGGCATAATCCAGGAAACAGGTCTTTGAAAACATAGGAACCTCCCCTTTATGTTTCGCAGGAGAATTGCCAGGATTTCCGGATCGTCCGAATGCTCAAGCCTAGCAAGACTGAGTATGGAGGATCCCATGTTCGAGACTTTGACGACACAAGCGACACATTCCCCGTCGCAACGATATCTTCGAACTCTGCTTATTATTGCTTGCCAGCACGGCGTGGTGTCCCGCGTTCTTTCGGAGTTTACCGGCGCATTTGGATTATACCCACGGTCGCACGATTTATTACAAAAAAAGCTCTCCTCTCGATGTACATTGTATCACCACCTGTAACCATGATTTCACTTCACATTATTGCTTTCAGATACCTCTGTACTACTAAAATTTCACCAAGCTCGTAAAAGAGCGTAATGTCCGATACACAAGCTGACGAAACAAAAGCCCCAATTACTGTACAAGTCCCAAAATACTAGTTATTTCTGTTCACACGTCCTTGTCTTACCTGCATCTTCTGCACAGTGTTCTTGGCTTTTCTTCTCGATCAGGACTAGGTGGGGCACCTTCATGCAGACCAACTACTCGCTTACCAGCGCAGTGGGTCTTATACATATTTAGTCTGAGGGAAGAGACCTGTCATGTCTGCCGCGAATGACTAGGCCGCAGACCAACACCAAGTCTGTCGGATCTCGCCGACCTCAGGGCAAGTTGAAGATTCTTGTCTCGTCTCCGTCCCCATGAGCTGCATTACGACAGCTGCCTTCCCAACACTCCCCATGTCATCATGTTACAATCTATTTTATTGCAATATGTTCCATTTCGCTACCCTTATCTACTCGAATGTATCCCCCTCGTGAAACACCAAGCACCTAACCTCGATACTCTCCCTCCCCTCCTCCCCTCCGTCCCAGGGATACTAAACGCCGTGTGCGGCACCCTCCTTGCCCGCCCATCAAGCTTCGAATCAAAGCACTTTATCAGAATGACCTCTTCGGGCGTAAGTCCAGACTTATAGAACCACCTTTCCTTATCAGCACTCCATAGTCATCGCAGAGGGGGAAAACTCACTGATGTCCAGGGGCATACTTAACGCCGTACGTCTCCCCCTCGCGGTCCGGATAAATCAGCTTGGTCACTACCAGCTCGTCATCGCTTACACTGTGCGCGTCTGCGACGGCGAGCGGGTCCCGCTGCACGGTTTTTATCGGGCGCCAGACGTTTATAATTTGAACACGGTGCTTTAGCAGCTCTTCCGCTGCGTCAGGAAGATGGAAGGCGACGCGGGACTTTGCAGCGGCGTAGGATTGGTCTATGTGCACGCGTTGGACGGGGCCGCGGAGGGTGCGGTCGGGCGTAGTGGTTTCTTGGGTAGGGGGCTGCCGGCGGATGGTGTGGTCGAAGATGTGGATGTGGGATGCGCCTGTGCTAGTACACACTTAGATCTTCCGCCTTACTCCATGCTTGCTAAAACCAATCGCATCTCCTGCAATAGCCGGAAAGAAAGGGAAGTTTTGATGGCAAGACTTACGCGTCTTTCAACAACGCCTCCGTCTCAGGATAGTACTCCGCCCTAATCTTCTCATCGTCAAGAAAATCCTTCTCCTGGCTTACGTGCTTGTAGAACATGAAGCCTTTGTTATCCAGCGTGAACTTTTCTTCCGCCCCACGGACGTCTCGCACGGTGACGGCGTGCGTTTCTGGCTCGCGGTGGTAGGTTTCTGGCTTGTCTACGTAGGTTGGGGCGGGCGGCGAGCCATCGGCGTTGGGCTTGAGGTAGTGGAGTACGGTGTCTACGTCCTGCGGCTTGTTTGATGAGCTCGGTGTGATGTTGTTGAGAACTTGAGGGGCGAAGGAGGGCGTGGATTGAGGGTGTTGGATGGTGGCTGTGGCCATGATGCGCGCTTTGAATTATGCTGTTGTGTATTGGGAGTAGTGTTGGAGTGCGCGGTATATGCATAGGTGCATCGAGGGACGGGAAATACGCTGGTATATTCTGCCACGCCTCCTGCTCATTTTATATGGTTGGAGTTCTGACGTGGGACATGGCACAATATGTAAGCTTCCGAGGTGTTCTGACGTTCCCCGCAAGCACGCAATCTGCTGGACGAATAGGTGATTGTATTTCAAAGCTCCGCTGCAGCCGCTGATGGAAGTGATAGGTCGATTCTACGTATCATGTTGCATGGTTATCGATAGGGTGTATCAAATGGTGTGGTTGCTGATAAATTCAACGTCAAGTATGGATCGTGATAGGAGGAATGTGGGATTCGTGCGAACACGCAATTTTGGATGAGTCCAATTGTGTGTTAAGGTGACGAGAAAGAAGATAATGCATATTATAGTCTGTGTCCTATTCTAATCAATTGAGACACATGGAAGTGTTGCTCGCTAAGATGTGCTCAAGTGAAGAATGCTGCGGAGAAATGCACCGCGATACTGCGATTACCATGGTCTATTTCGGAACATGCACGAGGGTGGTGACACTGGTCCCATCTGCTAAAACACTCGTCTCTTCCTCAAGTCGATACCCTTTCCATCTGGGGATGAGTATAGTCCAGACGTACCAATACACTACTCCAAACAGAATTCTATTGCACCGTTAGCAATGATCTCGAAAGCACAGGGATGACTTACATGCTAACACCAACGACTGCATACGTAGCATACCAAATGCCACCAGCAGGTTTCTCTTTTGGTGGAAAGAAAGGTGCAGCAAGCAGTGCCAGAGAGAGCAGGATCCTGAATATGGGAGCTATAGTCCACGCCTTGAAGGGTCGTTTTAGATCTGGCCGTTTGTACCGCAGATAAAGTAGCCCAATTGAGAGCGCTAAAGCGAATATGGTGCCTGGGTAGCCCTCCACCTCTAGAATAAACGAGTAGACTTCATTAGATGGAGGTAGCGCGATCACTAACAGTGAAGGAATGTAGTGGACGATGAGAGCACCCATGGGTGCATTGAAGGGCTTGGTAGATGCGATGGCCTTCGAGAAGGGGAGGAAGCCTTGTCGCGCGATTTCTTGATTGAGACGAGCCTTGGCAGCGTTAGCAGATAGGGAGTGTGTATGTGGATGGGTACACACCAATGCGAACGTCACGACCATGACATTCCCAGCTCCTGAAAGTGCTACAGCAAGAGGGAGCACAGTCTTACCCCATTTCGGACCAAAGCTTTTCTCGAAGAAAAGTGCCGCGATGAGCTCTTTACTATGTCGAATCTCCTCCAAAGGAATTACCGTAAAATAAGCAATGTTGACGAGAAGATACAGGACGCAAGCTGAGACTAGCGAAGTAACGGATACCGATTTAAGCGTTCGGATTGGGTTCTTTACTTCGTTCAAAACATTGTTGATGTTCCCAAGGCCGGCGTACGAGTAAAACACTTTGAAAAGTGAGGTTGCGATGATGCCCCAATCCCAATTCGTGTCGGCCCATAGGTCTTCTCCGGTCGGAAAATGGCTTTTAGTGCCGTCGACGTTGCGCTCTTGAAAAGCAACGACGAAAAGCCCAGCGAAGACCATGAAGACTACTAGTCCGACTTTGATCCAGCCAAGAACGTTCTGTATCCATATTCCAGTGCGAAGAAAACATCCGTGGACGATGGTAATCGCGGTAAGCAAGCCGACGGCAAGCGATTTACGTCGGAAATCTGTAGCCTCGACATCGAACGCGAAGAGAGTATATTGCGCGAAGATGATGCAATTGCTTGCTGTGAAGCCGAGTAGCACTGCCTGTACAGCTACTAAAGTCGATGCAAGGAATCTCGGTTTGCGATACGTGAATTCGAGGTAGACTACGAAGTGTCAGTTATGCAACCCAAAAGGCACATATCAGAACGTTCGTTAAAGTCCAGATACGTGCGTACTGGGAACATACCCTTTTCGCCGCCTGAGCGAGGCAGCATACACCCATACTCTAGTGTCACAGCCAGACCACATGCGGCAATGACCGCTCCGACTACCCATAGAGACAAGCTGAGTCCCACGCTTCCCACGGATTTCACTATGACTCCCGGCGTTGCGAATATGCCACTTCCGATCACTCGGGAGATAACAATGATATAGGCGCTCGGCCAGCTGATGGTGCGTCCGAGAGTCGAGGTCTCCAGTAGGACATCGTCTTCGATGGAACGCGTGGTACCCTGTACAATCGAGCCATATGATTCTTCATCGCTATTGTTCAGCGTCTTTGAACTTCCAGTAAATGAAGGGGAACGTCCGAGCAAAGGCCGGTCTTCCTCCGCGTCCGTAGCCATCTCGTCGGTTATCGAATAACAGTTGTGATAAGACATTGTCGCGAAGCGGAATCTCCAGCATTTACGTTCGAGTAAAGCTCAAGGTAGGTTGCACAGGCAGGTTTCCACCGCACGCATTGTTGAGTCGACATGCTCGGCGCAGATGTCGAGCGTGTTGGGACAATTGTCAGCAGGTGGTCGCATCATCCGGAATGCGTATGTCGCGGATGTAGGATGGTGGTAAAGTTAGAGCTGTGCGTGTGGCTGAGGGTGTTGATTGGCTCCCTAGTCGTTCGTGATACATTGGGCCTGCAGCACGCCATTCTTAGCATCGTTGACGCACTGATCGACGAGGTAGGTAACACCGTCCCTTTTCTGTGTGGTCTGCCGAGGCTTCAAGTTGCCTCTGCCCCGACCTGACGGTATACTGACTTAAATCAGATTCTGTGCACATACTCCCAGAAGTTTGCTGATTTGTCACGTGATCATCTTTTTCACACTATGGTACGTAGCGCATGACGCTTAGCTCGATGTTTATCGTCCTACCGTCCGATGTTTGAGATCAAAATGATCAAAAGTACCCAGCTTGTCGATCGATCGAAGTGTTAACTGATGAAGCGTATTCGTAGTTCGCTCTTGCCAGGCACAGAAGTAGCTTATCAGTACGCCGCATTCCATCCATGCAAGGACGTTCATCCTTAAGATAACACAGGATCATGACATGGATGACTTCTATGCCCCCACACTCCTGACTTCGAATGTAAAAAAAACCTTCTCGCTGTTACACCAGTCATGGTCGGAAGAACCGGTTGTGATCCATGTCCAGAAGCTAGCAATGCGCACTACGTGACTGGCTCCCCTTAATGAACAATACATCCTTCCTGTATGGTAGGATTAAGCGAGTGAATAGAGATCCGGGGTAAGTGGGCCCGCGTCGACCCACTTGGGTTACATCATGCGTCAAGTGCGGGGAAGCTCAGCTACAAGCTCCCTTAAAGCGTCTCACATGTCGCATGCTCCCAAAGTACACGCCACGTCCTCCCTTTCGTCACCATCATGGCTTCCGGGTGGTTTGGAAAAGACAACGCGCCTTCGCGTCGGCCGGACGTGCAGATTCAGATAGCAGATCGCGAGCCAAACAACTTCTACTTGCCTAGCTCGAACAAGAGCACGCAGAGCACGCTGCCGCGCGCGCCTCCAGCGGGCTACGTGGATCCTACACACTCGATTCCCCACGTCCAGAACGCGTCTCTTTTTGATGTGGGCATCTTGAAGGACACGCTGGCACCGAGTCTTGGACTTCATTCTGGGTTGGCCATAATAGCTTGGGGTGCTGCAAACTACACCGGACGCGTTGAAGCAAAAGACTGGCTGTGGCCTAGTGGACAGGTTGTCAATGCTTGGTGGTCTGCCGTCGGACGCCGCGTGTACCAGGGACTTACACTCTCGCAAGCTCTTTATCGACTCTCGTGGCATGAGCGCCTCGTATTGACCGGTGTCACACTCTGGGGTGGAAGGTTGTTCTATCGCATCGCACGTCGATCGATCAAACGAGGAGAAGATGACCCTAGGTACTCCCAAGTCAAGCAAGACAAGGACTTCTGGGTCAAGTCGCTCTTTACGACGTTCTTGCCCGAGGCATTCTTCCAGATGCTCATCGCCTTGCCATTCACCGCGCCTTTCCGACACGAAGGCGCTGTTATGATGGGATACCATCCCATGGTTCAGATGGCTGCTGTAGGACTTTTCTCCACCGGCTTCGCTTTAGAGACTCTAGCCGATTACCAGCTTGACCAATACAAAGCTGAGGGCGGTACCGGTATCCTGAAGGAGGGTGTCTGGAGCATCGTGCGCCACCCAAAGTAAGTTTAGTCCACGAACCTATCCAGCGCTGTACTAATCTTTATATCCAGCTACCTCGGCGACGCCTTCGTGCACCTCTCCTTCATCGTCCTCCTCTACGGCTCCGACATGCTCGCTCCAGTCGAGCTTCTAGGTCCAGTCGCAAACTACGTTTTCCTGCGCTATTTCGGCGGTGACAACCAGAAGGAGAGCTATCAAACGCGCCGCTACTCCGAATCGCACCCAGCCAAGTTCGCTGAGCTGCAGAAGTTCCGCGAAGAGAAAAACGCGTTCTGGCCGACAACCCAGGAGCTCACAAACAGCTGGCTATGGACTGTTGTTGGTGTTGGAGCTGCTACTGTGGCGGTCGAAGAACTCCTCAGAACCTTCCATTAGATTGATCTTGGGGGGATGCTGGTGTTACTGATGGCTTGGAGGGCGTTAGGACCTCGATTCTCAGCTGGTCTTCCTTTGTGCAGGTTTATATTAGTTCAACAAGCGAATAAAACCAATTGTATTACAACATGTCGGGCATCCTTCGTTCGTATCCTAAATAGGACATGCGAGCATGCATTTGGTCAGCAAGCTGTAGCCTGCGGAATTAGTACCGCGTATTCTAGCGGAGAGTCCGCGGGTGTGACTAATGGACATGCTGATTACTTATTTTACTTGTTTGTATACCTCCTCGGACCTGCAAATGCCCAAATTTACGAATGTTACCGGCGCTGTGTTGTTCCTGCATCGGATGCGGAATACCGCAATGAGCGGCTCGGAGCCTGCTTTAGGGAAACAGTCACTACCTCCTACAGAACGCACCGCATGAACATCTAGCTGGTTCGTCCGCCCGAAATTGGTCTTCCAATGTTTGTGTACGAGTGAATCCTTCCGGCCACGGATGAACAGACTTTTGGCGACGTGTTCTATTCGACGATGCATTTGTAAAGCCCCCACTTGTGTGCGACACATGCGCACTTTGCAGCACGCTACCACAAGGGCGTAGCCAAGAGACGTACACAACGCGAAGTACAAATAGCAAGGCTCACACCACACAAAATTTGGAAGCCATTGAACTCAATCTCCCCAATTATCTACTCCCGAATTCCATCCACCTTCAAATTCCAAAATGTCCGCCCCCAAGATCCACCTCTACGCCCTCGCAGGCGCCTGCTCCGTAGCCCCGCACATCCTCCTCCACGAAGCGAGCCTCCCCTTCGACAAAACAATCTACAACAAAGAAGACCTCATGAAACTCGGTGGCTACCCCGACGAACTCAAGAAGCTCAATCCCAAAGCCAAGGTCCCCGTCCTACGCGTCGACAACGAAGTCATCACGGAGAACCCCGCCATCTTCACCTACATCTCCCAGCTCGCGCCGCAAAAGCACCTCCTCGGCAAAACCCCCCTCGAGACAGTCCGCGCCTACGAATGGCTCAACTACCTCTCCGGAACGGTGCACGGGCAAGCGTACGGGATGTTCTACCGCCCTGGACGGTGGGTCGACGTGCAGGATGGGTCGCTTGATAAGCATGTGGCGGCTAGGGCGAAGCAGATGATTCAGGAGGTTTACACGTACATTGATGAGAAGCTTGAGGGGAAGACGTGGGCGGTTGGAGATGATTTTACGGCTGTGGATGCGTATCTGTATATTTTTTATAGGTGGGGGGCTGGGCCGGCGGGGTTGGATATGGAGAAGAGTTACCCGAATTATGCGAAGATTGCGAAGAAGGTTGCGGAGAGAGAGTCTACGAAGGAGGTGTTGAAGGCGGAGGGGCTTAACTAAACGGGCGCGAGAGGCCGTCTACGCAACAGGTGCTGAAGGCGGAGGGCCTCAATTAAACGGTTGCAAGAGGTTCCAGTGCGGGCTGTTTGTCGGGGCAGTGACAAGATTTTATCTACCTCGCAACATCGAATGATATCACCTCAGACTTTGCCAGAGAGGTTAAGATCTCAGCTCTCTATCACTTGATATTCTCACGTGTTGTTTGTCCTCTTACCTTTGCGGGGCCTGCGGGCATTATCAAGGCGTCCCTCGTCCTAGTTTGCCTTCTTTCGCAACACATCGTTCGTCAACGACACAATCTTCACTTCATCCTGCTACATCATAGCTATTAGCAATCCTTCTACTCGCCACAACTGCAAACCCGAGAGCGAATCATCACACGTGAGTTCGATACTACTCGCGTCCCCCTCGAGCAACGGGCTTGAGACTGACGCGACCGAATAGTTATTCACTCTACATCCTGAAGCAATCGCTTCTTAGGAAACACCATGGCGCTAGATCGACACGATGTGTCCAAATGGGCAAACGAAGAGTTTCCTGAAGACTTCGCAGCACTTCCCTCTCGCCAACCCCTTACTTTCGTAAAACAGATCGAAGTCGGGGTGGCAGGGATCCCCAGTTCTCACCAGTCTTCCCTCCGGGGGAATGAGACGACTAGTTTACATCTACTTCGCGTCGGACGATACGACAGAACCTCAAAGCCATCAGGAGATGCCCCTGTAGCATACGCCTTAATCTGCCCGGAAAAGAACACCGGACAACCGTCGTTCCGAAAACTTCGCTATCTATGTGACGTTCATAAGGATAGACAGAGCATCGACATCACTAGCGATTACCGAAATATTCACTGGGAGACTCCATTTTGCAAGATGCCCGACGGAAACTGCGCTACTAGCAAAATACTCATTGATGTCCTCGTCTATTATTATTTTCTTGCGGCTGGTCGTTTGGATGGCGTACCTCACCAACACCAGTGTCAAATCTGTCTATCTCCATTCTTTCGCGACAACTTCAGGGCAGCGTGCGCTTGGGTCAAGAACGAAGGCAGAAAGCCACTCACCAAGCTGAAGGATATGCCCAAGATAGTACAGCCACCGTGGTACGGCCAGCATGAACCGCATGACTCAGCAGACCGTCATGCTGGAGGAGATGAGGGAGCAAACAGCGGTCAAGGTGCGGAGATCACACCTGCATACTCTACGTTGTGTACAGACTGCACGCTAACAACTTCCCAGGCTCTTCCAAACCTCTAGTGGTGGCAGCCAACGCCAACACGACAGAAGCCCCTCCATCCCAGCTCAAGCCTGCGCGGCGCGAGTTAGACGAAGCTTGCGATCTCATAGAAGAAACTAACAAGCGCTTGAAAACGGAGATTGAGGAGCTGCAGAGTGACAAGCAGCAATGGGAGGCCACCAAGAAGCGCCTCGAGGATGACAAGTGGACGCTCAGAAAAGACCTCTGTCGGGAGCGCGAGAGCATCGGAACGCTCAAGAAAGAGCTGAAGATTGGATACGATGCACGCGTCGCCATGGAGAAGCGTGCCATCCAGGCTGAGCAAAAGGTTGTGACTTGCGGGACCCAGCTTGAGAAGGAGAAGGCGATTACGGTTCGAGCACTGGGGGAAAAGGCGAGGTTGGAGATCGAGCTGCAGGATCTGAAGTCGGCGAAGAGATCTTGAAGCACAATGCTGATGAGCTTGGCGTCTACGCCCCTTCTGAGTTCCTCTTCAATAGCATTGCTGAAGAAGTTCGGGTCTGGGATTTGCTCTAGCTCGGTCACCTTCCTGCGGGCGAAGTACCCGTGGGAGCAATTAGAGACTGACATGATTTCTTCGGGTTAAGATACTCTTATTCTACTTTCTGTATGCAGACATATAATCCATTTCATTTTGTTCTCGGTCAATCATAGCCGTGACGCGTTGCCCTCATCATTCACTTCTCACGTGCAGCTCGACCGTGTTTGGCAAGTGCCGCGTTTGCCCAAACAAATAACGCGTCGCCTAAACCTCTCATCTCGCATTGTCAACACCGCGACGGGGTAACTTGCCGTCACCATTATCAGCTTAGTTCGCTGTGCGCTTCGTCGTGGTCGCGGGTAAAACACCTCTCTCCCAATGGTAGCATCATCAGGCACTTAACAGCGTAGATTCACTAATCATGATACAGACAATGGCCGAGGGAAGCTCGACCCAAAAGGTCTGGACCTTGGAAGCAATCCGCGACTGGGCCCTTAATGTGTTCCCCGATGCGTTCGAGGCGCTACCCAATGTCGCAACCCTCGATTTTGAGAACTTGGATGCCGAGAGGATAAAGAACTCACACTTCCGACTCCCCACGAGTGTTACAAGCAAATTGCTGGTCATCGGACTGTACGACGGCTTTGTATCAGGTCCAAAAGACAAGGTACTCGCCTTCCTCCATGGCGAGCATTGCAGTGAAGTGGGGTATATCCGGGAATGGTCCAACTCGACTTCGAAGTACTACATCAAGGTTTCCTTAGAGGCAATGACCAGAGTGGACGTTGAGGAGCCTCTGTGCAACATTGCCGACGGAACGCAGAGGGCCACATTGACGAGACTGAAAACACTTGTGTGTTATTACTTTTTGGCATCTGGACAGATCTCCCAGTTCGGTGACTACGAACCTTTCACGAGAGAGTTTCAAAAAGCGTGTGTCATGATACAGCATGGACAGGTCAAATCGGCCGGCTCGCGCTCAAAACCAGGACATCATTTCCCGTACTCTCAAGTTCCTATGGATGCCACTGTTAGCGCTCATGATGTTTCCGAAACCGACACGGTCTTCGCGAAGACAGAAGATCTTGGTCATTTCATGTCCGATGATACCACTGTTACCTCGCCTGGTGAGTCGGCCCAACTCCATGCGAACCAACCCGTTCACTCGCTGACCGCATAGTAGACCTCTCTGACGCCCCGATATTATCCGGGACCTCAACTATTGCTAAGCAAGCTGGGAAACGTCAGCCTCCCGACAGAGCAAGCGTTGAATACATGCTCCGTAACGTCAACATGGCATACACGAAGCTGGAGAAAGGCAGCAAGCGCCTGAAACTCGACATGAACGAGGCCCGAGCCAGAGACGCGGAACTTATCACGGAGCTCAGAGCCGAGAACTCGAAGTTAATGGCCAGGCTCAAGGAGCTTTCGGCCCAGGATGCTGGTTCAAGGGAAACCATTGGGAAGTCCATCATGGAGAGGAACGAAATGCAGGATCCTACCGAGTCGCATAACGAGAAGGACGGATACGCCCTAGCTCAGCTGCATAACATCCACAAGTGGCGTCTTGCAAAAGCCCAGGAAGACCTCAGACAAGCGGGGCGAAAGGCGAAAAAAATCTTCACGTCCACGGAAGAGTCATATGCATCATATTCACAAGAGATAAAGCAGCTTCAAGCGGAACTCCAAAAGGAGTCGGCACGTGCAGATGCAGCCGAGAAGAAGCTGGCAGAAGTCCGAGCTTGTGTTGGATACCGAGATTAGAAGCAGTGCATGGGCAACTCCCAGAGAAAGAAAGTTGACATGTCCAATTCTCTGTTGGATATGCTATTGAGAGTTTTCTGGCAGGTCCTGATGAGCATTGCTGATCATTGTTCTTGCTAGGCTTTCGAAGATTGGATAGTACGAAGGTTTCGCGTTATGAATCGCAAGGCGAAGTACATGTGTTAAGGTCTCATAAAGTTCGAAAAGGCAGCTTCCAAAAGCCCTGTGTATGTAGTGCAATGTTTTTCAATTTGTTCAACTGTAAATCAACCAAAGCGGTATTGACTCCGAGAGGTGTCTCTATCTAGCAGCTCGGTTACCTCAATTTTTTCGACTGAGACATATCTGCTTTAGAAACCTGTCACCACTATTAGCGAAGACTTTTCCGCGACACGATCCGTAGTCGTGGAACCAATACTGATGCTAATCAAACACGAAAGGAAGCGGCTCTCCGCTCTCGTTGAATATACCATTTGCCTCATCTGCTCTGGCGGCACAGCTCAACTGGTGCCCCACTTGATATTAGCCCAAGGCAGACACATCCTGGATTAGAAACACACCATACTAAGCTCAGAATAAGAACACACCTGCTGTAAATAGCGATGATGCCTCTTTCGTGGCTCGACGATCTGAAACTTACTCTTCCAACGGATTTCTTGAAATGACGAGGAAAAGGGTTATCGTATGCCGCGCGACACCTCATCCGACTACGAATTCACCATGAACAACGGAGCCACAAGTGACACACGGCAAGGCCAGTTTGATAGCAGACTTCGCGTCGGGTTCATCATCTACCGAACCGACTACCACGACGACGCACAATGGGATCGTTTCATGGCCTATCTCAACAACCAACCGCACACTGGGCTCGCCGACGATGGTAGGAGCGTTCATATATGGGTTGAAGGATGTGCTGCTATCTGGAGATTCTCAATACTTCTTGAGCTGAGTTGAAAGCCAGCGCTATTACTAGGTTTAGGTGATGGCGTATGATCATGGCCGGGGAAAACATTTGGTATTTGGACATGAGGGAATGATAAAATAGTTCCTCGGTATGTGTATTCGGGACTATACCCCAGAACGAATTCATTACATTTTGACTAGCTCATCAACCCGACTAATTATAGCACTGTACCACGACATTGGGCAACACGCGCCGAACCTAAAATGCACCACAACTCCGCCTTTTCCCGCAGCGCCTCTCATTCGCATACCACACGAGTCATTTCTCATCTCAAAGTACCAGTCAAGCGATACTACACTATGCTACCAGTGCAGACCTAAATCACGCCTACAAATTCTTGAAGTAATCGTCCCCACTCATTTTCCTCAGAAGATTGGGATAGTCATCCGGGAAGCTCATCGGCTTCCAAAAGGATTTGGGTTTCCACGACTTCGGATCAGAATAATCAGACGACCACGGCTTCGTCCACTCGGTGCGATACCAGCCATCTGATCTGAAGAGCGGCTTATGGGAATGGGCCTCGTCGACGCTGCTCGGGGCGATCCGCCATGCAGCGAAGCTATTGACATCCGTTGGGACGTGCTTGGTCACGTAGGCCTGATAGACCTCGTCGGCGGACGCTTGCAGCGCCTCCTTCATGAAGCGGACGTTCAGCGCGTTCTCCGGCTCGAAGAGCTTCGTGTCGCCGAAGGCTGCCCAGCGGTCGCCGCGCTGGTTCACTACCGTCAGCCCGCGGATGTTGTCCTCGTCGTGCATGAACTTGGAGCATGCGTCGGGCGCAATGGCCGCGATGTCGCCGGTGTGCAAGAGTATCTTGGCTGAGAGGTACGACAACATAGCGGGCGCCTTCATGCCCGTCAGGAAAGCGTCAGTCTTGGAGTGCGCGTTGACGCCTTTGCACACTTCTTGATAAAGGTCGTTGAGGGCCTTGCATACATTGTCGATGGCCTCGCCCGACGCGTGTAGTTTGCGGCGCGGGGTGCGGATATGGCCAGACGCAAAGCAGTCGCCCAAGTAGTGGTCTGCGAATGCATTCATGGCGTAAGCGATTTCGAGGTTGCCCGCTGCTGCGGTACGCATGGCGCAGGTGTGGCCGGCATTGTAGGCGGTATGAGCATCGTCACCGAAGTGGTCCAGGTTGAGGAGCGCCATGCGAGCGTACGAGGGACCGTCGCGCTCCATCGTGGCCCCGGTCAGCAGCTCGTCGGTTTTGGTCACAGGGATGAAAGACACGCTACCCTTGTCGTTGTTGCTCATATCTTTGTAGGCCTGTTTGGTTGACTTCTGGCCGGCGATGGCATCTCTGACTGCTTGTGTCTCTTTGGCGTTGATGCTGTCAATGGTGGATGCTTCTTTGCGTCCAGTCTCAGCTTTTCCGAGGAGATTATATGCGTCCATGAAGTATTGGCATTGTTGGTCGAAGTTAGACCCAGTACATATGGGGTTGTTTGTCGCAAAAAAGTCGCCCCCTAGGCCGTTTACTTGACCGTAGGTGAGCATCGTGCCGTTCTCGAGCGTCAATTTCCTGTCACCGGCTACGACGGTTTCAGAATCGGAAAACTTCAGTCTCAGCCGATCACCAAGGATACGATGCTCGGCATAGTTAAAGTTATACACCTGTGAGTAGAGACCGATCTTAGGCGTGCCGTCCTCTTCTCGAGCGGACGGCCCAAGGGCATACTTGCGGCCAAATTGGTAGACCAGGCGAGCAGGATCGCTCTCAAACTCTGGATAAGCCTCAGAAGTAGGCTTTGGATTGGTGGTATCGATGATGAGTGATTCGGCCTCGGACTTGAAAACTTGAAAGTACGGCTCTTGCTCAGCTTCCTCAGTCACGATTAGGCAAAAGTCTGATGACCATGCTGGGTGTCTCTCGGGCTTTCCGTCTTTGGTCCACGCAATCTGATACCTATCGGACATGAATTCGCGCTCGAATTCGTCCATGACTTTGGTCTTGGGCTCCTTTTTGGCAACCGGTGCCTCCTCGACGGGAATGGCAGGTTGTGTCCCGTTCGAGGCATCTTGTTCTTCTTGCTTGACGGCCTCTTCCAGCATTTTTGTGATTTCAACGTAATGTTCAGGCTCAGCACAGTGGGTGACAGCATCCCAAAAACAGAGAAGCTGTCGTGCGGTGAGTTGTTCCTGCTCGGCATCATTCTGCTCCTCGGCGTGTTTCTCGTCGGCCACCTCGGCGATCTGCACCACAGGCTTCTTCTGCCCCAAGACGGGCTCCGGTGTGGATACTGCAATGGTTTGAGCGTGATCAGCCATGATGAAGCACAAGTAATCTGAGTGATGAAGGAGACGAAGGGGGGAACGAATGATCCAGGACAGATAAATGGATCGAGATGCTTTAGACTGGAAAGTTGTACCTGAGGTCTGTGGATTTGCAACATGATGGTGGACACGCCTTATATGCTGTCGCGTTCTTTGATACTTCCCAGTGCATTCGTCGCAGCTGAAGCAGGTTGCGTGACAGCAGCAGACTTAAGCGGGCAGAACGGGCGCTCCGTTGCCGCAATAGGCAATCACATAAATACGCTGTCTCTTGAATAGTACTAGTATGCTAGATTAGGCTTAAGAGAAGTTCTCGACTTAGTATGGCGCTTTTCAGAGATACCCTAGAGGGTCGCGTAACGTGGAGAGAACTATCACATATGCATGCATACCTGTTCTTAGCCTTGCCGCGTGGTGTGGCTGCCTGAAGGTAGCTGAGACGAAGCCATTGTGGCAGATTGCGGTATGTGGCGCTGCGGGGAGCCCGCTTCGGTCGTATCAAGATACAGTCCGCACACGATTGTTGTTTCGTTTCTTTGTTACTATCGCCAATGGATCTCCAGTGAGTCGGAAAACCATGGCTGGAGCGTGCAGCGCCCATGACCGTGAATCTTATAACTTGTATCGACAAGTAGGTTTCCGCCAGGAAGAATGGCGTACTCAGAGGCTGGTTCTGTCGCTCATGTAGGAGGCTTATCTGGTGAAGCGAATCACTTCTGCAGTCTAGAACGATGAATTTCGCTTCGCTCGCTAGAATTGCCTTGAGCATTGCATGATGCAGCGCAAGCACGAGTCTAGATGCGCAAGCCTATAGCGGCCATGACAGGCACAAGCGAGCGTCCAGAATCCAGAGCACAGGTCCGAGCGAGTGGGGCCAGTCAACACCATCTTGGAGCTGTCTAGTAGATAGCATGGTCGGCTTCTTCTTTTGGTCGAAAGGGGAATAAAATCATGAATTCTCAGGGAAGGATCTAGCGGCACTGGATGGATGGTCCGCAGATGCGGGGGGTTGCTGTGAATGAGGGCGCAACGCGGATCTCCGAATAAAGTCTCGGGAGTCTCTAGCATGAAATCCAGCATCGAGACGTTAAGTGATGCGAATTCGAAGCGCATTGAAGACTGTTACTCATAACGTCTGAACCGAAGTCGCTCTGCTGCACAGGGTAAAGGACCGACCTCTAGGTTAGAAGCGAGCCGTATAGTTTACGAAGAAGACTATTCACAATCACAACAGTGATCACGCAGTGCCTAAAGAGACCACACATGCACCCAGGCGATGGAACAGATTAGAAGATCCGCGAAACACGTCTCAAGCCGCACCCAATCCGATCCGACAACTACGGAGAAGCTGGGCGCCTCCCATCAAGACTCTTAATTCTTGTCTACATGGACCTCCTAGGACCCTTCTAACAACCCCAAAGCACTGCACCCTCTACCACAACCCACAACCTCTCTACGCCATCCCACCATTAACCAACCTCCCCACTCCCCCACCGCCTCCTCAAAATCATCAAACGCCCTAATCGGCAGTTTCGCCCTGCGCAACACCTCCTGCCCCTCCTTCTCATTCGTCCCCCAGCCGTACCACAACCGGCTTCTCTATCCCCACCTCCTTAAACGCCATGATGATGCCTTCGGCAATCATATCACACAGCGTCAACCCGCCGAAGATATTGACGAACACTACAGACACGCGGGGATCGCTGAGCACAAGCTTGAAAGAGGTTTTGATAGTTTGGGACGTCGCTTTTCCGCCTGTGTCGAGGAAGTTCGCGGAGGAGGTGTAGGGGAGAGCCGCGCGGCGAGGACGTCGTTTGTGTTCATTGCGAGGCCTGCGCCGTTGACGAGGGTGCCTACTAGATTCCGCGGTTTCTCTTGCGGTGATGAGGGTGGGGTTTGCGTGGCCTTTGGGAGGTGGTTCCGGGGAAGGTGGGGAGTCGAGGGGATGAAGACGATGCCTGCGGCTTCGGCTTCGCGGTCTATCGCGCTGATGGAGGCGGTGTCGCGGAGGGCGTGCAGGTCTGCTTGGCGGTTGTTCGACTTGAAGGCTGCGTCGTCGAAGAAGAGGTAGGGGGAGTATATTTGTACTTCATCTTTGTCTTCGGGAATTGAAAGCGAGAGGGTGGCGGTGATGGCTTCTTTCTCTTTGTACAGCTTCCAGAGGTTTGAAATCAGCTCTGCGGTCTGGGCCTTTGCTTTCGGTGGTGCGGCGTCGAGTTGCAGGTACGCGATTGCGTCGTTGATGGTGGATTGGGATGGGCCATCGCGGTAGTCGAAGGGGAAGTGGCGCGCGCGGTTCGGGATTTGGGCTTGGAGGGCGGTTGGGGCGGCGATGATGTTAGGGGAGCGAGCGGAACGGGCGACGGTTATGCCGACGAAGTGATTTGATTCTGGAGTTGATGATGGCGTGGGAGAGACTCTGATGCTGTATGATTGGAGCAGGTTGGCGGATTGTTGGGCGTTGATGTGGAGGGCGCGCTTCTGCTGTGTTGATGGAGGCGGAGATGCTGGGATGGGTCTGCGTGGGAAACGGGATGCTGTGTGATATGCCCGGCGTTGCTGTGCTTGGGCTGCTGATTGTTCCTACACTACAGTTAGCACCATTGGAAACAATCTCACTCATTCTCACTTACGATCTTCTTGACATTCCGTCCAGACTTCGCGAGAATCTCTTTCATCACCGTCCCGAACTTCGCTGGATGATCGACCATAGTCACGCCCACGCTCTCCAGCGCCCTATACTTCGACTCCGCGGTACCCTCTCCAATGCCCACCCATGCACCTGCGTGTCCCATGATCCGTCCCGGCGCCGCCTGGAAACCCCCTATAAGTGCAGCAATAGGCTTCGGATCCTTGGCCCTCTTCCTATAGTCTCTGATCCAGTCCGCAGCCTCCTCCTCACTCGTCCCACCCAGCTCTCCTACCAGGATAATAGCCTCCGTATCGTCGTCATGTTCAAATACTTTCAAGGCATCCACGTGATTCGTCCCAGCAATGACATCGCCGCCCATGCCGATGCACAGACTCTGACCGAGCCCCGCCCTTGTTAGACTAGCCACAGTCTCGTAAGAAAGAGTCCCGGATTTTGCAATGATGCCGACGTGTCCCGGAGAGAAAGTAGGAAGCGGCTGGAAACCAATGCGGCATTTCCCTATGGCGGAGATGATACCAGGAGCGTTGGCGCCCACAAGGCGAGATTTTGACTGCGTCTGCAACATCGAGTGAATCTATCCACGATCAGCACATTCCCTACCTTCTTACAGACACAATCAATGAGAAGAAACTCACCCTCATGATATCATGCAACGGGATATGCTCCGCAACCGCCACAATAAGCGGCACCTCCGCTTCAACCGCCTCTTCAATCGCGGCCGCCGCCTGTGGCGCCGCAACATATATCCCCGTCGCATCCGGCTTCACCTCTTTCATCGCATCTCTTACAGTTGCGAAAACAGGCCGTCCTAGATGCTCTGTACCAGCCTTCTTGGGATTTGTTCCGCCGACGACATTGGTGCCCCATTCCATAGACTCTTGTGCATTGGCGGTGGCTTGCTTTCCAGTGAAACCCTGGAAGATGACTCTTGTATGGGAACCGATCTTGAGGTTTTGAATCGTATCGTCATATCCCTCTCTTTTCACACTCCTTGAAAAAGCCCTTCTCGTCGCCGAATTCGCGAGTATCCGCGCGCCTGTGCAGCGCGTGCGATGTGCGAGCATGACGCCACTTTTCCTCTATCCCACAACCTTCCAAAAGGGATTTTCGGATCTAGCTCTTCAATGGACCAAGCCTGGCTTCTAGATATTCGGAGTCTAATTGAGGTAATATGTCTTTAATGCATGATGTTGTGAGCGATGTAGCCTCGGTGCTGTAATTCTGTGCGACGTCGGAGTAGAGAGCGCGTTCGGCTATATGAGCAAGTAGCCGACGCGCCCCTCCCTGTATGAGCGTCACCATTGCGGGTCGTACCGATCCGAGGTACTACCGCACATTAAGACTAGATAGAGGTGCAAATGCGCTGGCCGAGTGTGAACCGATCATGCGAAGAGTATATTCCTCGATCTCAAGATGAGGAACGAATGTGGTCGCACAAGCTTAGGCTTGCAGAAGGATGTGATTATCGCGTTCGTTAGCTACCTAACATCGACGTACCAATCCACCCTCCCAGTGTGGTATCGTATCCATGATCGTACAGCGGTCGGCCAAATGAAGTTTTGTGAAGTGGAAGGAGTGCAAGTGCAGGGGAGGGAACATGGATTATAAATATCTACTCAGCAGCCGTCTCGCGAGCGAATGTGAGGGTGCAAACAGGATAATGCAGTCAACTCGATTCTTCCAAAACGCCTCGTCGAAATCTCCAAGCCCGTACATGAATCAAGATTGAGAAAGGGTGGTATCAGATGGGAAAGTGAAAGCTTTAGAAGTCGGAGCGCGAGTTGTACGACGCAAGTCGTGTTGTCTCATGCGGCGAAATTCGCGAAGTAGCTGACAGCGGTCCTGGGTTGAGTTAGCAATGTTTGCTCAGACAGTTGTGGTGAGTGCGTACGTGATGGCCGTCATGACGGCGACACCGACAAGAGCCCTCCTTGTGACCTTCTCCTTCGCGAGCTTCTGCTCCAGTGTGGACTGAGTCCTGGCGAGCTTCGCAGGGCGCTGCGGTCGTTCGGCAGCCTCGTCCTCGCCCAATTCCTCCGCCTTGCGCTTGGACACGGCGCCCTTGGTCGCATCAACTCCATCGAGCTTGTTGGCCTCTTGTACCATAGCCCTCGCTTGCTTGATGAGTTCGGCGGGGTCTTCAGGTTCCCGGAGCTCGGGGTGATCAGCCGGTACATCGACCTTGACGTTAGTGGTCTTCGTCTCGATATCGCCGTCCTGCTCAACCGTCTCTTGAACTTCGATGCGAACCGTCTCTTGCTCCTTAGCCTCACCATTAGCAGGCCCGGTTGCTACCAGAGTACCGTTCTCGATGACGTTCTGCAGATCGCCAGCTGCCGCGCCTGTTGCCGTCTCGACAATCTCCATCTCCTCTGTCTGAACCACCTCGGATGTCTTCTTCGCGCGCGGTTTTCGCGGGGTGGCGATCTTGCGACTTGGTGTTGCCATTTTGCTCGGGGAAGCTGAGCGCGTTGACCGCGCGCGTGTGGAGGCGCGGAGCTTAGGAGCGTCGAATGAGGCTGAGGGGACTGCGCTCGGGTCGAATTTGGGCGGCATTTGAATATGCGTGGTGTGCTTGTCCTTGTTGCCCTTCTCGATTGGAGTGGGGTCGAGGAGCGCATCTATCCAATGGCGCATGCCATATTCGTCTGCAAGAGCCAGTGCTAAGGTGAAGGTGGTCAGTGATGCGCCTAGGCGGGGACGTTGGCGAAGTGAGATTACCTTCTTCGGGCGCAAGCCACACGCTGCCAGCGACCTCCTCTTCGCCCGCAGAATGAAATTTCTTGTGGTGTGCGCGTTCGGCTTCTTCCTCCTTGGTCAAAGCCCAAGGGAAGGCAGCCTTGAACATGCCAGTTGCGCTGATGTAGCCATCGCTGCTCCGTCGCTGCCCGTCGCGTCAGTCGATCGTGTACCCGTGAACCGCTATTTTCATCTCCATACCATCAAAAAGTACGATTCCGGATACGAAGCCGTGTTCTTGAGCGCGAAAATTTCCGACCCGCTCAGATCCTTGGGCAAAGGTACTCGCAAATGCGCGTAGTCAAACGTGCCCTTCTCGGCGCCCTTGATGTTGCTGACATTCGGAATCTTCATATTGAGCTGCGTTTGGCCCAATCGTCGCCGCTCAATGAGAATCTCGACTGCGACATGGTCAGTGACGCTGCGCGTAAAACGCGATTACGAACCGTGTACGTACTTGGGGGCGAGTGTTCCGGCACGACGAGAGGATTCCTCCCCTCAGGAAGCGTGCGTCGCGAAACCATTTTCAAAGTACCAAGCCGGGTTTACAACAGAAAAATGTTGAGCCGATGCGCGCAGCGCGGTGGTGGATGTAGACGGCGACGAAGCACGTTCGCGCGCGGTATGGACGGAGACGCTCGGTCGCGTAGACGGCCCGAAGCAGCTGTGCACAACAAAGTGATCGCTGCGACGCGAAAGAGGCTGCTTTGAGGATGCTCTGGCGACTCGTGTCGGGGAGTGCTGAAGTTGCAAGGGCAGGAGCAAAGAGAGAGGAGGAGTTCGCGCGGCGGGCGTGGATCCCCTGTTCTTGCTCGATCGGGGGCTGGTAATGGTTGACCCGGCAAATAGCCAAGCTTTTCTTCCCCAGATCTGACCGAGCCTGCCGACCGAAGCACGACGGCAAATATTCTGATTGCCTGTTCGGTATGCTCTCTATATTTCAAGGGTATTCATTGGTGGCTAAAGGTTCCCTCCCCGGCGCGCTGAGCTGGCAGGAACGCGATCAGTCCTGGCATGGCTTGCAGCAGCGTAGCGTGTTAGGAACGCTGCCGCGCAAACACCGTCTAGGCTCTCGGCTCATCGATTGTCCTCTTGAAGGTCGACCAGAGTGGGCGATGGGAACGACTGGACAGTGCCGCGAGCTTGTCCTCTGCCTTAGTCGCCATGAAATAGCAGTCCCGGAGCCCCATGCTGAGGCCACGTGATGGAGGAAACAGTACGACGACGCGTTGGATCGCGTGGAGGGATGGAATGCCAGACATTTTTTACAATGAATAGCATGTGGATCTGAAGGTCTGTGACAATTGCTCGGAAGGAGACGTGGTGACACTTGGTGTGAGATAGCCATAAAGACAAACAAAGGCAGTCACTCGTTGGTCTGAGATGCTTGCACGTGTCTCAGCAACGTCCAGGGCTTCCATTACGCCACAAAATTCGCCATAGGCTTCGCCGGCGTCATTGAATGGCTAGGACCCAGTTTCGATCATATGTTCTGATGCCAAATTCAGACTCGCTTGGGTTTGCGATTGCCAGAACCAATTTCAAACGCCAGTGGGTCGAGATACACTACATTGTTGCAACATGATCAATGTACGATGCTATCGCTTCGATGGGCTGAATGATTCTCTGTGTCTCCCTGGCGCGATATGACCTCTATAGAACAGCTCCAAATACCATGAAGAAGGTCTTGTTGCAATATCCATACCATGGAGCAGAGTCTAGATAGCGCACACGGCGCGCTAATGCAGGAAACTCGGTGGCGCGGTCAGGGACTGGCACCAATGCGGGCAACGGCGGGGCACGGGGCGCGAGTTTCAGGCGGTGAATGAAGCCCCCACCAAAACGTCCAGACGCTCAGAATCTCACTTCAGCCCCTCTTCCACACACGTACACTGCTCAATTGTACACCGTCCTTCTGTCACTTGTCGTCTGTCATAAGCAGCCTCATCGATACCCCTGAACCTTTGCGCAACCATGGCCGATCACGACGACCTGCACCCTGAGCCCACCGAGGGCTTCAAGGTCGGCGAGAAGAAGACGATTGATGAATACCAGCAGCTAGGTGCGTCCTTCCTCTCTTGCATCTTCTTCCCCTCCACCGAGCTCTCCGCAGCTTCCTTCCCCAGTATCCCACCAAAACCCCAGCTAACCACATACCTGTAAACAGACCAGAACGACGAGTCCCTCCGCAAGTGGAAAGAGTCACTCGGCCTCGGCGGCGGCAAGTCAATCAGCGACCCCAGCGACCCACGTAAATGCATCATCCTCTCTCTCGGCCTCGAAGTCGAAGGCCGCCCCGATATCATCATCGACCTCAAGACGCCCGGCGCACTCGAGAAGCTCAAGGACCAGCCGTTTAGGATCAAGGAGGGCGCGCAGTTCAGGATGAAGGCGCAGTTCAAGGTCCAGCATGAGATTCTCGCGGGCTTGAAGTATCTCCAGAAGGTCAACAAGGGCCCGTTGAGCAGTAAGATGCAGGAGATGATGGTGAGTTTGACATATAGAGGGGTGGGACATCGAGTAAGGGGAGCATAACGCTGACTTTGGGGTAGGGAAGCTATGGACCTAGTACGGAGGAGAAGCCTTTTTACGAGAAGAAGTGTAAGAGATCATTGATATGCTGTGGGAATTTTCCTGTGCTAACAAGGGACAGTCGAGTCTGAGACCGCACCTTCCGGTCTGCTCGGTCGCGGCCACTACAAGGCTGTCTCCAAGTTCGTCGACGACGACAATCAGACCCACCTGCAATTCGAGTGGTCTTTCGACATCAAGAAGGACTGGTGAGCTGTCGCGCAGTGTGAAGGGGAACATATGGGACAACTGGGAAATTCTGCCTGATATGATGAGATGACGATCTCTTGATATGGACGGAGCGGAGTCGGCTTACCTCGACTTGACAAGCCTCATGGCTGCTGATGATATCATGACAAAATTCTACCACTTCCGAACATGAGGATTCTCAGAGCATGCTGATACGTGCTCGCCAAGGTGGATGTGCAGTCACGCGACCCGGGCTTGGGCACTGTTTCCCCGGATATTCTTCCGTTTCAGTGCGACCTTACATGGATCCTGCTCATGGCTCTAGATCATCGAGCCTGTGGAAGCAGAACCACCTGGCTGCAATCCTCTTTACTTTCACAGTCCTCCCCGCCCAAGCGCGATCGTTCGTGCCCGTGCCAAATTTCTTCGCCGATACATTTAGTATAGACACATCCTGCTCCCATGGATCCAGTACAGACATTTCGCTCTCTCCGCCTTCCCCGTCATCATCGTTATCATCTTCATCATTTCTAGCATCGTGTGAGAAAGTCGGTTGCGTCCGCCCGCCCTGGCACTCGGCAACTACGAGCTGCGCATGGATCCTCAAGCTGGTTTCGACCGCGGCCGCAAGAGTTCTCGAAAGGCCCTGGGCCGAAAAAGATGTAGTCGCAGCATGCAGACTAAGTGGGTTGACCAGGACGATTCTTGCGCTGGTGCTCGCTTCTCGCTCGCTACAGGCAGCCTCTTCTGTAATCGGCGCGGCTGAAAGCTTGAGAGAGGTAAGGTACGCCAGTAGTGTCTGCACGGAGGCGCAGAATGTGACTTTGACGTGTCGTGCCGTGAACAGGTTGTGGAGCGTGGGGGTGGCCAGTTGTAGTAGCTTTTCCCGGGTTTGCTCGTGGCCTTCCTGTTGCTGGAGGGCGCTCACGAGAGTCTGTAGGAAGGCATCCTTGCTCGAGCAAATAATCAAGGTTGTAGACAGAGTGGCTGACTGCGTGGTGAGGATATACTGGAGAAGTTGGGGCAAGGTGAGTGGATAGATGACCGTAGGCGGCGCTCCCATGTCTCCTCGATCCGCTCGTTCCTCGTCATGCCTTGCTCTCTTCCCCCCACTTGTTTACTCAAAGTAGATTTCTGAGTAACAACGGACGCGTCTAGCACAGGGGGGGCTTGCAGTTCTCTCAGCATCGGAGGTCTGCCGAGCACTGGCGTTGGAATCGTTTGGTCGGGGCCGGCTGCGCGCTTCCCCGACCAAAGCTGGTGCTGCCCCACCATCGACGCAACACGGCGCACGTCCAGATGGCGTATGCAAGCTCACGCACACTCACCACCTCACCGCGCGCCCGCCCTGGCACGTATTCTGCATAAGTTTCCGGCGCCTTAGAGTGCCGGCATTGCAAACCTTATTCCCGTGCGCTTCGGCAGGTCCCGTGGAAGCCATGGAGTCCATCTCTCGCATCGGTGCGTCCGCCTACACTCATAGTCTGCTCGTGAGCGGGCTCTTCAGTTGCACTGAGGCAAGCTTCGCCAGCTATGCACCCGTCGAACTTTGCTCACTGGTCTCTCACTACAGCCCGAGACTTGACCCTCGAAGCCGCTCGCGATGCCGCCAATGTGCGCAATAAGACGTCCACGAAGATGCTGCCCTCGGGCCAGCTCAAGAAGCTTTTGGACAGCCGCTCGGAGCGAGATGTCCTGGAGGGACTGCGGCGAGTTGTCACGGTAGGCCTTCCCCTGTCTTGGGCACCTCCGAATGTCATGTCCTGCGAGAATGAGGACAGTAGGCTCGACATATAACAGTAGCTAATTTGAACTGTGAAGATGTCCTACAGACAGCCTCCCTCGCAGACCCTGCCCTTCTTTAGCCACGTAATCAAGAACATCGCCTCGCCGTCCCTCCAAGTCAAAAAGCTCGTATACATATATCTCCTCCAGCACGCCGAGCACGAACCGGACACCGCCCTGCTTTCCATAAACACCATCCAGAGATCCCTCACAGACCAGAACCCCCAATTACGCGCTCTCGCACTACGGGTCATGTCTGGGATACGCGTACCCGTGATAAGCCAGATAGTCAGTTTGGGGATAAAGCGTGGGGCAGGAGACATGTCGCCGTATGTGAGGAAAGCTGCTGCGCTCGCCATACCGAAATGTTACTCATTGGACCCGAACACTGAACCGCAATTGCTCGAATCCCTTTCGACGCTGTTGGGTGATAAACAATTCTTCGTAGCTGGCGCTGCTGTTGCTGCGTTTCTTGAGATGTGTCAGAACCGACTGGACTTGATCCATCCGCATTACCGCTCGCTGGTGCGCAAGTTGGCTGATATGGACGAATGGGGTCAGCTGGCTACGTTGCGACTGATGGTCACTTACGGACGGAAATGTTTCCCAAGGCGGACGAGAAAGATCAGAAAGCCGATGGACAAAGATACTAGCACGAAACAAAAGAGTACAAAGGGCTTCTACGACGAGGAAAGTGACTCGGAGGAGTCTGAAGAGCCAGAGTACGAGGAGATTGCGGTTTTGGACCCGGATCTTGAGCTGCTGCTAAATGCTTGTAAGCTGCTCCTTCAGTCCCGGAATTCAGCTGTGGTTATCGCGGTCGCAAGGACGTACCTCTACCTGGGAACACCGACGTACATGTCCCTCGCAATAGGGCCCCTTAACTCACTCTTGCGGACATCTGGGGACATACAGCACGTCGCGCTCTATAACATCGTGCAAGTATGCTTACTATATCCGCAATCCTTTGTAAACCACTACACGCATTTCCTCGTTCGCTCGACCGATCCTCCGCACATATGGCGCCTCAAACTAGAGCTTCTCACTTTGATATTTCCTCACGCGCCACCTCGGTTACAAAGTTTGGTATTAGCCGAGCTCAGTCACTTCTCGCATTCTGGCAGCCTGGATCCCGGGCTTGTCAAGGAGGCTGTCAGGGCGATTGGTCGTTGTTCGCAAACCACCGATCCTAAGACTTCGGCAAGATGTCTAAGACTTTTATTGACTCACATCGGATCTGCGGATGCGCACTTGGTAGCAGAGTCCCTCGAGGTGATACGGCATCTCATCCAGCGCGATCCCGACAATCATCGCACCACTGTAGTACGGTTAGCAAAGCACCTAGACGCAGCCACCAGTCCACAAGCACGCGCGAGCATCATCTGGCTCGTCGGCGAATTCGCAGGTCTCGATTCCGAGAACAACATCGCAGCGGACGTTTTACGCATCCTCGTCAAGGGCTTCGCAGACGAAGCCGAGCCCGCAAAATTGCAAATCGTGCTCCTCGCCGCAAAAGTATACGTCCACCACCTCAATGCAAACCCCCCACCAGAACCCGCAAAACCGGAAGAAGCACCGCAACCGAGCCCCTCACTTATGGATGACTTCCACGAGGAGGGCGGCTTTCGCGACGCCCCTGAACCCGCGCCGGCCCCGACGGCTCCGCAACCGAAAGAAAAACCCCACCCCATTGTAGCGTTGTGGGACTACATCATTCTGCTTAGCCGCTACGACACTTCGTACGACCTGCGTGACCGCGCGCGCGTCTACAAAGCTCTCCTCGCTACCCCAACATCGACTCAACTCGCGAACCTCCTTCTCCTCGCGCCGAAGCCGGTCCCGCAGACGCCGAGCCCGAGTGAGACGCGCAAGGGATATGCGCTCGGTAGCGCGAGTCTAGTCATCGGGGATGAGGGTGGTATCGGTGGTCTCCGGGGGTACGAAGATGTTCCGAAGTGGGTTAAGGAGGGGAGTGAACCCGATCCCGCGTTACGAGACGAAGCAGTGTCTACTAGTACTTCCGCTTACGATGCTGGAGGCCCGCGGGCGCTGAGTGCGGCGGAGAGGTTGGATGCTGCCACTGGCGCGGGGGCAAGGTCTGGGAGTGGGAGTCCGGTTACGAGTCTCCATGAGAATGGGGTTGGGGCGAGGGGTGGTGCGGTGGGTGGGCCGAGGAAGGAGGAGAAGACGTTGGATCAGTGGTTGGAGGAGGAGAGTGAGGAGGAGACGGAGAGTGAAGAGGAGGAAACGGAGGAGGAGGAGAGCGAGTATGAGACTGAGAGCGAGGAGGAGGGCGAGGGGGATAGGCTTGTTAAGTAGAGGAGGCCGCACGTATGAAGACGGGTGGGAATACATGATGTGCACTTCTTGAAAATATTATACTGTGTGTTTTTTCTACAGAAGTGTTGATTCATCCGGTGGGAGACGGGTAAAAGTATCGGAGAGGTACCATACTGAAGGATTGGCCTACGTGGAGCTTCTGTCTGCCTCATCAATCTCTTTTCCACCTTGGAACACGCACATGTACCTCGTAAATTCGTAGCGACCAGCATTCACAGGACGCCTATTTCAACACTACACAGTTCGACGTCCTGCAGTATGGATTCCGCATGACGCACCTGCCATGTCGCAGGATTTCTGAGAAATAAGGAGAGGAGGGCATTAGTGCGAGGTTAAATGCCGTATTATTCGTTTATAAGCTTGCATGGGTTTCACAAAGAGTTCCGTTTTTCTGGCATGGTTCAAGTGCATTTCGATTTTACTCGACGGTAAGTTTGTCGCGATTGGGTGGTAGTACTGGGGGTGGAGGCGGGCCTTATGAGGTCAACGAGGGTTGCGTCGTTGTATTGTAGGGACTTGAGGAAGGAAGAGGGTTTCGAACGTAGACTAATGAGTGGGAGAACTCTTTGTACAACGGTTAAGCCATATATGCAGGGCATATCCAATTAGCTAACTAAACCTCTTGATATCTACCCATTTGGTATATGACGAAAAAGATAGCGTCATGGGCGGGACAGTGAAAATGATTACTTGATATGTTAAGAAGCTTTGTGGGCTACTAGCTTATCAGGCCCTAACGTGTATATCGAATTCGACGAGTATAATAGCAGTCATTTTCGGATCCATTTATCTCTGATTCTGATCCGAGTGAAGCCGCCTCGAGAAGTCATGTCTCCGATGCTACAGGCCAAGGATTGCTCAATGCTTCGTTCAATGCATCCATGACGTGAATGTGGTCTTCCTCGGTATGCTCTTTTTCATGTCGCCTGGCAAGTGAAAATGCATCCTGGCCTGCCTTGTCAGTACAACATGGATCTGCTCCATGCTGCAGAAGCTGCTCGACAACCTCCCAGATACCTGCTTTGACGGCTTGGTGCAACGCAGTTTGTTGATCGACACCGGCCTTTTCATCCACTTTGATGCCGTTTGTGCTCAGTAGAAGATCGATAAGCGAGATGTGATCCGGGGCCAGCGGTCGTCGGAGTTGTTTGGTCGTCACGAGCAGTGGAGTAAGACCGGATGCGTTTTTGGCGTTCACGTCGGCCTTCCTGTGGAGGAGCAATCCCACGGCTAGTACATCTTTGCGACGTGCAGCGAGATGAAGTGGGGTGTTCAGTGTCCCAGGCTGCGCGATATCGACCAAGGTGGCTGGCTCCTCGCGACGCAGAAGAAGCGCAAGGGCGTCTCTGCGATGCGCTTCAAGTGGCCCGGTTTCATTTCCGTAGAAAATCTTCAGAAGTGGATAGTTTCCGGCCAGATCTGCTCGATTGGTTTCGGCGCCGGCTTCGATCAGCTCGCGAATCAGTTTTGCGTAGCCTTTGAAGTTTGGATTTTCAATGGCATAGTGGAGCGGCGTTTTTCCGTGGTAGGCAGCGGTAACATTCACATCAACACCCGACTCTATCAGCGCACGAACACATTTGTTGTGTTTCTCGCTAGCTCCCTTGGTTGCCGACATGATGGGCCCCTTTCGTGGTCGTCTTGGCCTTCCTGGGTTACAGCCTTGGGCGAGAAGTGCTCGAACTGCTTGAGACTTTCCTTGGGCGCAGAAGTGCTCCAAGAGTCTATGGTCTTTGTCGAACCACCTGTTGAGGCTGGCTTTACGAATCAGGCTTGTCGTTCTCTCCGTCATGACGGAAGTTGCGACACTGGATGCAGCTTCCCATGCATCGTCCATATACTGATTCACATTGATCTTAGGAATGGGTTCTCGTTTCTTCTGTTGAAGAGACCCAGGTGTGAGTTTCGGATCTTGCTTCAAAGCTTCAACATTTGTAGCAGTCAATTTAGTCTGTTGTTCCTTTGGGTCCTGTGGTGGTTTCAGACTTTCTTTCATGTTTGTTTTATTGTTCAGTGTATTTTCCCTGGCCGATAAATCAGCCAAGGCATCGGGTTGTTGCTCACGACTGCGGTCTGCTGTTTGTGTTTCATCGTTCAGGGTAACTTCGACGGTGTCATTCGCTGGCTGGTTTTCATCATGCAGGTCTAATCCGCCAGGTTTGTATGTTCCCGTCACTGGTTTCTCGTCGTGAGCGCTTCCTGCGAGCTCAGGTCTATCATCGTCCATGCCATCCTCTATATTCTCGCTTTCCTTCACACACTCTAGGGCTGTGACGTCCACTGCATGTTGTTCGTGTATCGCTCCCTGTGCCGAATTTTGCAATCCCATATCTGGAGATCCAGAATCTCTCTGTGCTGTAGCATTAGCTTCGGGCTTGAAGACATCTGCGGGCTCTTGTCCCTCTGCCAGGAATTTCATATCGCAATTTCCAGGGTCTATAGAAGCCGAGTTTCCTGCATAAATCGGAGGGGATTCCTTCAAGGCAGCCGTCCCGTGCCCTTCTGACTCACTGACAAAAGTTTTAGCAGTCGTCTTGCCTGAAACTATGATGGCAGGTCGTTCTTCCTCATTCAATTCGTCTCTTCCGACGTCCTGATCAACATCTTCCCGGCCGTCATAAAGGCTTGGACCGATGCCAGAATTTACACTTCCGTCCGGCTCATAAGGCTCTTGGCGCTCGATGTAGCGATGTTCTGCTGGGACATGGCTATCATATCTTGGCCCTTCAGCGATATGGTACGTAGCACCATCAACGGCTGTATATTCTGCCAGAGCAGAACGCTTTTCTGATCCGGCATTAGACGGCCTCTGTTGTTTCGAAGCTGCGAATTGCTCTGCCAATGATAGTGCCAGTTTCTTTGCTTCACCTAGTCCCAGAAATGGACCTTTCATCTCAGCGGTCTTAACTTCTTCTTCGTCTTGATCCTCGGGAAGCTCATTCAGAGCATCGAGGAATTCCCCACTCGTAGATGATGACGTTATTGAAGCGGACCTCACGTGTCTAGCCCTGTCTGGAAGAACAGTCTCTTGAGAGTATCCAGAGCTAGACTCGGAACCCGAACTGTCTTCGATTTCATTGAAGAGGCTCATATTGTTTCCCTCACCTGACAAAGGCTCTTCGTCTGATGAGCTATCATACTCGAGAAATCCTAGCCCCGTGTCCCTAACATGTTTGTGCTGCGTTTCCACTGCCACAGGAGTGATTGGCTCGGGGAAGCGGCTCCTCGGGGAAGGCACCTGGAAGACTCCACGATTTGACATCTAACACTGTGTGAGACGCTTCCGATTCCGAGTGAGGCGCTTCAGCAATTGGGTCCAATGTCTGAAGAGGTTGAAATAACGGTCGAACATAAGGAGATGAGCTAGTGGTCGGACTCCTGTTCTTGCTAACCGATTGGTAGCTGTATATATAGTTCAACGGCTCTGTTCTCTCTTGTCTATGAGGACCTCGAAGGAAAGATCTCCCTGGATCAGCAATGTGATCGTCTGTGTCGATGTTGGTTCCGGACAGCCACTGATTGATCGAAGAACTTTTCTCGTCAGAAAGCGGGAGATTCTGTGATCGGTCGTCTCCTAGCAACTCCGCGACATGCTGCTTCACTGCATCAGAATCTCTGAATGGTGTTTGCGGTTCTGCAAAATTAGGAACGTTTTCGAGTCCGTAGTCCCTATAGTCTGACTGACACTTGAAACAGCAGAATATAGTAGATGAGGCCGACTCAAGAACATCTTTCAAAAGACTTTGTGATTTAGGCCGGTTTTCTGGGCGTTCATCCAGGAGGTAAGTGACCCACTCTAGCGGCTCATTGTCGTGTGAACTACCGTTTTCGTTCGATTTTAACAGCTTAGTGGCCCAGGTGTTCACGAACTGTGGATTTGCCCAAATAAACGGCTCGAATCCGCGTGCTTCGGCCTTTTGCTTAAGTAGGTCTTGCATTTCCCGCAAGGTTCGTCCGAGGAGCAGGGTCGTCATCTCCAGGAAGACTACGCCGAGCGACCACATGTCGCTCGACGAACTCCTTGGTTGCTTTCTGGCTACTTCTGGTGCCATGTATTCGTCGCTATAAGGCACGTTGTTGTGGTGTGTTACGCTTCCATGAGCTCCTGACCAATTGTATGCTGCCCCTAGATCACTTATATATACGCGTCCTTCTGCGATGAGCACGTTGCGCGAACTCAAGTCGCGATGCCGTATATTCTGTCGGTGGAGATAGTGCACAGCGCTTGCCAGGCAACCGTAAAACGTGCGAACGTCATGTCGATCGCCCTCGGTGAGTGGTCCAGGCTTTTTCAAGAACTCTTCGAGATTCCTTTCTGCAATTGGCTTCATCAAGAATGCTATGCAATGTCTGTCCGTGTAGGAACCATAGATTCTGACAAGATGACGATGTCTCAGAGATTTCAACTCCTTCAACTCCTTCACGATGGCTTCTTCTCCTCTTCGGTTCGATTTTGAATCGGCTGTCCAACGAGAACGATGGACCTGCTTACGCGCAAAACGATCGTGGCTCAGATTACTGAGGACTTCATCTACCTCACTTAGAGGAGGTTGTAAGCGAATCCGGACATTTCAAGATCATCATGACCTTACCCGAAGCCGCCCCTTCCTAATGGTCTAATTCTTCTGAAGTAAATATCTCCGCTGCCTTCGAGATGAAGGTGAGGAAATCCTTCTGACGTTGAGTTTTCCAAATCTTTCGCCTCTGTCAATAGATAAGTCTGAAATTCCAAGAAGCGCTGCCGCATGCTTTCATCTCCAACAAAACGTGGTAAGGTGCGATTGTCATAGGGCAGGTGGATGTCGCTGTACCGCTGCTGAAGGAACTTGTCCATGCATCCAAGGCCCCCCACGTTCCTCAAGATGATGTAGGTTCGGGGAAGGTCCGCCCACGACTTCGGGGCATAACGATCATGTCTCTTGTCGAGTAGCTGAAGGAGATCAGCAACTCGTACCACGCTTAGGTCCGAGAGTCGCTGGCCTGTCCTTCCCGCTTGGGGTGGTCCAAGGCTGCAAAGCTTTGTTAAGGATGTGTCAATCTGCGCTTCCGATATGGCCCCATCGAATGACTCAATCGGAATGCTGGGTTTACGTGTTTGTTGGAACCTGAAGAAGACCGCAAGTTGCGACAACATTTTGCATGAAGAAGAATTGACAAAGCGCTCAGATCGAGGTGACTAGGGAGGTGCAAGCGAATTGGCTGCAAGCAAGGCAGGGTGTTCAGTTGCGCGAGCGCTTGATTACCCATCCAGCCTTGCATCAATATGGCAGCTCAGCAGAAAGGCGAACGTGAGCACAGCCTCGACAAATAAAGAGCCAGTCTGTCCCAAGTTGGAATAAGTCCTGTGTTCTGAAGATCTTGACCGGTTCTTTAAACGATCACTGCCAATAGGTGTACTGCTCCCTTCGCGTAGCTGCCTTGTACCATTGTATCGGCCCGTTCCAAATTACGCCTGCGCTGAAAACTTGGCGATGCGACCCCACCTTCAACCTTGTGCCCCTCCACATACTTAGGGTAGAACAGGGGAATCATTGTGTCTTTCTCGAAGAGCCAATTCTCTTAAACCTGTTTGCGCTAATGGAAGTCGGCGCCGGAGTTGCTGGGCTAATCTCGCTTTCGTTCACTGCTTTTCGTGGCTGTATTCAAGCCTTTGAATTCTTCAACACAGCTCAACATATTGGCGCGACTGGCGATTTGTTCTCCTCGAAGCTGTTCTTCCAGCAGTATCGATTACTGCAATGGGGGCTACGAGCAGGCTTAGACGAGGATTCTAAACCAGACGAACGCTTGAACTGGACATTGGCTCTTAGACTCTTAGGGCAGCTTGAGTCTTTCATGACATCGGCAGAGAAACTGAAGGCTAAATACGGTTTCAACATTGTGGATGAGGGACTGCCAGAATCGAAGAGGTTCGATGCTTCAAACAGACGACGAACCGGAATTGAAAAGATCATAGCTCGACTCAAACCAGATATCTATACTGCCAAAGGGAAGATTATCCAGGGGAACAGTGGTACTTTTAAAAGACTGCAATGGGCTGCTGGTGGCAGAGATCAGGCCAATCAAATCATTTCCGAGATCGGAAATCTTATTGATAGCCTTGAAAGTCTCCTCGACATGCAAAATCAGCAGCTCCGACGTAAAACCGATGCCATCCTACTACGCGACGTTATCTCTCGAGCAACTACCATGGAAGAGGTCGATGAGATTAAAGGAATTCTTGAGCAAACCACGAGTGCAGATGACCAAGCAATACTGGCAGCAGCGAGCTTGAAGCACATTCGGTTGGTCATCGGTGCAGATAGACGCAACGATGAGGTACAAACTGCCCACTCTAAAAAGGTTACGGAGAGCTTGCCGATCATAACCAAACTAAAGCCAAGAAAGCTTGAGCCCTACACTCATGGGACAACTTTGAGTTTTCATGGCCTAGAATTTGCGTTGTACGACGGTGGAGCAGTGCTAGTCGAATGGAAGATTGCCGACAGGGCGATATGGAGCGAATTATTGGACCAGGTCAGGTGTCTTGCAGTATTACTCGCAAGTCCCGACGGCAGTAGGTCCCAATCTCTTCACTGCAAAGGATATCTACCATGGCAGGAACAAGACCGTTACGGGCTAGTGTATGACATCCCAAATGCCTCACCCAAAGATCTCCCGGGATACTGGGGAATCAAGTCGCTTTACGAGCTGATATTGGAAGAGGCTCATGTGTCGCTCACCCGTCGCTTCGAGATTGCCACAACGTTAGCAGAGACCATACTACAATTGCACACTGCCGGTTGGTTGCATAAGAGCCTCCGGTCGCAGAACATCATTTTCATCGCACCAAAGGGCTCTACTATGGAAGAATACCTACTGAGCCAACCACATCTCGTTGGGTACGAGTATGCTCGACCAGACACACCCAATGCCGCCAAGTTCTCGCAATTACCTGACACTGAGTTAATTATGGACCTTTACCGGCATCCACAGGCTCGCGGGATCTCTCGAGAAAGATTCCAGAAGCGTTTCGATATATATGCTTTCGGTTGTGTGTTGATAGAGCTCGCTCTTTGGACTCATGTACTGGATGTACACACCAAGTACCGCGGGTCTGATCTGCGAATGCTGATTGCAGAGGCTATGGAAGCCAATCAAGCTATGGAGCTACCCCATTTCGAATCATCTGCCGCTCTTGACAAGGTTGTTAAGGCTGTTGCACACCATGCCGGAACGATCATGGCTGAAACTGTACAGCTCAGCCTTCTCCTGCAAAAGAGCCCCGATGATCAGTTCGACGTTTCGCTGAACACTCAGCAAACGATCGTAGATAATTTGCAACAGCGTAGGTATTGAAAGCATGCATATGTGCCCATAAGGTCCTAAATTAGGTATTGCATGCGATCATCAACGTGGTCATTATATGTATTATTGGTATCAATGAAACATATGATTGCGCATTTTTCTTGCGCATTTATGTTCATCAATATCAGTTCTTCGCCCTCCCAAAATCCACCGTCAGCCTCCTCCGCAAATGCACCGTAGAATTCCTCCTGATGTTACCCCAAGCCTGACCAATCCCACTCGTCCTCTTTCTCAGACGCCCTTCCGAGCTCCCTCCCGCTTCCATAGGCGTCAATATGCGACTCGGCACATACTCCTTGCTCACTTGATAGACAACCTTCTTCGATACCCAAATAGTTTCAGATGCATAGGTTCGGAAATTCGGATTCCGCTCTTCGCTCGTCGTCACGCCTCGGAACGCCACGCGATGGAAACCATTGAAGCTAGGCTCTTCCGTTCTTTCGAGATAGATGACGGCGAAATAGCGGTTGACGGGGTCAACGCGCGTGCATGCCAAGAACGCAATGTAACCGCCGGTGGTACTTCTCGGATTTGGTATCATGGGGAGCTGAATGTGTAGGCCTGCATTAGTAAGACCATAGTCGGGTTTGGGAGAGGCGATGGAGAAGCGCGCGATGTATTCGGAATAAGGTATAGGTTGGAGATTGTTTTTCCCGGAGAACTGTTTCGGTGATGAAGCGAGCATGTCCCCTGAGCAGGTCGAATCGTCCCATGCGAAGAGTGTGTGGTCGTTCGAATTTTGCATGATTTCGAGTTGGAGGCGACGGAAGGCTCGAAGTCCTTCGCCGTAGAGTGTTGGCATGTTCACGCTAAACCTGAGGGAGGTAGGTGTTAACGAAAGCTCGAAAGAGCTATGAAGATGACTTACAAGCCAAGAAGTGAGTATGCGACATCTTCCACCCTGGTGGTCTCTCTGCTAGCAGCCCAGCTCATCTTCTCAGCGACGCTGGCGGAATCTAATGACCGCGTGTTTTGCAAGATCCTGATATCAACGCTAGATGCAGCGGAGATTGTATTAGCCAGATCCATTCTACTCCCAAGTTTTACCCAATCCTTCGAGTAGAACATCATCGTTTTCGGAGCGATTAATTCTTGCAGCGTCCAACCCCTAACGTCGACTTCAGCACATCACGCGGTCGGAATTAGAAGGTAACCGACCTCGTGAACCATGTGCTGTCTCTGATTTCATTCCTTTGCACGACACCGCCTTCGCATGTAACGTCGTCCAGGTATGCAAAACACATTAGGCTGTCGTTGTACCAAAGATACATGCTGTTTATTGCCTCAGAAAGTTCAGCGCTACTGCTCTTGTTGATGCAGCACCTAAGTTATCAGAAACGAGGTCAGCGAAATGCAGCAATCGGCGATGTATTCACACAGACGTACGTATCAATCCAAATGTATTTCATCCCATATCGCAGCGCGGCGCGAGCACAACCTTCGATCTTCTTGTATCCCCGCTTCAAAGTATAGTCTGAACCAGAGACCATATGCTGATACTCGACCTCTTCTTCCCTCCAGCGGTGTGATAGAATTGCATATTCTGGCGTTTCCAAGTCACCATACTCGGTCGGTTTGACGGTGATCTCATCATTGTCAGGATTGAGTGTACACTCCAACAGTCGCATCGTCTCGTTGTTTGCCGCTGTGCATTTGCCCGTGCGAAACTCTTACGGTCGCCTTAAGATGTCATTGATCCCTAGTGGTCCACGTGCCTTGTGAGGCTGGAATCTCCGCTTGCGCGTCCTTCTGCACGGCGTTCCGTGACGGATGCGCCTTGAATAAAGATACCCGACCCGCGTTTGTGATACTTCAGGAGAACCCCAGACAATAGTAGGACGAAGAGGACGTTCAAAGGCGAGGTCGGGTGGCCTCGGCATCTGGTCGCGAACAAGGCTCAGATCGGCACATAGCTCGCAGGTGGCCCCCACGCCCCCGCCTACTCAGCCGTACCGTAGCGTACTTCGGCTAGAGCACTGCTTGCTCGACTCCTACCTCTTCTTTCACCGATAGAACGGGACTTCTATGTGCCCTCGGAACATTGGCATGAGGTAGATATTGGCAGCTCGCCGTCAAGTCTATACTTCTGACGTGAAGTGACGGTGTGAACGGTCGATTCGATTGTCGAACTAGGCAAAACATAATAGTCGATACATTTTTTGACTACCCTCCCCATGGCTCTGGGTACCCTGTTCAGCCCATCTCTACGCTGCAGATGGCCGCAATAGTCCTGTCCCACCTTTTATGGCTCTGGTGTCAATTTCCTTGAAGATTTACAGCATATTCCCTCTACTATTGGTCGACTCGTGTAACAATAGAGCAATAAGGTATCAAAATAAGCGTACCAATAATTTTTCTAATGATAGATTTAGTATTTTCTATAGTTCCGGTAAAGAATAGTCCCAGAGCCCTGAAAAGGTGGAGGAAGAACTCCTGCAAAGCACCGGTATAGGAGGTTGATGATCAGCCTGCTTAAATTTTTTGACAGTGCCAATAATCAACCTTCTATGATACACAGACTAGCTGGAGTTCTGTGAAGAAGGTACCCATAGTCATGAAAGGGTGGGGAAGAAATATTGTAAAGCACCAGCAGTGAGATCATCCCAAGCAGACCACTTCCCCAGCATATCGCTATTCTCACTCCGCTACACTTTACTATTGATCGCAACAAAGCATACTGACTACACGCTATACTTACAAAAATCCTCATTCAATATTCATTATCCCATGTCCAATATCAATTTTTTTTCTACGTCCACTATCCTCCCGTACAACAATTTCAACCATCTCTTCGACTCCCATCCAAAACCACGCAATAGGCTAATCTTACGACACCAATCCTCCCAAAAACCTCAGCCCCCTACAAACAAACGTCCAAAAGCCCAGCCCGAATCACGAAGTCCATAAAAAGTATACCTATTCTACCTTCCTCGACTACCCTTCCTACCTCGAATGCGAGCCAGAGCACACAAACCATGAGTTAGACATCGAAGACCTCGCAGAATCTAAGCATCTCCAGGGCTTAATCTTGATGCAGTGCGAGCGAATCCCCATTTCGCAACATGTGTCCGACACACTACACGTCGCATACCTCCCGCCCACGTCGCATACCTCCCACCCACGTCGAATACCTCACACCCTGTCGACACCTCACCAACCCACATCATTGGATCTCCTACGCGGACCTCTCTCCTATCTATGCACCACGCCCAACAAGCTTCACGTCCAAGTCCTTGCGCTAAACACATCAACAAACCTCATCTACCACCAAAAGCAAACATCCCCTTTCTCACCCACCACCCGCCGTTCATCTCACATCTCACATCCCACATCTCACAAATCTCACACACAAAAACCACAAATGAACTTCAACAAATCTATTCCGCTCATACTGTCTCCATATCTAGGCCCACAGCGCAGCCTCTCTTTTAAAAAGGGTATATCAATCAAACAAACAATCAAACAAACAAAGAATCAATCATAAAACTCAACTCAAACCCCCATAATGCCTCAAAATCACCTTCCCCTTCGCATTACGTCCTCTCCCCTCCCTCCACTCAAATATGCACGTCGAAAATACACTTCGAAAATACCCGCTAAATCTCGGTACGTTCCTAGAGCAAGAGAAAACCCGCAACCCAAACGACCCAAGCACCCAGACCCTTCCCCCGATGCCTACACGCACCGCCCTTCTTCGGCTTCGGAGGGCTAGGTCCAGGTCCAGGCTCATCTGCAAGTTCACAACAACGTCAGCGCAGCCACGAGCGAAGCACCGAGCAGAGTCCAGCCGCCAGCAAGCTTACTAGCCGCACCCGTAGGCTTAGAAGACCCCGAGGCGCCATCTGCCGAAGTAGATGTGCTAGATTCCGATGCCGCGCCCTTGGGGCTCGATGTCTCGCCGCTAGGCGCATTGACACCGTCGTTGCTGAGTAGCTTGAGGCTAAGGCCAGTGACCTCGCCGCCAGCAGACCCGTAGATCTTGTTCGGCGACGCGATCTGAGTGACCTTGACGAGCTTGCCGTTTGTCGGCTTGTCGATTCCGTTCTTGATCAGAGTCTGGCAGCCAGGGCAGACAGCAGGGATGGTGAAGTTGGTGTCAAAAGCGTCATTCGTAATGAGCTTCTTGTCGCACTTCGGGGCCTTGATCTTGGTGCCGGTCGCCGCGATCTTGGAGGTATCGAGTTTGTTAAACTGCTTCTGGAGGGCGTCGTAGTCGCTGCGGAGGGTGACGGTGCCGTTGTCGTTGATGACTGCAATGCCGTAGTTGGAGTCCTCTTGGCTGTACTCGTAGACGAGGCCGCCGCTCAGGGAAGCCATCTTGTCGCTGTAAAGGGCCGCCACCTCGTCGAACACACGCGGCATGACCTCATTGCAACCGTACTCGGAGAAGAAGACGGGGACGGAACTGTTCTCGAACATATCGACAAGAGTGTCGTACCCCGCGCTCTGGAAGGTGGCCTTGCCACCGCACCAGGAGTACGAGTTGAGACCGAAGATATCGGACTCAGAGCCATCGCCGTCGTTGTCGCACTGCATGTACGCCCAGGTGTCTTGCAGAATCTCGCGAACATCAGCGGCAGAGTATCCAACAGGGATCGTGCGGTTAGCATGCTCCTTGATGTATGACTTCAGGTCACGCTGGACGGCCTGTCAAACGTTAGCGGCGTGTCACCTGTCATCGTCAAGCCATGAACCTACGCGAATGTACTGCGGGTTAACCTTGCCCGTATCCAGGTCATTCATAACCTCGTTCGCCGAGAAGAAAGCGAGCGTGTTAGGGTAGGCCATGAAGTTCTCCACCACGCCAAAGATCCTCTTCAGGTAGTCCTTGTGGTAGCTGGTCCACGGCTCTGCCCTGTTAATACTCTCACCCGACTGCGGTCCGTTGACATCAATGATCATGTAGATGCCGGCCGAGTTGAAGATGGAGGCACAGTCGTCGTGGTTGAGGGTGGGGTCCACGTTGTACACACGGATCGTGTTAGCGCCCAGCTTCTGGAGCATGATGGCATCGCGCAAGCAGACAGACTTGTTCGTCAAGGGGTCACTACCCTCTTGAGGCTTGTAGCCTGCCTGGCCTCCGGGCTGGTAGTCGACGCCGACGATCATGAAGCGCTTGTTTGTCACGGTGTCGATAAGATCCTGGCCTTGGACCTCCACAGGGTGGACGGCGACAGCGACGCTCGTCAAGAGCCCGGTGAGCACCGCGAGGGAGTTAAAAAGCTGGTAGGCTGTTAGCTGCGGTCCGCATATTTGCTGCATCCCTAGCAAAAGGGAGTTCAATTGTCACACTTACCGAGCGCATTTTGAACGTGTATGTGAAATAAATAACCAAAAAGTGAGTGTCAAGCGTTCAGTCGAGTACCGCAAAGAGTCCAAAAAGATGGGTTGTCGAAGTGAAGAGAGGTGTCAGGCGAAAGTTCAAGGCACAACACAACAGCAAGCGACCGGCTCTTTCCAAATTTCAACTGCACAGAAAGAACGATGTAGCGTCAACGCAAACAGCGACCGATCAAGGAATGGCGTCCGGGGTACCGCGGAATATGTATGTATGAGTAAAGAGCGTACGTGCGTCGAGCACAGCAAATGCGCAGCAGCAGCAACTAAGGAACGAAAACCGAACTGTCGTGAGTGAGAAAAGGAAGACAGCGCCCGCCCGCGCGACGGCCCTGATAAGGCAAATGACCCATTTCGCGCGGGTTTGAACTACGCCCGAAGTATCGTGAGTTGCAGTCCCATCTCCGAAACATTGGCAGTGGCTCGTGCGGATGCAAGACATGAGACGGCTGCCGGCTTCCGCCAATCAGAGCGCGGTTCCTGCGTAGCGGCCTTCGGGCCATGTTTCACGTAGCGTGACGGAGCTCCGACGGGCGTGGCGGCGCGTTGCACAATTAGGTTGTTTCTATTAGGGGATCTTGGTGTAAGCGCTTTAAGAGTAGCGACATGTTGTCGCGCCGTCTGTGAGGTTGTGTACAAGTAGTGGGGTGTCTGGTACGTAGATACGCACTGTTTACCTATACTATGCATCCTCTATGCCGCGACGATGATGCCGCAATACCCCTTCACAAGTCCATGCTCAATGCAAGAGGTAATGAGGATAGCAAACATGTTTCTAAATCGACGTGCGGTACCCAAGAATCGCATTCAGTAACGACGGTGTAACTCCAACGCTAGAAACAAGAATACCATGATGTATATGATGAACCCTGCACACTCAATCCCAAAACTCGTCCACTTCAGCATCAGCAGAAACGCAACAGATCCCACAGAATTCCGAACCTTCTCCTTCCTCGCCAGGTGACGTGATGGATGTGACCAGCTCGGATGCCGTGGGCCGCTTTTGTTGCTCCACCACAAGCATCTGTGCAGCCCAGTCTAAAGCCCTGTTATCAGTCGACTCTCCAATCCCTTCAAGTTCCGTGGTAAACTCCTTGAAAGCTGCGGGGTTAGTGCGAATGTACTTCCGCCCGGACCCATGCCCTTCGAAAAACTCGTCCATATCCTGGATCGTCCTACCCTTGAGCACAACAGTCATCTCCACGAAGACAACCCCAAGGCTCCAGACATCAGATTTTGTGTTACGGGATTCAAGCTCAGCGACCTCAGGCGCGCAATATCTGGGAGTCCTTCCGTTGTCTATACCCGTAGTAGTACTACCGTCTGCATCCTCAAAGTCGAGAGATAAGCCAAAATCTGTGAATAGGACATTGCCATGGTTTACAAGGATATTGCTCGGCTTGATATCCTTGTGTCGGATCTTCCTCGCATGTAGGAATTCCAGTGCTGTAGCTAGGCAGCCACAGAAGGTTCGCAACTCCGGGTATTTCGATGGAGCGACGCGCCCTAGATAGTCCTTTAGATTCATATCAGCGACCGGACTCATTAGAAGGCCGACGTAATCCAGATCCGTATAGCTCCCAACGAATTTTACGATGTGGCGGTGTCTCAGGCGCTTCAGAATTTCAATTTCGCTGATAAATTGCGTGATCGCACTCTCCTGCCAGCCCGTGGAGGCAGTATTCCGATGCACTCTCTTCAAAGCGTATTCCTTCGAGGTGGTATGGCTGACGACTTTGTGCACCCGACCATACCCGCCGGTGCCCAAGATGGCTTTGTAGTCAAACGGGAGTGGCTCTCCTTGCTTGAAGTAACAATGCTGTCCACCCTGACCGAGTTCGAGGTCCAACAAATTCGTACATACGAGACCCTGAGTGTTGACGAACGCTGCTCGGATGGGTGGCTCTAGACAATCCTGCAGGTCTTGCTCGCCGATAGGAAACCAATAGTCTGAAAATCCGAAATCTATGAGACGGTCGAGGAGATCTGGATAGCCGATGATCCGAAGGATGATATATGTCCGTGGAAGTTTGCTCCATCTGATATTAAACATCTCTAAAAGCATCGAAATCTTGCGGATCGTCAAATCGGTGTATGGTTCCGGGTCTTGATGTTCATTTGGGAAGTAACTGTCCAGTAGGCCTGTTAGCCCCTGATGGGCGGTTGCCTCCGTCGACGAGAGCAAGGGGCCATCCGTGTCCAGAGCTTGTGGCAGATCTAAGGGTTTTGATGTGTCTTCGTGGTCTTCGTCGACGATGACCTTCATACTCTCCATCCGCGGCACTACATCTGAAAGCATTTTCTCGGCTTCACTGTCCTCTCCAAGCTTTCTGAGTGTTGCCAATAGCAAGTCCTTAGCCCCAAGCGTTTCGCTATTGTCCCGTCCGTTCGATTTCTCCAACTCTCGTGCAGCTTGTCGTAGCATATCCTCACCCTCGATGTACTTCTCTTGCTCATAGTATATGCGCCCCAGCTTGTACTTGGCTTCACCCATGCCATTGTAGTTTTGATCCACTGTTCCTTCTCGCTGCACTATTTGTTGCACTATTTGCTCAGCTTTGTTGTACTTTCCCTGGTCTAGAAGCGTACGCCCCAAATAGTACTTGCTCCACAGAGTGTCTTTGTGATCTGGTCCAGGGGATTTATCCCTTCCCTGTACGACTTGTTGAAGCAGCTTCTCAGCTTCATCATACTTTTCCTGTTCAGAAAGCGTGACTCCAAACCAGAACTTGCTCTCCAGAGTAGCTTTGCGATCTCTTCTACGATCTCTTTTATTATCTGCTCTACGATTCCTTTTAAAATCCTCTACGACATGCCGAAAAATCTCCTCAGCTTCATCGTATTTCTCCTGCAAGAATAACTCGCGTCCTGCATTAAACTCTTGGCGCAGGATATCGTCCATAGTCTTGTCTTATTATTGCCGCCTTCGCGTTCCACTTCGCCGTCTCTCTTGCTGCTGTGCCGCGGTCGCTGCAGCCCGGCTCACATGCGGAAGCTTATGCCAAGGTGAACGGCCAGATACAAGTGCGTGACTGGAGTCTATCAGCCCCAATGCTGTTGGATGCCGAGCCGTGGCTAAAGATGAAATGATAAGTACGTGTGATAATCGCTTTTCAGTTGCACCTGGATCAGGCTGTGACCGCAGCTGAGAGGCTGTGTAACATTGCCACGCGGGGTCTGCATACGGGGTGGAAGTAAGTTATTCCGATAACATTCTCGTATTCCGGTAAGTCGCCGTCATCTACAGGTGTTGCAATATGTCATATGCCGTTGCGCACTGTACACCTATACTACATATCCCATACCTTCCCTGCACCCAATCAAACTCCAGATCCCTACTCATCACCCCATCACGCCTCAGCCTTCTCATCATCCACATCCCCCTCCGCCTCATCCTCATCCTCATCCTCTTTCTCCTCCTCCGCAACCACCTTCTCCTCCTCCTTCTCCCTGACAGGGATCTCCTTGGTCTTCCTCTCCCCCCTCGGCTTCTTCGCCTCCTCAGGGAAAAGCTCAGCAAAGAAATTCGGCAAAAAGCGATTAATCCTCTTCCACGTCTCGTTCCACAGCTCTTCCTTTTCAGGCTTCTCCTCAGGCGGTACGAGATACCCGCCGCTCGACATGACGAGCAGCATATTCTTGAGGTTCTCTGAGACGGCTTCCTCCAGATTGTCGCCCTGGCCGCTATTGATCAAGCGGTCCATGATAGTGATGATCTTCAGCCAGAGGTCTAGTAGGTCGTCCGTCTCGGAGAGGAGAGTCAGGTAATGGAGGAAGACCTTTGAGAGCAGTGTCGCGGCGCGCACGCGTGTTTCGCTCATGCCTAGAGGGTCTGATTGGTACACCTCCGGTTTGAGGAGCTGTGTGATGAGAGGGAACAGAACCTCGCTGAAGATGGCGGTCCATTCCTGGTGGTCTTGAGACGCGAGTTCATTAGACAGAAGGGTGCGTTGCAGCGCTCCAAACGCTTGTTGTCGGATTTCCCGGCATGGGTTGAGGCATTGATGTGTGAGGGTCTTGAGAATGGGTGACCAATAGGCTGTCCATGCTACTAAAGGTCAGCACTGTTGCGTGCACTATATGAGATCATATCATACCTTCGGTGGTCTCGAGATGTGACTGCTCAATGAAATTGGGTACTCTGTTGGTCATCTGGAAGACAATAGTCATGGCCATGCTTCCACGGACGACGATTTCATCGCTCCTGCTCGATGTTAGCGCTTGTCCTATCATTTCCGGATCGACACTTACTCTGGTTTCTTAGGCTTGGGAGCTTTGCCTCGTCGTACCGCCTGGTCGTACAGTTGTTCTTGTCTAGCACCAACTTGAGCCGTAGTTGCAAACTCATTCAGGAGCGCGATCGCAGCCTCGTAATTATCCGCTGTCACGCCCGGTAGCGAAGAAGTGGTGAGATCCTCAACCAGCTGGAAGACATCCCCAGCTGCCTCAGGCACGCGTTGCAGCTTGTTCAGAATAACCCAGAAATCTGGGGAGCTGGCCAGCTCAACACGCAGCCCATTTGGACCCTTCAAGCAGTCTGCCAAGCCCTTCAAAAGCGGGCTTGCGCATTGCTTCAGGAGCTCCTCATCGAACTTGGAGAATGTATGTAGCAGAACGGGAGCCCTGATAAAGTCGTGGTCCTACAAAGATTAGCGTTCGCCATCACAAGTCGAGGTATTTACATACGTTGCTAGCCTTCAACAAGCTCAAGAGGTAGTATACACATCGTGCGATCAGCACAGGGTGCAGCTTCGCCGCATCCTTGATCACGGTCGACAGCGCATCCGCGACATCCTTCGCCAGCTCTTGCACGGTCTCGTCGTCCCTAAGGGCGAGAACGGTGGCTAATTCCAAGACGAACACCAAGCTGGCGTCATAGATTGGCCTGGTTAGGTTCTTCTTGTTTCCGTTGGTGCGCGGGCTTATCGTTTGGGGAAGCTCAGGCTTCACCACAATGACTCTTGGTGAGCCGTCTTCGGGTATTTGCTCGAGCAGGGACATCAGCAACGAGCGTAGTGAGTCTAGCGGTAGCTGACTGATGTTGGCCAGAATATCTTCGAAATGACATTCTTTGACGGTGTCCACTGTGCAGAGCGTATATTCGATTTCTTGATCAGACGGCTCGGGAGGCTCGTCATTAGCAAAGCTAGACACGTAAGATGTCAACGCAGAGAAGATGCCCGTATCTGCAGGACGTTCGACTCGGTCGATGATCTGGGCGGGACTTTGGAGTGGTATCGGTGGCAATGCTAACGTTTTCTGGAACGACAAGAAGTAAGGGGGTATCAAAGAATTGACAAACAAGTTGACCATGATGTGGATGAGCTGAGAAGAGGTTAGTTCTGTGTTGGAGACCAACATGGAAACTTACATGATTCCAACCATCTCGTATCGAGGCTTCATTGCCTTTGATGACTTGGAACAATACAACAGTTGCCAGTTGCGCTCTTCCGTCTCGTCCGAAGCGGACTGCTGTCTCACTGACCATAACACTCTTCTTCTCCACTTGCACTTCGGTATTCAATGACGTGCTAGGCGGAAGATCAGGAGCAAGGGTGCTGATGTACGCTAGGCATGAGATGATGCGATCTAAAGCATCGGTTAATTGATATTTCGCTGCGATCTGGGCGCACTGATCAAAGCCAGTGACGACGCGAGAGAAGACGGCGTCATCAGTTGCTGACATGAAAACATATGACAGGGTCGCTACGATGGGCTTCCAAGTCGCAGCAAACATGTCTGCATCGAAAATATTCGTATCACAGATGACTAGATCTGAGGTCGATTGCGTCTTGATCAATAGCTCCTTCCATGCATGATCGTATGCATGACGAGTTTCGTGTTCCTCGGGCAGGATGATTTCACGATTTTTGATCGACTCGTAAATCGATTTGATATATTCGGGGTCAAAGTCCTTGCCATCGTTAACACCACGCAGGTTCTTAGCAAAGTCCTCCAGAGCCATGCGCTTGTTGCCTTTGAGATTAGGATTATGCTGGTCCGTGTTGAGCATGATGATAGCATAGCACAAGATGTAGATGGCGTCCGTGTTCGCGATATCTCCGGAACCAACCTGTTCGAAATATTGTGTTGAAAACTCGGTGACGATCCTCTCAATGAGTGCTGATTCTCCAGGTAGACGGAAGCTGTTCAAAAGCCGTCGCAGAGCTTCATCCACTCGAAGAGTCGTAAAGTCAAATTCATGAATGAATGCGTGGAGAATCGCCTCGTTACCTCGTTTCGAGATGAATTCACCGAGAACCCTCTTGTCAACCCGACTTGTGCCCTGTAAAATCCGAACAATGCTCTTCGGATCATCGGGATTCTCGATAATGCCTTGGGATGCAAGGAAAGCGACTCCCCCCTTCGGGCTTTCGTTGAACTTTGTGGCGCCACGAATGATGATGTTCTTACGTGACCGCTGTTCGCGCAGCGCCTCCGCGCTGGGATAACCTTCGGTTACTGGCTCATCGTCCAACCGGTCCGCAATGGACTGAACGAATCCCAGGAGGGCATCCAAACACAGTGGTGGCACGTTGACTGTGCTCCATGTGGCTGAATCAGGGAAAGCATTTCGCGACAGAAGTCCAATGATATCTAGGCAGACGTCCATCCGATCCGTCTCACAGTCATAGTTGACAAACAACTCTGCCATGAAAGAAGGTATGCGGACCAGGCCACCCAGATTCTCGATCATGGCTTCTCGTGCATCGGGTTTCCTAGCCCCACCCTCCAAGCCAAGCTTCTGCCGGTCTTTTACTGGCACTGGTGTTGACCGGCCGCTCGATGGATTTTGTTGCGGAGCCGGTTTGATGAGGCTTGGCGCTTGCGGTACGCCTTCGTATAAAGATGGCTCTATCCCTGGCTCTATAGGAATCTCCACTCTTGGAAACAGGCAGGCGACCAGATATGATAGGTATAGCTCCTGTTGCAGCTTGAGGACATTTCTGCAAGTAGCAAGTAGTGTGCCAGCTACACGCAGAGATTCGTTCAGAATGGCCATGTTCTCTGCTCTGACTAATTGGAAAAGATGCCGACAGAGCGTGTCCTTCGCTAGGTTGGCCAAGCTGGGGTGGCTGGCAATCGATGGGCCGGCTACCTCAAGCGCGACATCAACAATGCGCAGCGCCATGACGCGCATAGTATCAGTGTGCAGCCGATCGTGTGGATCGAGCAAGTCGACTAAGACTCTGAACAATTCTCGAATTGAGGGCAACGAGTACGGCTTGATTTCAACGGGTGCTTGCTCTGATTCGATAGTCCCTGGAAGATCAAGCGTGCTTCGATCTAGATTCGGCGCGTTACTGTCGGTATCCCCTTCGCCCCTCTCTGAAGTGCTAGGTTGTTGGGGCTCTTCGACTTTGGTAGGCAATCCTGCGCTCTCTCCGTTTGTGGTAGGATCCATTTTGAGGCCGTCTGGCTTCTCATCGTTGTCCAACTCTTCATCAAGTCTCTGAAGCTCCTCCGGCGCTTCTATCTCCAGTGTCTTCAACCTCTTGAATATGACGTGACACATAGATACCATCGCAATCTCTGCAGACCGTCGAAGCAACTCAGACAGCCTAGATTGGCAACACATGCTAAGGCCTGTTTCCATCATCTCGCAAATGCTCTCGTCGCCCAGTACTTCGCCTGCCTGACCAGAAACCATGCTCTCCATAAGCTTTAATATTCGTAGAAGGACAATCTCATCGGCTGCGGAGTCGCTGGCTTCGAAACGACAATGTGTGATAGCGGAGGAAAGCTGCTGCATAGCTTCTGGTAGGCGCGGGGAATCACGACCGATGATGTTATAGGACAGAAATTTGGTAATAGCAATCAGCGCGAGCGAAGTGATAGGCGCAGACGTCGAAGAGGACCGAATGACCTGGAGGAACGGATGGAGCATGGAGGGGGTATCAAAGGTCTTGATGTCTGGCGGTGTGTTAGTAGTGCCCCGAATCAATTTGGCGAATAGCCACACCTTTGCAGCCCTTCAGCTCGTTCCTCAAGCGCGCAAAGGCAGACATAAGAGGGTTGTCCTGCAAGCTCTTGCCCTTCTTCCCACGCAGGCCCCATCTGCTGGGTACAGCTTCCTCGTGTTCGCCAGTCCCGCCAACTATGCCCTGCCCAGCCCGATCTCTCTTCTGTATAGCCGGGGTCTTGTTGGAGGAGCCGCCTAGAATAGCGGAAACTGAGGAATGAGCCCAGCGCGTATGTTTGCGCATGGCAGACGTGACCGTTATACATTCTGTGACCACGAGCGCTACTGGGTTGACCGCAACGGGAATGCGCCGTGGTTCCGTGAGGGTAATGGCATCTTGGAGCGTGTCCGGCGACAAGCTGTCGATTTCTTCGTTGGACATATTGGAGGGTCCTTCGACTCAGAGAAGGCAGGATCCGATGCGGTGGTGGGTTCGTAAGGTGAAGCTTGGAGGGGACAGACGCAACTATGCGACCGGTCAGCAAGCTCAGGAAAGGAACTTCATGCTCTCAAGAGAAAGTTGCCTAAAAGAGCAGGATTTAAGTATAAAGCAGACGTGTAGTGATCGTGTCCTCATCGGTAGGCTCCCGAGATTTGCAAGGCAGCTACAATTGCGAAAGCTACATTGAACATTGGGTAGGTGAGGTGCCAAGTCCCAGAAGCCAGGGTGTCAGCGCCCGTCGGACCTCCGCTAGGCGAGCGCCTGATGGTCCCTGAAGGAACACCACGTCAATCTTCTCCTTTCAACATGAAGTTCGATCGCATGTTATCTAGAAGTTACGAAGGAATGATGCCAGTTATTTGGTAGTATATCCTAGGGCAATTTAGGCTATGGTAAATTTCACAGTTGTGACCAGATAGTGCGTAGCAGACATTCACAATCGAGTAGGAGCTTGGTCCATTAGAGAAAACAGTATACATCCGCGTTGAATGTTTCGATATTCTTACAAACGCAGCGCCCACTTGATCTCTCACGCTGAAACGCCTCCTCATGCAAATTCTAGTATATACACCAGCCCTTCCATCCCGAGAAAGACATCGCAAGCCTCTCCACACGCCTACAAACAAATCCAAAACAAAAAATTCGAAAGACATCGAGACATGAGCAAGGAGACCGGCTCGTGCAGTCTCTACAAGCCGAGGCTCGACGATGCTGGTGCAGAAGATTCATCCATGTCCGGCGGTCGGAGTGGCTATTAAAAGGTATGTTGATGAGGACGCAATCATAGCCCTTGCATCGTTTTCGTCAAAATCGTCGTGTATGAGTCGAGTCGACTCTCTACCCTGAGCCTGGATTTGCGGGTCTGGGCGGCATGTCAGGGCCGGCTTTTGCAGGTTGGAGAGAGGCGGTCACTTACTGCTTGGGTGCCGCCTTCTCCTTCTCGTCGACACCCCAAGCCTCGTGTATCTCCTCCCTCTTCACAGCGTCCTTCTTCGCATCGGCGCCCTCCTTCTTTACAGCCTCCTTCGGCTTCTCATCCTTAGCGGAGTCCGCCTTGTCCGCCTTTGCATCGTCCTTCGCTTCTTCCTTCGCATCTTCCTTCGCAGCTTCCTTTGCAGCTTCCTTTGCAGCTTCCTTTGCAGCTTCCTTCGCTTTCTTCTCATCTTCCCTCTTCTTGGCCTCTTCCTTTTCTTCGTTCTTCGCTTTCTGTACCAGGTTCTGTACGACGGCCTTGTCCTTCTCCCAGTCACTGCCTTTGTTGTCGAACTGTTCCTTAATCTTATCTTCCTTCTGCTTCTTAGCGACCTCTTCAGCTTCCTTCGCCTTGCGCTCCTTCTCCATTTCCTCCATATGGCGGATATCGTCGACGGAAGGCTCGTACAAATGCCAGATAGTGTAGTGAGGAAGACCGACAACGGAGAATTTCATGCGCTTGGCCATCTGCTCTGGTGTCAGTAGGTCTCAAAATCAAATCCCGGAAGGAACTCACCTTGCCGAAACCCTCGGTCTCAGCATGCTTTTCGAAACTGAACGCGGGGAAGTGGACACCCTGTCGGAAGACCTTCGCTTTGGCGAGGATACTGACACCACCAACACCATCAATCTCCATTTCCATGTCAGGATCGCCGTAGGGGTCACGGAGGTAGGCTAAATGCGGTCGCCAGGTGGCGTATTCTGCGTAACCTTCGACAATCACAGCATCCTCGTCAAGAGTGTCTGCCAACGCTAATGCCGTCTCCGATTCTTGCCACGAGTTGAGATCGTAAGGTTGCTCGCCACCAAGCCAGTCGGGGAGCGGACGCCAGACATCTGCGAGAAGTGGTTAGTGGGCTGATAATATCGGTGGCTTCGGTTGGCTTACTCGGTACGATAACATCTTTATTGTGGCGCATGAGATCCTCCAAGATCGTGAAGGGAGCCGTTTCGACGTCGACATCTCTCCAGTAAACCCAGCTGTGAGTTGGCCGAAGCGCCGCGCTCAATAGCCAGTTACGGGCCTGAGCCATCGACTTACGTCGTCCAGCCTGAGCAGCGAAACCGTGTCGAGACTCGACATCCTGGTTGACCTTCTGCCCAAAGTCCTTCTGCAGAATCGAGATTTCTCCGAATTGGTTCTTCGGCTCCGGATCTGCCTGAAGCTCCTCCAGCTTCGAATTAAGCAAATCAAGCGTGTTGTCCTTGGAATCTCCAACCAAGAACGCAAGATCGATCAGGTTGTGCGGGTACGTAAGGTTCTTCAAATGGGCGAAGAACATGGGCAGATGCGGCGCGGCGTCTCGGAGCGGAGCGCAAAGGAGAATCCGCTCCTCCCTTTCCCACCCTCTTGCCGTTCCTTGTACATTGCTCAAATCATAATATCGTACGGTCTCGAGTTTCGCGTCGTCGCTAGATGCGAGATAGCTTAGTGGGCCGGAGCCCAGATCCGGTCGCAGATCGGGGAAAAAGAAGAATAGACCCGTGAGGAAGATGGATCCTATCAGCAGTAATCGCTGTATTAACTGCCGCCGCCGCCTCAGGGCTGGCTGTGATCTAGGCTGGAATCTGCAATGACAGTGGTAATTAGCATCGTGTGTCCAAGATGGGTGATCTTTCAGGGCGGCAGAAAAGTTCAGCTCCAGAGAGGCCAGCATGGCAGTAGCAGACGTACTTGTGAGGTTGAATAGAAAATGTGCCGCCCCCGGTAGAAGGGTATGCGGCTTGCCCGTTGGAAAAGGCATGGCGATGCATCTTCGACTTTGCATGTAAGGGCAGCATCCAGGAGGGAGTCCGCGAAGTCAGATCGCGCTGAGTTCTCCCTTTGAGCACCCCCGGTCACGTCGACCCGCAAGTTTCGCCGGGCGCAGTGCAGTGCAGAGCAGAGCGCAGCAGGGCCGGGCACACGACGTCTAGGGCGGGTGTGCGATGCGAATTGATGCCACAGGGGCGCGAACGAGTGTGGAGGGATGTTGTGGAGGCTGCGATAACCCTTGGCAACTGATGTCGTCGTACGGGTCTCTGGAAGACTTGGCTCCTGATTTATTTCGCTAAGCTGAAGCTGGAGGCCACCGTTGTCATAGACATGCCCCGATATCCCTGGCAGTGATTACCGAAATGGCGACGTGCAGCTAGGCGTGGGCGGACAAGGAAGGGAGAGCGTGCGAGCGGCTGACAAGCGTCCTCAGCTATCGCAGATGGATACTCTTTCAGGATATGCGCGAATGCGCTGCGGAGGTCGAAGGTGCAGCGCCGTCGGGGTCGTGCCAAGCGGCTAGCATTGATGTTTCAGGACACCTTGTTGGAACCTCGAGAAATCACCGTTGCAGGGCCGTGTAATTGTCCCGTCCCCACCAGATTTTCTCATGCTCGTGAATGTCGATCGGTGCCTTTAACTCCACATTCACTCTTTCCGAAGCTTTAGTACCCGCTGAAATCATTCGGTCGACGCGCGGCCACTGTTGATCGTTCACAGGGATACAACGGATGAGCACGTGTGAGACAGAACATGGCATCTATTACTATTCTAAAACTAGCAAATGTGTACTCTTCACTGCACAAATAGCCGGCCCGAAATACCAAATTCACAGCCAGACTCAGACACTGCGGTTGGACGTCACTGAATCTGCACCACGGTGGTCAGTAAAAGCTCACGAAGACACCGTGTTAAACCAGACGATGAAGGCCTGTTGCTCAGAAAGCCGTTATAGTCATGCTCCGCCGCTGGCCTCCAGTCACGACAGCCCAAGACGGACTGCTGCGACGTTCGGCTCAACAACCGCAATTACGCACGTTTGCACGCGCAACTCCACAACTCGTCATTCCAAGCCGAAGCCGGTAAAGTGCGGGAGGGCGACCCAGCATTGGATGTCGTTGAATGGATAAGACTAGGTTTTCATCATGGCGAGGGAGGGTGTGGAGGATGAACGTACGGGAACCAGATAAGCGACGTGTCGCCGAGACTGTGGGAACTAGGGATGGCCTGCGCATACAAATCAGTAACAGTCGCTTAGTCGATAACGAAGAAGCAATGACAAGGATTTGCGTAAATCAGACAAGGTAAGCTATGGTATAGAGTGTCTTCAAGTGGTTCAGTAGCAGAACTGAAAAGATATACACACATCATAAAACGCGGGATCGTGTCGTTGGGGGGTATGGTAAAACTTACTTGTTATGAGTAGCAGCATGTCAGCTTCTGCTGGTTAGTTTAACCTTGTGTTAATCGGCAAGCACGCAACAACGATGTTCAACGATGTTCTTGTTCAGCGCGACTTCATCTGGAAGTCTGCTGGCCGACACGCAGGTCGCGGTATAGACGTCCAAGTGCAATGTCACAAGCCAGTTGAACTGGCTGATTCCTGTCCGCGCAGCGATCTTGGACTGTCGGAAATCGAGCAGCTCCTAGTGTCTGTCAGCTTGTGATTCGCACCTGAAGCCAACAGCTTGCGATGAAGATGGAAAGGATCAGATGGTGGTGCATGATAGTTCGGGCTCATTATAAGTCACCAGAACATATAGGAAAGTATCAGTCATAAGAGGAAGTGTAGTGAAATGTGTGCCGGTAACTTACTTTGCGCGTGAAGCACCTCGAAAGCGAGGTGATGTAAAGAAGCTGGAGCTGGGCAAGCGAAGAGAAAAATATCAGCGCGGCAGTCGCGAAATCTTGGCACGTTAGTCAGCGAGCATTTCTCGACGCCCGCGTCACTCCCAACCTACCTTCTAGCTTTGCGCCCCTTAGCACTGCACAGCACACAAGATGGCAGCGAATACGGACAGGAGAAGGATCAATGCGCCCAGCGGCGGCACCTCAGCGCCGGTTTTCGCCAAGACGGTCCTGGAATCTGGTTACCTTCAATCGCTACGGCCAAACAGAACAAGAGGACCAAATGAGCTACGAAAGACTTGTAAGTGCTTCGCTGAACAGGGAGACGAATATCTTGCGTTCGTTACTTCGGGTACAAGGCAATTTTCATGTCTATTAGAGCTCCCTCGAGCTTCCATTGCGCCCTGTCTCAAACTTGAGCCTGAACTAACAGACTTGGAATAGTCCTTCAAACCGGCATTGTACCCTCTGCGTCAGGCTCCGCATACCTCGAAGTTCCCACCGCATCGTCCTCGCAGTCCACCCTAATTCCACCTACCTCAAGCCTGAAGATCGCTGCTTCAATCCAAGGCCCGAAGCCCCTCCCCCGCAGTGCGCCCTTCTCCCCGACTCTTGTACTCACGACCACCGTAAAGTTCGCGCCATTCGCTACCAGACATCGGAGAGGATACATTCGCGATTCCGCAGAACGGGATCTTGGCGTACATCTGGAGACAGCTTTGAGAGGCGTCATAATTGGCGAAAGATGGCCTAAGAGTGGGGTCGAAGTTGTCATCACCATCCTTGAAGGGGATGAAGATGCATGGTGGGGCGACAGCGGCGCTGAGGGTGGAGCTGGTAGTGGCTTTGGTCTGCTCAACGTGCTAGCTGGGTGCATAACCGTTGCGAGTGCGGCGATCATGGATGCAGGCATTGACTGTGTTGACATGGTCGCTGGAGGAGTGGCAGCGGTCACAGGAGATGGACAGAAAGTCCTGGACCCTTGTCCAGCGGAACACCAAGATCTTGTCGCAGCTTGCGCAGTGGGCTATCTGGCATCAAGAGACGAGATCACAGAAATATGGCTCAAAGGAGACGTCGGCGCAGATCCTGACGAGCTCATCGAAGGTGCTACGCATGCCGCTCTGGGAAGCGTGAGTGTGTTAAGAGAGGTGCTGCTCGAGAACATGGAGGCGAAAATGAATATCACCAAAGAGGGATCAAAAAGGAAGCTGGAAGACGTCGAAATGACTGGTTAAGGCGTGTGTCGGGTTGGGCCGCATGGATCTCTTTTGCATAGCGACGGCGTTTATATACCATCAGGGACGGGAACGAAATGTGTAAAAGATGCTTGTGAACATATCTGTCACAGCTTTCGGCCAACTGCGGGCGAAAGCTTCGAGATGAACCATCTAGGAACGATTCTTGTGTTCACGACGTGCTGATGTCTCTACACTTCTCACCGGCTTATTCCGATCGCTTTTTAGAAACCTAACGATTATGTTGCGACAGAGTAGATCTAAGCTTTGCGATTACTCACTTTTATCACATTTTCGATCACTTGCAGTTACCAGATCATGGGTGATCGCGCCTTCCTTTCTCAATGTCTCTTACTAGCCCATTTTGCAAACGCAGTTCCAAGCTTAGAAGCCGTTCCGTTTGCCCTCTTATAGTACATAAACTCATCGCGCTTCAATCCACTGTCGATCCCTCTTCATAGTGACAGCAGCATCGTCTGTGAATCGGAGCCATTGGCACTTTCAGCAGCAATCATGGCAGCCACGACCGAGCCGGCCACTGTACCAGAAGAGCACCCCGATGCACCTGAGATCCGGCGACAAGTAAGTTGACAAGACTTTTGCTCTACGGTCAGAGAGTAGGTTCACTAACGGTGTCAAGGTGGAGTACTACTTCTCCGATGAGAACCTCCCGATCGATCTTCACTTGCTACAATGCTGTGGCGGCCGCGAAAACCAGCCCGTCTCCATCTCGCGCATCTGCGGCTTCAAGAAGATGCGCGGTTTCAAGCCAAAGTCTATGGTCCCCGCCGCCCTGCGCAAGTCCGCCTTCCTCGTCGTCTCCGAGGATGGCAAGCAAGTCAGTCGCAAAGTTGCTCTACGAGGCCCTTGCGCACTCGATCCAGACTACTTCAAGGACGACGAGATCGCGTATGATCCGAGGGCGCGGGTACCGGCTGTTCAGCCTGTCCCGTTGCTACCGCAGACGAAAGCTGAGTATCCGGAGGGCAAGAGCAAGAATATGATGAAGCCCACGGGGTTCGAACATACATATGTGAGCTACCTATGACCACGTTATCTTTGCCAAGGTTCCGCTAATATATGTAGGTCGAGCCACCTATTACTCCAGATGAGGCCCAGGAAGAGGACGCCATGTACGATCCCGACAAGCACTTCGTGGAGCGCATTGAGATCGCAATTCAGCGATTCAAGCAGAAGAGGCGGATGCATGAGCAGTACTCCAACATTTTCAACAAGTGGATGCGCTTCGGTGGTGTGGATAGCGCTCCTCGCATGTTCGGAGGTCTATCGAACAAGGACATGGCTGATATGGATGCCGAAGAGATTGCGAGAGCTAGGGCTACACATCAGGTGCCTTGGGATCGAGAGAATACCAAGCACTGGGGTGGTTGATTTCGTTGGTGTTGCGGAAGCTTTTCTGTGCGTTGACATCCTGAGTCCACTTGAGCTCAGGAGTGAAGCCGCTGACAGTATTGCAGGTCATCCTTCTTCCCGGCTCACTACGGCTTCAACCCCCATCAAATCAAGACAGCCTGCCAGGTCCTCCGTTCCTTCTACAACTACCTCATCTACCACTCTGTGTGTCCCGAGTACCGCGACGACCTCGACAAAGCGCGTAAGCTGTGCGACACCGCCGAAATCGAGTTATCCAAGTCATACAATGCAGGCCTTGCCCTTCCCGGGGCCTTCAACACCGCCGCTAGTACTATCTTTGGTGGTTCTAAAGCTGGCACTTACACCGGCAACGTGGAGTGGGCCATCAAACTCAAGGAAGAGGGTGTGGATCTCCAAGAGGTGGGCGTGATGGATGAAGAGGCCAGGATTACCTTTAGGACTGCGGTTGCCATTATGGGAACAGACGAGCAGCAAGCCTTGCTCGACAAAAGCTGTCAAGGTGCTGAGGGACGAGTCGTTCAGCCTAGAGGTTGTGACGATCAGTCCCTCAGACCAGCTTACCCGCGAGATGTACGCCCGCCAAAACGGGTTCACGGCTTCGAAGCTTCAACTCCAACCCCTCGGTACACTCGTGTGTCGCTCCTTCTACTTGGACGACTTCAATGAATATGATCTCCCAAAGAACAAATATTCGAACGGTCGCCTCTCTAAATCGGAGGATGGCAAGCAGTACGAGTTCTGGATTGAAGACCGCGTGCTGGAGGAGTGCTTTGTGGGCATGAAGCTTGATGCGAGGATCTTGACGCTAGCCGGCGGTATCACAATCCTCGATGACGTGCGAGAAGCCATGTGCAGCTTCTACAAGTGGCTGCCTAACGAGCTGTGGATGCATCGCCACCCGAAGGAGGTGGTGATTAGGAAGAAGGATCTGGATGAGGAGTCGGAGGCAGATGTTGAAGACGGCGAGGGCGGCGAGAGTAAGTTCGCGGATGACGAATCTGTTTACGGGGAGTAGGTTGAGAAGTGAGGCGTGGGCGACTCGGTCGTGACCTATCACAGATAAGGGAAGGGGCATGAGTCAAAGTTTTCACCATCGTTTGCGAGATTGAGTAGCTATCTCGAAGTATCTCCGTATTGCATTTAGCTGAGCTGCATGCGAATTCGCGAAATGCAAGACTCGATCGACCGATATTTAGGTATACGCTTAGTCCGCTTCAAAAGTACAGCGTGAATGCCCACATGGGTATTTCATACTTGATATGCCCATCATGATACTCGTCACAACTGACCGAGGTACCATACTGTGGTGAATCATTGAATAAATCCTAGGGTAGAGCAATGACGTTGTCACCTTCGAGTTCATGTAATATGGAGTTGGATCACGTGGTCTGCTTTCATACAGTACACCGCGGTTGCAAAACAGACATAAACAAATGATTTTATTGGATGCATGCAGTATCAAGACCTTTGTAACGACTCGTCTCTAACATGCAACCAATCCTGTATCATGCCACTAAAAATCACAAGATACCCGGCAGCATGAATGCTGCTATGGTTTCGACTAGAAAAGAGGAAGGTATGACTGTCGTGAACTATGCTAATAAACGCCATAACCGATTGTACAGAAAATCAAACCTCTAGAACACTTTGAACGCATCAGCGCTGCTGAGTTGTAGAGTAACTTCTTGGCTTAGCTGCGGGGATGCGGCTAAGTCAAGTGGGAGACCGACCTGGTTTGGTTAAACAGATGGAGTGGCAGGTGGCTTGTCGTTGGGATCTGGGAACTCCTCGAAGAGTGCGCTGATGTCGCGGTTGGAGCCCGAATCGCTCTCGTTGGCCGCTGCGTAGTCGCTGTTCGACTCTGGAACGTCTTCGACATACGCGTATACGCCATTGTTGGACTTGAGATCCTTCTCTTTTGTCGCGGGGTTTGTCGCAGATATCAACACAGGACGCTCATAGTGCTCTTCGGAGTCCTCGAGATGCTCGTCTTCTTCGGGATCAGAGTCGCTATAGGCTTCAGCCTCGGCCTCAGCCTCGTTGTGGGCAGCCTTGAGGTAGCTAGGCAAACCGGCCCCTGCGGAAGCTGGCCATGTCTGCGGGCCTTGCGCCATCTGAGGACGTAGAATGGGCGGTGCCTGAGAGTTTGGGTTGATCGGTTCCTAGGCTGAGGAGTGCTGACAGTGTTCTTGCTCGTGCGAGGTTTCTTGGGCTTGCGAGCTGGCATGTTGGTGTGCACTGGAAAGTGCTGAGAGGCTGGGCGCTTTGAGGAAGCGCGAGGCTGAGGAGGCGCCGAGTGTCCAGGATCGAAGCTACGGCCGAACTGTGTTGTTCGAAGATAGGATTCGTGAGGGTATTTTGGCGGATTTGTATCCTGAGCTCCCATCGGGTCTTGGTGTTGAGCATTCTGAGCACCCTGAAACTGACGAGCCATGTATTCAGGGAGTAAAGACGACATTGGTGGGGGTCCGTCAAAGTAAGCTGGATATCCTACCTGGCGCGGCTTCCTAGCTTGAGCGGTTATTTGTCCTGTTTGTTTGCCTGTGACGTTCTGTACCGCGCCCCGGTAGTGCTCAGGTCCACGTGCTCCAAAATGGCTAGATGCGAACAGTGAGTCGAGTTTGGCACCGGGATTAAGAGGCACTCCAATTGCGTTGACGGTATGGTTATTGCCCGTGAACGTCATATGGCCGAGAATATCTTGATTCAGCATGCCAGGATAGGGGTAATCAATGGGGTGAGAAGGACCATGAGGACTAAGATCGGCTCCCACGCCACCGGCTTGGAAGCCCAATAGAGGACTACCAGGACCAATTGTCGGGTTCTGGAAGGGATTTCCTGCAGCCACGGGGTCTCCAGTCATTGGATAGCTTGAAGAAGTAGGTGGCTCTGAAATAATAGGCATGCAAGCGGGTAGCTGAAAGTCCGGATTGAAGACCACAGGCGCCTCGTGAGCGGCAATTCTTCGCGAAGCTTGGGGGGAAGGATCGTGAGATGAAGTGTGCCGTTGCTGCGTCTCATTGAATTCCTGGACTTTTCCTTTGAGTTCTTTAGTCTTCCTCGCCTTAACACCATTGCTGTCGGCATTTTGATACTTCGTATCCCAAATTACTTGCGGATGGTTCGCTAAAGCGAACATGTGATCGATGTCATTGGTCGCTTCAGCACACGCAGTCTTCCAGTAATGGAGTACAACGATGATGGCCTCGATGCGGGCCTTGCAGTTGGCTTTCATGTCTGGTGAAGGCACTGTGACATCCTTCACGAACCCGTTTCTAGGCTTTGTCTTACGTGCAAGATCTTGTTTGGCTTGGCCCCTGAATCCCTTACGGCAGCGATCTATGATAACTTCGAATAGAACGTGGCAGCGCGATTCCACAAAATCTTGCCCGACGTACCAACCATGTTCGGCATTGTCAACCGGATGGAACATTTGTACTCTATTTGTGTATGTTCCCTCTTTGTTCAATTTGTCGTATATGTTCGTCAAATTGTGCATTGCATCCATCAACCGAACAATGTAGTCTTCCCGTGCCGCCTCGACTTGAGCGATGGTAGGGTCCTGGACCGGGTCAACGTGTGGTGTATGAGTTACACGGAACATGTTCATGAAGGCTTGTTCGGTACTCATAGTCAGTCGAGGATGGTTGGAAATCGCCTTTGTCGGTGGGATGTTTCGGCTGATTTGCGAAGGAAGAGGGCATCCGGCCAGTCCGGTAGCAAGCAGCCCGGACAAGGGTTCCAGGGCAGGAGGAGAAGGGTTTGATTGAACTTCAGTGCTGAAAGGAACAGGTGCTATACCATTCTTGACAACATCTGAAGGTTCCGCCTGGGAGGCAGGGAGCAATGCCTCTGCAGGAGACAGACCCAGAAACACAGGCGTTGGCGAGCCAAAGTTGAGTTTCGACTCTTCGTGGTGTTGGCCGGGCGGCTCAGGAGGCGTTTTCGGGGACATAGCTTGAGGCAAGGCCTTCGAGCGACTACGGTTCTTTGAGATGCAAGAGACCGCACGTTTCAAGTAGGAACGCGCTCAAGTCTGGTCGAAAAAAAGGGTGAGGGCGAAAGAGAGGTGGCGCTGTAGTCTTGCGCTGACAGTTAGATCAGCGAGGGGCTGTGACGCAAGCGCATAGCACGCCTTCAGAGTTGAAGGGCGTTAAATTGAGAGTATGTGGGTGAGCGCGCGCGCGTAGGGTTTTGTACCTTGAGGAAATTTAACTTCGTGAAAGGCCTCGCAAGTGAGCCGAGCCGGAGCACAGGCGACTCCGCCTCTCTGGTACGGTTGAAAAACATACGAGTAGTGCATTCCTGGAAGCCTCCGAACGTAAGTACACAAGCTATCCATACTTTTCCCCCAAAAAAGTACGTTAGCTTGGATGGCAACGTTTCGGGCATCTCTAAAAAGGCTATCAGAACGGAGACGCCGCAGGCACCTCTTCATTCTCTCACTTGTCAATCTCCAGCAGCCTATGGTGTTTTGAACTCAACTCATTCGCGTCCGACATGACCTGCAGATACGATCCACCGTGCCCCACAGCATCAAGCTCAGATCAAACGACAGCATACATCGCACCATCGCTACACCCAGCCGTATCGCCACAAACGCCGAACGCCACGACCTTTTTTGCCGCATCCACATTCGATAAGTTCGATTACCCAGTTCTGAAATCAATGCCATTTGAGCGAGCGTGAGGCTCACCATTGTTCCCACAGTCGATAGCAACCCGAGATAACTTTTGGCATAGATGAAGTCCGAAGACGTCGCAAGACATAGTGAGTTAATCCTCATTACTGTGACGACCATAACGCTTGGAGAAAGAGATTGTCAGCAAATCTTTGCATATCTTTCGGTCGAGAAGGTTTCACTGACATTAAGCCTATCTCAAAGACGAAGATCAGGCCCACCTTTGTCTTATCCCTTAACACGAGTTTAACAATGATTCGAACAGGTGCCAAAAACAACGGTAGGTCGAGCATCAGTCCAATAATTTCAATCGTAAGGAAGGAGGCCTTCTGGTCACCACATGTACCAACACTGGCATCCCACTGCGCGGCAAGTGGGCGGCAAATCAACAGGATTTCCAGGATTGAAACGATTGGATAGATGATGCTAAACCCCATGGCCGTTTTAAGCGAGTACTCTGTCTTCGAGTCGGGACAACCTGCAAAGAAGATTCGCAACAAATATCGATAAGCAGCGACCCGGATCAATCCATTCGTCGCTATCCATAGGCTTTCATGAATTAGTAGCGACTGAATAACATGTAAGCAATAGTAGCTTTCGCAGTCCGTTTTATCATCTTTACGTACTCTAGCGAGGATATTGACCTGATTGGGCGCAAACTCAACTTGGTGTTCGTTACGTCCTTCCATCACGATTGCCCATGTGGTTTGACAAGCGAGTGCCACACCAATCATCATCGCTAGCACAGTGATAGATTCGTCTAGTCCGAACATACCTCGTTTGTAGATAGCGGAAATAATAGCCAGTATTACAGTGGCCAAAGCGATGCTAACAAAGAGCCAAGTGATCATGATAGTGATCATACCAAAGTGTGAGATCAGAGCCATGGTGAGCCGAACGACATGAGGACTCTGAGAATCAAAGAAAGCATGCAAAAAAAGCCGCAATAAGGTTGATGCTGTGTCGCAAGGCCATGAGAACTTGCACATAACCGATAGTGAGGCGAAGCTTGGACTTGCATGATGGCTTAGACCTGAACTTGGGACCTCATTGGTGCGCATGACGAAAGGCACTTACAAGGCTGTATTCGGCAAGGCTTTCGTGCACTCACCGGATGAGGCTAACTCATCGACCAGATATCATGCGACGTTATAGTAGACCTAGGATGCATGCAAAAATTCATTGTTCTTGAAGATCTCGGAGGTGATTTGCGGACGCACTTTTTAGTCACGGACCTATAGAAAGCTATGACTACTTAGAATACCATGATGCTCTTAAACATGCTTGCCATTCATCGTGAAGACTCCAAAAACCAACATGAACCGTGCCAAAGGTATCGTAGGGAATACAACCATGAAAAACTCCAACAAAATTTATAAGAGTATTTAGAATTGCGAACTAGCATAAAAACTAAAGACAAGACTAAGATACCTGGTTTTTAGAGGCAGAGGAATGGTGCTATTGAAACGCATCCGGGCTCATGCACTCGCTTAAAGTCTGCATTTGCGATCAGCTGCGCAAGCATGATCAGTGAAGTCTAGGTGGTGTGTATTTGGACCAATGTGTGAAAGATGTAGGAGGATGGAAGGAGGAAGGCGATTCAGAAGTTGTCTGCGCTCTTGTTACTACGATGATAGGCAGCCTCTTCGTGATCCATGGTGCTATCCTAGGCATCACCGGTCAACAACCCAACATGTCACATCACGATCCTCCCGCGAACGTTGCCTAACAGCATGTGATAAAAGTGTTGAAAGAGAACTGTTAATCCTCGTTAATCAATTGCACCGTAGACTTCACCCCATATCACTCCGGCACCAACGGAAATAAGTGCTCCGGCCTTTTCCAGTCTTCTCAATATACATGAGCATGAAGCACACTGATATGCATTCCCACCACAACGTTAAAAGGAGCCCACCAGTAGATGTTCGGTTAATCAATTCCAGAGTCAGATTTCAAAATGTTGAACGGTGCATCTGTAGTCATTCACCAATTGAGACTACAGCATGTAGCGAGTAAGAGCGGGCTAAGAGCAACACCTCCCATCATCTGATGCAGCCTAGCGGCGTGAGGTGGTCCAGCCCCAGTATTTCATGAATTATCTGACAGCAGACCATGGCAGCGATGGAAGTATGCAGATCTATACACGGTCCATGCTTTGTGACAGTAAATCACCCTATGCTTTTGGAAGCTTGAAGCCACCCGGTACCGTCTTCTGAAAAACGCGTCGGGATCATATTTGTTGCTGACGTCTCCCAGCCTCTTGGCACTCTATTCCCCATATCCGCCCAATATGTCCTCTTTATGGTACCTGTAGTTAGTGAAGATGTACCTGTGCAGAAGCCCCTTATTCACTAGCAATCTTCCTGAGCTTCTCTTGTAGCTCTTCAACAGCGTTGTAAACTTGTCCATCATTTCCTGAAAACTCCGAGATAGGACTGGTGAGGACGACGAAGAAGGGTCCATCAGAAGAATCAATGTCTTTCGCGTTGTCGCCAGCCTTCTTCGATTGTTTAGTAGGGCATTAGTGAAGGGAAAGTAACCGAAGGAGAAGATGAAGTCTTGTAAAGGCCGAAGGCATCCGAGCATCTGGAGCATCTGCACACGTTGTAGTAGTCACAGGTGTATATAAGGCTATGACTACCAAGGCACTAGCTATGTGCATCCTAAACAGCGACGGTTTGTTGCGAGTTAGACGTTTATACCAAGAAGCCAAAAACAAACAGAAATCCAAGATAGGAAAGCCTACAGACAAGCCAGATAGAACAAAGACATCCTGCAACCCAAAGTCATCTCACCTTCCGGCTTCTCCCGAAACAGGTACACGCTCCAGCCCAGGTGACTTGAAACTAGAACTTGACTGCGATCTTGACGCTTCTCTTCTTCCCATTCACCTCATTGATTTGCTGGGCCGTGAGATCGGTGGTACAGCGGAAGAACCTTGCACCTGACAAGACTCTGTCTCCCAGGGGAAGTGGATAATTGCACTGGTAGTCATCGCCTGGGAAAGGAACGCAGTTGCCGTAGGTGTTGCCATCGAGGCCAATCATATCATAATTGCGGTCCTTGTATATGGCTACCATCGCTTGTCAGTTTCTGTTTCCTTTGCATCCTTGGGCCAGAGCGGCTTACTAAAATGATAGACAGGGTCTGTATCGTGGAAGTTCATCTCCACGCGCGTAGCCGCTCCAGGGTCCGAAGGATCCGCGGGACGAGGCTCGTATACCACACCGAACTTGTCGCCGCTCACCTGAATGGTGAAAAGAGTTAGAAATTGGCGTACTTTGCATGCTTGGATATCGTTTGGGGAGCCTTACATCATCACTGTCGTCCCAGGTTTGAGCGCTGCTGGCATCATCGCAATCAGGTTCGCCATCGAACACCTGCCATACGTCGAGTGCTGGCTCCGGGTTGTCATCTGGAACAGCAGTCACATCGGTACCCCTGTAGAGATCGAAGTTGGCTAAAGCTAGGTGGAATAGGGTGAAGGCGGAGACGGCAGATGCGGTGACCTTCATGATGTCGGGAGTGGGAGGAGCAGGGTTTCTTGAGCAAGAAGCTAGATCTGATGAATTGCAGTGAAGAGGAATGTCAGAGAGGTTGATGGCGGGAACATTGAGGGCTTTGTGCTTGTCAATTTATACTTGAGTGCTGATGGTCAGTGCCAGTCCTTGTTTCTTCCTCCATGACCATCGAGATCCTACATCTACTATTCCACGATCATGTTACTCGCTGTGAAGCCGTTTGACGTCGATCAGTATCCGTTCGCCGCGAAGTTTGCGAGATCCAGTTGCCTACTCACTCCTCTCGTACGAAACGCTTTGTCCAGTCTGCGAGTATCGCGAGCCTGATGTGAGTATCCTTACTGTCGGTACGTAGTGGACCAAAACAGTGCGGCTGACTAGCATGCAGGGGTGTCATAAAGCTAGGTGCAATCCTGTCGGATCCTAAGAAGCCTTAGGGATGAAACTCACCTCTAAAAGCGTGCATATTCTATTATGTTACGTAAAAATGCTAACAGTAGGCTGGAAGACAAAGGAACTATAGGGACCCCAGTCGACGATCTCGTGTTGGCTCAGCTAAGCGTGGTATCGTCTTACATCTTGGCCTACATTGTGAGTTTCAGGTACGCCCTGCTTATGCTCGTCACAACTCGAAGGGCAGTAGGTTGCCCTAGGTTTTGTCGAACGGGCATTCGTCTTGTTCTTTCTATATAGATTATGTCCGTGCATAAGTGAACAAGAGGATTGATTTACCAGGTTCTTACGAGACCAAAGCCGTGTGAGGTCGTTGAAGCGACAAGGGTTTCAGGCTGCTCCCATCTTGGCGGATCCTGTTGAGGGCAGACGTCTTCAGACAAGGCATCAATATTTGGATATTATGCTCGTATATACGAGGAAATTAGGCCATCAACGCATTTTGGATGCCCGTAGATCTGTCGATCAATGACTCCACAGATGGGCAATTCCCCATATCCAGACCAGATAGTAATGGTACTCAATAGTGTAAGGAGTGTATCTGAGGAAGGGCATACAATCCTGCAGATCTAAGCGACAGAATCCGTAATCAGACCGAAGTACAAAGTGTTAGGGGCCGCTTACTAGACCTTATGCAGATCATTGCAGTTCCAGCTACATGGAAGCTATCAAGCCTACCCAATTGACCTGACAAGCTGAAAAAACTCCAAGAAATTTTATGGATGGGTCGGTCTACTTCGCGCCTATCACGCGTAGGAACTTCTCGCCCTATACCAAATATGGGTCTTCCACACTGGGATCACTGCCGAAGGAACCTAATGCTAGTCAATCGAGTAATGCCCAACTTCGAGTTTCCTCTTTTGAATCACCAGTGACCAATCCTGATATGTCAAATCTCGCCTTTCTTACGGTCCCTAACCTTGACTTGACCCACCTGTTCCTGCGCTTTAGACAGCACAAATGACAACACAGTACAACACATGGATCTACATGGCCGAGAAACTCCGAGAAATCTCTTCAGAGCCACAGAAAGGTGCCGGAAACTTGTGTGCCGTATGACTTAGACCATTCGTCGTTTGGAGAAGAATCACCGGTGCCCATCAGAGGCATCGGTTTTAGGTCAGTTTTAGGACTCGGATGCGCTCATCTAGGAGCACAAGGAACCGTTCAAAATGTTCTAGAATCATAGAGGAAGGCCTTTCAATTTTGGAATACAAATGCGTATTATCCAATGCACCACCAATTCCACGACAGCGGCTAGACGAGCTTTAGACACCCCTGCCCCAAAATCTCCCATCAGACGGAATCGTAGGATACCAGCCAAACATACCCTAAATTTCAGCTTCGATCGCCGTCAAAGAAGAGGTGTAAGTAGTCCACGCCACGCAGGGTATCGTACAACGCGACCGCTCCTCAGCCCAGCAAAACAAGTAAAAATTGACTCAGCTGCTAGAAGTTGATCGTGCACACTCCTATGATATCGCATTCAGTACTACTCACTTTCGTCATGATCGGGCAGCACAGACGCCTTCGATAGAGCTACAGAAGTGGAGGACGTCTCCGCGGGGAGAAGCAGTTGGGGAACCTTCCCAGACGGGAACTCTCTCAGAGGTCTATAAAAGCTTCGAGCTTCAAATTATCAACCAGATAGACTGGCATCCTTCCAGTCGCAATGTTGTTCCTTAACTCACTGTTGGTCGCCTCCATCGCCTCAGCCGCTGCGCTCAGCGGACCATTCGCACCCCGCAACGCAGACACCTCTACTCGTAAAATCTTTCTCAACGTAATTCGCCCCAATCCAGACCCTATCACCCACCCTCCTCTAACCCATCGCAGTTCGACCAGAAGTACGCCCCGCCAGTCAGTCTCATCCCCGCCGGCAACCCACGTGACTCCGAAAACAACACCCAGCCCATCTACTTCAACAACTTCCAAATCGACAGTCTCCCCCTCTCAGAGCCCTCCCACCTTGGCCTGCTCCCAGCTTCTGCACCAAACCTCGCGGCTAGCAGTTTCCGCGCCCGCCTCACAAACGGGTTGCTAAACCTCCTCTTCAACCCAAAGGAGATTGATAAGAAGTTTATACAGTCCGCCAGCCTGAGCATCGACGCGGTAAACGGCACCTTGCAGCTCATAAGCATGTATATCGGCGCCGCTATATCCTCAGCCTTGACACCCATTCCTGTTCCTCAGAACGCCACTTTTGAGTTCACGGGCATCAAGGCAGACGGTAATAACGTCACACAAATCTATGAGTACAAGACTAAGACGAACGACAGGCCGCTGCAGCTGATTGATAATGAGGAACTCGGCGAAGTGGTTTTCAAGCCTGAATTTGTAGAACTGAGGGAGGTCTTGGTTAGGATTATATCTGCGAGTTTGACGACGATTCCCGGGGGTGGATCAGGTTGGGGTGGCGTTTGGGGTGGATAATGTTACGGCGGTTGTCACGCCGAAGGGTGGGGCTTGAGGATGTGTGGAGATGCTTGAACAGGGCGTGGGGTTTACGCTCGTTACCTGATATCATTAATGTATCGCTACCTCAAGCAGAGGTTATACTCCTATCGCTCTCCACATCAGTCTTTGAATATGTCTACTGGATAGCATGTAGGTTAGCCCAGCACGATGACGTTGCGCCTAGCATCCGAATGTGATGTTAGAATGCTTCTGTATATTTCGAAGCTCCAATCATTTGGCAGAGAGGAGGCTCCTTATAGTCGGTAAGCGCCAATCAATAGTGTCGTGCGACATAAGCACATCTCGCTCTGGGATCCAAAGCAAAGAGAGTCGAATCTTCTGCAACGACAAGCGCCTCCTTGGGGTTGTCACGGATCTATCGACAGCTTTGGCGTTGACGACGTACAAATGCATTGACAGGTGGGGCATCCGAAAGCTCAATGTTATCAGGTTCACGGACGCAGTACATGGCTCATATGCAAAAGTGAATTGATGTAATTTTCTCATGGTCCAAACGCCATGATGATGTGATCAATGCGCAACCCGCCCGCCATACAAAAACATGAAGTCATTCAGATGCCATTACCATATATACAAGCGAACTCAACGAACGGGTATCAGGTCCCAAAGCCCAGCAAGCCGACATCTACTCTTCCTCTGATTCCTCTTCCGCAGTCTGATACATGTTAGCATCTATTCAGATATGTCAGGTTGAAAGTGGACTCACGTTGTCATGGAAGTTCGTGCCGTTCGTCGTCGCTACGATGTAGCCCTTCCTGATGACGAAGTCGCCGAAGTGCTCTCCTTGCTCCCTCTCAACGGCCCACTGCTTGATCATGGGCTTCATGATCTCTAGTATCTCGTCTTCCTTGATCGAGCTCCTGTACAGCTTGTTCAGTCGCTGTCCGTGGTAGCCGCCACCGAGGTACATATTGTATGCGCCGTAAGCCTTGCCGACGAAGGCGACTTCAGCGAGCCATGGTCGTGCGCAGCCGTTGGGGCAGCCTGTCATACGCATGACGATGGAATCCTGTCGCAGGCCCGCCTCTTCGAGAGTGCTCTCGAGCTTAGAGATGAGCTCGGGAAGGTAGCGCTCTGACTCGGCCATTGCAAGACCGCAGGTGGGGAAAGCGACGCAAGCGGAACTGCTGAGACGCAAGCCAGAGAAGTTGGTGTTGTCAAGCTTGTACTTCTTCATCAACTCCTTCATGCTGTCAAGATCCTCGTCCTTCACATTAGACAGAATCAGATGCTGGTTGCCCGTAAGTCTGAACTCGCCCTTGTGCACCTTAGCCACCTCAACAAGACCAGACTTCATCGGGAACTCAGGAGTATCTTCGATACGACCATTCTCGATGAAGAAAGTGAAGTGGTTGAGGCCATTCTCATCCTTTTGCCAGCCAAAGGTGTCAATGTTGGAGTCGAACTTGAAGGTCTTAGGGTCAGCGAAATGCTCACCCCAAAGCTCCTCGACCTTGCTGCGGAAGACGTCGACACCCATGTCGTCGATGGTGTACTTTAGACGGGCGTGCTTGCGGTTCTTACGGTCACCGTGGTCACGCTGGACGAGCATAATCTTCTCGCAGACAATGTGGACTTGGTCGGTAGGAACGTAGCCAAACATTCTACCGGTTTGCGGGTATGTCTTCTTGTTGTTGTGCGTAGCACCCATGCCACCACCAGCGAGAACGTTGAACCCTTCGAGGTTGCCGTCCTTGCCCTTGATGGCAATGAGACCGATATCGTGAGCGTAGACATCGGTGTCGTTGTGCGGAGGAATGGCAATGGTGATCTTAAACTTTCGCGGAAGGTAGACGGGGCCGTAGAGAGGCTCGTGATCCTGAACAGCTTCACCTGCGATCTTCTTCTTCTCCTTTGTCTCGTCATCCTCTAGCCAGATCTCGTGGTAGGCGGTCGTCGACGGCAGGAGATGGTCGCTGATCTTTTGGGATATGGCATGAACCTGCTTGTGGAAAGATGAGTGTTCAGGTAGGGAAGAGCACATGACGTTCCGGTTCACATCACCGCAAGCGGCAATAGTGGTCATGAGAGCCTTGTTGATGGCTTGCATGGCAGGCTTGAGCTTGGTCTTAACGACACCGTGGAACTGGAATGTCTGGCGCGTGGTAAGCTTCATCGTCTCGTTTCCGAGCTTGTCGCTGATCTCGTCCATCTGGAGCCACTGCTTCGGTGTTGCGACACCACCGGCAAGACGGCATCGAATCATGAAAGAGTAGGCCGGCTCAAGACCTTGTGCTTTGCGCTCATCACGGAGGTCACGGTCGTCCTGCATATATGTGCCGTGGAACTTGGTGAGCTGCTGATCGGCGGCCGAGATGGCGGCAGTAGAAGTATCTTGCAGACCCTCCTCGATAGTACCACGGAGGTAGTTGGACGCAGCCTTGATGTCCTCGTTGGTGATTGGCGGTGGCTCATCAGGGAGACCCTCGACGTTGTCGACACCGAGGGCTTGCCAGAGCTTGGGCTCCCACTCACCGTAGCCAGTCTGGTAAGCGTCAGGGTCTTGATCATCTCCAAGACCGCACTCGGTGAGCGGCTTGCCTCCTAGAGTAACCAAACGAGCGTGGAGGTCCTTTCCGGGCTTGTTGTAGTAGATCTTGTCCTCCTTGCGCGGCCAGTAGTGGCTGTCACCGAGAGAGAAGACGGCGAAGTTGACAGTGGCCAGATCGAGGTCGGTAGAGTCCTTCACGGTCTCCCAGAATGTTCGTCCGTTCTGAGGGAACTCACCCTGGCCAGCGGTACTGGTAAGGAGGGCAACGTTCTGTTCGCCAGAAAGGTCCTCAAGAGGGTATTCGTCCATGGCCATGCAGATCGTCTTAAGGCCACGGGCCTTTCCACGCCTTGCGAGGCGCTTGGCAAGGTTCTCTGCGTTACCGTTGTCAGAGGCGAACAGGACAGTCAATGGGTCTCCCTGGAGACCTTCGAGAAGCTTGCTGTACGCATCCTTGGCCTTGCGCTTCTGTAGCTGCCGCACCTCAGTTCCATATGAGCCAGAGAGGTTAGCAGAGAACTCGGGATGTCTCTTCATGACCTGCGAAAGGTAGTTGTCGCGTGCCAAGAACTCCTCCAGTTCCTTCTTGATACGCTCTGAGTCGAGCTGGAAGTTAGGCTCGCCCTTCTCATCGCCTCGCGGATCCCATCTGTAAAGCGGCCAGTAGCCGATGTCAACCGCCTTCTTCGTCTCTTGCAGAACAGTCAGAGGCGAATCCGTCTCCTTCTCGTAGGGCAGGTAGGCGAGAACAACTGACGGGCCATCAAACTTGTCAGCTTCAATCATGGCCTCGAGGACCTGAGTGTAAGAGCTGTACGCCGCTACGGACGCAACGTAGGCGTTACCGAAGTTCATGGCATAAAGACCAATGTCCTTCTTCCTCCTGTTGGCGTCGGCCGCAGTACGCTCCGAGTATGGTGTAGAGTCGATGATGAGCATGTTGACGTTCTCGCCAGAAGCAAGAACATGGTGGACACCGGAGTTACCCAGGTCGTATGCCCATGCATCCGAACCTACCAACCAAGGCGACTCCCGGTAGAAGAGCTTCTTTGTTGACAGAAGCTGGCTGGCTGCAGGCGAGCCATCGTTGCTAAGGCGGGCAATGACTTCCTGTGCAAGTGCGTTGGCCTTGGTGCTATCCTCAGCATCCAGAGCCCACTTAGCCAACCATTCCAGGGGTGCTTTGGTGACGAAGTCGTTGCTCTTCGATGCTTCGCGGACCTCATCGATGAATCGCTGACGGTGCTCCTTGCGTGCGATGAGAGATCCGAAACCGTACTCAGGGCTAGACGAGATCTCGTTGGACACGCCAGCATGCTGCGAGCCAAGCTGGTTCGCAATGAGCAGCTTCTCGCCGAACACTTGGTCCAAAATCTTCATGTAGGCGTTCTCCAGGCTAGGTTGCTCAGCTTGGGTCTTCTTCTCGGTTGGGCCATCAAGGTTACCAATTTGGAGGTTTTGCACGGGCTTCTCGCTCATGAGGTTCTGGAAGATGCCACGCATCGCCTGCTGCACAGTGTCCTTATTGATATATCCAAGCTGGTAGCCAACGACAAGAGGCGAGCTCTGGCTAGACTTCACGGACATCAAAACGTCCAGTAGAAGAGGGCCCCATCGGGTGGTCTGGCGGCGGACCTGCTCAAGAACTGCTATCCGCTTGATTGACGTTGGTAACAGGGGAGCAAGAGAAGCACCGAGCCATGGTCGGTACATCCGGAAGGAAATGATACCAGTGTTGGCATAATCGACAGACCCATCGACTGTGTCGATCTCGGTGGCAAAGACTGCTACATCCGCGCCGAAGAGGAAGATGGCTGCCTCTGCATTGGAGGGTCCAGTGTAGGTGAAGGCATCGTAGGAACGACCAGTTGCGTCCTTGATGTCGGCCCAGATTTGGCTTGCAAAACGGTAGATGTCCTCTGAAGAGACAGGCTTGGAAGCTAAAGACTCGACTGTCGTAGCTGACGACGCAGAGACGCCGCTCGCTGCGCTCGATTCACGCTGTGAGGAGTCTGATGACGAATCCCCTCGTGTGCTGTTCCTCTCGGACACTGGCAGCGATTGGCCATTTTGTGCTGAAGTCGCGGGAGCCACAGATGAGCTAGGGCCCTGGCTGCGCGCGAAGGAAATAGTTGCGCTCCTGCCGTCGTCTGCGTAGAGTCCAGTCTCTTCAGACTTGGTGTTCTGGTAGTCTGCTGCGCGGTTCACATCGAGAATGCGTCGTACGAGCTCCTGGTCCTCCTCCTGAATCTCCTTATCGGCGAAAGCAGTGGATCCTGAGGCGAAGAAATGGATGACGCCCTTGCCCGACTTAGTGGCGAGAGCATGGGCAGTCAATGCAATGTCTTGCGTCTGCTGCAGCGTCTCCGAGTGCAGGAATGTGAAGCCACACTGGCGGATGGAGGTGATGTCTGAGTAGTCGGGGTAGGATGAAGGCTGTACCGACACGTGTATTACGACGGGGTACTGTGCGAGCTTGTAGAGGTGTGGGATCGACTTGATCAGGATGGATGAGGAAGTGGCGACCGAGGTGAGCTTTCCTGAACGAAGGGGCGTGAAGCATGAGAGAAGCGGGTCGGCATTCTCCTGCACAGCAACGATCTGTCGAACTGAGTCAGATGGCAATTTCTTGTAAGGTTGTTGTACGTACCTCCGGCTGTTGCTTCGCGACAATGCTCTGCGCTTTGTCCGCCTCGAGCTTCCTCAGATGCTCTGAGAACTCAGACGGAGTGGCGAGCGTGGGCTGAACCGAGACGACCACATCGCTCGCGAGATGGGCGATGCGTGCCACTGCAGGACACAGAATCAGCAATTGACCCGATGTTCGGAGGGTGAATGTTTTGGCGATGCATGAGTCTGGGGGGAACATGCGGGGCGTCATTGGGCGGGGAGACGTACCAGCCTCTCCAGCAGTCTTGATGGCACCCATAGCTTCGAAGAGTAGCTATGAGGGAGTATGAGGGACAGCGAATGCTGGGAGAGGAATAGAAATACGCGCAGTCGGCATACAGCGCGAGCGGCAGCGGCAACTATGTCGTCTACTTTTTTCTTTGGATGGCCGAAATGGGCTTGGGGGCACATCGAGCACGCAATTGCTCCACGCCCGAAAAGACGCCGGACCTGAAGCGTCCACTCATTGAGCAGCATTTTGTCAGGCACATGACCGCGAGCAGAGACCCCACCCTGGTTACTCACAGCGACTGTCACGCCATGCCGACCGAATGGTAATCGACTGCCGGCGGTATTGCTCGTTGCGCGCTGAGTCGTGTATTACCTGTGCCATGTTGCGCCCCGCGAGTGCAGCCCCGCTGCCCTGCGTGCCTGCCTCTCGCGCTTCGCCGAGGCTCCGACTCCTCCGCAATGCGGCTCACTAATTGGGCCCGTGTACTACCATTGCTCACCACTACGCCACGTTTCCCAATCAGCCCGTAGTAGATACTCTCATGTCGAGTGTGCTGCTACCGCGCAATGACCGCTGGAGACTCCTCAGCCCGCGACGTTGAAGTGCCCGCCTCGCCCCTCGTCCACGATACCCCGCTATCCTTCCCGGACCTGTGCGCCCGCATCCATGACCGCGTCGGTGCGTTTCTCCGCGAGCAGCCCGCCTCGGAACGCCTCAAGAGCTTGCAGCAGCAGACGCGCATCTCGCTGGATGTCATAGAAGAGGCACTGGACAAATATAGGTGGGTGTGGACCAGATATCCTCCAAGGAACATGGCCGCAGGCAGCTCGGGAGTCGTCATAGCGCAGGATAGCTAACAACAACACTACTACAGACTACCTGAGCTCTCCCTCGCATACAATGGCGGAAAGGATTGTCTCGTCCTCCTGATCCTCTACCTCTGCGCCCTACACCGCAAAGGCCTCACCCCCGCCGACCCCAACTCAAACCCCGAGACCGCCATCAAATGCGTCTACATCCAGGCGCCGCACCCGTTCCAAGAAGTAGAGGACTTTGTCGAAGTCTCAGTAAAAACATACTCCTTACATCTCCTTGAATACGCAAAACCGATGAAGGCCGCCTTCGCAGACTACCTCCACGACACACCCTCCGTTAAAGCCATATTCGTCGGCACACGACGTACAGATCCTCATGGCGAGCATTTAAAGCATTTCGATCCGACGGATTCGGGGTGGCCGGCCTTCATGCGCATACATCCTGTGATAGACTGGCACTACGTAGACATTTGGACGTTCATCCGCCACCTCAATATTCCCTACTGCAAGCTCTACGATCGCGGGTACACCTCGCTCGGCGGCACAGACGACACCCATCCCAACCCCGCGCTCGCAGCTGCAAAGCAGGCTGGGAATGGTGACGCAGCGAGTACGTCGAATGGAGCCTCGTTCAGGCCTGCATATGAGCTTGTAGACGATTATGAAGAACGACTGGGACGAGATCGATAGATAGATAGCATATTGTACACACATACCATTTTCCACGTTAAACTTCGTAGATGGGCATTTGATATCCTGGCTAGACACCTATATCTCCACAACCGCAACCTCGTCCTTGGCAGCCTGTTCTGGCTCCGTCTTCGGCCCTTTACCTTTGCGAAAGACTCGCACATCCCTGGGATCGAACCCTCCATTCCCCCAAAGCGCCCACTCAGGCGTCTCCTGCCCTACATAATCCTCCGGCCGCCACCCCACTATCTTCCCCGACTCGTCCGTTCGCGTGCCTTCTACAAGCCCCTCGTTCAGCTCGTAGAACCGCTCAAAGTCGATGCGCGTGGCCCACTTCCCACCCTTCTTGAAGCGCGTCGAATCCGCGAGGAGCACGCAGCACGAGTGCGCGTGCTCAGCCGCAATGCCATACGTCAGACCCCTCGAAGCAAGTTCCTCCGCAAGCGCAGACACAAACGCCGCGACCTCCTCGTAGAAGGGTACATTCTGCATGGTCAAGCCTGCAGATCCGGCAGCCGAAGTTCCGCAGTAAGTGACGCCCTTAACTTCTACGAACCCAGGGAGCGCGCGCTCGACGAGGTCGGCATACCCGCGAACTTCCTCGGCCATGTTGAACCCCTTGACGAGCGTAAGGCGGAAGACGGTGCGCTGCTCGAAGCGGCGCTGCCTGAGGATGTCGAGGCAGGCGCAGAAGCGCTCCCAGAAGTCTCTGTGGAGGGGGCGGTCGATTTTCCGGAGGGAGTCTTTGTTGGACGCGTCGATGGAGACGTAGAGCTGCGTTACAGGTATGAGAGAGGCAAGTTGGGCGGGGTGCTGCGCGTTGCAGACGAGGAAGGTTGATATGCGGTTCTGGTGCATGATGGAGAGGAGCTCATTGATGTGCGGGTAGAAGATCGGTTCGCCGACCAGGGACAGCGCGCAGTGCCGGATGCGCATTGCTTCTGCAAAGCGCTCCGCGCGCACGCCGGGCACGCCTTTCATCATCTTGATTTTCTTGTAGTGCGCGGTGGTTATGCCGTCGTAGATGAGCTCCGGGGCGTCGGTAATCCAGCGCCAGGTGGTGCCGACGGGATTGGTGCCGTGGCGCCAGCAGAAGACGCATTTGTTGGAGCAAGAGAGGGAGGGCGTGGCTTCCATGCAGAGGTGGGATGCGATACCGTAGAAAGAGTATTTGTAGCATGAGCCACGACCTCGGAGGGCGGACTTGGTCCAGCGGCAGATTTTGACGCCCGAGTGCGAGCCGATGATGCTGTAGCCTTGCTTTGTGAGGGCAGCGTGGGTGGGAGAGGTTACGGGGACCATCTCCTTGGGAGCAGAGACGGGCTTGGAAACTTTGGATTTGTAGGTGGTGAAGTCGACGGGTATGGGGCTGACAGAGTCAGAATCGACCATTGAACCTAAGTCCTCAACATCGTCTACTCGTGCCGCTTTGCGAGGTTTCGTGGAGCTGCCCTCGCTATCGCTGTCTTCAGCAACATCTTCGTCCTCCTCATCGCTTTCGGCTGGATCGCCGCTGCCGGGAACACCCTCGCCTAGACCTCTGCCTTCTGCAAGCTCCACGAGCGCTTCTTGCACTCCAATTCGCCACTCTTCTAATCGTACATCCACCTCGCCCTTGACGTCTCCTATTCCTAGTGGATACGCTCTTTTCCTCGCTGTCAACCTCGCCATCCACTTGTCCACCTCTCTTGCCTGGCTACAGAATCCATCCTCTTCCGTAGGCCACCCTTCCTTGTCTCCAAACCCAAACACTGAGTATCCCAACAGTCCGCTGAGTGGCGCAGTGTCGATTCTGAAGTCGTTGTGCGTTTCTTGGAGATTCTCGATGAAATTATCCAGGAGAGTATCGATGTTGTACGTAGGGAGGAGCAGGATGTAGAAGTATTTTACGTTCGAGTCAGACTTCGGCGGGCTGAGAAAGTAGTCGTCGTGCTCGATGTCGGCGAGATCGTGGACCTGAGGTTCGAGATATGAAGCGGATTGGTCGCATCCAGCAGTCCATTCGGTGAAGACTGTGTTAAGTTGAGTAGCATAGCGCTCGGTGGTGCCCGAGATCGATTGAAAAAAGACCAGCGGTTGGATCTTGTCTGTCTTGTGATCGAAATTGGAAGTTGGCGGTGCGCGCTTCTTCGGCACTTTCTTGCCCTTGACAGTCTTTGGTCCCTTTTTGATCTTTAAGACCGGTACAGCCACAACATTGTCTTCCGCATGGTTATCCGCATTCAGCGCCGGCGTTATGGTGGTCGTGTTTTCCGGTAGCCATTCAGGCCTCAGCTCGATCTCTTTCTTCTCAATCGGCGACGAAGGTGCAGGTGATACCGAAACCTTTTGACGACGGCTTCGGAAGTATATTGTGAGGTGTACGATGACAGCGAGCGAAACGGCCGACAGCAAAAGCGGCACGCGATGTTCGTGCCAGATGAGCAGGAGTTCTGCAATTACGTCAGCGCGTGTTATTCACTATCATGAAGAATTTCCATACCATCTGGCAACACCAAGAAGCGATCAAAAGACATGGCTACTGTGGTGTCGCGAAGTGCGTGCCGTTGAGTGGTGGACATGGAACTTTTGCGACGTGTGGGGGATTCGTCGCGGGGCATCCTTGCTTGCCAAGACCGAGGCAGTCTCCAATTGGAATTGCGACATCACTAACCTTGCGATGCTCGCTTTGTACCCTAATTTCATGGAAGAACAACATCTTCATTCGCATCTTGCTTCAGCATGTGACAGTGCATCTACCTCACATGACGTGGCTCTGACTCGAACGCGGATGATGCCTACGAGAGCAACATGTATACGAAGCGTCTTACAGCAGGATAACGCAACCTTCTCGGCGGCAGCACTGAGCTCGATCGGAGAAACGCACGAAAACGTCTTCGTGTGTGACCCGAAGTGCTACTATGGCTACGGTCTATGATAGCTTCAAGAGTTCTTCGGTCTCCAAGAAGCAGACCGAACTCTTCAGTGGCCGATAACTCCACCGTTTACCACGTTTTTCTCCATAGAGTTGCAGAGGCCTTCCTTCCAGTCGGTCTTTTTACTATATTCACTTGCGGTGCCGTTGTCATCATGGTCGACGCCAAGCCTCCGAGGGATGGAGCCAATCTTGTGTTGGCCGCTGAAGGGGGAATATGCCTCATGGTCCTTGCTTTCGACCACGATCACGGTAACACATGCAACAGTCTCCCTAACAACACCACAGCATGTTTTCGCGAGTCGCCAATGCTTGTTTCTTACCTAAGCGGTATGCCCGTCCTGGCCATTGCCAGTACGTAAATTGAGCGATATATGCGGGCGTCGACATTGCACCCCCTACGCGAAGGATGTCTTGGATTTGACTCGGTTAACAATGTCGCTCAGCAGCTGTCGTCCACCATATGGTTGATGGCCATGTCTGGCAATGAGTTGCAAGTCTTTGATATATATCCTGGAGCACCTTCCGAGCAGTTCTTCGCACTTCTCACGCCCGTCTTGCTTGAAGCGTCTTTGAGTGCCGTCTACGTGTTTCACCACTCCTATTCAATTTCATCCAGTGGCCCCAATGCATCGACGCAGCTTCCCACCTACCAACTCAAACTTACTCCAGAACAGGAATCCAGATCGCATCAAGTATCATGCCAATGGTGACCATGAGCACCATCTCGCCAATACCGTGAGACTTAACGACAAAGACAGCACCATAACACGATTCATTCAATGGATCAAAAAAGGCGACCAGGCCGTGCCGTCCGACCGTGTACCGCTCGCAACCGATTTCGACACTCTTCCCTCGACTGCCAGCGGTGAATCGATAGAGTCGAACTATGGTCGCTACAAAGAGGTCCTGGCCTGGGGCTCGTCTTCCACAGTCAAATTGTCCTACAAGCCCGATCCACACCACGGCCCGAAAGCGTACACTTACGCTGTTAAAGCCTTCCGCCAACGTGCCAACGAGTCACAGACTGCATACCACAAGCGTGCCTCGGCCGAGTTTTGTATTGCAACAACCCTTCAGCACAAGAACATAGTTCACACGATCGACCTTATGAACGATGATCACGGGCGTATGTGTCAAGTCATGGAGTTTTGTGCCGCGGGTGACCTTTGCGCTATACTTATATCTGCAGGAAGGCTTGATGAAACGGAAGCAGACTGCTTGTTTAAGCAGATGATGCGAGGCCTTGCATATTGCCATGGAAAGGGAGTTGCACACCGGGACTTGAAGCCAGAGAACATACTACTGACGACAACGGGATGCTTGAAGATATCTGACTTTGGAATGGCCGAGTGTGTGCAATACGCGTGGGAAAAGACAAGTCATCGTTCGAAGGGTCTGCAAGGCAGTAAGCCTTACCAAGCACCTGAAGTCTACACCACAGAGCGTTTCGACGCCAGAGCCATCGACGTTTGGGCCACAGGTGTCATATATGTTGCTATGCGGACAGCGCATCTGATGTGGAGCAAGGCTGAGAGTACGGATGCTGTATTTAAGAAGTTCCTGGTGAGTTGCGGGTCAGGTGAAGGGTATCGACCTATTGAACAATTCGAAGGTGTAAGTCGAAAAGTGACCCAGGGCCGAATCCGCTAATGAGACTATGGTCAGGCACACCGGCGGCAGCTTCTGTATTCAATCCTACAAATGGACCCCCAAAAGAGGATAACGAGCTCACAGATCCTGGAGTCGTCGTGGTTCTCGGATATATTAGTCTGCAAAGCTGGTCAACGTGGGTAGTGACGTATGTTATGGAGCAATTGGAATAAATCCTCCCAAACTGCTTGCACTTCTTGCCTTCGCATATCCTGTCTTTATCTTTGCCGGCCGCACACCCTTGATGCTGACAGACGGGCACGGATTACCAACCACATCAATTCAAGAAAGGCTCGTTAGACGAGTGCGCTATCGATGCTCTATCTGTTGGGGATTGTTGAGTTGGTCTACCGCCCTCATCAAAATTCACCCCACTATGTACCATGGATTGCGTCACGCCTTTCCTGAGGATCAATAAAAGGATCAGGTATCCTGAAACGTGCGGAGTACCAACGCCGTCTTCTCCCATCACAATCATGTCGTCTGAAAGAACATTCTCCGCGTCCAGAAGCCTTGGGCGCAGCTCGATTCCGCTTCCGATCGCCACGCAATCTACTCCTCCAGAACAACCCTCTCTAGACCCTGGTCTCAACACTTCCAATCAGCCAAGAAATGCCACTGGAAACAGCAAATTCTTATACACCGATGGCGATGTTCAGGAGCACCCTCCGGAAGGCAACTCTGCGCCTATCATCGTGTTTCCCGGAGATGATGCGACTAATATCGCAGTGAAGGCCTACTTATTGGATATGCTCACCAAGACGGGTTGGGGTATCGCTGTTGAGTCAGGCAAAGAAATCCGAGCCACGATCAACAGCTTTGTCGGTAACGGCTGGGCGTTGCGGAAGCGCTACGCGGAAAACAGGCTGAAAGACATATGTCCTCTTTACATGACAGTCGTCGAAGATGGGTTCGCGAATCAGTTTGAGGTCAACGCGACCGTCCGATCAAACATTAGCAAGTGTGTCATGCGCGAGATGGAGCGATATTTCGTAATGGAGTATAAGGCGCAGCATAGAAAGCAGTACGGTAGTGACGGAGATGAAACATTGACTAACGCCTCGCCGGAGGGGACTTGCACAAAAAAACCTCGTGATGCAATTCCGGTGGAGAATGAGGTTCTGCAGTTTCGACAACGTGCCCGGAGCAGAGCGACCTTGCCAGCTGAGTGGATGAGTAACAGTCTACGCGGCAGGACACAGTACGTAAAATGATTTGAAGCGCTTTTCGCAGTTACCGACCACAAACAGATCTCGCCTCAGTGACCACACAAAAGTCCAGCCGCCACCGATACCGAAATTACCTCGATTCAGTGGTCAGTTAGTGTTTATCAATAAGACCTCTGCCTTCCCTCTGGAGATGGATATCATCCCTTCAATCCAACGTCGACACAGCATCCAAAGCAGGAAGCACAGCAGCTTACCCGCAAGGGAACGACGACCAGCTACGAGGTTCGGCCGACCAGGCGCGTCGACGAACAAGAGAAACTCCATAGCAAATCCATATCACACGGTCCCGGGCTCCTCGAGGCCGCATCCTGTGAATTCCTTTAGAGGCAGACCTGTATCTCACGCGACCAACGATGTTCGTCGCAGCACATTAAGACGCACTCGGTCGCATGAGCTCGTGGGCGATGCGGACGACCTATGGTACTCAGCCTCTACCGCCACTTCAGAGGAGGGGAAAGAGGGTAAAGCCCCAGAACAAGTCAAAGTCAAGGAGCTCAGTCCGGATGCAAACGAAGGCGTCGACGCCACGTTGCACGCAATACCTTCGCGCATGGAAGCCCATGACAACACAGCAGGTGCCACGGAGGTTAACGCGTGTTCGACACCAGCCACTCCAGACGGTAATAAGGTCGCTGAGGATGCCAGTGCATCAAAGTCTACAGACAAAGCTATAAAGCCATCGCAGACTCAGCGGCCCATGACCGCTGAGTTTGCACACTGGATCCGTACCCTTCCCTCAAAAACACCAGTTAAACCCATGATCACACTTCCACCCTCTCCCAAGAACGTGTACAAAGGAACACCGGAAGATCCTAATGCAATTACTCCAGCACTGCCCGTTTTCGGTCCCATTGAATGGGGTAATAGTTCCACGATTAATGATATACCTGTTGGTAGCAAGACGCGAAAGATAGCTGAGCAGGAGGTAGAGGAAGCGAGGGCGCGGACTGAAGAAGCGACGGCATCAAGGCAGCATGTAGCTTTGACGAAGGGTAAAGAAAGGGCAAGGAGGTGGCTGAGGAGGGTGTGGGAAGGAATTAAGTTGCGTCAGCATGGAAGGCCGAACATTCGCTGAAAGATCGGGTATTAGACATCGATCACAGAAGGGTGGATACTAGCGAGCATTGACGAGTGGCGGAACATTGCTACAGGTTGATGTGATAGACTGGTGCGACTATGGGGTGCATGCGTGGTATCGTGTTCGTACGTTGTCTTAATTACCTAATAACTTCAAGGTCAGACATTACTCATGAGCTCCATCGACGAAGTGCCAAGCAAATAAAGCAGTGAACCCCAAATTCGAAAGTGATAAGACACGTTCCGAACATACGGTGGAACAGACGATTGTGGGCAGCGAAATCTAGGTTCCCAAAGGAATCAACGCGAACCTGCTCCAGGCCGATGTTGAGCGGGCGGCAAGCGTACAAAGAATCTCGGAACGTTGTCTCGACTTCCTAGTTTGGTAGTGCGCGATTGCTCGGCATTGGCTCCGCCGACTGGTCACGAGTCTCGGCGGACGTCCCGATGAAGGAAGCAAAATTTCACTGCCCGTTGTCGGCTCAAATCTCAGACCTCTCCACATATCAGGAGAGTACTGGGGCTGGATTATGGGGAAATATTGTTATCACCGTGTAGTTCAAAGGCGAAACCGGAGATATATGGTCTCGACTTGTCTAAACGTGGTTAGCGTGCAACTACCTCATTCTCCACCTGCGGCTTCCGTCGGCTCTCATTTTGGGCGCGAATCGCAAGATGGTCTACGCAACAGGTCACGAGTACATATTTGAGGAGGCCAAAGGGTCACTTTCGTCCGCCATTCCAAGTCTCCTCACAGAATGCGTTCACGAATTGTCACTCGGGCGCAGCCACTGCGCGTAGCAAGGATTCAAGCCTGTGCTCCCATCACCACCACACCTACAAGTACACCATTTCGCCGGAAAGAGGCTGCCGTACAACCTAGAATACAGACACAACCACAGAACCGCGTGTTCAAGGAATTACCACTTTCCGACCTCGTCCGCACACTATCCGTCCTTTCCGTTGCCGCCCTACCAGCACCTCTCTTATCAGCAATCATCGGCTTCGTCCGAAGACACAGCAGCTCCATTGTCTCGTCAAGAATTCTATCATGGCCAATACGACGAACATTCTACAAGGCGTTCTGCGTCGGGGAGTCCAAGTCCGAGATTGCCGCGAACATCGCCACTCTTAGATCTAGAGGCATCAATGGCGTGGTGCTCTCTTTCGCACGCGAGGCGAAGCTTGACGGGTCTGAGACAAATGCAGCAGCTGGGAAGGAAGACCTGGCGTTGAAGAGCTGGGTGGCTTCCAACATCGAGACGATTTCCCAGGTTAGCTCTAGCGATTATATCGCTGTGAAGTTCACGGGAGCCGGTGCCAAAGCCGTGCAGGCGATGCAGAATTTCAAGTACACGGATTCCACCATGGTCGACGGCTTGAAGGCGCTCAAGGAGGGCATGTTTGAGGTCTGCGAGTTCGCAAAGCAGCGAGGTGTCAAGGTCATGGTTGACGCGGAGTCATCATTGCACCAGCCTGCGATTGATTACCTCACTTTAGAAGCAATGGCCAAGTACAACACCGAGGGCAGCGCTCTCGTGTTCAACACCTACCAAATGTAATTAAACGCCATTATCTTGGCTTATACGTCCACTAACTCAGTTCTAGGTACCTCAAGGCCTCTCTCGAAAACCTTAAGTCACACCTCCAGATCGCCAGCTCTAAAGGCTACACTATGGGCATCAAGCTTGTCCGCGGCGCATACATCTACGTCGAGCCCGACCGTGCCGGTATAATCCAAGACACCAAGCCCGACACCGACGCCGCCTACGACGAGGCCGTCGACATGCTCCTCCGCGGCACGCACACCACAACCGAAAAGCCCTGGACCGCCGAAGTCATGCTCGCCACACACAACACCCAGAGCGTCGACACAGCAATGTCCCTATTCCGATCACGGCCCGCTGGAAAGCAGCCGGTGCAGAAGCTTGTCTTCGCGCAGCTAATGGGTATGGCTGACGAAATCTCGATGAAGCTTGCGAATGACATCAAGGCTATTTCTGCGGAGACAAAGGCGAACGATGTTAGCGTTTACAAGTACAGTGTTTGGGGGAGTCTTGAGGATTGCTTATTGTATATGCTGAGGAGGGCGGAGGAGAACCAGGATGCGGCGGCGAGGAGTAGAGTGACGGCTGGGCTGATGCTCAAGGAGATCGGTAACCGCTTTGCGTTTTGGAGATAGATATGATACCAAGATAATGAATAGATGAATGAATGTAAATAATCAATCAAGTATCAGCAGTCAATTTGTATGAGTTGGGAGTCGAGTGATTTGGAAGACATGACTCGGTCTCTCTGTTGATTCGATGCTGTCCCGGTCGCTGCGCCGCCTTAAATTCGGTCTGGGCTGATCTGTTGCGAACTTTTGACAGGCGAGCTGAAGTTCAGTGCACAAAGGCGGCGAGTGTTGGTTGTATCTTTCGATAGTCTTTTCGTTGTATGCCAATTCTTATTCTAATGCAGGCTCTGCGCGTTTGTCTAAAATTAAATGCTGATACTATGCTTCGAAAACATGACTCCACCACAACGCCATCGCTAAGTCAATGAACGCCTCACAAACAATGCTTCCAATCACAAGCCCCTAAACCTCTTGCCCCTCTTTCCTCTTCGTCTCTTCCTCAGTCTCCGTCCTCTCCATATCCCCCATACTCTCCACATCCGACGTCCTCCTCACAACCTCTTCTCCCCCTTGCGCCCCCTTCCTATAACTCCCCGGCCCATGCGCTCCATTCGGAACATGAAATCTCAAATCAACACGCATAACCGCATAAAGATACACGATCATGATCTCAATCCCAAAATTCATGAAATAAAACCAACCCTTATAGAACCGCGTTGGCTCCGGTTGACTCAACGGCACAGGCGTCATCCACGACGTACCCGCGCGGTACGACGCCCCAAGACAACACAGCGTCGCGCCCGTAAGAAGAACATAAATCTTCGTCCTATGCCTCCCCTGCCCGAACTTCTCCACCTCTCTCTTCGACGCTCTCGACAGCGCAAGACTCAGTCCCACAATCGGAATCGGTAGAAAAGATACTATCGCGAACAACGTCGAGCCATACAACTGCAGACTCCTATCGATCGTCTTCGTACGCGGCCTCAAGGTGTAGAAGCTCTGCACCACGGCGGTAATGAGGATTGCGAGGGTAAACACGATGACGACGTATAGACCGATGAAGACCCAGCGGATGAAGGGGTGCCAGCCGACGGGGTGGTGGGCGCGTAGAATGCGTTGGGACCAGATGAGGTTTATGATGAAGATGAGGAGGATGCCTGCTGCGACGAAGATGGAGGCTGCGATGGCGAGGCGGATGTTGGTTGGGAGGGAGACGGAGGCGATGCGGAGGGTGCAGGTTACGATGCGGGCCATGCAGAAGCCTGGTTGGGGGTTAGTGTCGTGGAGGGAGGTAGGGTGTGAGATTTAAATCTGGGATTTGGGTGCGGATGATAGAGTGACGAGTGCACTGTTGACGCGCAGGGTAGAAAGTGCTCATGATAGCGGATGAACGTGTGCGGACTCACCGAAGATCATGGCATTGAAAAGGAATTTATGGCCTCGCCGCCTGTTGTATTGGAAGATGGTCATGTGTGTCGCTGCGCCGATCATGTATAGGAAGAGGAAGACGGCCGTTGTAGGGATATCGACATTCTTTTTAGCTATTCCTCCCAGCGACCAGGTGGTCGGCCGGTATGGGCCTGATGTTGGCTAGGACTTATTAGCATCGTGTTTTCATTTGCGCTCATTTGAGCAGAGGAAATGCGCGCAGTATCAGAAAGAACGTTTATGTACTGTGTTATACAAGTATAGGCAAATCATAGGCCGACTGCGCTCAAGTCGTGTCCTGTAGCCTTAGACATAAGAACATCGCTACTCACCTGGTGTGTACTCATACCGCCCTGTTGAAGATAGGCCAGAAACTGAAATCGTCTGCTTCGCTATATTTCGAGCACTCAGCCGTGTCAAGAGCGCGTTCTGCGTGTATCAAAAAGTGTGTAACCCTGCCCAGCCCTACGTCCCCCCTCCCTTTATGTACATCCAAGGCTGTACGCCTAATCAGCCACAACCTCCCAGAGACATTCGAATTCTCGAGACTTGACCTGAAATGGCCTACATTTCGTGCATAACCCATGCGATCTGACGTCGCACGCAAGGATCAAGGGGCATCGGCTATTCGGTGTCGGTGGTTGTCTGCTCCGACTACAGCGCGAGCGCAGGCCTAGCGCCAAAGGAGGTTAGAGGCGATCGGGCTCTCGGGCTTAGCAGCAAGTTTGCACCGCCAGCCTTTGAAAACGCCGACTATTATTCATTCAAAGTACGCCGGCGCCTTCTGTTCTTTGTACAATCGTCGTACGCGACTCGGACGCCGACCCCTTGCACACCTTGTCTTCGGTCGGATCGGAACCAGGTCGGTGTTGGCAGGGCGGTTCATAATCTAGGCGGGAGGATCAGTAGCACTACCCTGTTCTTTTCCTTTTCAGGCGTCACACAGAAGGCTTACATTTTTCTGGAACTTCCACTTGGTTGAGATACGTTTTATGACGGAAGAAATGATTGACTATGCTGTTTCGACAAGCATACCGCTCCGACTACCATAATACGGCAATGACAAATTCGACCCGAATAAGCAAATATATCGATTAGATGTCGCTCATAGCTGCGATGAGTATTGGCACATGTCAGCATACCCTTCCTGGTAAATGATGTTCTTGCGTTATGCTCCCAACATCAGTATCCCACTTAGTGACCACGCGTTGATGTGATACGAAACCACTTAGACTATGCGCGCACACTGAGCATGCCATCGCCCATCGCCCATTAATCAAGTCCTGGATACTGCGACCAGAATCCATCTTCGTCTCCGTTCTTCATGCCGTACATGGCCTCCCCCAAAGTATCCCATCTCTTCAGCACCTAGGTCGAATCCTGAATCTCGCAGATCCGGGTCATCGGGATCAGTGCTTTTGGGGGGATCATCTAAGCCCCATCGACTGATGTCCACACTGGCCTCTTCGTCCAAGTCGGAAGATTCAGACGTATCATCCTCGCGGGACGGAGCTGTGATTCTAGCAAGTTGATTCCGGACAGTGTTCTCAGCGGTATCACGAAGCGGCGATTCTGCAGAATCCTGGCGGAGATCTTGAAATTCAAGTTCGACCGAAGGATGCACAAGGTCCTGTTGGGCAATATGCTCGTTGAAACCAGTGCCGCTTCCTTTTGGGATCATAGGCGAGATCGGACGAGACACTGGAAGAAACCCATCTGCCAGCTGTAGCCCGCCGCTCATTTCGTGCACGCGCGTGTCGGCTTTAGATGTATCTGTGGGAGGGGCCAGGCGTCAGTAAATCTCGCTAAGTGTACTAAGTGCAGAATGTGACTGCGTTTACAAGTACTGCAGACGAGCTCCTATGGATTATACTAAACTGCGTGTGCTCGCACGAGAGTGGGCATGCACGGAAGCACAATCAAAGGTAAGAGTACGTGACGTTAACGTGGGGTCTTTCCTAGGATGATTCTAGGGAGGCTTTCCTTACGTACCCGCATGTCTCTTCCTTGGCTGCGATCGCCTTTTTGCTTTCGACGTAGAGATGTTGAGCAGCTCATTCCCTTCGAAACCGTCGCCGAACGAATCTAGTCCGGGTGATCGAAGGCCTCTATCACGACGCGTAGAAGCGTGAACACCCGAGGAAACCAGGATGCGGTATTCAGACGGTCTAGATATCAAAGATCTGGCCTGTCTTGAAGCATGCTTGACCATGAAGGTCGCTCTGGCCTGCTTCGGGTCGCCTGGTGGTTTTGCGCGAGAAGTTAGTCGGCAATCGCTCAGCTGGTCTGGTAATGGGCCAAATTGTGAATCTTGAATGGGGTCAAGCTCTGCCACCGGACTGGCGGACACGACGCCTGCGTCCTAGGGCAATGTGGTTAGTCTTCACTAGCGTTGTTTGGAAGCATTCAAGAACGGGTTCTTACACCCGGCAATGGCAAACCATCTACCGTCGACGCTCGCACAAACACGAGACCGTTCTCGGGTAATGGATGCTTTTTCCGAGCGTTCAGAACCCCCATGGGTTGCTTCGGCTGCTTCTTTCCAGCAGTGTAGACGATCTTCTTCTTCCGTTTGACTACTGGTGCTGCTTCAGTGAAAGCCGAGTGCCGTTGTTCCATGACTGAACCTGTCTGTGCGTACAATATTGAGGGAACAGTGGCGCTTGATCTAGATCCTGCTCGAGAAATATTGCCGTCTTTCGACGAGCTTGGTTCCTGAGAGGTTCTTCCACGTGACTCAAGCTCTGCAGGTGGCATGTCATCGTCTGGTAGGCCCGCGTTCTCGTCTTGCGCTGGTTCTACCGCTGCTGCTGGCTTTTGATACATTGATTGAGTTGCACCAGGTAAGCCATCTTGTTTTGGTAGTGGCAATAGCGCCTGCCTGGTTCGTTGAAGACGTTTCGGTCGTTCAGGCACCTTTCCCATAACGCGAAGGAATGCACTTAATCGCAATTGATTTCCGTGGAAGTCGGCAGCATGAGCCATCATAGAGTCACAGGAATGACTCGGCTTTTGAGTTGCGTATCCGCAGGCATGGCAATGCAGAGTGAATCTGGGTGACCAAGACGCGCTTGAGGAGTGTTCCCGGAGCGAGGTGAGCTGATTTCAAGGATGAGCAGATGACAGGTCAGTTTCAGCTGTTAGCAACGATAGCTTATCAGCATTGGCAAATGATTCTGGAGGTGAAGCATGAAGGAGGAACGAGAGAAGGTTGGCACGGTTGTGCTAGAAACTGTGGGGAAGTCGCGACACGACTAGCGTCATCGCTTCCTGACGAACAAACCTGGGCGCGACCGCCAACTATCTGTACAACGAATACGCGACGAATCGTCTACGAAGTGCGAGATTGATCTGGAGGCTGTGGCGTGTGACATTCGTCCTATATAATACCATGTCCTGGCCAGCCACTCCACAATGGGCCGCCGAGCACCCCGAGTTGGAGATACCGGAGATTGACGAGAGCGACGATTTGGGAGAGCTTGTGAGAAAACTCTCTTTGTGCGTAACCCTACACAGCTGCTCGACGCTCCGTTGCAATGAAGACGCCGCTCGGGGCTACATTGTCTGCCCTCCCTCCTCGCAAGACGCGTGCTGATAGCGAGGCTATAGTTACATCGTCGAGGCCATTACACTCCCTCATAGCTTCGAAGAGCTCCGAACCGTAGCCTCCGCGCGTACCCTGTCGCCCCTCATCCTATACTTGACGAACAACTGCCATCATCGTGCAATCATACACGCGCTTTTGGCCTTGAAGGCTCACTTTGCTGCGCTAGAGGAATCGAGCGACGAGCCTGGCGTCAACGAAGCTCGAGGATATGCTTGCGAATATGTAGCCTGGCAGTTCCTGACCAGTCTCACCGAGCGTGATACAATTGATTTCCTCCTTTATGAGATTCAACCAGCGTCATCGTCCAGCGACCGCGATTCGGATATAGAGCGTGAACAGGTAGACATATCAGCGCCTGTCACTGAAAGTAGCGCGCTTCTTGATGATGGGCGCACCTCGTCCTACTTTGGAACGGATGGCGTACATGGTGTCGCTATGACTTCATCAGGCCAGTCGGACGAGTTCACGGCACAATTTGAAAATCTTAGTGCCCTGGAGATTGCAGCCGTATCGAATAGCAAAAAGTTCCTTAGGCAACGGCCTGTTCAGAAAATCATCAACGGTCTCTGGAGGGTATGTTAGTTCTCTTCCTAAGCTGACAGCCTGCTTACAGTCTGCGTAGGGGGACATTGTGTTTTGGGATTCCCTCGGGGTAAACTCAGTGAAGGAGCCAAAGCTTTATAACCGCCGAAAAGCCGATCCATGTGAGTGTCTGCTATTGCAGTCTTTTCAGAGGCCTTCGGTTTTATCATGTTACTAACCCCGCGTGCGTGATGTAGTCTGCCGCCTTCGAGTGCCGCGGTACCTTAAGATCTTTGAGACTCTCTACTTTGCGATCTTCCTCGGTCTCTACTACGTTGTCCTCACGCACCGAAGCTTCTCCTATGTAACCTCTGCCGAAGCCTTGCTTTATGTGTGGATCGCAGGATTCGCATACGACGAATTCGGAGAGTTCAATGACGCAGGCCAAGTGAGCTTCTACACGGCCGGACTTTGGGGAGCGTGGGATCTCGTAAGTAGCCATCTTGATGATAGACGCCACTAACATTCGGCTAGAGCATCGTTGTGGTTGGGATCATATTCTGTGCCCTTCGTCAGTCATACTCTTGCCACAATGTGTGCCGTTGCTTACCTGTGGCACAGGAATCGTTGGGCTCAATGTACAGGGTGACGCCTCCGATGGGATCCTCGATCTTGCATACGACGTTCTAGGCTTAGAAGCTCTGTTCCTTGTGCCTCGTATTTTCGCGCTTCTGAGTCTGAATCCATATTTTGGAACTTTGGTAAGTTGATCAGCACCGTCGTACCCATCACACTGTAACGGTATCTCTTGGCTGACTTTATTGACAGATCCCGTGCCTCAAGGAGATGGTCAGTGTGCCAATCAGTAGCGAAGCCTGATTGGATAAGCTAATTTCCAATGACACAGACTAAAGACTTCGTCAAATTTTTGTCTCTTGTTGTCATACTCTATCTTGGTGAGAGCATATTTGTGGGGCTGTCAGATCTGTTGCTTACCAAATTGACTTGCAGGCTTCCTCACTACGTTCGTATTGCTCGCAAGGGGAACTTACAAGCCCAGCGAAATGGTCGGTCATAGTAACGCAAACGAATGTTTCCCCGAGCTGACGAGGTCGCAGAGCTGGATATTGATCAAAGTCTTTTTTGGGTCGTCTTACTTGGGCTTTGTGAGTGCAGCAGTCAACATAATGATGGCTTAGTTTATTGACTGATCGTCTAGGACGTGGCGCAACAAATGTATGGGACACTACAGGAGCGATGCAACGCCAACTGACAGTCACATCAGATCTCCGTATTTTGGTCCACCCGTCATGGTTTGTCTGCCGTTCCGCAGATGTCCGTGTTTCGCTAATCAGGCTGATAGCTCATCTTTGTGGCGCTAACAAACATCCTTCTCATCACTTCACTGGTTTCGCTGCTATCCAACAGCTTAAGCAAGGTATGTCGGATAATTCTTAAAATCTCCACATGTCCGGGTGGCCAAGTACAAAGACCGCCTGACTTAAGCGCCTTCTAACGTGCGCTAATGGCGGCGTGGTGGGAAGCCACTCAGACGGCAGCACCGCCTCACCCCAGCCGCAGTCAGCTTGTCGCAGCGATCAGCACTGTTCCATTGACTTCAACATTGTTGTAGTGCTAGACTACGAGCTGTCGCGCAGTCTCCCCATGCATGACGCTACAAACAAGTGGTCGGTTGTGGAGCATCTGTCACTGTGCTGACAACTGTCCGAGGCTTTCCCTGGGGATCTTCTTTATTCGGCGTAGTTTGCGCACAGACAAGCGGAATGTGAAGGCTAACTGTTGCAGGTGCTCGAGCATGCACGTGACGAGTACTTGTTCATGTATGTCGGCATGCAACACACTGTGACGTAGCGAAACTAATCACAAATGCGACAGTTATTCCGTCTATGTACTGGAAGCTTCTTCGTCAAATCGCTTAACGTACTACCTTCCACCCTTAGTAAGTTATCACGCCCTAAACCGCTTCCGGTCTTGTGAAACGGGATTAAGCGCCTGCACCCACCAGCCAACATAGCCTTCTGCCGCAGCAGAAGTTCTCTGGCCCACCTGCTACTGGCCATCCTCTGGACATGAGAGGCAGTTTTGCGGAGTTTGACGATCAAGGAGACCAGAATTCCTGGTGCAAGCCTTAAACTGCCGCTTAGGCAGATTCTCAAACCCAAAGCTTTCCACGTGTCGGAGGACAGTCCTTATTCTGTCTTTGACCTTAGCATGAGGCTGACTAGGGCACCCAGAACCTCATCCCGCTTCTCCTTCGTCCACTCAGGCTAGTACTGCCCTCGGAACGGCTAAGGAGCGCTCGCATTGTCATCCTCAAGGCAACGCATCTGCCGTTTGTAGGAGCAATATGGACTTACGAACAACTGTTCAATTTGCAGAGGCGTAACTCTGGAGCATTGTCCATGACTGGGCCCGAAACCCCTAGAAGGAAAGGGTTCTTTCGGTCATCTATACAGCCAGCTCAATCATTAGCTGCAGGTCTTCGGGCTTCTACGGGCGGAAACGGCTGTTCACCAGGCAGAACACCTGAGACCTGTCAACCCCGGCCCAGAACTGGACCAGCAGACCCCGACACGCAACTAAGGATATTGGTCTCCAAGCTCAGCATGCAGGTTGAGGAGCTCACGTCAATCGTGTCAGAGCTGCAAGAGCAACGCGAAGCAGGCATGGCCGCTTGATGGCCATCGCTTCCATTTCTCCAGGCAGTGAGCGACTCTCACCCCCAAGCTTGACCTATTCAAGCCCGGTAAAACAGAAAATATATCATAATGATCGTTTAGTGAACGGAACGGGGAGATCTGACAGCGAGCCGCGAATGCATTACATTCAGACCATGCAATGTATCACGCCAAACTATGTGCGTTGGCCTCCTTATCCCAGCGAAATCAGAGCTGAATTCTTCACATAACATGGGAGCACTCAAAGCGGAGTCTTACGGGCTGATAGTCAGTCGCGATCTGCGCAGCCCGTGAAGCCATGCCCTAACTGGTCTTAGTTCGCAGTCGACCTCAAAGCGCAGGGATCGATGCTCATCGCGTCAATGTCGCCGGGTGCACCTTCGTTTGATTTGTGCTCGGCCCGCTCGCGTTCCCGAGAGCTTGGATGAGTTCACACACGACTCACACGCCACCAAATTGCTAGGATTGGCCCTTGTCGGTCAACGCCCACCATGCACCCCTGTCAATGCATGTCCCCACTGTACCTTCCTGAGCCCTAAACAAGACACGGCCCCATGCGCGCACCGTACTGCACAGCGAAAACATGCGCCGGGCGGCAAGCGCCTGCTCATGCCTGGTCTGGCACTGGTCTGGCAACGCCGCTCTTTTCAGTACAATCTCCGAATCTGCCTCACGGTCTCATGCCTCAGTCCCCATTGTCTGGGTGGCTAGTAAACGCACCGCCTCAGTAGTATCAAAACGTAGTCCTCTTCCAGCTTGCTAGGGTCACACCTAGTCTTTTCCTTAGATATATCCCGTACTCGTACGCCCATTAACTCCACATCCATACACCTTCACTCATACTTATCTCTGCAGCTCGTACTGCTACCTTTCTTCTGTTACTCGCACTTCTCATCCCCACGCGCTGAAATACGGTCATAGTGCCAGTGCATTCATTGTCTCCCTCTATGAATTCTCGAGAACACGCAGGGCCTTCAACGCCGTACCAGCAGGTGCCCAACTCGGCCCCTATGCTCCAGTCGCCTGCGTATCCTTCGCCGGCTCAAAGCGACACTGAACCGCCAAGGTACCCTGTCGATGGCTTAGGGCTATATCATTATCCTCAGTCATTTCCTACATCTGCGGATCGGCTCATGTTCTCTACCTCTCCTCGACCCACTCAAGCTTGGAATGGCACGTCCTCAATGGCTTCGGCGCCCATAGTCAATCCGTGGACTTCCGGAGCATACGACCATCCTGTATGTCCGGACAACAGATCGAGTATGTTGTGGCCCGAATATCACTCATCCCATCGATCTTCGACATCATCACATCGGGCAATGTCTGTTTTCTCGGGAGATGGCTCAGAACACAGCTTTCCTGCCATCAAGCTGGAAGGAGGGGCCAGATGGGCTACCGACAATGAAATTGCTGCCACAGTTGCACCGGAGCGGCTAACCAACCCTTCGCCATACGAAGGTTCATATGGGTCCCCATTGTCTCCATACGAGAGTGACAGCACGTCTGGACCCATATACAAGATGGAAATGGCTGGCCAACTGTCTCCTAGCAAGCGGCCTACATCTTCACAGAGTGAGAGCAAAGTCGCTCCAGCGCGCCGGCGACATCACCGCCGAGCCAAAGTACCTGACGCGGAGGCCAAATTCAGGTGCGAAATTTGCGGCACCGGCTTTGTTCGTGCGTACAACAAGAAGACTCACATGGCACGCCACCTCCCCAATCGTCCCAGGGAGCATCATTGTAACTATGATGATTGCGACAACAAATTCGAACGGAAAACGGATCTTCAACGCCACATCAACAGTGTTCACTTGCACGAAAAGCCACATCAATGTGAGCTCTGCGGCAAGAGGTTTGCGCGCAAGGATACGCTCAACAGGTGAGATAATGACCATTCTTAAGCTGAAGCATGTTAAAACTAAAGCAGGCACAGACATGACGTCCAAGGCGGATGCCCGAGACGCAACGAAGTTGACATGCCCACCTTGATCGCTCGGAGCCGATCGATGCAATCGAGTCCTGCGCTCCCGCAGTCTTACCTGCCGTCTCCGCAGCCGGAAGTGTATGCTGGCTTCCACCCCGCCGATACTTCACATGGATTTTACGGCTCAAGGAATCAACATGGCGCCGAGGGGGTTTTGTTTGACGGGCGCTTCTCGCGGTTCTCAAACGCAGGCTTCGGCCACAATCCTCGTGGCCTCTAAGCACGACCAGGTCTGGGCGGATATTTGATTGAGATACCTTGCGACTGGAGTCTTTTACGGGGCACGCGCTACAACAAGCGGCAGGGAGGCATTGTGTGATTTGACAGGCAGTGAATGTGCACGGCGTCACAGGTAGACAGGAATAGCTACTGAAAGC